GTTCGGAGGTAATTTATTTGGGTGAAAGCTTATTCTTCCAATCCCGTAGAGAGGTGGAAGAATTGATTGAGAATAACAAGATGATTGACCTGTTTTTTTATCGCAACCCTGAATATTACGAGTTAAGCGATACATTGACCTCAATCTTGGAGTCTCTTAGGATAATATCTTTTGCGTTTTCAGCCTTTTCGTGATCAAGCCAATCCAATTTTATTCTCACATGTAGAGGTTTCATAAAGATGAGATCTCTCAAATCTCTGTTTGATTTTAATAAGAATTGGATGCATGAATCTCTTCCTATCTTTCCACTTTTCTCTAAGTGTAAAATATACGCTATCCTTGCTGCATATATCTCTTGATTATCGTCTAATAATTCTTTCTTTCTTCCAAGTTTTAAATACAACGCCCATAAACAATAACCTGCACAATACCAAGAATGAAGATGCAACCATGGCAAGAAATTCTATTGCTTTCAAACGACCCAAAACAAAACAAGTAAATATATTAACAAAAAGGTGCACACCTCACTTGTCCCGGGGACTAGTATTGACAACACAATCGATGGAAACTTTTCCATCTTGAAATCCTACTTCCGAAATTGTACTATCATCTTCTACATTCACCTCTGATTCAAGTGGTGATATCAAAGAGGCAGGATTATCCAATTCATCATACCATTGTTGAGCAATCTCTCACTGATGTCCATCAGCACTGTTAAATCAGCCAAAAATAACATGGAGTTCGTGAGAAAACAATTCAGCAGTTCATTGTCACATAATCAGAACATGGAAAGCATATAAGAAAATTGGAATTATAAGGAAACTCATTAGCATATTGTTGTCTTTGTAAACACACACAGCATAAAACTTTCTCCAAAGAGGAAGACAACCAATAAGGCATTCCAAGGATGCCAAAATTTGAAAACTTGAAGGTCGAACATACTCCAGATTCTTCACTTAGTTTCAAAATCCTCTGTCCAACTTCAAAATTGCATGCATTGAAATGAGTAATTGAGTACTGTAGACAAGGAACAAAACAAACTCACTTGAAGAGGAAAAAAAAATCCAGTAAAAATGGTACCCATGTCACAAAGGATTACGTGACATTAAATGAGAGACACTTGCATGAAGAGCCACCATAGCGACGCTACGAGTTACTAAAAAGTGCAGTCATTGGATCATCTTTACCCTTAAGTCATTGGATCATCTTTACCCTTAAATTTACGATTTAAAAATCGTAAATAGTATTAACGTAACATGTTTATTAAATTCTAAAATAAGTGGCATTAAACACAAATTTTTATTTACACCGAAGAAAACTAAAAATGATATGAAAAAAATCTCATATACGAATTCTTAAATAAGTTTGAATATTTAAAAACTATAGCCGCTCGGCTATACTGTCTAAATATTACGAGTCAAACACAAATTTTTATTTACACCAAAGAAAACTAAAAGAAAAAAAATCTCACAATGTACTCATGCTCCCAGGTCCAACTGAGGCAGTGCCCCCAAAGTTTGGCCAACCGATCTGATCAGAGATTCCTCAACATGCTTAAGCAGGACGTACTCCTCCTGGCGCCACCAAACTCTGTTTTCTCTTTTTTCTTTTTTTCATTTGGGCCGTAATTGCCTGACGCCACCACATTCAGTCGCATCTGAAGCAGGCTTTCTGGTGCAGGCCCACCATTGCTCCGTGCGGGCCCACCATTACTCCCTCCCCCATTTTTTTAGTACGAAAAGGAATCATAGCGCTACACGTGGCGCCTGTCCTCCCACTAACAGTGCCACAATTTTAGTACCCATTTTATCAGATTGATAGTAATCAGAGCGTCCTTTTGTAATTTTATTGTTGGGGAAAAGCATGGCATCTTTTCACCGTCTTTTATTTGGATCTGAGCTCTTGATAAGGTATGGCCCACTATATTCACATGCGCGATTCCTTCACTATTCTTCAATCCCTGTATTTTTATAAAATTGATTTTGTTGGATTTTATTCTATACAATTCACACCAACCACATGAGCAAATTAAACCTCGCTTTGGGACATAATGTTCTTCTATTAGAAGAATAATAAGTATTTTGTCGTTAAACTCATGGTAGAACATCAGGTTATAAAGAAATGATGCACAAAAGCCAGGTTGTAAAGAAATGATGCACGAAAGTTTGTACGTCTGCAATCTCGTGTTTTAATATTTATGTTTATAAGAGGTACATAAGCAAGGGCGAAATTAGAAATTTTTAATACTTGCCTAACAATTTTTACTTGGTTGGAGCCAGTCCAAGGGTGGTTTTGCACTCAACTAACAATGAGAAAGTTATACCAATACTATCAACCATGTTTGATTTCATACGTTTTTGTTTTTGGCGACTCGGGGGGGGGGTGGGGATGTCTTTGTATGTCTCCAATTTTCTGAAGCTGTTATTGAATTTATTCTCCTATATTTCTTTGTTTATGCAGTAAGCTTTTTTGTGTATGCAGTTTGATCTATGAACAAGGATGAACATTTGAAAAATATATGGACTGCTGAAGAAACTCAAGGCACGACATCTACTTCTGGGGCTGGAGAAGGAAGTGCTCCTGGGGTTAATTTGCAGAGACAAACGAACACTTAGCCAGAAGACAGTTGATGAGGTTTGGAAAGACTTGATTGGAGAGACAAGTGATACTAAATGTAATAGTGTTGCTGCGGGTTCAAATTTGCCACAGAGACAACAAACTTTGGGAGAGATGACTTTGGAGGAGTTTTTGGTGAGAGCAGTGGTTGTGAGAGAAGATGTCCAACCAATTGTAAGGCCTAACAAAAGTGGGGATTCTACGGTGAATTAATAGCAATGACGAAACTAGAAATTTTCACAAGAGAGGTGATGGTGGAGTGGACAAATTTTTACTAGGTTGCGCTCCACCCTAATCTAAGGGTGGTTTTGTCCTCGATTAATGAGAAAGTTATACCAATGAAATCAACCATTTTTGATTCCACACGTCCAACTCATGTGAATAAAGTTCTTACAAAACATTCTTTGACTTAACTATTTTGAGTACGCAAGCATCAAAGGAATACAAAACCAAAAAATTGAACTACGTCGAGGTAATGCCTGATAATGATTTATAGTGTGATACCATAACTTACGAAAATATCGAAAAGACCAAACTATCTTACCCAAACCTTAAAGGTAAAAAGAAAGATAAGACCTTTTTCTTTTGTTTGCAAGATCATCTCCCTAAGTTCAACACTGAAAGCAAGGGCATGACCAAATGCATCCCAAGTAGGTTTTCAACGTTCAAAAAGGCATTGAACCGTCCATGTATTGACTTCTGCAACTTTGAGCTCAATACTACCATAATTGATGAACTCATCCATACTTTATCCAATCAAAACATCACCATGTTCTGGAACTTCAGAACAAACTAAGCAAGTCATAAAAAATCATCAACGTATGCAAACACACAAACCTTCCTCATCTGTTTATCTTTAGTTGATAAGTGTCACCTCTTTTTCCCAAAAGAGCTTGGGATTTTGACTTACAAAATCATCAACGAACAATCAAGAAAACGAAAGAAGAGAGAGAAAAAAAAACCCCTAAAGAAATAAAATAAAAATAAAAAGAAAAATCCTCATACTGCCACTGTTCTCGACCAATAAAACCAACCAAAAGATCTCTCAGTCCAATCAACCTGTCGGAGAGCCTCCTTCAACGGCTCAGATCGTCCCACCTCGCCACCCCACATTGGGCAGACATCAAATCACGATCTCAGGCCCTGATTGGACCACGTTGCGAGATATGGATGGCTACCCAACCACTTTTAATATTAAAAAAATTTAAACAATTCCGAAATCTTAGCCTCCGAACCGTCCTTAAATAGCGACTCGTGTCGAGGCGGCACAAGACACTTGTCGCCTCCACACAACCCAGACACCCAAAGCTCAGAGAAACAGACACTCTCTCTGTCTTACCAGGCAGTCACTCCCAATTTTCCACAAAAAAGAAAATTAAAAAAGAAAAAGAAAATAAGGTAAATAAAGTCCTTCTCTTTCAATGCTTCTTTCTCTATCTATCCAACTCTGTCTTTTTGTTTATTTTTCATTTGAGCTATTTTTTCTGTTTATTGGGTTTTGTCTTTATCTGTTTTAATACATCTCAGTAATTATCTTAGTATTTTTGCGGGTTGTTTTATATTTATTATTTTAGCTGTAATTATTTTTTGTTGGTCAAGGAAGCAAATTTATGGATTCAAATTACAGGGTTGTTTGAGCTTTGTTGTTGTATGAAGTAAGATATTGTTAGGGTTTTGATTTGGTTTTTTAATGAAAGGTTTAAGCTTTTTGATTATTGGTTGTGGTGAACAAAATTGGAGAAATGGGTTGGTCTTGGATAATGGTTATGAGAGTATAGATTTTGATGTTGTTATGATTTAATGGAGCTGGAGAACTCTGGAAGATCTTGTTAGTGGTCCAGTACCATGTTGGTTTGAGTGAGTTTGTGGATCTGAAGCTAATGGGAAAAGTATTTGTCATCACAGTTTTTATCTGAATATATTGGACAGGTGGAGATGAACAATTTGTTTGGTTCTGATCATTTTCACATTCTTGGTTCTTCATAAAGTTCAAATTCTAGGCAATAGAATCTTGTGTGAGATATTGACTTTAATGGTTTGAGTTGTGTTGTCAAGCTTCTGTTGGTGGGTTGAATAAAGCCGCTGTTAAGTTTGTTTTCGGACATTTGTCTGTTTTTGGACCTCTGAGGGGGTTGTTGTCTTTGTATGTCTCCAATTTTCTGAAGCTTTTATTAAATTTATTCTCTTATTTCTTTGTTTATGCAGTAAGTGTTTTGTGTATGCAGTTTGGTGCTTTTGGGTTTTCTAATTCAGTTCATGCATAGAACTGTTTCATTGGCCTATCATTTTCCTGATTTTTGTCTGAACTATGTGTGTTCTACTTGGATGGATATATAGGAAAGTTTGCACAGCTAGCTGTTACTAGTATTTCAAGGTGCCAGAAGATGGGGTCTAATTTCAACTTCAAGAACTTTGGTGATGTACCACCTGGGGAAGGCAATGGTGGGAAGGCAGCAGGAAATTTTATGTTGGCCCGGCAGTCTTCCGTGTACTCTCTGACGTTCGATGAGTTCCAGAACACCATAGGTGGACTTGGAAAGGATTTTGGATCTATGAACATGGATGAACTTTTGAAAAATATATGGACTGCTGAAGAGACTCAAGGCGTGACATCTACTTCTGGGGCTGGAGAAGGAAGTGCTCCTGGGGGTAATTTGCAGAGACAAGGGTCATTAACTTTGCCACGAACACTTAGTCAGAAGACAGTTGATGAGGTTTGGAAAGACTTGACTAGAGAGACAAGTGATGCTAAATATAATACTGTTGCTATGGGTTCAAATTTGCCACAGAGACAACAAACTTTGGGAGAGATGACTTTGGAGGAGTTTTTGGTGAGAGCAGGGGTTGTGAGAGAAGATGTCCAACCAGTTGTAAGGCCTAATAATAGTGGATTCTATGGTGAATTATACCGTCCAAATAACCACAATGGTTTAGCTCCCGGATTTCAACAACCAAGTCGAACCAACGGTCTTTTAGGTAATCAAGTTGCAGATAACAATAATTCGGTTCTTAACCAGTCTCCCAATTTAGCACTTAATGTTGGTGGAGTTAGATCTTCTCAGCAACAAACACAGCAGCTGCCCCCACAACAGCAGCCACTCTTCCCCAAGCCTACAAATGTAGCGTTTGCCCCTTCTATGCATTTAACAAACAATGCTCAGTTAACAAGCCCGAGAACCAGGGGACCAATGACTGGGGTTGTGGAACCTTCTATGAACACTGTTTTCGCTCAAGGTGGTGGGTTTCCAGGTGCAGGAATTGGAATGACTGGTTTAGGTACTGGGGGCGGTGCAGTTGCAGCAAGATCTCCCACAAATCAGATATCACCAGATGTGATTGCTAAGAGCAGTGGGGATACATCGTCGTTGTCACCAGTTCCTTACATGTTTAGCCGGGGAAGGAAGTCCAATGGAGCTTTGGAGAAAGTAGTTGAGAGAAGGCAAAGGAGAATGATAAAAAACAGAGAGTCTGCTGCAAGGTCCCGAGCTCGTAAACAGGTGACTACATTGGTTATGCTGCCATCATACATTATTTATCTGTTAAGTACTATCTCAATTTGTTGCTCATTGTCTTTTGAATTTGGCTTAACTTTGGTGTATTTGCTAATCAAGTGGTTTTTGGAGTTTAGTTGTAGTTTTAGACCTATATTTTGATGTCTAGTTTGGTGGCATTTTGTGCATCAACATGCATTTGCGCTGATCCTTGCATATGCGTAGTTTTCTGGTGAGAACCTTACAAATGCATACTTTGGGATATCTGCACACACCAGCAGAATTATTAACGAATTAAACAAAAACTACGAGCACAAAGTAGCCATGCCATGTGGGAGAAAATAGGCAGAAAATAGGCAGTCAACAGGCACGTTCATATGTTTATACTCATTTAGTTATGTTTTGGTGTATAGATGGACAGTCCACCAGTTCAAGGTGGGTTGTCCTTTTATGTCTGCTAATGCTGATTCATATCTACCTAAAAATTCATAGAATCCTACTGATATTTGATGAACCCCAGTGAAGAGGTTTTGTCAGTTTCATTATGACGACATAAATGTGTAAAGCAGCCTTCTGCACTGCCGATGTATTTTACATCATGTACAAAATTTGAAAGTGTTTAATCTTTTCTTTCTTAATTTTGGCACAATTTCTGGAAGGCTAATCATCTTTGGGATTTTTTGAACTTAATATGTTTTATGAGTTCTGGTCCTAGAATCGGCTCTTTGAATAATGGCGCTCTGCTTTGTTCGTACTTTTTTTGTTTAAGAAACATGATTGATACTTTTTTTTAATAACCTTTTCTTCTCGATTTATTGCAGGCCTATACCTTGGAACTAGAGGCAGAAGTTGCAAAACTTAAAGAAATGAATGAAGAATTACAGAGAAAACAGGTATATAATTTATTTAAGTAAAAATTATTGGCTATTCATCTGGTTGTCCTAGTTTGGCTAACGCTGCTTGACGTTAATGTGGTTTCTGCAGACAGAAATAATGGAAATGCAGAAAGATCAGGTACATCACTGTACCTATTTCTCTAGTGCCTCACTGCCTTACATTTTATGTGATGGCTTATTGCTCCCAGTTAACATAACCAATGAGGCAAACGATAACGTTCCTTTAGGAATTTCTTGTAAATTATGACTGTCAAAGTAGGCTGACGGATTTCTTTCTTGAATACTTTGGTAGATTTTGGAGACAGTGAAGCGGCAAAGGGGAGGTAAAAGGCAATGCTTACGACGAACATTGACCGGCCCTTGGTAACTTGGATGAAGTTGGACTGCAGATGTAAGATGAGTGCTTGATTTACAAACATATAGGTAGTATGGTGCAAAGATTGGAGCTTGTATCTGTTATCTGAATCCAATCTTATACTAGAAACAGTAGGTAGCTGTCTGTATAGGAGAGGAGTGGTTGAGTTGTAAATTACAAACTACGGTCTCATCTTGTAGATTGAACTTTTGTACTGGTATGATCTCTGTTTGCTTCTCATTTTGATTGCAGAGAGAGTCTAGGATAATTGAGCGAGTCATGTGTAAACTATTTTAGTATTGTCCATCTAAATAATTAATACATTTCTGCCCTTCATAAACTTTTATTTTCATGCATACAGGAATTGAATTCAATTAACGAATTGGCTCAGGTCTTCAGATTTGTTCACTTGGGTTTCGTATTCAAGTACTGTTCTTTTCGTATTTTCCCAGCTCTAGTATTTTGGGAAGGTGGAGGAGGGAATGCTGGAGATGTAAAAACTGAAATCTTAACCTGTTTTGTGATGGTAATTAATTTATATGAAAATCAAATCAAATGCAAGCTTATTTGTAAGTTTCTCTCTGCTTTTAGATGGCCCCAAAAACATAAAGGTAAAAAAGCCATTTCCCTTGACACAGTTTTGATGATGTTAACTTTGTTCTCTTCTATAAACATTATGAGTCATTCAAGTTATGGAACCTCAAATTAACCTACCTCATGGTAGTTCTTCAAAAGGCTCCACCATCTCAGAATTTACAAATAGTAGAAAAGACCATTTTACTCACCTCAGAACCTCATCCGCCTAGTATCTGTTTTTGTGGGAACTGAAATTAAATTGCTTGGTAGGTAGATAAACGAACCATTGTTTAAATAGGTTTTCAAAGGTACTTCAAACAACAATCCGTTGTAGTCTAGTTGGTCAGGATACTCGGCTCTCACCCGAGAGACCCGGGTTCAAGTCCCGGCAACGGAATACCTTTTTGGTTTTTAAGTTTTCCTTAGCAGAACGAACAATAATCAATTCAATCGAAGCAGATTACACATCCTACATCATTCCTTAATTTTATTTTTTTTTTTTTTTTTTTTTTTTTTTTTTTTTTTTTTTTTAATGCCATGTTTTAATTAATTTATTATTTGCACACATTTATTTAACAGCCTTCAAATTCCTCATCAACTTCTCATTACAAAAGACGATAAAGTCAACTGCAAAATATTTACAGCCCACGTAAGTATCCTATGAAGTCATGAAAATAAACAGAGTGGCTAAAAAGCCTGGAACACCTAAACTTACAAGTAACAACTAACAAAATTTGCTACAAAATTTACAGGCCTTTCCATCTCAAATGCATTCTCTTTCACATCAATTACTGAAGGTTCACTGTCTCTGCATATAAAAAAATGGTAAGTTGTTAATCATAATGTTGCGGAAGCTTGACCAGCCAATGAGCAGTTTGGGGAGAAAATCACTTTAGAAACGGATGGACAATGTGGTCAAACTCAATACTTTCGAACATCCATTTTCCAAAACTGTTTGGTATGAAAATTCTGCTTCCATAGGCTAATGTGATCTAACAGTCTATACTCTTCATGGCTAGGGGATGAAGATTGCATTCCATCTGCAAGGACTTGGCTCTGAGTCCGGATCATCTTAACTCCTCGGGTACTCATAAACAAGGCCTTCTGCAACACTTCTTGCCCTTGCATGACCAAATAGTTTGCTCACAATAACCAATGCAAAGTCTGTGACCGTAGAAAGTCCCCTGCTTGTAATCACTTTACCATCAATCACTACTTTGGTGCCATTTACCACTTCATTTGTCAGCTTGCTTACAATGGAAGGGTGAGCAGTGGCTTTCTTACCCTATGTTTAGCAAAAGAAGCATAAGGAATCATATAAGCCAAAAACAAAACAAAAAAATTAGAGAAATAGTTTTGTGTTACCTTCAGTAAGCCTTGTCTATGTAGGATTCCTGGTGAGGAACAGACTGCTCCGTATATTCTTCCAGCTAGTTCTTGTTCTTTGAGGAGGTTCTTTAGAATCCTAGATTTGTTTAACCGCTCAGCACCAGCAGTTCCTCCCTATTACAATGAACCAGAACTGTTGAAGGCATATGAATTAATTATAGAGTTTTGGCATTTTATTTTGATTCTGCACCACAGAGATTAAGGGACATAGCCAAATATAACTTATCACTAACTATTTGGTTTGTCTCACCGGAAGAATGATTAAATCATAAGTTAACTCTGCAGCAACACCAATCAACTTGTCAGCAATGATTTTGGTGCCTTGAGATGCCAAAATCTGCACAGATTTTTCAACTGAAGCAACTACTACATCGACCTTTGCTCGTCGTAGAATATCTACAATAGTTACTACTTCAATCTCCTCAGAACCATTTGCAACTGGAATCAGAACCTACACGAATTCGAATGACAAAAGGCATTTTAGGCCAAAACGAAGGAAAAACAGAGAAATAACGAAACCACATTGACAGGCAGAAGATAAAACTATGTAATAAATAAATCTGGGCAAGCATGGAAAAGAGCAAGCAAAAGGTGAACTGTGAGCAAGGTTAGGAGTAAAAGAAAAAGAATGTAAAGATGAAGTTTTATCGTTGTATCTTTTGTTCATCTAAGAGAACATTTCAAACACCGGACCAAGAGTGGGTACCTACCAATATGTTATTTCTAGTGGGTTTGTTAAAAGAAGAAAAAGAAGAAAACTTTCGGCCTTTTTTTTCGGTAATGGGTCACCAAAGAATGACAGTTTCTGTTTTCCATTAGGGTATTGGTCAATAGAAAACCAAACTCCGTGTCCATAGATCGAAGTGACAAAAAATTCAGTAATGAAACAGAAACAAAAGAAACTTACGCGAGGGATGTGATCAAAAGACCACTCAACTTTGTTGAACTCTTCCTTTCTAGAGTTATCATCATCGAGGCACACCAACTAATACAAGAGAGGCAGGGTATTAGCTTTAAATTATCAGGAAAAATAATGAAAGGGAAAAACCATATGGATACAACAAATCTGACTAGATACATATATATTTACTTGATACAAAGCACAATAGTTCAGGCAGTCTGTTCCTGGAGACACAATCTAACAAAGGATGAAGTTTTTTTGGATAAAAGAACCAAAAAAGTCATACCACTGACTTCTTAGACAGGTAATGAAGGTTCACAAGTAACTTTTATTTGTTTTCTATTAATTTTGTATTTTGAATGTCAAAAGCAGACCCTTAAACCAATATAAGACACAGTACCAGCCTTAATAATGTAGATTTTTATTTCAAACATCTCCCTCAAATCTGAGCTACTCGTCATATTCCAATTTCACTCTGAATCTTAAAACCCCTAAATGAATGTTGGGAAACGTAAGGAAAAGGAACTTTCTGACTACTTAGAAATGAGCTTTCTTGTTTAAGCATTTTTCTATTCCCTGTTACTTTCCCTTCACCTTTTCAAGATCTAAAAATGGAGTAAGTATTCTGTAAAGTCCGTTTCTTCCATTTATTCCCATCTAGTAAAAATATCTTGGTACAAGAGGATTATATGCAGATGATCCAATTCACAAAATTTAAAAGAACATGATCATATTTTGGGACACAATTGTTTCTTATAAGAATAATATATACGTATTTTAGAACACAAATAATCCTGGCATCTGGAGGTACATCTAAAACCTATGTATATAATTGTTTAGTCGATCTATAATTTTAAGGCAATTATCCGAACACTCACTCCTATGCTTGTATAATGAACAAAAAACTGAGACAGGGCTCAGCACTCACCAATGATTCTCCAATTCCCTTGGCAACAGATTCCCCAAATAGCTGTTCAACTAGGCATAGGGCAAACACATAAGAAGTTCCAGGGCCACGGCTTGTTGTGAGCCCTTCTGAAACTTGAATGTTTGATTTGACTGCCCAGAACGTTGGAAGCTTGTGCATGAATGCAGGGTGGCATGTAGTCTTGCATAACACACTAGACAACCATTAGCCGGAAAACTACATTGAAATGCACAAAACTATGAAAATTTAACCAACACTACGCCGAAGTTAACCCACCTGCCTTCTCCTTAGAAGACCCCATGGTAGAAGTGTTACTGCTGGAGCAGCACATATAGCTCCATATAACCTCCTTTCCTCAGCCTGTTTGCTTGTAATTTTCTGCAGTGCTGCGCAGTCTCTTAACCTCACCGAGCCAGGCATTCCTCCCTTAAGGGTCATGTACATAACAGTAATCAGCGGATGTTATAAGTTTGTCAATTCAACGTACAACTTATCACCAAACTTCCTAATATTAATATCCATTGGTTAATCAACAGACAAAAACCAAGGGCAGTAATTGCATCACAATAATTCCAAAAATAACACCTCCAGCTTGTAGACTACCTTGTGCCTACAGTATTTTTTGCTTCCAACTATAGATACACACTTTGACTCTTGTTGTTAAACTTTCTCCAGCTCTGGGCCAAAAAGAAGAAAACTTTCTATAGCTATCGTTCTAATTTGACGAACTTCGGTTGTTTTAAAAGAATCTCAACGACCAATATTACGTGTCTTCTGCTAGTTACTTAGTAATACTATAAATTCATGAAATTTAACAAAAATTGGTTCAAAACAACTGACCGGCAAAGCCACAAGATCAAAAATTTGATCGGAACATGCGGAAATGGAGGTATCAGCAACCAATTTAGTACCACAAGAAGCTTCAATTTGGAGCTGTGGCTCCACCGAGGCCATAGTGACATCAGCACCAGCTCGGCGCAGAACATCAACTATAATGACAGCTTCCATTTCTTCTGTCCCCAACCCAATTGGAACCAGAACCTGCGCATGCACAACAAACCCAAAAATTCAACTAACTCTCTCACTTAAGCTTCTTTGGTTGCTAAGAAAAAATATATCACAAAGCCAATAACCCATTTTGCCAAAGTTCTCATTTCATTCATCCATTTTCTCAGCAACCACATGGAGAAGCTCATGTGGGTTTGGTGCATTTAGAGGAATGGACAAATGGGTATTGGAAAAAGACCTTCTTGGGAGGTAGCGATGTGGCTGTGCTTGTGCTGGTTGTACTAGAAACTGGGTTTGTTGCTGTTGTTGCAGAGAGGGTTTTAGTGGGTTTTGCCGAGTGTTTTGAAGTAGCTGTTCTTCGCTGTCCAGAGGCCATGGACTTCAATGAGAAAGAAGGAACAGTAGCTGCAGAGGCAGCCATTGAAGCAAGCATTGGATAAGAGAATTTCACCGCGGTTGGTGAGAGAATAGAAGACAGACACTCCATTGACGCAATTCCCAGTTTGGCGCTAGAATCATGAAGTGGACCTTATCTCGGCTCGGTAGGATTTTCTTTCTTGGACCGAAACATAGTCCACTTCACTTGAGTCCAAAACAGCGTCGTTTCAGCGGAAGGTGGTTTTCCTCAAGTTATATCTTAATTTTCATCATTTTTTTGGGTTCATTTTCGTTTTCATAAATTAAATTAGCGATGCTAGATGATGTTTTTATGAGATATATTGGACACAAGTTAGCTTGTTTCTCCACTACAATGTACAAGATAAGGGAAAATTGGATCAAGGACACTTGAACTATAAGCCTTGTTGTAATTTGTAACGTACCAAAAAGAAATTCTGTTGCACCTCAATTAAAATTTTGTTGCAATGTTCCATTTATACTCTTGTTTCATTTAATTTAATTTATTTAAGAATTTATTTATTATTTTTTTATTTGAAAACTGAAATTACAAAACCAAACTCCTAGAACAAGAAAGCCCAAAGAGGTCGAAATAGAAATGAGAACAAATTGACAAAGGAAGTCCAAGCTCTCAACCAACTTGCGACGAGAGCCCATGGCCCAGCTTGGCAACCGCATCCACAATGGAGTTTGCCTTCTTGAACACATGCTGGAAGTGAACAGAAGTTGTAGAAAAGCTAAGGTGCCAGATATCTTGAATAATGGATACTCCACTGGGAAGTAACTTTTTTGAGGACATTGTCAATAACAAGTTTAGAGTCACCTTCTACCACAATTTGACCCTAGCCTCTATCAATAGCAACATCGAGACTATCCCGAAAGCAACACTTTCAACCACATTTATGGAATTTTCACCAATGTTATTGGCACCCGCTAGTAACACATGACCATCACTATTCCGAATGACAAAACCAGTGGTAGCTTGAGAATTAATGACAGACCCATCAAAGTTAATTTTAATCCAACATGTAGGGAAAACGGCAGGGATGGGGTGGGGTGGGGTGTGTGCCATTTTATCACCATAGGGATATCATTTTTCTTTTTGACCAAATGGTTATGTTGGTAATAATCCATACCAACAGTAGTTGCAGTATGAAAACAACTAGCAGGGTGATGCTGAGAATATTGGAACAATAGATTATTTTTGGCCTCACAAATCTGCCAGCAAATGAGAATAGCTTTGGATAAGTGATCCAGACCTGGAGGGTTGAGTAGTGCAATCCAAAGAGGATAATCAACTAATGAAATCGCCAACTTGAGAAGGAAGAGAAAGAAAAACAAAGGAACATCCCCAAACATTCCTAGCAAAGCTACAATTCACAAACAAGTGTTAAATGGTATCAAGCTGGTCATAGCAAAAAGGGTAGTCAAAACACAGCTGAGGCATAAATATGTGACGTCTAGCTCTCACTTGAACTCTTATTTTATTCAAGAAGTTGAGCACCATTGGACATAACCCTTTTGAAAATGAGTCTAATTTTCCTGTTACCCTTTCCATGTGCCTCCCTATTACCCTTCTAATTTATTGACACATGTTCTTACACTTAACTTCTAACATAACAGGCTAACAAGGTCTAGCCGAGTGGAAAATGGCCTTAACTTGTAGACTAAAGGTCTCAGGTTCGAACCTCCATGGCATTATAGTTGTGTGTGTGTGTGTGAGAAATCCTCCTCCCCTATAATTTAGACTTGTACTAAAAAAAAAAATTATAACATAACAATGTTAACTTTTTTAATAAAAATAAAACAAAAACAAAGCTAATTATTTAAAAGAGAAAAAAACAAGGGAGTTTCACTAAAACACCCAAAATGGGGGTTGAAATTATAAAAAAAACCCAAGCACTATTTAAACATATAAACACACCCAAAACCCACCATTACACATACTCAAAACTTATTTATAAACACACCCAAAAAGTTGACTTTGGGGTTGATTTTGGGTGTGTTTCTATGTTTAAATAATGCTTGGGTTTTTTTATAAATACATGTCTAGGATTGAGTTTATTTATAAATTTGTAAAAAAAGAACAGCCACCACCACAACCCACCCACCTAGAGGCCTACCACCCAACCTGGATAGCCAACCCATTTATCCAACCTGGTCAGCCACCCCGCCCCACCTCACCAGCGACAACCCCTTTCCTAGTCGTCGTCGGCAACAACTCTCCTATTTTATGTCCTCCCTCTTTATCAAGCAACATCAAACTCATAAATCTGATATATTTTCTCCATGGCTAAAACCCATAATCGTTTCTACATGTCATTTCTCTTCTCCCTCCTTAACCCAACAACACCAGAAAAAAGGGGGAGAAAACAACATGGCAACACCAAATGTGAGATATAGTATATCCAAATATGGATTCCAAGATCTCTCTCATAATTACATAGGCTTGGTTGCATCAAAGGTTTGAAGGTGAAGAACACTGAGAATATGTGTGCTCTTTGTTTTCTTTACTTGAGATGTAGTGAAGATGAAGGGGTTGTTGAGGCCACAACACAATATGGCTCATGCACAAAATATCCTACAATTTTGAAGCCCTTTAATGTCATTCTTGTTTAAGGCTTTAACAGATGAGATTGACTATGTTATTGGGGTTTTTAGTTTGAGGAAGAAAATGGTAAAGTAGGAAAGAAAAAGATAGAAAGGGATATTGAGATAATGAAGTGTTTCCGGAGGCAAGGAGGAGAGGGGTTGACGCTGACAGGATGGGGTGGCTGACCAGGTTGGATGGGTGGGGGAGTTGGCTAAGGTTGTGTGGGTGGATGGGGTTGTAGGCTATTGGTTTTTGTTTTTCGTTTAATAATTAGCTTTGTTTTTGTTTTATTTTTTATTAAAAAAGTTAATACAGTTATGTTAGAGCAACTCCACCCATTTGCCCTTTGCCATGACAAGGGGGGGCTAGGGTAGCCACTATTTACTTAAATAGTGGTTGCCCTTGCAAAAAGCAATGTGTGTTTCCACCCGTTGCCATGACAAATGACAATTACTATTCATCTTTTTGTTTTTTTCACAAATTTTTTTACCTCAATAATTAATTTGGATAATATTTCGAATAAGATTTTCAGGTTCCTACGTGTCACAACTATTCATATCTCATAATCGGATAAAATTTCCGGATAAGATTTTTGGGTTCAAATTTTAGATACATTTCAATATTCAAAATTCAGATAAATTTCAAATTTCAAATTTCGGATGAATTTCAAAATTCAAATTTCAGATAAATTTCATATGAATTTCAACATTCAAATTTCACATTTCAGATGAATTTCAAATTTCAAATAAGATTTTGATCTTCTAAAATTGAGCCACGTGTCATGTCTATCTGGCCAAAATTTTCTATAAAACCAGAGGCTCAGCTCATACCTCTCACACCACATCTTTCTACATTTTCATTTCTCAGAGTTTAGAATTCATACTCCATTCTCAATGGAAGACATAAGGAGATGCTTGGAGAGGCAAGAGCGAGAAACAAATGAGAGAAGCTGTAGACGAGCTAAAAGGCTAAGGTTGTAGAGAGAAGAAGATGAACAAGTTGTCATAGCAGTGGCTTTGCTTGATGAAGAGAACCAAGGTCGCCGCCGTGGTTCACAAGTCGGCCATGGCCCGAATGTCGACAGACATAGGCATTCTCGGGGTAAGAATCTTTTGGAAGATTATTTTATTACAACTTCTTTGTACTCTGATGTTGATTTTCGAAGGCGATATAGAATGCAACCCTATTTGTTCAATAAAGTCATGCATGATATTTGCAATTATGATGCATACTTTGTTTAAAAGTGTGATGCTGCTGGGGTTTTGGGACTTTTTCCAGAGCAAAAGCTTACAGCTGTTATACGAATGTTGACGTATGGTTCATCTGCTGATCATGTGGATGAGATTACCCGGATGAGGAAGTCCACTATGTTGGAAACTTTGGTAAGATTTTGTGATGCAGTCGAAATTCTGTACACTAAGGACTACCTACGCAAGCCGAAGCTCGAGGATTTCCAGGAATGATTGGTAGCATCGACTACATGCACTGGCAATGGAAGAATTGCCCAATTGTCTGGCAAGGAGATTACGGAAACAGAAAAGGCCAAAAAAGTATCATCCTTGAAGCTATTGCTGGCTTTGATACATGGGTTTGGCATGCCCTTTTTGGAGTTGCCGGATCTCAAAATGACCTCAGCGTGCTAGGTCAATCCCCGATTTTCAACGATGTTTTGAGAAGTGAAGCCCCGAATATCACCTATCAAATCAACAATACTGTCTACCATACAGGGTATTATTTAGCAAACGGCATTTACCCGAGGTGGACCACATTTGTCAAATCCATTCCGAATCCATGTTCCCAGAAGCAAAGATTATTTGCTTCTTATCAAGAAGGATACATAAAAGATGTCGAAAGATGTTTTGGCATCCTCCAAGCCAGGTGGTTGATTATTCAAGGTGCGGCACGTATGTTTAATGAGGAGGTGCTGAAAAGCATTATGATGACTTACATAATCCTCCATAATATGATTGTGGAGGATGAGTATGATTACAATGCTGCAGAGGTCTACAAACTGGATCCCATGAATACCGCTTTGACACGAATTTATGAAAGGCCCATGGGGCCAAGTGAAGAACCATTGGAGCAGGATCTGTTGGTTAGGGATGATCGTTTCATGACCCGTATGCTAGATCGATATACGAATATGCAATCTTCTTATATTCATGAAAGGCGTCAAGTTGACTTGATGAAGCATCTATGGGTGGTGAAAGGCAATGACGGTGAATGATGGAGCGTAGATGCTTTGGTTAGGTTTTATTTAGTTATGGTTTGGTTGTGCTGTTTTTTTATTTATCATGGTTTGGTTGTGGTTTGTTTTTATTATTGTACTTTGGCTGTAGTTTTTTTAATTTTTTATTATGCTTTGGTTGTGGTTTTTCCTTTTAATTATGTTTTGTTTGATGTATGGAATATGTTGAATAAAAAGGTATTTTATTGATGCTTTGTTTATTAAATAAAGAAAGCCAATACAAGTCATTAAGAATTACTACTACTAAAATAAAATACATGAATTACAACAACTTTAATACAAAACATGAAAAATACAAATAAATAAAAGGTATGCCAACTAATTTAATGGTTTTGATCATTTAATCAATCCGTGTTGCTAGGTGCATCGTCACGGAAAAGTCTTCTTCTCATAAGATCCCTTCGTTCTAGCTTCCAAAATTATTTTGTTTCAGGGGATGTATGACTTGTATCCATGGTCATGGTTTCCCGATCCGTCTTCTCAATGTGTTGTTTGCGCAAATACTCCCTTTCTTGTACATATTCTGCTCGAATTGCCATATCATTTTCTTGGTGTTTCTTCTAAATTTCAATTCTTATTTGTTTCAGGGGATGTATGACTTGTATCCATGGTCATGGTTTCCTGATCCGTCTTCTCAATGTGTTGTTTGCGCAAATACTCCCTTTCTTGTACATATTCTGCTCGAATTGTCATCTCATTCTCTTGGTGTTTCTTCTCAATTTCAATTCTTATAGCAGCCTGCCTTGCAATTTCCTCCAAATTTTTTTGATGTATTAGTGCTAGAATTACTCCATTTCTTCGCCTTTGCAACCTTTCGGCCAATGGGCCTCGACTCCTTTTCGATGGGCGAGTCTTGACTCATAGGGGAATCGAGAGGTGAATCTGATGTTGAATCATGGAGTGACGTCTCGTTTAACATAACAGGGGGACCCGTGGGAATAATTATGAAGCGTTTGCAATTTTTCACCACCTCCCAACATTCATGATGGTTGAAAAAAATTTTGCCTTGCCCAATTGCACCAAACCACATATGTGCTTGTATAATCTATTAACAAAAAAAATAAAATAATGAAAATGCAAGAAATATTTAAAATATATTGGAAATGCAAGTAACATAAAAAAAAATAATGGAAATGCAATTAACCTTACAAATATATTGGAAATGCAACAAATATTAACAAAATATTATTTATGCAAGAAATATTAAGAAAAAATTGGAAATGCGAGAAATATTAACAAAATATTGAAAATGCAAGAAATATTAACAAAATATTGAAGATGCAAGAAACATTAAAAAAAAACATATATATATATATATTAGGACATTAAACTTAATAAAACGAAAATTACAAAATATTTACCTCGCTACTAAGATTTTTCCCGCTTCTATGGTTGTCCCTCGCTTTTGCCAAGACATCTCTCCATTTTGTCAACTCTTTATTGAGAATTTTCCACCTACTAGACAATGTCATTTCTGTACGAGTTGACCCCGGAATTCTTTCACAAAATTCGGCATGAATTTTTTTTCACATATGACAAAATTTCATCTCATTGCCTGACACAGGACAATGACTAATTTGGAGCCAAGACTCAGACAAGAAAACATCTTCCATGGTGCCTCACGCCCCTTCAGTTTCGATAGAAGAAGCCATAAAGATAAGAAATAAAAATACAATTTGAAAGAGAAAAAAATGTTGAGTAAGGGTGGATAATAGTAGAAGTAGAAGAAAATGTATGAGTATTGGTGTTGAAAGTGAAGGGTATTGATAGGTATTTATAGAAAAAAAATTCAGAAATTTTTGGTATTTTTTTCATAATTTTATAGCCAAAAAAAGCCCAGCCATTGGATTGGAGGAGGATAAGTAGATCGGAGCGCCCAGGCGAAGACACTGTCTTCTAGCCGTTGGAAATGCACAGGGATGACATCAGCGCACAAGAGTTCAAATTTTTTTTACCGTTGGCGCGTGCAATGCACGCGCCAAGGATAAAAATAATTTGCACTACGCGCTAATGTCATCCTTGATGTCTTCTCCCCCTCGGGCTGCAGTTTGGGCAAGACTTGCCTTCGGGTCAACCCGTCTTCGTGGGTCCCACAGTTAGCCCGGGCAAAAGTGGCCTGCTGGAACTGGATTTTCGCTTGGCCTCCTCCCAACCTCGGGCTTAGGCTCCTCAGTGGAGCTGCTCCTTAGAAGTTAAGTGTAGAGACATGTGTCAATAAATTAGAAGAGTAATAGAGAGGCACAAGGAAAAGGGTAACAGGAAAATTGGACCAATCATTTTTTCTCTCAGACGAATCTACCACTTACCTTTTTTTATTTTTTATTTTTTATATAATATTTTTTATAAAACGAATATACCATTTACCATTCATTCATACATACAATTTACAAAATGTGAACTACAACATTTAAATCATAGAACTGGGAAATTATGTTTAGCCTTGTAATTACACGTCAATCCGCTCTCATCTCATCTATCCTATGCTAAACCTTTGATTTGCTCCATCATCATCGTCATCTTCAAAATTGTCACACCCTTATCGTCAACAGAATAAAAAATTGAGAAAAATTCTATCATAAGCTACTACCCACTGCCCAGTACGGGATAGACATTCCACATAAGCAGAGTGACTGAGTTCAGTGCATCTCTGCGTGCGATAGAGGGAGAGAGAGGAAGAGCTCGAGATGATTGGGATACTGACGAGGAGAGTAGCAGCTTCAGCTTCTGCTTCATGGAAATCATCACTGAGCGCATTTCAAATTGTACAAACAAGGAGGGATTATAGCCTTGGAGTTCTTCCCGATGGAGCTGATCGGAATTCAGAGGCCTTCTCTCGCAACTCAAAGGCCATGGACCTCTTAATCTCCGACCTCCAATCCCACATCGAAAAGGTCTCTCTCTCTCTCTCTCTCTCTCTCGCTATTTCATGCGATTGTGTATGTATATATTGGGCTGAATGTGTGTGTGTGTGTGTGAGGAAGGTTCTTGGTGGAGGAGGACCTGTAGCTGTGAAGAGAAACAGGAGCAGAAATAAACTTCTCCCCAGAGAACGCATTGATCGTCTGCTTGACCCTGGCGCTTCTTTCCTGGAGCTTTCTCAGGTTTCCCATTTCATTTCACTATCAATTATAGCTTCCCATGAGTTGGGTTTTGATTGAAGCTCTTTAAAAGTAACAACTTTAGAAATAAAAATCCCATTAATCACATATCTTATCTTACCATGATGCAAGTTTTATTTTTTATTATGAATTAATTGGACCCACTTGATTTCTTGCCTCATTATTGTATATTTTGTTAATAATAAGCTTGCAGGCCATGAACTATATGAAGAATCCTTACCATCTGCTGGGATTATTACTGGAATAGGTCCGGTCCATGGACGACTTTGTATGTTTGTGGCTAATGATCCTACTGTTAAGGGGGGAACTTATTATCCCATCACTGTTAAGAAACATCTCAGGGCACAAGAGATTGCCAATCAATGCAAATTACCGTGTGTGTATCTTGTTGATAGTGGAGGTGCTTTCCTTCCCAAGCAGGCCGAGGTCTTTCCTGACAGGGAGAATTTTGGTAGAATTTTCTACAATCAAGCTTTAATGTCTGCCAAAGGCATTCCTCAAATTGCGCTGGTATTAGGTTCCTGTACTGCTGGCGGTGCCTATATTCCTGCAATGGCTGATGAGAGTGTGATGGTCAAAGGAAATGGTACCATATTTCTAGCAGGACCCCCACTTGTGAAGGTTATTTTCTAGCCTTCTGGTAGACTTCATATGAATTGTATGCATATGAGTACATACATATCTGTAGGTGTATGTTTACAATCTATATTCATCGCAAGGAAATGTTTCCATAGGCTGCTACTGGAGAAGAAGTATCTGCAGAAGATTTGGGGGGTGCTAGCGTGCATTGCAAGACGTCAGGAGTTTCAGACTATTTTGCTCAAGGTATTTTACTTCGTGCCATTTTATACTTTAAACCTCACATACATTTCTTTGAAACTATCATCTCACTCTGCTTACTTTAGGTTCTAACCTGACATGTTAATAATTTATGGAAAGCTTTGTTATTAGTTATAATGTGAAAATTTTGAAATACTAACACAACGTATATGAAAGTCTAGCCATTTGGTTTACAAGTTTGTATAATGTCTTAGAGAAGGTATTATCACGTGATTGGAGTGGTATTTGAAATGTGCAAAATTTAAACTGTTGAATTTAGATCACATGTTATTTTTCTTGACCTATTAGAATTATTATTCTATGCATAATGCATGTATGTGGAGGGTGCGAGGCAGGGAGGTTATCCATTAGAGATCACATGTATAATCTCAAGTTTTCTTGTAGATGAACTCCATGGACTTGCTCTTGGGAGGAATATTATTAAAAACTTGCACATGGCAGCGAGAGGCTTGAAAAGCGGGTTGCAGAGTATAAGTTCTGAATATCAGGAACCATTATATGATGTAAAGGAACTTCGTTCCATCGCACCAACCGACCATAAGCAGCAGTTCGATATCCGATCAGTTATTGCTCGCATTGTCGATGGAAGCGAATTTGATGAATTCAAGAAATTGTATGGCACTGTGAGGGCATTTGCACCATTTTCAATTCTGACTTTTTAAAATTTATTCTCGTTTAATTTATGAGTTTTGTAATTTCAATAGCATCTGTGCAGACTCTTGTAACAGGTTTTGGCAGAATCTTTGGGCAGCCTGTGGGAATTATTGGGAACAACGGGATATTATTTAATGAGTCTGCTCTAAAGGGGGCCCATTTCATTGAATTATGTACTCAACGAAACATTCCTTTGGTCTTCCTTCAGAACATCACTGGATTTATGGTATGTAAGCTTGGTCATTTTTCTGTTACTCTTTACTGAAGAAGCTATCAACACCACTGTGCTATTTTGAAGAGGGGCACGCTTTGAATCTGTCTAATAAGTCTCTTATTTGCTTTGCTTATGTGGTACATTCTAGAATGAGGAAGCCATGCTTACCATAAGTTTTTTGATTGAGAATGGGAAAGTTATATAATCATTATATCCATTGAAAAGGTTGCTTGAGATTTACGTGTAAAGGTATTTAAATATCTTTGAACTTAAAAAGTTTCAACATATAAGGTAAATCAGGAGAAATGCAGTAAAACGGAAATAAAATGGATTCAGTCACTCAGGTTGTAGTTAGGTTTTTGGATTCACTTTTCACATTTAATCATAGTAGTTTTGTTTTGGTTCAATTGCATACAATAGCAGTAACTTTTGTCATTCAAAATTTGCAATTTTGATGATTTGGCCATTTGTGGAGAAGAAGAAAATGAGTTTTTATTATTTTAGTGGTTTGAATTTAACATTAGAAGTTTTTTCTTTCTATCAGTTACTTTAGAAATTAAATAAGGATAACAGTGCTCTTCTCCTTACTACATCGTTGTACGCATTATCACATAGTTGTAATATAATTATATAAAACATCAAGCTCTCACCAAACAAAGATAGAACAGCAAGCCAGGTGGTGGAGGCATGGAACAATAACAGTTATTCATTTGGTAGGTTGGCTCGAGATCAGAGGCAAATGGTATAGCAAAATCTGGAGCAAAAATGGTGATGGCGGTTTCTTGTGCCAAGGTTCGTTCTTCCTCATTTCATTGTTAGTGTATGTTCTTGTGTGATTAAGAGCATCTTTCCCCCCCTTATGTGAATATGCTTGTCTTAAGAGTGTTATTGCTACCGATCTTAAACTCGTATATTGCCTAACTGGAGAAATCGAAGCATCTTATCAGGTCATTAGCTATTGGAAGTTTTTTCCTTCCCACATACTAGGTCCACCTGAATTTGTTATTGTAGTATCAGTAATTTTTTTCCCATACACGTTCAAAAATGTATAGTACAATTATCAACTTTATGATGTTAGCTCAAAAGGGCTTCCTTTTCTCTTCAAGATAGGTATCAAAAATTTTCTTTAAATGACTTTTGCTCCCATTGCATTGTTTTCTTTGAAGTTACACAATGTTTTCTTTTAAGAAAAGTTATTGGTTCTTCTTTTATGACTTAATTAATTATGAATCTCAAATAGCAATAGGAGAGAAAGGAAGAATTAAGATTTACTTGTCTAATTTTAGTGATTAATGTTTACAGGTTCCCAAGGTTACTATCATTGTTGGTGGAAGCTTTGGTGCTGGCAATTATGCAATGTGTGGTCGTGCTTATAGTCCTGATTTCATGTACCTTTGGCCGAATGCCAGAATATCTGTGATGGGTGGTGCTCAGGTGAACTTTTCCATACAACATATGCGTGATTTGTTTTTTACTATATTTTATGTGTATTGCATTATCTTCCCGACTTTGCATATCCCAATAGATCTGTTTTTTTTATCCAATTCATAGCACGTATAGTTCATTCCCTGAGTTGCATCACTTTTCACTAACAGCTTCCTTAGGTATGGATTGACATATTTTTATTTAAATGCTCAGGCTGCTGGTGTCCTTGCTCAAATAGAAAGGGGCAACAAGAAAAAGCAAGGAATTGAGGTTATAATTACGTCTATGATAAAAGCTTGGTTTAAGAAACAATCACTGTGTTCTCTTATTTATCTGTGTCATGTGCATGTATTGCAGTGGGACAAGGAAGAAGAGGAAAAATTCAAGGCAAAGGTAGTGGAGGCATATGAGAGGGAAGGAAACTCCTATTACTCCACGGCAAGGCTGTGGGATGATGGAATTATCGATCCAGCCGACACGAGAAAAGTCATAGGCCTCTCCATCTCTGCTTCTATGAACCGTGACCCAGAAGAAACCAAGTACGGTGTATTCAGAATGTAATGTTGTAGTAATACAATGAATCTCTGTGAAAGAAATAGCAGCCAAAATGCTTGGTCCTTGTTCATTCAAATGTTGTTCTCTTGAAATGTTCCCCTCAAATTTCGCACTAAATAAAAAACATCCAACCACTTTCTTTAGTTGAAGGATAAGAATAAAGTCTCGACATGGGTATGAGCCTCTACAATCCAACCACTTTTTGTTGTTTTCCTAAAACACAAAATGCCTTGATGCATATTCATTTTCTATCAAGAGCTTTGATTCGGATGATATATCAAAAAGATGAGAACCGTTGCATTCAAAATACAATTTGAGATACGATCACCATTCCGCCAATTAGATATGGGTCTTTTATCTAGATGTATTTTTATATAGCAAATGTTAGAAGAGGTTCTGACTTCAATATCTTATCATTCGGAGATCAAAAGAAATGTATATGTGAGTTAGGCCAGTTGACAGGGTAGTGAGTCCCTTTGCACACAAGTTCGAGCCCCTCCTCCTCATGGATTAGTGCAGCGTAGCCTATTGCTTGTACAAAGGAAACAAAAAATCCAAAGAAATAATTTACAGCAAAATATAAAATAAAAAATTAATTGTAAAGTTAGGGTCCAAGTTGTTATTATAGTGTTTGAGGCATGGGTTAGCATACAAGAGCGCCCGTGGCCTAATGGATAAGGCATTTGACTTCTAATCAAAGGATTGTGGGTTCGAATCCCACCGGGCGTGCAATTGTTTTTAACGTTTCTATATATTTTTCCCGCATAATCCAACCATCAAAAACAAAAAGTGGGTCCCGCATTTGTCTTTATTCTCCACCAATCACTGTCACTAGATCATCAGTAAAAAAAAACCTGCCCAAATTGTTATTTTACTTCTTCACACGAATCCCCACCATTTTCGTCAGCTCTCTCAATCCCTCCATCTCTCTCTCTCTCTGCATCTCGCTGCTGCTGCTGCTCAGCTACCATGGCTGCCTCCACATTCCACTATTCAACTTCATTGCGCTCGCGTGCCCTACAGAATCCCATGCTCTCGCCTTTCCTCTCCCACTCTCACCTAAGCCCTTCGCCGAATCTCTCATTTCCTTTCCGGTTGCAGCCCAAAAGGGGACTTATTGGCCTTCCAAATGCTCCTCCTCGCAGCCTCACGATCTTTTCTCTGCGCGAATCCAAAGGTAATTTCCGATCCTTCTCCTCTTTTATTTGTTAATGTTCATAGTAGATCTAATCCATTAAGCCTTCCATTTCTTATTTGCTCTATGGTTGGTTGATTAGTTGATTGATTTATCTGTTTACGAGTTATTTTTATGGATGCATAGTGTTTTCTATTGTGGCAGTAATTCGCTTGCTTTGTGACGGATTTTTAGTTTCCTCAAGGCATATTAGCATTTGGGTCCAACAATCGGTCCCAAAACTTCACTTTGATGCTTAAATTCGGTTTTGAATGGTAGGATGTGGGGTTATCTTCCTCTCTTGGTGATTGCATAAATATATGAAAATTGATTGATAGATTAGTTGATTGCATACAAATGTAGTGTGAAGTGATAAGACTAGATCTCTCTAGGTTTTTGTTTATCTTGAGATTTCCTTGAGAGAGATTGGTGTGTTAGTATATTTGGGATATTAAATTATTATATTATGAGTTTGTGTAAGGGTTGGAAAAATTGTAGTTGTGTCTCCTGGGGCACAATATGAATATGCTATTGCTCTCCCCATCCATGTCAATTTTTTATATTAGCATATTGCTTATAATCTTTTGCTAGATATGGTCCGCAATGGTGGATGGCCCCTCTTAACTGTATCAAGTTGTGTGTATGCAGCTGCGGCGGTTACTGGAGACTCCTGGGAGAAATCAGTCATCAACAGTGAAACACCTGTCCTTGTTGAATTTTACGCGAGCTGGTGTGGGCCGTGTAGGATGGTGCACCGAGTGATTGATGAAATTGCGGTTGAATATGCTGGGAAGCTTAAATGCTTTGTGCTCAACACAGATGTTGATCAGCAGGTTGCTGAGGACAATGAAATTAAGGCTGTACCTGTAGTTTTGCTGTTTAAGAATGGGAAGAAATGTGACACTGTGGTTGGTACCATGCCCAAGGAGTTCTATGTTGCTGCCATTGAGAGGGTCCTGAAGTCGTAACCATTGACCGATTCGTGCCAGAGAAGTTGACAACAATCAACAGTAGAGTTGATTTCTCACTTCCTACTACTTGAGTATTCAAATGGGATTATACAGGTTGTACATATATCTTAGACATATGCCTAGTTCCTTACCAGTTTAGGTCTTACTTAGTTTCCATCGTTTCTTGCACCTTCTCTTTGGCATTGTTATATTTGAGGCATTGGCTGAAAATAGTGAGACATTTCTGTAACTTGTTTGCTGATTGTTCATCCCCAGTTTATTGGCTTGAACAGTGTTTGGTGATAGTAGAGTTAATGATTCATTTGAGACAAAAACAAGGTTGATTTTGATCTCCAAATTGGTTTTTTGGTCCTCCCATGTGGCAGAATTGTGTATCAATTTCTTCATGTTGGAACAAATCTAGTTGCAGATTTCGTACAACATTCCCGTTACATTGATATATGCAAGTGGCCATGTTGCTCTGCTCTATGAAAGCATCAGAAAAGGTTATCTGGATCCAAGAACACCGTTTTGCTAATTATTGTTGCATATCGTGAGGTCTAGTGTGAGTATTATTTGCTGATCTTACTATTGCAATAACCCTATGAGGTAGGTCCAGGATTTGAACTCTTTACAACTGCCGAGTTGAGATTGAACTCTTTACAAGTGACCTAGCAAAACTTGGGCTCTCCAGTGGGGGGGAGAAGGTCTCTACCCTTCCCCCCATCTCTCTTCCCTGGTTTTTGATTGTCTTTCGCGGTTCGTGCTCGAGCTTTCCTACTCGTTTTTGGGGCTTCTTGCCTCTTTGTTGGGGCTTTATGCCTCTCTGCTGGGGTTTCATGCCTCCTTTCTTTATTGTTCCCCAAAATTTCTACCATTCCATTCCGCTCAGTGTCATCCCTTGGTTGTTCTCCAATCGGTTCTTGCTTCCTTTGTTGTAGTAGATAACCCGCAAAAGCGATTTCTCGCGATTATCTTGGAAGGTGTGTAGAGCCATCATGACACTGCTACGGCTCGAGTGCTTGCACCACCTCCTTCCTGTCTTGATGGTTTTGTTTGTTTTGCCTTGGGGTTGCCTTGAGTGTTGTTGGTTTATGGTGGCTGTTTGGTGGTGCTTGTGCTTTTCTGTGGTTTTTGTTGCTATGTTGTTTTTAATTTTGTTAGTTTTTATCAATTTTTAATTTTGTTTATCTGGGGTAGTCTGTTGCTCATGTTCATCTGATATTGCAGATTAGATTTGTGCTTCCTTACTAGGTTGCTTGTATTGTTGTATTTGTACCATTCTAATGGGTGAGTTTTTCAATAAAATTTCATCGTTCGACTAAAAAAAAAAGCTCTTTACAAGTTTGATTATTGTGCTCCCCATTTCCTAAACAGTAACAATTACTCAGACAGTAATGAGGCATCGCTCTTGAATCTTGATAATGGCGTGACCTCTATTGAACACCCATTTATGACTTTAGATTTAATTATTAAGCAAACGGCACATCTCCCCTTTAAGTATCTTTTCGAAACTTCTCATTTTACCATAATCAATCCTCTTACTTTGTAGTGGGCAACGTTCTCTTACCAAACTTACGTTGCTAGAAAAATGTTTATGTTTTCAAGCTGTGAACTTAAACAACACGTAATAAGAATATATAGCTAATCAAAGGTTCATATGTGCAATATGATAAAGAATATTTCTCATCATCTAATTAGGTTTACACTGTCCAAGAAAAGACCAAATTGTGTGTTCTCTTCCCTTGATGATGATGTATTGTCTTCCTAATTTGATGGAATGAATTATTTGGGTATTAAAACAACCCTTAAATACTTACCAATTAATGGAGATTAAAACACCCTTAATTTTCCTAGCTCTCTTGTATAGAGTATGTCCTGCACATATCTTACATAATGATTTTAAGGAGTCAAGCAATGCTCTTTCGAGAAATTCGCCGCGCGTGATAAGAGTAGAAATAAGAGTTGATGTGTGTAATATTTTCATATTATCTAACGGAAAAGGAAACCTCTAAGAAAACCCATGAAATCTGTCTCATCTTTAAGACTGCTTACAAAAGAAAGAGAAGTAAAATACGGGAAAGGCAAGGAATCTGAGCCGTCCATATAATGCACGCATTTTTCAGATGTCAATCTGAGCAGAAGAATCTTGTCCAATATGTCGGTTTTAAAATACGCGTGAAAATCTATCAAAAATCAGAAACAAGAAACCTTTATAACCCCGAAAAAGGAAAAAGCTGTGAAGCCTCCAACTCAAAAGCCTCTCTGTATAATCTGGTATTCTCTCGACTTTCAGTGGCAGTAAAACCCCCCCCCAAAATCACAATCCACACTCCTTCTCTGGGCTTCATCTTCAGAAGCCCAAATCTACAGTTTTTTTTGTTGTTGCTGAAAATCAAAAAGTAGGTATGAGTTTTAGTCAGTCCCTACTCTTAATCAAAGTGTTATATAAATTCTGAGTCTCTCACCGCTTTCCTTAGAAAAAAGAAGGAAAAAAACTATAAAATCTCAGTTTCTCAGATAAATCCCCAAATACCCATTATCCAGAAGCCTTCCTTCTTCCCAAGTTTCCGATATATCTAATCAATTTCTGTTTTTGTGGTTCGATTTTTTGTGGGTTTTTGTTTGATTTCAGATTTCTCTCTGATAATTATCCAGTCGCTTTGGTCTTTAGGATCTAAGTTTTTTTGGCTTTTGGGGAAGCATTCGTACTTTGAAGAGGAGCGGCAGCCAAAACATGAGGTACCCTTTTGTCTCGAATTTTGTTGTTTAGTTTTTAATTTAGAATTCTATCTATGGTGTTAAATTTCCTATGATGGTTTTTATCTGATTATGGAATATAGATTGATTTAGGGATTATTATTGTTTCAGTCTCATGGGTCTGTTTTGGTGATGCGTTTGATTCAACGGTTCTGCCACTATTGGATTTGGATAATAAGTTGGGCACAAAACACATGATTAGAAAATTTGTACGTTTCTGTGAATTCTGCAAGATTCTCAGTTAGTAAACAGAGTCCTTCTGTAGGCTGGAACTTGGTTGAAGTTGATGGATTGCAATTTAGAATTCAATCTGAAAGTTTGCTTATTTGTTATACTGTTGCACGAGCTATGATTAATAGGACAGCTTCAAAGTCTGGTGTATACATCTGGTATTGGAAGTTACTGATCTTAATGGTCACAAGCACATTGCACTGAAAATAATAATTTAAACTTCAATCAAATACCAGTAGTCTTTATGTAGAGCTTATGTAACATGTAACAATGATATTCACCATTATTAAAATATATAAAAACCCAAAGGAAAGTCTAGAAAGAATAAGGAAGGTTAAGCAAACCTAAAAATTGAAGGTTTCATTACCTTTGAGCTTGGAGTTGCACTATGGATCAAGCTTGAATTGAGATCGACAATAGAGACTTAGAGATTGAAATAATCTGATTGAGGGCTAAAGACAGAGTGAGTTTTAAACATAGATTCTGATTGTTACAGAGTTTAGAAAGAGAGAGAAGGTGATGGGTGAGTGAGAGGGAGGGGGATAAGGTGGTTGATGGCTAGTTTTCATTAACTGTCTTCTGTTTATTTTATAACTTACACACTCAAATTAAGATTTCAATGTTAAGTCCACTGTTGGATAACTGATTAATTATTATATTCTACTAAGAAGAAAGACTTACTAAACAAGAAAATGACTGCACTATAAGAATAATGACATATGAACAATTTTCGGTGCATTAAATAGTTTCTAGGCAACAACGTACACTGCATTCGCTTTAAGTTGTCTATTTACTTTTAATGGTCTAAACCTTTTAAGTGCAAGCCTAAAGCCTACTTGGTTTTTGAATTCCAGTTCAACAAACCAGTTTGGTTTAATTTGAAACAGACCTTCATTCTGTGATTAATTGCCTTAGAAAATATGCTTAAGACATTGGGAGGGCAGGTTGTCTATATCTAATTACTGTGCCATTTAGATTATAACCAACATTTGTCAAGTAGTCAGTAGGTATAGTTTTATGCCATTTGCGACTTTGAATATTATAAAGTTCCAGCTAAGCAAACCAATTGGGTATAACTTCAATCCTAACTTTTCAAAAATAGTAGAAGAGTTATTGTTGCAGTAGCATCCACAAGGCTTTTCAAGAGTTCTTGGGCCTGTTAGTCAATTGGGCTAGGGTTCTAGTTATTTTGAATTATGTTTTTTTCTTTTCTTCCTTTGTCAATTAGGTTTTCTTAATAAACCAAAAATAGGAACGCTAGGCTGCTTTACTCTAGTATTAATAGGCTATTAAGAGATTCTTGTATTCATTTTTATATTTTTTATGAATATAATTTCAGACTTTAGTCATTCGAGTTTCTATTGGGATTTTGCCCTAGAACTCAATTATCTTCGTTCCAACTTCAATTCTATTGCTTTATCCTTCTATTCTCTGTATTTTGGGATGGTTTGGGTCGCTGGACAGCATCTTATAACCGTTGCCCTGCATCAATTATGCTCAAGTTTTAGGATTTTGTATACTTTGGGATGCAGTTTTTTGCTTTTGGTTCATCTTGTTGTTTATAATTCTTTCAAGGACCATTCTAATTCTGTTTTCTTTTATTTGCCTAAGCAGGACCATTTGAGTTTTGAACTGTGATGGCTTGCCCAAATACATCAACATCAATAGTGCCTTCAGAACACTCAGAGCAAAGAGGAGCACATATATCAGATTCAAATACAAACATGCTTCAAGCTCCAACAAACCAACCCAGCCGAAGCTTCTCTGATGGTCCTGTGGCTATCCTTTGGGATATTGAGAACTGCCCTGTTCCTAGTGATGTCCGTCCTGAAGATGTAGCTGGTAATATCAGAATGGCTTTGCAGGTGCATCCTGTAATTAAAGGAGCGGTTATGACGTTTTCTGCTTATGGGGACTTTAATGCCTTCCCCCGGCGACTCCGCGAGGGATGCCAGAGAACTGGTGTTAAACTAATTGATGTTCCAAATGGAAGAAAGGATGCTGCTGACAAGGCTATCTTAGTTGATATGTTCCTGTTTGCCCTTGACAATCCTCCACCTTCTTCCATCATGCTGATCTCCGGGGATGTTGATTTTGCTCCAGCTCTTCATATACTCGGGCAACGTGGATATGTTGTGATCCTAGTAATCCCTTCTGGAGTTGGTGTTTCATCTGCTCTCAGCAATGCTGGTAAGTTTGTGTGGGACTGGCCTAGTGTGGCACGTGGAGAAGGCTTTGTGCCTGCTACTAAGGTTTTAATGCATCCTCGTGGGGGTCACTCTGATATTTCTGGGTATTTCATGGGTTGCCACATCAATGATAATGTAGATATCCAAAATGAAGAAGAAGCTATCTTATATAGGGGAGTATCACAAAGCTATTACAACTCAAGAGATTTTTCAATAGTCTCACAATCAGTATCTGAATTCAACAGTAGTTCCTTAATGATGCCTTGCTGTCCCACTGCTTCAAGGTCACACAGTCTCCCGTCTGGTCTCAATGAAGTTTCTGCTGGACCTATAATTTCTGGTGATCAAAATGAATCTACTTGGTGGGTTCAGCCAGGGGACCTAAATGGTCTGAAGGGACAGCTTGTAAAATTGCTTGAACTTTCAGGAGGTTGCTTGCCTCTTATCAGAGTTCCTTCTGAGTATCAGAAAGTTTTCGGAAGGCCTCTTTATGTATCAGAGTATGGTGCGTTCAAGCTCGTAAATCTGTTCAAGAAGCTGGGTGACACAATGTCTGTAGAGGGAAAAGGGAACAAGAGATTTGTCTACCTCCGAAACTGGAAAACAGGCCCAAGTGCACCATCTTTGGTTTTGTCAAAGAAGGATAATAAGAAAGGGAAGGGGACTCAAGAAGAGTGCATGGATATTACCACAGGCAATGGCTCATCAGATGAGTTCTCAGAGGAGGAAAGAGTTGTTGTAGAAGAACATGATGAGAGGAGCCAAGGGAAGACCAATGTGGGAACAGCAGGTAAATGTGAAATTGATGACCGCAGTCTTGAGAATTTCAAATATGAGTTGCAAGAGATTCTTGTCAGCTACTCTTGTCGGATTTTCTTGGGCTGCTTTGAGGCGATCTACCAGCAAAGGTACAAAAAACCTCTGGACTATCGGAAGTTCAGCGTTAATCAGCTAGAGGAACTGTTTGAGAAGGTGACAGATGTGGTGGTGTTGCTTGAAGAGCCAGTTAGCAAGAGGAAGTTCCTGGCTGCAAGTGGTGGCTAAAAAACTGAGGTGGTTTGGCTACTGGTTCTAATAGTTTTCTGATGCTTTCAACTCTCATCTGCTGACCATGGGGTTTAGGTATGCTTACCCTAGCCCAGCATCTCTCCCACTCCTTTTTGAATATTTTCTTTTTTTACAAATTTCATAAAGGGAAAAAATAGACAGATGAGGCTTGGGACGACCTTTTTTTTTTTTTTTTTTTTTTTTTTTTTTTTAATGTGCCCTGCATGGATTTGAAATTAATATTTGAAATTTCCATGCCCGGTCATCTGTAACTGATCGACTGCTAATGGGAGATCTTCATGTAAATTTTACTTGTATTTCGCTTTTGTGCTGGATTATAATAAAACAGGAATTAGATTTACCTATATATAGTGTTCAAGATAGTATCTTCAACAAATCAACAAATGTTCTATCAACTAATTATTTGCTAGAAGTGCTTTGGTTGTGAACCCTCCTACTTTCATCAGGTTGTGTTGGAGATATATGGAGGGAGATTTTCAGTAATAAGATCATGTCCTATGAATTAATTTCTGTGACATGGTTACTACATAAGTCCAATGGTATACATAAATATAAAAATTTGCTAGGTTAATTAAGAAGAAATCATAGAGGAAATGAAACAGTCTAGGGCCAACCCAAGTATAGACGTCAACGGAATAGTGGAAAAGAGCATTGACTAAGGTTCGAACCCCATGACACATTGGCAATGTGTGTGCGTGAAAAAACCAAGTATAGACAATTTTAAAAAGAGAAAGTGATGAATTGGATTCGTAAACCAAAGTGATGGGTAAAGGAAAGCAGCAAAACCAAAAAGCTGTAAAGAAGTGAATCAAAGGAACCCAGATAGGTGAACTGGTGAAGCAAAGCGACCAATTAACTTTGTTGTGTCTCATGAACTGGTCAGCAATGCGATACTTTGCAAAGTGCCTTGAAGGATTGGCGAATGGATGTACTTGAAATGTGGGAAATTTAGTTGAGAAGGAAAGAAATAGAATGTATTCTTGAACCAAAGGTTATGTTAGTTAGAGGGAATCAAGTAACCCAGATAGGTGTAAAGGTGAAGCAAACAAAGGAATTCATCAACCATGCATGCATAGAAAAGATAACGAAGCTTCATATGAATTAAAGCCTCTAAAATAATTTCCATTCTAATAACCGCGACCATAACCATAACAATTTTATTGTTGGAAACAAGAGAGAGAGAGAGAGAGAGAGAGAAAAGATGGCTGAGTTTGTAGTTTCGACTGTCGTGGAAAAGCTCACAAACTGGGTCACTGAAGAAGCACTTCTCTTGGTAGGTGTGGGTGACAAAGTTGAGCAACTACGAGACGGACTGCGGTGGATGCAAAGTTTCCTCAAGGATGCAGATGCAGAGCAAGAGAAAAATGAAAGACTTCGCAATTGGGTGTCTCAAATAAGAGAAGTGGCTTTGGATGCCGAAGATGTTATAGAAACTTACATTGCAGAAGCAGCATCTCACAGTTCATGGAACATAGCTGCAAAGTTAATCAATCTTTACTGGGCCGGAAAGAAGATTGGAAAAATCCAATCTAGGGTCCAGAATATTTCAAGCCAAAAAGAACATTTTGGGATCACCAGCACTAGTCGAGAGGGACGTGAAGGGATGATTGCTTCTGCAAATGAAAGGCTACGATGGTGGAGACAGACACCGCCCAATATCGAGGAAGATAATTTGGTTGGTCTTGTAGAAGATACCAAAGCATTGCTAAGAAAACTATCTAGCATGGACCCTCATGTGGTTTCTATTGTGGGCATGGGGGGTCTGGGCAAAACCACTCTTGCAAAAAAATTGTACAATCATTCTGATATCACAAAACAATTTGATTGCAAAGCGTTTGTTTATGTATCTAAAGATTACAGTAGAAGAGACACTCTACAAGAAATAATTGCAGCTACAAGTCCTGATTGCAATATGGAGGATTTGAAGAAACTAGCAGAGGAGGTGTTGGTATTGAAGCTGCATGACTTGTTGAAGGAGAGGAGGTATCTAGTGGTGCTTGACGATATCTGGAAAAGGGAGGTTTGGGATAGCTTGCAATCTGCATTTCCAAGAGGAAAGATGGGAAGTAAGGTGATGCTCACCACCCGAAATAAGGAAGTTGCTTTATATGCAGATAGCGAACAAATTGAGCCACGGTTTCTAACACAAGAGAAAGCTTTTACTATTCCGCAAGAAAGCATTCCCAGGAATGAATGAAATGCCTTCTGATTTGGAAAATCTCGGAAGACAGATGATGGCGAAATGCGGTGGTCTGCCACTAGCAGTGGTGGTGCTTGGAGGATTATTGTCCACGAAAAGGAAGACTGCAGAGGAATGGAGACGCGTGCTTCGAAACATCGAATCTCGCTTGATTGACCAAGATCGTGTTTCTGCAGTTTTAGCTCTAAGCTACAATGATTTGCCTTTCCACTTAAAATCATGTTTTCTCTATATGGGTCTTTTCCCTGAGGATTCCTCTATATCGAAAACAAATTTGATACAATTATGGGTTGCAGAAGGATTCTTACCACAACAAAGAGAAGAAGCTGGCGAAGTTGTTGCCGAAAATTGCTTAAACGAGTTGGTTGATAGGTGCATGATCCAGGTAGGAACACTAACCTCACTTGGAAGTCTTAAAGCCGTTCGCATGCATGATGTTCTCAGAGACTTCTCTATCTCCAAGGGCAGAGAGGAAAGTTTTCTTGAAATTTATAGTGGGCAAAAAATTGAATCGCCGACATCACAACGGACCAAATGTCGAAGGCTTGCAATCCATGGTAAACATGATAATCTGTATGTTTTTCTAAAGCCGTATGCCCCCTACCTACGCTCCCTTCTATTTTTCAACATAGGGGATTCAAAAGTCGACTTTGTTTTCAAGGATTTCAAGTTGCTCAGGATCCTAGATGGTGTTCCCTTTCCATATCAAGCACCAAGTGTTGTACGAAACCTAATTCAACTGAGGTATCTAGGAATTGTATTCATGGGATCTAATCTGTTGGCAATCAAGCTTCCTCGATCGATTGGAAAACTGAAGAATCTACAGACATTCCAAGTACAACATTACATATTTTGTTGAAATATAAGTGTAATTAGCTGAAATGTTCTGTTTAGGTTCTGTAAGTATGCTAGCTGAGTGTTTAAATGTGAACCATTGAATCATAGTTCAATGGATGGCTAGGATCTTAAGCTGAGGTATGAGTGTTTGTATTTGCCATGTGTCTCTTATCTCATAGGATAGAGGTTTGAATGGTTAGATTGAGCTGATGTAAGAGAGGAATATTCTTATTCCTAACGGTTTCTATATCAAGCATGTAGTGTGCGTGTTTGAGTGTGGAATTAAAAAGTGAGATTACAGAGTCACGTTTTTTCTATCATTTTTCATCTGCTCATCTGAAATCTCTCTGTGTTCTTCATTTCTTCTCTACTCCTGAGCTCCCTATTCTAAAATCCAAATCTAAAGTACATAATAGTCTGCTATTTCAACATGGCCTCAGAGCCAGGTTCCTTCGTCTAAACTGGGCGTGGAATCTGTGAAGTACGATTGAGCTGGTCCTGAGCTCGAATCGATTCTGGAAGCTGCGATTCCTCTGTGGTCGAGTCTAATATGGCTGGATCTGGAGGTGGTGAGCTGAGAGCTCCGATCTTCAATGGTGAGAACTATGAGTTCTGGAGCATACGGATGAAAACCATCTTCAAGTCTCATGGGCTTTGGGAATTCGTTGAGAAAAGGGTAGAGATCTCAGATTCGAAGGGATCTGCTGGATCTGATGAGAAGAAGAAAGACAAGGAGGACTCAAGTGATGCTGTGAAGATATCTTTCACAGAGGCACTTATGAAAGATGCTAAGGCTCTGGGTCTTATCCAAGGAGCAGTTTCTGAGGAAATTTTTCCTAGGATTGCTCATGAAGAAACCTCGAAGGGAGCCTGGAATCTCTTGATGCGAGAATTTCATGGAGATAAACAGGTGAGAGGTGTAAAATTACAAAGTTTACGAAGAGATTTTGAATATACTAGGATGAGAGATGATGAATCTTTGTCTGCTTACCTTGCAAAACTATTTGATCTTATAAACCAAATGAGAAGTTATGGTGAGGACTTATCTAAGGGACGAGTAGTGCAGAAACTGTTGATTAGTTTGCCTGCAATGTATGATCCGATATGTTCTGTGATTGAGCACTCAAGGGATATAGATACAATTGAAGTTCAAGAGGTTGTTGCCTCATTAAAAGGTTTTGCACAGAGATTGGAGAGACACACTGAGCCTAAAACTGAGAAAGCATTTGCTAGTCTCAGTGTGAATTCTAAAACTGATAAAACTACAGGAAAGCAAAGTGCAAAAGATCATAAGAATTGGAAAGATAAAGGAAGAAAATGGGATAACAAACCCATTGATGGAGCTAAAAATCCTTGCAAGCATTGTGGTAAGCTGCATTTTGGAGAATGTCGTTTCAAGGGCAAACCAAAGTGCTATAATTGTGATAAGCTTGGTCACATTGCAAAGGATTGTTATAGCAAGAAATCTGTGCAGCAGGTTAACTATGCAACTCAAGCTTCTACTGCACCAACTATGTTTTTTTGTCAACAATGCAGCTGATAAAAGGCCTATGGAAGATGTGTGGTACTTGGACAGTGGTTGTAGTAACCACATGACTGGCAGGGAAGATGTTCTGATTGATATTGATAGAAGTATAACTGCAAAAGTTGCAATGGGAACAGGACAGTTAGTTGATGTCTTGGGAAAAGGAAGTTTGGTAGTTGATACAAAGATGGGAAAAAGATATATCAAGGAAGTAATGCTTGTATCTGGTCTTAAGGAGAATTTGCTTAGTGTTGGACAGATGATGGAGCATGGATATTTTCTTATCTTTGGAGATAGCAAAGCAGATGTCTATGATGATGGCTCACTGTCTAATCTGGTGGCTAGAGTTCAGATGAAAGGGAATAGAAGTTTTCCTTTAAATCTGCACACAGAGTTACAAGTAGCATTAAAAGCAAGTGTATGTCAATCAACTCTGACTTGGCATAGGAGAATGGGACATCTAAACTTCAACAGTTTGAAATTACTGCAGAATGAAGGAATGGTGCTAGGACTGCCAGAGATTAAAACCACAAGTCATGTGTGTGAAGGGTGCACTTTTGGAAAGCATTGCAGGGAGTCTTTTCCAAAAGAAGCTACAAGCAGAGCTGCATTTCCACTTGAGTTGGTACACACAGATGTGTGTGGACCAATGCAAACTGCTACGAAGTCAGGAAATAGGTATTTTCTCACATTCATAGATGATAGAACTCGAATGTGTTGGATATATTTTCTGAGATACAAGTCTGAAGTATTTAGTGTGTTTAAAAAGTTTAAAGCTATGGTTGAATTGCAAAGTGGCTATAAACTAAAAAAATTAAGAAGTGATAGAGGGGGTGAGTATACTTCTACAGAATTCAGCAAGTTTTGTGATGACATGGGAATGGAAAGGCAGCTGACAGTTGCTCATTCTCCACAGCAGAATGGTGTAGCTGAAAGGAAGAATAGATCAATTGTTGAAATGGCAAAATGTATGATGTTTGAGAAGAAAATGCCTCTGGAATTTTGGGCTGAAGCAGTTAACACTGCTGTATATGTATTGAATAGATGTCCTACTAAAGCTTTAGAGAAGAAAACACCCTTTGAAGCTTATAGTGGAAGAAAACCAGGGATCAAGCATCTAAGAGTGTTTGGTTCCTTGTGTTATGCTCAGATTCCAGAGCAGCAGAGACAGAAGTTTGATCAAACTAGCACAAGGTGTGTGTTTCTTGGTTATGGCAGCTGTGAAAAAGGTTACAGGTTATACAATCTTGAATCGGGCAAAGTGATCATTTCTAGAGATGTTATTTTTAATGAGGAAAGTAGTTGGGACTGGAATGCACAAAAAGAATCCAGCATTTCAATTCCACTCACTGATGTTGTTGCTGAGAATGGAAAAGAGATTGATGAGGCATATGGAGTTCAAACAGAAATGGCTGAAGAAAATGAAGCAGAACACACTGAAGCTGTCACAGGTCCTCAGGAGTTTGATCACACTCCTAGAAAATTTAAAAGTATAGCTGAAGTTTATGAAAGATGTAATGTGTGTATAATTGAACCTGAGTCATTTGAAGAAGCTGTCAAGGATGATTCATGGCAGAAAGCAATGGAAAATGAGATTCATATGATAGAGAAGAATGACACTTGGGATTTGGTTGATAGACCATCGGATAAACCAGTCATTGGGGTTAAATGGGTGTATAAAACCAAGTTAAACTTGGATGGTTCTGTTCAAAAGAATAAAGCAAGGCTGGTGGCAAAGGGCTACTCTCAAAAGCCTGGGATAGACTTCAATGAGACGTTTGCACCAGTGGCAAGGCTTGACACAATTCGGATTTTGGTAGCTTTGGCTGCACAGAAAGGGTGGAAACTGTTTCAGTTGGATGTTAAATCGGCTTTTCTGAATGGAGTGTTACATGAAGAAGTTTATGTTGATCAACCACCTGGTTTTGTGGTTAAGAACAGAGAGGATGGAGTTTACAGATTGAAGAAAGCTTTGTATGGTCTTAAACAAGCCCCAAGAGCTTGGTATGAAGAGATTAACTCTTATTTTGAGAAGTCTGGTTTCAGGAGAAGTCTTAGTGAGGCAACTCTGTATGTGAAGTCTGCAAGGAGTGGAATTCTTATAGTTTCACTTTATGTGGATGACATCATCTATACTGGAAGTTCTAAGGAGCTACTGTTGGATTTCAAGACTGAAATGATGAAACAATATGAGATGACAGATCTTGGCCTGTTACATCATTTTCTGGGGTTAGGAGTGATACAGACTGAAGCCTATATTTTCTTGCATCAGAAGAAATATGCAAAGACTCTTTTGGATAGGTTTGGTCTCAAGGATTGCAAGGCATGTGCTACTCCTCTTGCAGTGAATGAGAAGTTGTCTAAGCAGGATGGCAGTGAACAGGCAGATGAGAGTTTATACAGGCAGGTAGTGGGAAGCTTGTTGTATCTGACTGCAACAAGGCCTGATATTATGTTTGCAGCCAGTCTATTAGCTAGATTTATGCATGGTCCTACCAGAAAACACATGGGAACTGCTAAGAGAGTTCTTAGGTACATTCAAGGTACACTAGATTATGGCATAGTCTATGAAAGAGGAGAGGAAGCAGTGCTAATTGGCTATTGTGATAGTGATTGGTCAGGGAGTGAGGAGGATATGAAGAGCACCTCTGGATATGCATTTCACCTTGGTTCTGGTGTCTTTTCTTGGGCATCAGTTAAGCAAAGCAGTGTGGCTCTCTCCACTGCAGAAGCTGAATATGTGAGTGCAGCTGAAGCAACTGCACAAGCAATGTGGTTGAGGTTTGTTCTCTCAGATTTTGGTGAAGAACAGATCAGCTCAACATCAATTCTCTGTGATAATACCTCAGCTATTGCTATAGCAAAGAATCCTGTGCACCATCACAAGACAAGGCATATCAATAGGAGATTTCATTTTATCCGAGATGCCTTGCAAAATGGAGAAATTGATTTACTGTATTGCAAGACAGAAGAACAGACTGCTGATATTTTTACCAAAGCTCTAGCCAGAGATCGGTTTGAGTATTTGAGGAAGAAGCTTGGTGTTATTTCAGCTAAACACTTAGAAGGGAGTGTTGAAATATAAGTGTAATTAGCTGAAATGTTCTGTTTAGGTTCTGTAAGTATGCTAGCTGAGTGTTTAAATGTGAACCATTGAATCATAGTTCAATGGATGGCTAGGATCTTAAGCTGAGGTATGAGTGTTTGTATTTGCCATGTGTCTCTTATCTCATAGGATAGAGGTTTGAATGGTTAGATTGAGCTGATGTAAGAGAGGAATATTCTTATTCCTAACGGTTTCTATATCAAGCATGTAGTGTGCGTGTTTGAGTGTGGAATTAAAAAGTGAGATTACAGACTCACGTTTTTTCTATCATTTTTCATCTGCTCATCTGAAATCTCTCTGTGTTCTTCATTTCTTCTCTACTCCTGAGCTCCCTATTCTAAAATCCAAATCTAAAGTACATAATAGTCTGCTATTTCAACATATTTCACTGTTATTTTCTTGATGATATGTGGAAGTTGAAGAATTTGAGACATTTGGTGGCCAGTCCACACGGCGTAATGAATTTTAGATTTAATTTCTTAAACAATTTAAGGACCCTAAAAAGAGTATGGGGTGGAAGATGGATAGAAGATGGCGGTTTAACCAGCTTGACTAATCTGCGAAGACTGAAAATATTACTATTGGCGCAAGAAGAATTAAATTCACTGGTTTCCAGCATGGAGAGATTGCACTGCCTTGAATCCTTGACGCTGGAATTCAAGGGATTATTTCCAGCAGCTATAAGCCTTTCTCATTTGGAGCATCTCCAGAAGCTCCATTTGGATGGGGAAATAAAGAAGCTACCTGATCCACACCAATTCCCTCCGAACCTCATCAAGTTAAGTTTGTTTAATTCTAATCTCGAGGAAGATTCAATAGTTAAGCTTGGGAGGTTGCCAAACCTAAAGATGCTTCTCTTGGGATCCCGTTCATACAATTGGACAAAACTGGTTTGCTCCTCGGAATGGTTTCCTCAGTTGCACATTCTACATTTACAACATTTAAAGTTTATGGAGGAATTGATAGTGGAAGAAAGGGGAATGATGAAGCTCAAGAATCTAAAGATAGACCACTGTCCAAGATTGCGAAAGATTCCAGAACGATTTAAGTTATTGACTACATACTCTTGAAGGAAAGGGAAGGGGATATATATTGGCTGGTCTGTCTATATCTATTTCTTTAAATTTCTCCTTGTTCGCTGGTCTGTCTATTTCCTCCAGTTCTACTAGTTGTTTGGGTTATTTTGCAGGTTGTTTGTTTGGCTTTTCCTAATAAAAGTTTGTTGTTCATCAAGTGTTAATTTCTGAAAGAAAATACTATGTAATTGAGTTGAGGGCGGGGTTGTTTTTCTTTTGTTTTTCAAGCTTGCTGTTTGATTGCTTGAGTTGAGGATCATTCTGAGGCCGTATGCATGCCAGTCCATTATAATATATTAGGCCGACATATAATTCTCCATCAAATTGCTTTAAAATGTTCATAATTCAAATGCCAAAAGTCATTTTTGGCCCTGTAGTTTAGTATTTTTAGCAATTCAAGGACAAGTTTGTAACACCCCGACCCTAATTTAATTATCCATTTAGATTAATCAATTAATTTAATTTTAAAATTCCAATTTTACCCTCGGGGTAGGGGAAATGATTTTTAGTATGAGGTGAGGAAACTTGTGATTATTATTTGATTTATGTCCTTTAATGTTTTATTTTGCGGAATCATTGAAGATTGACAGTATTGCTTGTTGTTTGGTCTTCGAGCTGATGAAGTGAGTGAAGAAAATTTCTATTTCCCGGTTGTTTTCATTAAATCTCCAGTTTCCTTTTTATTTGCTGTTAAGATTTCATGATTTCGACTCTTTGGGCATATTTCGTGTCGACTCTATGGTCATATATTTTTCCCTTTTGTTTCGACTCTTTGGGTAACTTTTGTTTCAACTCAATCAACCACAAAACAGGCAGAGATTTGAGGAGGTAATTAGCTACCTGTGAAGGAATTGTATTCTCCAGAGTAGATACTTTGTTTACTGGTACAGAATTCCTGAAATTGAAAAGGAAAAACAGAAATAATTCCTTTTAAAATCTAAATGGTTGCCACTTTGAATATGTGTTTTTTATTACCTGGGTGTTTTATGTGGCAGATTAATCTGGGTGTTTTTGTGTAATTGAAAATATTGACGGACTATTAATAATTTATTCACCGGTTATTGATAAATTATTGACCGGTTCTTGATATATTATTGATGGCATTGAGAAGCATCTTAAAAGGTATATATACATAACATGCCCCTTTTTTATGGCTTGCATTTGCAAGCATTTGTTGACACTTCAAATACGTAGAGTCGTTGCAAGGAACTTATAGTAATTTTTCCTATATTAGAGAAATGACTCAAGTCAGAATCCTACTGCTGCAGCATCACTTGTTTGTCACCAAAATATGTTTCGTAAATGCTTCAAAAGGATTCACTAGAACTTAAACAACCCATGATTTACTATTCACTAAAGCTTCATAAATATTATTTTTATTGTTTTGACTTCGAAGTCTTAGATGTAGAAAGTGTTACAAGAAGTTTGTAGAATTTTTGTATGTATTTTTCTGTTATTTCATGAATTTATTATGATTATGAATATGATTTTTGTTTTTTTTTGTTAAAGGTTGAATAACAAGGCATGTCACCCTACTAATCTTCTCCAACTAAAAAGTATTTTTATTATTTTTATCGATTAAAGAGGCCCAAATATAAAGGGGAAAAATGAAAATTACTTTATTTTTATTTTTATTACACACCAATGTCTATCCCAAACAACTTTAATAGGCATGGTGGGATTATTAGTTTTCAACCAAAAAAAAAATAATACAACATCTATTTTTATGAATTTGTATCTAAGTAATCAGTGGGTAGTGATTGATTTTGTAGTAGTGATATGTGAAAGAATTCGAACACAAGTCTGCATTCGTTGCTCTCGTGGTTTGGAGTGCTCCTACCAAGAGTGAGATCATTGTATCTTGGGAGACATTTGCCATTAAAACCTTGAAGACCCTTAAGGAGATCAAATGGTTTTTCTAAACCTTTCCTTATATTTCATTTTGATAATGTTATAAGTATGTTGTATGTACATGAGTGTTCAAATTGTGTAGGTTTGTTAAGTATATATGTTGTGCGTACATGAGTGTTCCTATGGTGTAGGTATGTTGTATTGATAGGTATTTTGTACGTACACGTGCTCCCATGGTGGGTTTTGATGACCATGAAGTATATAACCTTGAACATGTGTGTTAATGTGTGTTCAAATATATACAGAGTGTTCCCATGGTATAGGAATGTTGTTCGTGTAATTTTTTTCATCCAATATATTAATTAGTAGGTAGACCATATGTATTCAGTTTATTATAATGTTTTTAGACTATGTTCTGGGTCTATTATTTTTGTTTCCTTAACATGTATTAATTATATATATAAATAAATAAATAAATAAATAAATATATATTTTTTATAATTTTATATTTTTTATTTGTTATATATGTTTTTTTTTTTTTTTTTTTTTTTTTTTTTCGAAGTTAGGAAGGACGAGGGGACCTTAATATGATTTTATTATTTTCCTAAATATTACTTAGTTGTGAATACATTTGTTGTTCAAACCTAATTCTAAATTCAAATTCTAAGTCGCCGTGATCACAGCACTGCACAACAACTCTAAGTGAGATTTAAAATTGGTCAAACATGCTGGAGATGGAAAAGGAGACACGGCTGGGGATAAAGAAAGCGTGAAAGCTAGCTGAGTGTGGGAGACAAAAGCGGACCCAAAAAAAGTGTGGGAGACAGAGGGGTTTAGGTTAGGATAAGGAATTAAATAATAAATTAATTTTAGTGGAATGAATGGCCGTTGGCACGATATGATGTGATATATATATTTATATTTATATGACCACTAAAGATTGATATATATTATACAGTCCCCTTCTATTGAGGGATCCCTCAAATAATTTTATTTGAGGGACGCCTTTTAGGGTACCCTACAATTTTTTTTCCAATGATCCAAACCATTGATTTTTTAGGTCTTCATTCATAGATCATCCTAACAAAAAATTAGACAAATCGGAAAACCGTTTCGACATTCAATTGTGTTCTACAAAATCAATGAACACGGTGCTTCAAGAAAGTACTAAAATTTCAATAACTCAATTGAATGGTCAAATGATATCAGATTCAAGTGATTTTTTTTAGAGATGATCTTTGAATGTGTCTCTACAAAATAGACGGTTTGGATTAGTGAAATACAATCCGGAATGGGCCATACAAGGGTGTCCCTCAAATAAGCTTATTTGAGGGATCCCTCAATGGAAGCTCTCTGTATATATATATATATATATATATATATATAATATCAATTGGATGTCGAAACGGTTTCCGATTTGTCTAATTTTTTGTAAGGATGATCTATGAATGAATACCTAAAAAGTATATGGTTTGGATCATTAAAAAAAATATTGTAGGATACCCTAAAAGGAGTCCCTCAAATAAAATTATTTGAGGGATCCCTCAATAGAAGGGGACTGTATATATATAAAAGTATAATGTGATATATATTAGCCCATTGGCACATGTTCACGACGGATGTGCCAATTGATTTTCTTTTTATTTATTTATTTTTAGAATTAAAAAAGATAACATGAGTAGTTGTGTTTTATAAAAATATGATTAATTATCTTTCTTTTTTTTAAATTTTAATTTTTTTTAATATAAAAAAGTGTGAATTTACCATATTATCATCATTTAATTAATAATTTCAATTCTTAATGTTTGCATTAACCAAAGGCATTTTTATTACCCATACTTATTTTAATGGGAAAATTTATGAGTAATAAAAATGAGATAAAAAGCTAGTGGGTCTAGATCAAAAATTGCAAAAACTTGGTTTGAACTTACTAAAAGCCAATTTTTTAAAGCTTGGATCTAAAGACTTCTTTCTTTCTTCTTCTTCTTCTTCTTCTTCTTTTTTTTTTTTTTTTTAATGCTTACATTTTATTTCAGTATGCAAGGAATACTACAATCACAAATAAAAAAATAAAAATACAGGTATAGTTGATTTAATGATCCTCTCATTACAATATGCCAAAGTTTCAAATATATATTTAAAAAGGTTGAATAACTAACAAGGCATGTCACCCTACTAATCTTCTCGAAATATAGTTTCGTTTGAAAGTAGTGAACATACTTGCATTGCATATGACTTGTTTTTTATTTTTTTATTTGGAAAGAAAGCGATGCATTATGACTTATTATTTTCACTCGTTGGATGAAAATAATAGATAGAAATCATTTAAAATTGGACTGGATGATAATAATATTTTCACTTCACGTCGCCATTGTCGGTTCTTATCAGAGGTTCCATCCTGTCCTTGTGTAAAAGATGTTTAAACATTATTGGTGCTGAAAAGTATAAAAAGTTTTAGGTGGGCATCCACCAAGCAATAACTCTTTGCAAGTTCCTTGAATATGGTTCCCTGAATATGAATATGATGAAGGCGGGTGCGTCGAAAGACCCATAACAAAAAAAGTGTACAATTCTGTAGGAGGGGCTCACCAATCACTTTACAGTTATTTTTTTGCAAGTGCCTTCAAATTCAATTGTTCCCACTCAAATGAGGAACTTTATCTTTATCCGAAAGCAATTGTCACGTTATGTTAAGGGAATCCAAGGAACTCAGATAGATAGGTGAAGCACAGCAACCAATCATTCATATATAAACAAAAGCCAGAAAAAAGTAATCTCCATTATTAAGAGCCAGCCATTTTTTTGGTTGGAAACAAGATACAGAAAAAGAATCAGACCAGAGAGTGAAGATGGCTGAGTTTGCAGTTTCGACTGTCGTTGAAAAGCTCACAAGCTGGATCACTGAAGAAGCACTTCTCTTGGAAGGTGTGGGCGACAAGGTTGAGCAACTGCGAGACGAACTGCGGTGGATGCAAAGTTTCCTCAAGGATGTAGATGCAAAGCGAGAGAAGAACGAAAGACTTCGCATTTGGGTGTCTCAAATAAGAGAAGTGGCCCTGGATGCTGAAGATGTTGTAGAAACTTACATCGCCGAAGCAGCATCTCACAGTTCATGGAACATAGCTGCAAAGTTAATCAATCTTCACCAGGCAGGAAAGAAGATTGAAAAAATCCGATCTAGGGTCCAAAATATTTCACGCCAAAAAGAACATTTTGGAATCACTGGCACTGCTCAAGAGGGACGTGAAGGGACGAGTGCTTCCCCAAATGTAAGGCTACGATGGTGGAGACAGACATCGCCCAATATTGAGGAAGATGATTTGGTTGATCTTGTAGAAGATACCAAAGCATCGCTAACACAACTGTCTAGCATGGACCCGTGTCGCCGTGTGGTTGCTATTGTGGGCATGGGGGGTTTGGGCAAAACCACTCTTGCAAAAAAGTTGTACAATCATTGTGATATCACAAAACAATTTGATTGCAAAGCATTTGTTTATGTATCTAAAGATTACCGTAGAAGAGACACTCTGCAAAGGATAATTGTAGCTGTAAGTCCTGATTGCAAAATGGAGGATTTGAAGAAAATAGAAGAGGAGGCATTAATATCGAAGTTGCATGAATTGTTGAAGGATAGGAGGTATCTAGTGGTTCTTGATGATATCTGGGAAAAGGAGGTTTGGGATAGCATGCAATCTGCATTTCCGAGTGCAGAGATGGGAAGTAAGGTGATGCTTACCACCCGAAATAAGGAAGTTGCTTTATATGCAGATGCAAGGAGCGAACCCATTGAGCCACGATTTCTCACACAAGATGAAAGCTTGGAACTGTTATGCAAGAAAGCACTCCCGGGAATGGACCACATGCCTAGTGATTTGGAGAAACTCGGTAGAAAGATGATGGCGAAATGTGGTGGTCTTCCACTAGCAGTGGTGGTGCTTGGAGGATTATTGTCCTCAAAAAGGAGGACCGCAGAGGAATGGAGAAGTGTGCTTCAAAACATCACATGGTGGCTGATTGATCAAGATCGTGTTTCTGCAGTTTTAGCTCTAAGCTACAATGATTTGTCTTTCTATTTAAAGTCATGTTTTCTCCATTTGGGTCTTTTTCCTGAGGATTCCTCTATATCGAAAACAAAGATTATACACTTGTGGGCTGTAGAAAGATTCTTACCACAACAAGGAGAAGAAACCGCAGAAGGTGTTGCTGAAAATTGCTTAAATGAGTTGATTAATAGGTGCATGGTTCAAGTGGGAACACTAACCTCACTTGGAAGGGTAAAAACCATTCGCATGCATGATCTTCTCAGAGACTTGTCTATCTCCAAGGGGAAAGAGGAAAGTTTTCTTGAAATTAATAGCGGCCAAGAAATTGAATCGCCAACGTCACAACATACCAAATGTCGAAGGCTTGCAATCCATGGTGAACATGATGATCCGTATGTTTTTCTAAATCCATATGCCCCCTACTTACGCTCCCTTCAATTTTTCAACATAGGGTATTCAAAATTTGGATTTATTTTCAAGGATTTCAAGTTGCTCATGATCCTAGATGGTGTTCCCATGCCATCTCAGGCACTAAGTGCTGTAGGAAACCTAATTCAACTGAGGTATCTAGGAGTATTAATAAGAACAAAGAAGTTTAAAAAAGTCACGCTTCCTCAATCAATTGGAAAACTGAAGAATCTACAGACACTTAAAGTCGATTATCATGTTTCGTTTCATGTACGTTTCGTATGTTGGTCTTGTATCCCCGATGTTATTTGGAAGTTGAAGAATTTGAGACATTTGTTACTCGTCTATGGAGCCGGCGTAATGAATTTTAGATTGAATAATACCTTAAACAATTTAAGGACCCTAACAAATGTAGGGGCTGGAAGATGGATAGAAGATGGTCGTTTAGCCAGGATGACTGGTTTGCGACTACTGAAGATAGTACTACTAGAAAAAGGACATTTAAACTCAGTGCTTTCCAACATCGAGAGATTGCACTGCCTTGAATCCTTGTCACTGGAATTCCTGGTTAACCAAGTATTTCCAACACCCATAAGCCTTTCTCATTTTGAGCATCTCCACAAGCTCCATTTGGATGGGGTGATCAAGAGGCTACCTGAGCCACATGAATTCCCACCGAACCTCATCAAGTTTAGTCTGTTAAATTCCGATCTCGAGGAAGATTCAATAGTTAAACTTCAGTGCTTGCCAAACTTAAAGATGCTTCTCTTGGGATACAATTCATACAACTGGACAAAACTGGTTTGCTACTCGCAAGGGTTTCCTCAGTTGCACATTCTACATTTACTATCTTTAAAGTATTTGGAGGAATTGATAGTGGAAGAAGGGGCAATGATGAAGCTCAAGAATCTTAAGATAAGCCGCTGTCCAAGTTTGCGAAAGATTCCAGAACGATTTAAGTTATTGACTACATACTCTTGAAGGAAGGGGAAGGGGATATATATTGGTTGTATTTTGAGGAGTTACTCGTGTCCTGACCCTGAGGATGTTTTGTTCACTGCTGGCCTTGATGTTTATTTGTTTGCATTGGAGTGAAGAGTTTGGGCTGCGAGCTTCTTCACTGATCTGTCTATTTCCTCCAGTTCTACTAGCCATTTGGGTTCTTGTTGCCTTTTATTTTTCAGGTTGTTTGTTTGGCTTTTCCAAATCAAAGTTTGTTGTTCGTCGAGTGTTAATTTTTGAAAGAAATTCTGTATGCAACTTTTACTTTTTAATTCCCTAATTGAGTTGAGGGTGGGCTTGCTTTGTTTTGCTGTTGTTGTTCCTTTGTTTTTCAAGCTTGCTGTTTGTTTGCTTCAATTGAAGATTGGAGTCTTGATCGAGGGCTGTAGAATGTGCTAAAATATGAATATGGTTTGAATACTTTTGGTTGAATTTTATTCTTCTCCATAAGGAAGTATATATAGAAATTTACATGAGGGCCTTACAAGGAATTAGATACAGTAAGGAATTACGAAAGTATCTCCTAATTGTACAATGATTTATCACTTATATAAAATAAATAAATAAAAAGAGTAAATCCCTTAATCAATCAAGGAAGTAAATCTCCTTGATTAATTAGGAGACTCACGTCAACACTCCTCCTCAAGTTGGTGCATATATGTCACTAATGCCCAACTTGGTAAGTTAGTCATGAAATACTCTTCCACACTCACAACATATGCAATATCTAATCTTGGAGGACATATGAAGAGTAGAACATTTGGTGGTGGTGATAGAAGAAGGAGTTTGGGTAGCCAGGTCAGCAGGATTGACCGCATGCTTCTGTGAGTCTGCAATAAGATGGAGAATCGTATGGGTTCCTGACATCGCAGATATGAGAAGGTGAGGAAGGTGATGTGAGAAATTTGATGTATGAATATGATGTAGGAATTGGATTTAAGAGGTATGTGTATAAGATTTGATGGTATGTGTTTAGGGATTTGGATAAGAGGATTTGAGGATTTTAGATTTGAGGGATTTGGATTTGGGGAAAAAAAATATGAGGAATTTGATTTAGGGTTTTGGATTTGAATATGAGAAATTTGAAGAAATTTGATATAAGGGTTTAGAGACAAAACAACTTCTCTTCACTCCTCTTCTCCCCTTGAAGAGAATGGGTCGTCATAGTCAAGAAATAAGCAACATCTTCATAAGAAAGATAAACATATCTTTTTCACTCCCCCCTCCCCCCTTGAAGAGGAAGGGAGGAGAGCACTTAAATTTCAAGAAGAACGCAAGCACATGTCACAAGAGAACCTGGCTCTGATACCATGCTAAAATATAAATATGGTTTGAATACTTTTGGTTAAATTTTATTCTTCTCCATAAGGAGGTATATATAGGAGTTTACATGAGGGCCTTACAAGGAATTAGATACAGTAAGGAATTAGGAAAGTATCTCCTAATTGTACAATGATTTATCACTTATATAAAAAATAGGAAAATAAATCCCTTAATTAATCAAGGAAGTAAATCTCCTTGATTAATTAGGAGACTCACGTCAACAGAATGATGCTACTTAGTAAGAAGAATTGTTTCTTGCATTTTGTATTTTGTGAGGCCAATATGATGGCTAATAGACTAGCTTGTAATGCTCTTTCTCTCAAGGAAGCGTCAAGATGGTGTAGGGACCCTCATGATATCATACTTGATGTCCTTTTTGAGGACCATATGTAATTGTTTTTATAATACAACAAACTATCGCTTCTCATAAATAAATAAATAAATAAATAAAAGATTATTCTGAGGTCGTATGCCGGTCCATTATAACAGATTTAAATGTAAAATAAAAATCAAATAAGCTTATTTGAAAGACACGCTTGTAGAGCCACTCAACATTGTATTTCATTAATCCAAATGTCTATTTTGTAGATATTCATTCAAATATCATCTCTATAAAAACTCACTTAAATCCGATATCATTTGACCACTTAATTAAATTAGGAAATATGATATCTATAAAATATATATATTACACCGACATGATTCCATCAAATCACTTTAAAATGTTTATAAATTATTCAATTTCAAATAACTAAAAGAGGAAAAATTACATGAAACCAACTAGATTTGATTTGCTTCATTTGGATTCTCACATCTGATCTAACGCCAGATTTGAAATTTAACAATCCAATGCAATATTCAAAATCTTCGAAACAGCTCAAAATTAAATTGGATTGAAATCAATCAATTCGATTAGTTTGAGCAGATTTGACTGGATCTTAAAACACCCCTAAATTTCTTAGGGAAATTGGGCAAAATACTATCCCTTTGCAAACTTATTGGCCAAATACACCCACCCTATAATCATTTATCAAATACTATCTATAAATACTATCTTATTGCCTACTTAATACTTTTTCTCACTTTTTTCCTTTCCCTCTCAGCTCTCTCTCTCTCTCTCTCTCTCTCTCTCTCTCTCTCTCTCTCTCAAAGTTTATTTTCTCTATTGAAGATTCTGTTCACAAACATTTTCTATTAAAGTTTTGGTTAAAAAAATTGAAATTTTCTATTTAAACCCCGCACTTCTCTTTGTTCACCCCAATACTTAAATCATTAAGCTGTAAGTTTTATTATTGTGTAAAAAGACAAAAAAGGTCATCCAACTTAATAATTAACCATAATGCACACACACCCTCACACACCTCACCACTCTTCATATTAAGTTTTAGAAACTTCCTTCCAACTTCCTGTTTACAAACTCTCTCTCTCTCTCTCAACAATACCCAAGTGTTAGAATTTCAGTTACAATTCTTGGAGAGAGGTAAAGTTGTTCTCTTCCTCTAGAAAGTATTAAATTTCAGATTTAGGGTTTCATTTGTTTGTGTTTTTTTTTGCTAGGAACAAAGAAAATTGTGGGGTTTAAATAGAAAATCTCTTTTAGTTCTTATTTTTTCAGTTTGGGGTGTATTTAAGGGTAGTTTGGGAAGATAGTGGGGTTTTCTTAGAAATTGTGAAAATTTAAATTAAAAGTTGGGGTGAACTTAGAACATGAGGTGAACTAAGAGAAGTGTGGGGTTTAAATAGAAAATCTCAAAAAATTTACTTTTAAATTTTGCTACTATTGGTGCAGTTACAGAATTGTTCAACCACTAGATACCAATAGTACAAGCAGAGATATATATCTCTATATTCCTTCCCCAAACTCTTAACAATCCAAAGACAAAAGCATGCAACAATCCAATTACCACCTCACAAACACAACTTTGCTTTGGCCTAAACCCCAGATCGCGGTGGCATGTTTGGTATGAGATATAGAAATTTTATTGCAGTATGCAAGAGGAACTGCAATCACAAATTAAAAAATAATAATTACAGAGATATCAACAAATATTAAGGGAATCATCCCTCTCTGTGCAGGTAAGACTACTCTTTCTCGGCACTAGTTGTGTTTGCAAAAATATAAATTGACTTCAGTTGCTTTGTGTGTTGTGTTTTCTATGTTCCTTTTTTGTTATAATTTTCATTTGTAAAGGAAATAAAAAATTCTATTGGGTTTCCTAGAGAAATGATTTTTAGTATGAGCTGAGGAAACTTGTGATTATTATTTGATTTATTTCCTTTAATGTTTTATTTTGCGGAATCATTGAAGGGCGACAGTATTGCGTGTTGTTTGGTCTTCGAGCTGATGAAGTGAGTGAAGAAAATTTCTATTTCCCCGTTGTTTTCATTAAATCTCCAGTTTCCTTTTTATTTGCTGTTAAGATTTCATGATTTCGACTCTTCAAGCATATTTTGTGTCGACTCTATGGGCATATATTTTTCCCTTTTGTTTCGACTCTTTGGGTAACTTTTGTTTCAACTCAATCAACCACAAAACAGGCAGAGATTTGAGGAGGTAATTAGTTACCTGTGAAGGAATTGTATTCTCCAGTGTAGAGTCGTTGCTAGGAACTTTTAGTAATTTTCCCCTTATTGATAGCATTGAGAAGCATCTTAAAAGATACATAACATGCCCCTTATTTATGGCTTGCATTTACAAGCATTTGTTGACACTTCAAATACGTAGAGTCGTTGCTAGGAACTTTTAGTAATTTTTCCTATATTAGAGAAATGACTCAAGTCAGAATCCCACTGTTGCAGCATCATTCGTAAATGCTTCAAAAGGATTCACTAGAGCTTAAACAATCTATGATTTACTATTCATAAAAGCTTTATAATATATATTTTTTTTTTTTACTACGAAGTCTTAGATGTAGGAAGTGTTACAAAAAGTTTGTAGAATTTTTGTATGTATTTTTCTGTTATTTCATGAATTTATTATGATTTTGAAAGTTAAAATGTGGAAAGTAATAATAAATGAAAGAGATACTTCTTTTTATTTTTATTTTATTTTTTAGGGGTCAAAAGGAATCCATTGAAACAAGGGCAAAAGCCAAAAGAAACATACAGAAATGAGAGAGCCAATCGGCAGCTAGCAAACAAGCAGAAAGCATAAAAGCACAGGAACACAGGATAACAGGGAGCCAAGAAAGCCACCCAGTAGAATCAATGCCACAGCAGGAGACCAACACATGGAGCTGAGACCATCTTTAGAAGAGTCTTCAAATTTTGATTAAATTTGAGCTAAAATAGCTAGAAAGCTATTATAGTAAATTATTTAAAATGTGCTTCTTCCAGCAATGTTCTCTATTTTGGCTAATTTGAAATATTTTATTATTATTTTCTCTTTCTCATTCTCCCTCTTTCTCTTGCAAATCAATTATATTAAAAAGAAAAGTAGAAACTCAACCCCATCAACCTCTCAAATGTCTCTATCTCTCTCCTCCTCTCTAGATGTAGAGAGCCAAAAGTTGGTTCTTCAAAATACAGAGCCATGTAGGGAGTCTGCTGGAAGGAGAATTTTCCTTCTTTTTAGCCAAAGTAGCTAGGGATGAGGGGATATAGTCTGCTGGAGATGCTCTAAGAGATACTGACTTAAAAAATGTCTTTTTGATTTTGTTTAGTTGCTTGTTTTGATGATAACTTTTCCATTTGGTTTATTTTTATTATTAGTGTGGTTGCAACTTGATTAAAAATTGCAGCGTAATTTCTGATTGTTTAAGTTGAATTTTTTAAGCCCAATGATGATTGAATTTTAGGAAAAAGTCTATTTGATTTTGAAGTTATATGTTCTTATGATGACTTTTGCCATTTTGTTGCTTTACAATTTTGTTTGAATAGTTCTCTGAATATGAACACGAGGGAGGTGGGTAGATGCGTTGAAGGGACCCATATGAATATGAATATGAATATGAGGGACCGATAACATTATTGGTACCAAAAAGTCAACAATTCTCTGATTATGAATATGAGGGAGGTGGATAAGGTGAAGCACGGCAACCAACTATTCATATCAACAAAAGCCAGAAAAAAGTAATCTCCATTAATTATTAAGAGCCACCCATTTTATTGTTGGAAAAAGAAACAAAGAGAATCAGACCAGAGAGAAGATGGCTGAGTTTGCAGTTTCGACCGTCGTCGAAAAGCTCACGAGCTGGATCACTGAAGAAGCACTTCTCTTGGAAGGTGTGGGCGACAAGGTTGAGCAACTGCGAGACCAATTGCGGTGGATGCAAAGTTTCCTTATGTAGATGCAAAGCGAGAGAAGAACGAAAGACTTCGCAATTGGGTGTCTCAAATAAGAGAAGTGGCCCTGGATGCTGAACATGTTGTAGAAACTTACATCGCCGAAGCAGCATCTCACAGTTCATTGAACATACCTGCAAAGTTAATCAATCTTCACCAGGTAGGAAAGAAGATTGAAAAAATCCGATCTAGGGTCCAAAATATTTCAAGCCAAAAAGAACATTTTGGAATCACTGGCACTGCTCAAGAGGGACGTGAAGGGACAAGTGCTTCCCCAAATGAAAGGCTACGATGGGGGAGACAGACATCGCCCAATATTGAGGAAGATGATTTGGTTGATCTTGTAGAAGATACCACAGCATTGCTAACACAATTGTCTAGTATGGTGCCACGTCGCCGAGTGGTTTCTATTGTGGGCATGGGGGGTCTGGGCAAAACCACTCTTGCAAAAAAAATTGTACAATCATTGTGATATCACAAAACAATTTGATTGCAAAGCATTTGTTTATGTATCTAATGATTACAGTAGAAGAGACACTCTACAAGGAATAATTGCAGCTACAAGTCCTAATTGCAATATGGAGGATTTGACGAAACTAGCAGAGGAGGAGTTGGTATTGAAGCTGAACGAATTGTTGAAGGAGAGAAGGTATCTAGTGGTTCTTGACGATATCTGGGAAACAGAGGTTTGGGATAGCATTCAATCTGCATTTCCAAGTGGAAAGATGGGAAGTAAGGTGATGCTCACCACTCGAAATAAGGAAGTTGCTTTATATGCAGATGCAATGAGCGAACCCATTGAGCCACGATTTCTCACACAAGATGAAAGCTTGGAACTGTTCCGCAAGAAAGCATTCCCTGGAATGGACCACATGCCTTGTGATTTGGAGAAGCTCGGTAGAGAGATGATGGTGAAATGTGATGGACTTCCACTAGCAGTGATGGTGCTTGGAGGATTATTGTCCATGAAAAGGAAGACCGCAGAGGAATGGAGACGTGTGCTTGAAAACATCGACTGGCACCTACTTGATGCTCAAGATCGTGTTTCTGCTAAGCTACAATGATTTGCCTTTCCACTTAAAATCATGTTTCTCTATTTGGGTCTTTTCCCCAAGGATTCCTCTATATCGAAAAAAAAAGTTGATACACTTGTTGGTTGCAGAAGGATTCTTACCACAACAAGGAGAAAAAGTTGCATAAGGTGTTGCCGAAAATTGCTTAAATGAGTTGGTTGATAGGTGCATGATCCAGGTAGGAACACTAACCTCACTTGGAAGTCTTAAAGCCATTCGCATGCATGGTGTTCTCAGAGACTTCTCTATCTCCAAGGGCAAAGAGGAAAGCTTCCTTGAAATTTATAGTGGGCGGAAAATTGAATCGCCAACATCACAAAAGGCCAAATCTCGAAGGCTTGCAATCCATGGTGAACATGATCTGCAGGTTTTTCTAAATCCGTATGCCCCCTACTTACGTTCCCTTCTATTTTTCAACATAGGGTATTCAGAATGTGGCTTTATTTTCAAGGACTTCAAGTTACTCAGGGTTCTAGATGGTGTTCCCATGCCATCTCGAGCACTAAGTGCTGTAGGAAACCTAATTCAACTAAGGTATCTAGGAGTATTAATGAGAACGGATATGGAGAAAATCGAGCTTACTCGATCAATTGGAAAACTGAAGAATCTATAGACACTTAAAGTAGAAAATTATGACAAGTATTGTGTACGTAACGTATATTGGTATTGTATCCCCAATGTTATTTGGAAGTTGAAGAATTTGAGACATTTTCTCCTCATCCATGGAGCTCGCGCAATGATTAGATTGGATACCTTAAACAATTTAAGGACTCTAAAAAATGTACATAGTGGAAGAGGGATGGAAGATGGTGGTCTGGCCAGCATGACTAATTTGCGACGACTGAAGATGGTAGTATTAGCGAAAGAACATTTAAACTCAGCGGTTTCCAACATAGAAAGATTGCATTGCCTTGAAACTTGAATCCTCGTCGCTGGAATTCGCAGGATCATTTCCAACAACAATTTCTCATTTGGAGCATCTCCACAAGCTCAATTTGGATGGGAAAATAAAGAAGCTACCTGATCCACAACAATTCCCACCAAACCTCGTCAAGCTAACTCTGAGGTCTTCCTATCTCGAGGAAGATTCAATAGTTAGGCTTGGTAGGTTGCCAAACCTAAAGATGCTTCTCTTGGGATCCGATTCATACAAGTGGACAAAACTGGTTTGCTCCTCCTCGGAAGGGTTTCCTCAGTTGCACATTCTACATTTACAATCTTTACTGTCTTTGGAGGAATTGATAGTGGAAGAAGGGGCAATGATGAAGCTCAAGAACCTAAAGATAGACTGCTGTCCAAGATTGCGAAAGATTCCAGAACGATTTAAGTTATTGACTACATACTCTTGAAGGAAGGGGATATATGTTGGTTGAATTTTGGGGAAAATATTGCTAGCCTAGATGTTTATTTGCTTGCATTGGAGTGAAGAGTTTGGGCAGTGAGCTTGTTCGTTGGTCTGTCTAATTTCCTCCAGTCCTAGCTATTAATTTAGGTTCTGCTTTTTGTTTTGCAGGTTGTTTGTTTGGCTAGAAGTTGTTCGGTTTTAATTTCAGAAAATCGAATGACTATATTGTTTTCAGCCATTTTGGGACACGAATGAGTAAGATTTTTTTTATTTTATCTGTTTTGGCCATCACAAGTAACTCGAATTCATGTGGAATTTCATATCCAAAAGACATTTCTTCTAGGTATAACACTAATTTATACTAAATGTTGGTTATAAAATTGTCAAACTTCGTACCAATTGTATTTTCCTATTTGGTTATAAAAATGTTTTGTTTTTTTTAATTATTTTCCCATTTGGTTATTTATTTTGGTTGGTTAGAAGGAAGATGATGAACACTGATTGATCTTATTATAATCCAAGTCCAATATCATATATAAATTTTTTTAATTTTTTAGAGAGAGAGAGAGAAATCAACATTGTTTGACTATTTGAACTAAAATAAAACATTACATTTATAGAATTATCAATTAATATGGTCATGGCGGAACCAGGAATTTTTATGGAGGGGTGCTAAATTTGTATATTTTTTATATTTTATATATATGGAGAGATATAAACAAATGAGAAAAACCCTTTTTTTTTTTTTTTTTTTTTTTTTTTTTCTTTTTTTTTTTTTTTTTGGTGGAGGGAGACCCAAATACACCCAAGTCACTCACACATCGATACCAAAAGAGAGAGAGGCTACAAAGGAAGAACACTTACACAAAAAGTGCGGCAGCAAAAACACCATGGTGCATACGACCCACACTATCTCTTTGCCAAGCCATACCTTATTAAATAGCCAAAGCAAAGACAAATAATGTAACCTAGGAATATTTAGAGGGGTGGGCTATTTTTTCTTTTGTTTTTGGTTGGGATCAATTATAAGCCCTATTTTTAAACATATATATATATATATAAAGCAATATGTCCTTCGGATTAATGAAAGTGGTATATATTTTTTACTAATTCAATATATTTCCTTCAAATTAAAAATTATTTTCAGAATTCATTTAAAATAACCACTATTTTCGGAGAGATATGTGAACAAAGAAACCTACAACAAACAAAGAAAACCTAGAAAAACCAAAATTCAGAGGCTTGGACGAAGAACAATTTGAAGCTCAAGGACTTTGGCTCAGCGGAATGGTTTAGTTAGGTAGGGTCCATATTTCAAAATTTCCAATATAAAAAAAAAGGCAACTTCAATAAATTTGAAAAAACAAAATCAGAAAGACATATAAAACATTATTTGAGCCAAATCAAACGCTGAATAAACCAAAGAAGAGAGAGAGAAAAGAAACTTTAGTAATTGAAGTATTAAAGTATTTGGCTGTAGATGTGGGCTGCTTTCCATAAAAAAGGTAGTGGGTTATTATTTAATATGTTCTGAATTGAGTTTACACAACTAAGCCTAATTTGTCTCTCTCCAAAGTCAATACTGGGCCAGAGTGAGCATGGACGTGCATAGGCACTATCATTGCCTCGAGCCAGCCGAAAGCACCAGACAACAAACTTTCCTTTCATATGCCAATTCCACCTTAATGCATTAAATAATGTCAATAAAAGCCATGACAATTTCCACACTTGTTTCACAGCACTTTCCTTTGTCAGATTGCCCATTTGATTTGCTACATGTTTCCATTTACTTTGTCCAATTGTTAATAAAAAAACTATATTAACATTATTGGTTCTTATCAGAGGCTCCATCCTGTCCTTGGGTAAAAGATGTTTAAACATTATTGGTGCTGAAATTCCACCCAAAAAAAATAATAATAAAAATATTGGTGCTGAAAAGTATAAAAAGTTTTAGGCGGGCATCCACCAAGCAATAACGCTTTGCAAGTTCCTTGAATATGAGGAAGGTAGGTGCATCGAAGGACGCACCAATCACTTCACAGTTAATTTTTCCAAGTGCCTTCAAATTCAATTGTTCCCACTCAAATGAGGAACTTTATCTTTATTTATCCGCTTTGCAAGTTCACCAGGCAATAACGCTTTGCAAGTTCCCCACTGAAAAGTATAAAAAGTTTTAGCTGGGCATCCACCAAGCAATAACGCTTTGTAAGTTCCTTGAAATTCAATTGTTCTCTTCTCACAAAGATGACGAACTTTATATTTATCCCAAGGCAAATTTCACGTTGTGTCAAGGGAATCCAAGGAACTCAGATACCTAGGTGAAGCACAGCAACCAACCATTCATATAAACAGAAGCCAGAAAGAAGGGAAGATGGCTGAGTTTGCAGTTTCGGCTGTCGTCGAAAAGCTCACGAGCTGTATCACTGAAGAAGCACTTCTCTTGGAAGGTGTGGGTGGCAAAGTTGAGCAACTACGAAACGAACTGCGGTGGATGCAAAGTTTCCTCAAGGATACAGATGCAGAGCAGGAGAAAAATGAAAGATTTCACAATTGGGTGTCTCAAATAAGAGAAGTGGCTTTGGATGCCGAAGATGTTATAGCAACTTACATTGCAGAAGCAGCATCTCACAGTTCATGGAACATAGCTGCAAAGTTAATCAATCTTCACCAGGCAGGAAAGAAGATTAGAGAAATCAAATTTACGGTCCAAAACATTTCAAGCCAAAAGAACATTTTGGGATCACTGGCACTGCTCGAGAGGGACGTGAAAGGACAAGTGCTTCCCCAAATGAAAGGCTTCGATGGTGGAGACATACATCGCCCAATATCGAGGAAGATGATTTGGTTGATCTTGTAGAAGATACCAAAGCATTGCTAACACAACTGTCTAGCATGGACCCGCATCGCCGTGTGGTTTCTATTGTGGGCATGGGGGGTCTGGGCAAAACCACTCTTGCAAAAAAATGTACAACCATTGTGATATCACAAAACAATTTGATTGCAAAGCGTTTGTTTATGTATCTAATGATTACAGTAGAAGAGACACTCTACAAGGAATAATTGCAGCTACAATTCCTAATTGCAATATGGAGGATTTGACGAAACTAGCAGAGGAGGCGTTGGTATTGAAGCTGTACGAATTGTTGAAGGAGAGAAGGTATCTAGTGGTTCTTGATGATATCTGGCAAAAGAGGTCTGGGATAGCATGCAATCTGCATTTCCAAGGGGAAAGATGGGAAGTAAGGTGATGCTCACCACCCGAAATAAGGAAGTTGCTTTATATGCAGATCCAATGAACGAACCCATTGAGCCGCGATTCTAACACAAGAACAAAGCCTTTTACTGCTTCGCACAAAAGCATTCCCGGGAATGAATGAATGCCTCCTGATTTGGAGAATCTTGGAAGACAGATGATGGCGAAATGCGGTGGTCTGCCACTAGCAGTGGTAGTGCTGGGAGGATTATTGTCCACAAAAAGGAAGACCGTAGAGGAATGGAGACGCGTGCTTCAAAGCATCGACTCACGCCTGATTGATCAAGATCGTCTTTCTGCAGTTTTAGCTCTAAGCTATAATGATTTGCCTTTCCCCTTAAAATCGTGTTTTCTGTATTTGGGTATTTTCCCTGAGGATTCCTCTATATCGAAAACAAAGTTGATACAATTGTGGGTTGCAGAAGGATTCTTACTACAACAAGGAGAAGAAGCCGCGGAAGGTGTTACCGAATGCTTAAACAAGTTGGTTGATAGGTGCATGATCCAGGTAGGAACACTAACCTCACTTGGAAGTCTTAAAGCCGTTCACATGCATGATGTTCTCAGAGACTTCTCTATCTCCAAGGGCAGAGAGGAAAGTTTCTTGAAATTTATAGTGGGCAGAAATTGAATCGCCAACATCACAACGGACCAAATGTCGAAGGCTTGCAATCCATGGTGACCATCATGATTTGTATGTTTTTCTAAAGTCGTATGCCTCCTGCTTACGCTCTCTTCAATTTTTCAACATAAGGTATTCAAAACTCGACTTTGTTTTCAAGGATTTCAAGTTGCTCAAGGTCCTAGATGGTGTTCCCTTTCCATCGCGAGCACTAAGTGCTGTAGGAAACCTAATTCAACTGAGGTATCTAGGAGTCGTATTAATGAGATCTCATATGCGGCAACTTCAAGTCAAGCTTCCTCGATCAATTGGAAAACTGAAGAATCTACAAACACTTAAAGTAGAAACTTCCGATGCAGACCTCCGATGGTGTTATTTTCCCGATGTTATTTGGAAGTTGAAGAATTTGAGACATTTACTGCTCGGGCAAGTCATAATAATGAATTTTAGATTGAACACCATAAACAATTTAACTAATTTGCGACGACTGCAAATAGCACTATTATCGCAGCCAGAACATTTAAAGTCAGTGGTTTCCAACATAGAGAGATTGCACTGCCTTGAATCCTTGTCTCTGGATTTCAATCTGTCCAATTCAACATTGCCAAGAGCCATAAGCCTTTCTCATTTGGAGCATCTCTGCAAGCTCCATTTGGAAGGGGAAATAAAAAAGCTACCTGATCCACACCAATTCCCACCGAACCTCATCAAGCTAAGTCTTTTTAATTCTGATCTCGAGGAAGATTCAATAGTTAAGCTTGGGAGCTTGCCAAACCTAAAGATGCTTCTCTTGGGATTGAACTCATGGAACTGGACAAAACTGGTTTGCTCCTCCTCAGAAGGGTTTCCTCAATTGCACATTCTACATTTACAATGTTTATGGTTTTTAGAGGAATTGATAGTGGAAGAAGGGGCAATGATGAAGCTCAAGAATCTAAAGATAAGCCACTGTCGAGGATTGCGAAAGATTCCAGAACGATTTAAGTTATTGACTACATACTCTTGAAGGAAGGGGATTTATATTGACTGGTCTGTCTATATCTATTTCTTTAGATTTCTCCTTTTTCGCTGTTCTGTTTATTCCCTCCAGTTCTACTACTATTTGGGTTATTTTGCAGGTTTTTTGTATGGATTTTACTAATAAAGTTTGTTGTTCGTCAAGTGTTAATTTCTGAAAGAAAATACTATGTAATTGAGTTGAGGGCGGGTTTGCTTTGTTTTGCTGTTGTTTTCTTTTGTTTTTCAAGCTTGCTGTTTGATTGCTTGAGTTGAGGATTATTCTGAGGTTGTATGCATGCCAATCCATTATAATATATTCGCAACATAATTCTCCATCAAATCACTTAAAATGTTCATAATTCAAATTACTAAAAAAGAGGAAAAATTGCATGAACCCAATTATATGTTTGATTTGATTCAATGGGGTTAATAGCATGCATTTTCTGGATACATTCCATGCCACAATATCTTAAAACTCTAAAAGTAATTGTAAAAAGTGTCCTTTCCTTTTTGAACCTCTTTTATCTAATGAGGAGAAAATTTAGTCACAAATGAGTATGTGAACACACCTGGATCTATCAAGAGAAACTATTATCTTTCTTCATTTAGTTGTTTACAAAATAAAAATTTGCACCACAGAGATTGTATTAAAAGCTATATCTGTATCCAACCATATACCTTGGCACGAAAACTCTCATCCAATAAGATGTTGCGACTTAATATCTCTATGGCACAGAGGAGGATCACAATAGAAATGGAGATACTCCTGCAGTTCAGAACAGCAAATTAGGAAGAAAATCTATTTTTTCAGTGTGTGTGTTTGTGTAACTGATTGTGAACAAATCTGAAATCTCATGAACAAAACAAGCCAGTAACAAGATAAGCATAAACCATGAGTTTACCGGAGCATTAGCCACGTAAATGGCAATTTGGACTCTAGTCCGCCAAGTTAGAGGAGTTCTATTTGAAGCTGCATACACGTGAGTAAACATATTCAGAATAGTTCTATTTGAAGCTGAGGAGTTCTTTAAATTTCTCCTTGTCCGCTGGTCTGTCTATTTCCTCCAGTTCTACTTGCTATTTGGGTTATTTTGCAGGTTGTTTGTTTGGCTTTTCCTAATAAAAGTTTGTTGTTCGTCGAGTGTTAATTTCTGGAAGAAATACTATGTGATTGAGTTGAGGGTGGGTTTGCTTTGTTTTGCTGTTGTTTTTCTTTTGTTTTTCAAGCTTTCTGTTTGATTGCTTGAGTTGAGGATTATTCAAATGAGGCCGTATGTATGCCGGTCCATTATAATATGTTACATCGACATAATTCTCCATCAATTCACTTAAAAATGTTCATAATTTATTCAATTTCAAATTACTAAAAGAGGAAAAATTGCATGAAACCAACTATGTTTGATTTGATTCAATCGGGTTCTCACATCCGATTCAATGCCAGATTTGAAATTTAGCAATCCAATGCAATACGCAAAATCATCGATTCGATTTGTTTGAGCGGATTGGACTAGATCTTGAACACCCCTAAATGCAGGCTTATTTCTGATGCAAGCCTCAGTCATCTAATTTTGACATTTGCATTTTTATCACCAAGGACAACCATTTTGTAAAGAGAAGACCACTATATTCATTTCAGCCCTTTTGGGGCACTGATGAGTAAGATTGCTTTTTATCTGTTTTGGCCACCACAAGTAACTCGAATTCATGTGGAGTTACATATCCAAAAGACACTTCGAGGTATAACACTAATTTATACTAAATGTTGGTTATAAAATTGTTAAACTTCATACCCATAGTACAAGCAAAGATATATATATATCTATGTTTCTCTTCCCCAAAACTCTTAACACAAAAGGATGCAACATTACCATCCTCACATTTTCTTTGGCCTTTGGCCTATGCTGGGAAACACCTTGAAGTTGTTTAATGTGCTTCTCAAAAGGTTGAGCTAAAGAAATACTCTACGTACCTCGAATCTCGCAACAGGCCAGCAATCTGATTCAGTGGTTTCAAAAATGATCAAGTGCTACCAGCCCTTTCTAATTGGTGATAATGGCTAAATGAATGCCTCAAACGGATGGAATATTTGGAGGGGATTGTGGGGAACCATTTTCTAGCAAGAAGCTTCTACTACAGTAGGACCTGGATGTACTTGAAGAAGAAGCAAGATATCTTCCATCCCCACTGTGAAAAATCATGTCATTCCTATGCATCTTCCCTTTACTATTCCTTCCCCGTCCTTCAGTCTCTTCGTACTCTTCATCGTCCACAGCTGCTAGAAATCCACTATACATTGGATCTGAACTCTCATACAAAAGCCTGAGCACCTGTTTAATTGAAGGCCTATCCCGGCCTTCTTTCTGGGTGCACCATCTCACAACAGACATGATAGTCTGAAGCTGATCCAGATCAACTGAATCCCGTATACTGGGATCCACTAGATCAGGTAGCCTTAACTCTGATGCCATGTATTTTTGCGACCATTCTACCAAATTCCTGTTGTCTTGTATGGCTCGTCTCGCAGTCACTATCTCCAACAGTAGCACACCATAGCTGTATACATCACTTTTCTCCGTCAGCTCTTGGGTAACCACATACTCAGGATCCATATAACCTGAAGTCATCCGTTCAATATTCTTAAGTTCTTTAGCAAGAAAAAATATATCTTTTTTATTTCAGGCTATTAAACAAGCTTGACTCTAACCTGGAGTGCCCCGGATATCCGTGTTTACCGCTTCAAAGCAAATAGAACCATCTTTTGAAGCATGCGCAAGGCCAAAATCTGCAACCTGGAACAAAAAGGAGAGAGATTTATTTCAAAGAATTTAAAAGGGGTTATTAGCATGCATTTTCTGGATACATTCCATGCCATAATATCTTAAAACTCTAAAAGTAATTGTAAAAAGTGTCCTTTCCTTTTTGAACCTCTTTTATTTAAAGAGGAGAAAATTTAGTCACAAATGAGTATGTGAACACACCTGGATCTATCAAGAGAAAAACTATTATCTTTCTTCATTTAGTTGTTTATACAATAAAAATAAAAAATAAAAATTTGCACCAAAGAGATTGTATTAAAAGCTGTATCTGTATCCAACCATATACCTTGGCACGAAAACTCTCATCCAATAAGATGTTGCTGGACTTAATATCTCTATGGCACAGAGGAGGATCACAATAGAAATGGAGATACTCCTGCAGTTCAGAACAGCAAATTAGGAAGAAAATCTATTCTTTCAGTGTGTGTGTTTGTGTAACTGATTGTGAACAAATCTGAAATCTCATGAACAAAACAAGCCAGTAACAAGATAAGCATAAACCATGAGTTTACCAGAGCATTAGCCACATCAATGGCAATTTGGACTCTAGTCCGCCAAGTTAGAGGAGTTCTATTTGAAGCTGGATACACGTGAGTAAACATATTCAGAATGGATCAATGGCCTTAAAAAGAATGTTGGTTTGGAAACAAAATAAGAGAATGATTTTATGTCATCTTCCATAGCTTTTGGATGCCTGAATATATCATTCAGAAAGGTGACAACCACCGTATTAAGTGGGATTCCACCAAGAGACAGACAGACAGACAGACAGAGACAGAGACAGACAGACAGAAACAGAGAGGCACCAAAAGATAAAACAATGGACTTCAAATGCGATGAAAAACACCATAAAATCATCCCTTTCCATAAATTGGTTTTACAAAACCATTCTCAAAGCAAGTGAATTCAGGAGATGGAGTAGCATACAGTGAAGATGATCCTTCAAGCTACCATTTGCCATGTATTCATACATGAGAAACCTGCCAAGAAACACATAAAGCATTTGGGCAGGTACATAAGCTCCACAAACATACACAAATCTACATAAATCATCTACCTCTCATGTTTCTCACTGCAAAAACCCCTTAGAGAAACAAGATGACGATGATGCAATCTGGCAAGGAGCACTATCTCTCTGCAGAACTCATGCTCCCCCTGCTCTGAAACTTTGTTCATCCGCTTCACTGCTGCCACTAAACCATCACTAAAGTGAGCTTTGTACACAGTTCCAAATCCCCCTCGTCCAATGATCGTGTTGAAGGTTTCCGTCGCCTTCTTTATTTCCTTGTAGCTGAATTTTCGGAACATAGATGGAGCACCTGCACTTATTTCCCATCCCAGAGAGGAACCCCAACAAAAAAATTTCAATAAGGAATACCGGTCACTGTGAAAGCAGATTAACAGGGAAAAAAAACTAGAATTGTACCTTCCTGAAATTTCCTCATAGGAGGAGTTGAGGGAAAGGATTTTGATGATTTTTATCTATATTCTCAGAATCCAGAAGCTCTCTACTTTTCCTTCGAATGAGAACTATCAAGACTAAAAGCATCATTACAGCGACAGCTGTTACTGCAATCCCAATACCTGGAACCATTGTCAAGTGGTAGGAATGATGTTTTTCATTTAGGGGAAGACCCAACGAGTGTTGGCTTGGGCTAGAAGCAACCAAAGGGCTCGGAGAAGCCTTTGGGGTGGATGATGAGGATGGCTCTGAAACTAGAAACACAATTGTAAGCAAAAAAATAAAAGAATCCTTAACTGTTTGGATTAATATATATATATATATAGAGAGAGAGAGAGAGAGAGAGACCAAGAACCCCATTTATAAAACATGCCAACACATAATTACCATGAATAATAAGTTAAATCCATATCTTCAGCTTTTAACATTACAAGGATAACTTTCATAACAAAAATGTATTGTACATTTTACTGGACTATGTGATTGAAAAAACAAACAAGGATCACTGCTGCAATATGTTTCAAGAAAAATGATGTACTGGCATAGATATCCTCATCAAAAGCTTGCCATAGAAACATTTCAAAATACATTAAAGTTGTTCCCAACACCAACCTTTCCACGACAAAAATAAATAATTAAATGACAAAGGCAATAGTTGAAGGACCAAGTTCATTTGAAGGGGCTTCTCAACAAAACTGGATCCAAAAATTCATTCATCATTCCAGTTTACCAATATTTGTCACATACTCTTACAAGATAAAATTTCATTCTCTGCCAGAACTATCCATACCTGGTAGGATGTTAAGCCCCTGGACTTGAAAGAAACAGCTTGCAATGCCAATAGCTGAAGCATCATCAACTTGACTAGCCAGTGCAGCAAAAGTTGCGTCCCGGCAGGTACTCAATGTTATATTATCTTCTGTTCCTAATAGACGATGAAGATAAACAATGCCAGCATTTAAACACTTCTTGCAAGTACTTTCCTCCGAAAGTGGTACTTTGCAATTTTCCATGACATCAATGAATTTTGGAGACCGCAGCATCTGTGTGACAGTTGTTCGGCCCTTACACTCATAATTTACTGGAATTTTTGTCCCAAACCCACAGAAAGCTGTTGCATTTCGGGGAACTCCATACAGTTCTAAGGTTTGTGATATAGAATGGAGGCATATGTCAGATAAATTTGAAGGAACCCCTAAGTTGCTTGTTGAATTTGCATACTGAGCAATAGAAACAGCAATGAAAGCATTTATATAGCGGCAACACTTTCCTCTGTCATCGTTATTAGAGCACAAGGAAGCGGCCAGAGTAATGTTTGATCCACTCAACTTTAAGGGGCACTCTGCAAAAGTAGATATTATGGGCAACATGAGATGGCTTTTTCTTCCCATTTTTGGGGTATCAATTATGGAAACCATATTTCATTGAAAAACAGCTGCAACATGGGACATCAGACTGTTTAAACAGTACAGAAAAATACTAATAATCTTTACAATTGGATTTAAAAGTTTGTATCAAGGCAAACATATCACAGCCTTGGAAAGGAGATATAAGATTCTGCAAAGAAAATAAGTACGTAGATAACCCATATCTTGCAGCTTTTCAGACTTCTTCATGCAGGGTCCAGCACATCTGAGTCTTGGATCTCAAAACTTGTGTTGTACATAAGTAAAGAATAAGAACAATTTAAGGAAGAAAAGAAAAATAGCGTCCTATTTGAGATATAGAATAAGCACATTTGTCACTTACAGAAAAGATTATGACTCAGCAGTGCACTTTATTCATGAATGAAGATGCATTTTCTTGGATTATCCTAAAAAGTTTGAAGTGCTATTGTGATAATGACTGCAAACCAAGACAGATTACAAATACGTTATCTTTCACGTATACCAGTATATGCAGTACCAGACACGAGATAGATCTTCCAAAGAACAAGGCAACTCCTTATTTACGTGGGAGCTATAAAAGTTTTAATCATATTTGCTGTGATGCATTGATGCAATGCTCTATCTTGCACACCGTATTGGTATAGGATACAATGTCAAGCAAGCACAAGTGACTCATTATAAGGTCAGCAACCTTTTCTTATATAGCTTCTATGAAAGATAAGAATAAGATACTTATGCGAGGCAACAATAATACTAAAAAAGGTGGAATACACTAGAACACAGAGAGATTTCTGAAACTACAAAAACCCAGTTGCAGTGTAACTACTTTGGCTATAAACTCCTAAGCAAAACCAATAATGTGCGAAAGAACACTTCTGAAATGCCCATTAAAAATGCAAAAGTGAGCTTGTAGCCAAATTGAGCTCAAAATTGAAAAACACGACCATGCCAATAACATCTATCCACCTAGAGCACCTCCACCAAATGAATGAGTTCGTAAAATCCCAAAATCTCCCAGAAAATGATACACATTGTAAGTGCCCCCATTAAAAATCACAGCACATTAATTTTTTCGTTAAAAGGGAAAGAAAAAATACAGACTCACGGGTGCCTTAAAATTTTAAAAAAATGTCAAGGACTTGAAATTTTCTATAGGACCCATCTCCTATAAACCCAAAATGGGGTCTCTGGAAGTGAAAGCGCCCAAAACATGAAATGCAATAAGAAGGAAAACGAAAACAACAACAATACGAATAACTAAATACAATTGCAGCCTCTTCAGTCACTCTCAAAACAGAACAAAGCAAAGCAAAACGAAAGAACAACAACCAAAGCAGAGCTTTATGAGAAACAAGAAAATGACCCAGAAATATTTACTCACCTGCCATTATTAGAGGGAGAAGCTGCGTTCCAAGAAATACAAGAAAACCCAGAAGAAATCCTTGTCCGTACACTGCCATGGTCGAGACCAAGAGGGAAAGTTCCACTCACCAAGAGAGAGAGCAAAGAGAAGTGGGGTAAGAAACAACGAGCCAGTATGTTAACACATTTGGGAACCATAAAAACGAAGGCTTGTGACTCTGAGAATGTGTGTGTGCGTGTGAGAGTGAGAGTGAGAGAGAATGAGAGAGGGTTTTGACTGTGGGAGTTGACTGGAATGGGCCCACCACCATCTCCTTTGAGAATGTGTGGTAAATTTTAGAGTTCTTATTCTTTGTCAAATTTAATAGGTAGCTGTGGGGCCCAGTTTCCCAGTATTGTACCGGGGAGGATCACATTTCATTGGTTTTCTGGGAACACAAAAAACCCAGTTACGTTCTTGTTTTTGTTTTTCTATTTCCACTGTGCTGTTCAAAGTTTTGGCTTTCTCGAGTGGTATCAGTTGCATGTGCATATAGAGTCATATGGAAATGGAGTTCAGTGGTAGGTCCAAAATTGGGTTTTTATTCCTTTTTAGTTACAAAAGAGTCTGAGAGGGTGACTCAAAACTGTTCTTACATTCGGATGTTAATCTTCTGGTTTCCTGCGCCATGCGATTATAGGCCGGTCGACCATTCTATTGCTATTTTTTAGACTCTTTCTTTTCTATTTCTTTTTTTTTTTTTTTTTTTTTTTTTTTTTTATTTTTTTATTTAAATAATGTATGCTTGTTTACTTAGGATGTAGAATCACCATACGAGCTTCGATTTTGGATTTTAAACAAGAACATGTGCCGATTAACCGAAAATTACACTATGGTGATTGAGTCTGCATTAAAAAATCGGATGTTTAACACCCATATAAGAAAATGATTGTACGCTTGCTCATAAACTTGTATATGTTAGCATGTCTTGTTTTCTCGCTAAGGATAATCGTCAGCTTGTTCAAGCTTCTCTTTGTTTTCTCGATAAAGAGAGATTCTCTTTTATTTTTTTTGTTTGAAAGAGTACAAGAGTTTCTCATACATACTACTAAGCTGTCATGAGCGTTCAAACCTAGGAACATCGATATACAAGTTAAGATTATTTTTCACTAGACTACCCATTGACAACATGGAGTAGAGGTATCAAAGAAGTTTGTACACAGCATGCGTATGCAAAAACTGGTGAGTTGAGGGGGGGGAAGGTAAAATATTATATGTTAGACAAGAATTGACATAATTAAATAGGATTAATCTTTGGTACAATAAATTTTTGATTGCGCATATTGCTCTCCAATTAAGTGGACCCCTTACATTCCCTGGAAATCCATCCCGTGTTGAAGTGTCCAATCATCTCATCCTAGTGATAGCATGTGAGGACCATGGACTTCATTAACGAAGGTTCATGTGAGACCCACAATTTAATTGTTTTTTTGTTATTTTTAATGTTTATAATTTTGTTCTTTTTGATCAGTTTGTTCTAAAAAGCAAAATGGTTGGCACCCTTGTGATGAACGATGATGATGATGTTATCCGTATTGTGTTTGTCTGTCTTTGCCACAAAAACAATGCATGACAATGATGTAATGGTGTGTACCAGCTTTGTTTTGTTGGAGCATGTAAATTAATAGTTGCTGTAAATATAACTCAGATTTTTTTTAGGTCAAAAATAAATGGAAGTGCAATAGTGGTTGTGTCTGCAGCACCACATTGGTGGGTTTAGGCCCAACCCTTTATTTTTATTTTTATTTTTGAAATAATTTATATGCAATGTCAGCCCAATACTTTATAACCCCATATTTATCAATCCATGGAATGGAATAGTTTGGATTATTAGTTAAGCGAAATTTTATAGTGAGGGTGTCGTATATAGATGTCTCATGTGAATTTTTATATTAGTCACAAGATCATTTTGTTAAATTTAAGTGAAGTTACTATTCAGAAAAATCATGTGGCTAATATGAAGATCCACATTTATAATCCATATATGACACACTCACCATAGAACGACTCGTTTAATTAAAGGGCAAATTTCCTAATTTCAATATACTTTTTTATTTATTTAAGAAAACCCCTTATTACCAATATACACAAATTAAACCACAACATAAACATACATCAATTTGTGCATATTTTTAGAGTTACCTTAACTAAAACATCGCCACTCTCATTCACAATGGTAAATTCACATCAGGTGGACAGGAAAGGACAAAGTTGCATGGACTTGAACTATCTCATGTATGTGATAAGAGAATGTTATAAATGCGCTATTATTCATTCATATTTCTTCACTCACTTTATTTCATACATTTCAACAACAACAAAAGTATTCTTTCAACCCATTATTTCCAACCCATATCCATTCTCCTTCATATTTTTTTATTTTTTTGGATAGATTTCCTCCTCCAACTTCACCTTCTCCTTCATAATCATATAATAATACGTATTACAAGCATTGCCTTTTTTGGAACGTCAGTCAAGTTTGTAACTTACAAGTCTTGTACTACATAATGCAGTTTCAGTGGGATTGGTCACATTCATTTCACGAGAGAAGGAAGCTGCTTCAAGCAAACAAAAGAAAAAAAAACAAATCAAAGACAAAACAGAATTTGCTTTCTTTCTTGCTCAGAACTTACCTTTTCCTATATATATATATATTTTTTAAAAGGTTTCGGAAAAGGAGGGAAACAAAGCATGCATGTTATCAAAATCAAACAATCCGAAATCCGAAAGCAAAGCATTTTATTGCACTTTTGGGAGGTCCAACTAATTGTCAAGTAAATCCAGCCCAACTAATTTTAAATTCCTAGATTCGAATCTCATAATAATTATATATTTGAAGACGTTTATGATTAAGTTTTCAAATAACTCAAAATTGCGTTTATTTACGAAAAATATTTCAAAACACAACTTTTCTTTTTCTTTTTCGAATCTTTCATATTAAGAGAGGCGATAACATAAACATACTAAATTTACGCATACTATACAAATGCTAGAACTCGAACCCTAGACCTTTCCTGAAGGAGCAATTGCTTCAAATCACTATACTAGTAGGTCATTTGCAACTTCATTTTCAATGAACATATACGTAAAACAATTGTTTTCTTCTTCTTTCTAATGAGGCAGGTCAAGAGGCTGCTGACCTTAAATACAATGGGACTATAGTCTAAAGCAGACAAATCAATAGAAAAGTTACAAGTGACCAGAGAAGAAATTTTAAGTGATTATTTTTCTTAGTCCTCCTAATGATGAACCCACTTAAAAATGCTTGACGTTTACGTTAAAGCACCATTTTCATTTAGCAATCTTATTAATCTTCTTTTTTCATAATTAAAAAAAAAAGTTTAAAATGCAACCACCCATTTAAATAGGCCTTTATCCACACAAAAGAGGAGAATTTGAATTAAAACAAGCAAATAAATGGCAATGGCCCATCTTACTCTATATATATATATATATATATATATATATATATATAAACATCAGAACAACACACAACATGCATTTCATGTAGGAGATGAAAGAGAAGAAGAATTCTAGTGTGGGGCCTCTCCAACTTTACTTCCATAAAATACACGTGTCTGATATTCCAACTAGGTTTTGGTCTTAAAAGACTTCGTTGTATAAACATTGATGGTGATTTAAAAGGAGTCCTGAACAATTTCTATTTCTTTGCTTAAACAGAGGGCACCCTTTTTCTTCTCGGTTTTTTGAGAATTGCCCTGCATCTGTAGATTGTGTGCAAGTAAAGCTCCATAGCCAACACCTCAATGGAGCTTGTAATTAACTTCTTCTTCTTCTTCTCCATCACCTGTTTTTTTCCTTCCCTACCCTCTGTCTCTTTTTTTTTTTTTTTTTTTTTTTTTTTTTTTTTTTTCGTTATCATTGCAACTCTGTTGGCTACCATTTCTCTCCTTGATCTTTCTTCAGCCCGCAAGGTTTCAACTTTTTAATTAATTTCTCCTTTCTCTTTAATTCAAAACTGAAAACCCATTTCATTTCTTGTTAATTTATAAGCATTTGCTCAACTTAAAATCGACACCGACCATTTTTGACTCTGTTTGTTCTGTTTCCTCTGTTTTCTGCAATTTCCAGGAGGGGCAGAAATGCATCAAGAACAGCGACTGTGACTCGGGCTTGCACTGCGAGACATGCCTTGCAGACGGCAACGTCTTGCCAAAATGCACCAGAACCCAACCCATAAACCCCATTTCTCAGGTACCCAATTTGTTTGATTTTTTCAGTTCATTTTCAGCTTTAGTCTGTCTGCAACTGTTTGATGTGGTTGTGCATTTATACATGAACAGGTCAAAACGCTGCCGTTTAATAGGTATTCATGGTTGACAACCCACAATTCGTTTGCGAGGTTAGGCGAAAAATCGGCGACTGGCTCTTTAATTGTTGCTCCTACTAATCAGCAAGACTCCATTACCGATCAGCTTAATGTATGTCTCTTTCTATCTTCTATATTTTATGCATATATAAATTATAATATATTCATTTGTTTTCTAATTTCGTGGAATCTATAACGAACTTCTTGTTTGATTCTGGAGAAACTTTGAAGAAAATCATTGAAGAAATGCGTGTGTTTTGTGTTTCTTGTGTTCTTTTTTCTTTTATTTGACCGAGGAGAATAAATAATTTTTTATTAAAAAAAAAAACACAGAGGCCTAGAATTCAAGGCCACGCGGTTGAGGGGTGAGGCCCTGTCACTTATCGCATTGATGACATTCAATAGATTCCTAACCTGAAATAGGACCACACCATGCTTTAATATAAAAGGTTTTTTAGGTTTTAGACATAAAAAAAATTTCACTTTTGGAAAAAGCCAAAGCTTTTTCAAAAAAGACAAAAAAACCGCTCAACTTTCAAATCAAAGACATGCAAATGTATTGGATTCCTTAGGAAATCTAAAAAATAAATAAGGGCATTTTTGTCCATTTTTGCTTCATTTAAAATTTTTCTCTCTCCTTTTGCTTTTTCTAAAATGTCCCTTTAATAAATGAGGAAGTGTGAATAGGCTAGCCGAGTGGAAAATTGTCTTTTAACTTGTAAATCAATTGTCTCGTATTCGAACTCTTATAATACTTTTGTAATGTGAGAAACCTCATTTATTTTCTTTGTAGTTTATGGCTATGGATTAAAAAAAAAAAAAAAAAAAAAAAAAAAAAAAAAGAAAGGAAGGGAGTTGAAAGTGGGTTTTTTGTTTATATGCTTTTTTTTTTTTTTTTTTTTTTTTTTTTTTTTTTCTGAATTTTTGTGCATAACAATATCATTTGGGTTATTGAAATTAGCAACTTAGCAAAATATTGAGGTTTGGCTAGTTGAATTAGCATGAAAAATGATGGTTCAATTCAAGGTTCATATGGGCTCCAATAAGTAATAATGGACACTCTTGCATGTAGGTTCTCACGCTAGATTTTGATGTGAAAATTTGAAATTCCCAATTCAGGTAGTCTTGGTTGGCTGTTGTGTGACCTATTTGTTGTATGCAAAAATAGGACTTTACATTGCATAAGCACTTTAGAATGAGGTCAAAAAGCGCTTCTTAATTTAGAAGGAAGAAAAGTGTGTAATACTACGAGTCTTGGCTTGCCCGGCACGAATATCCATCAATTGTGCTTGTAGAACCGTAGGAGGGGGCAAGTGCTAGACTTTTTACCCACCATTATTATGGAATTAGGTGTATTTTGACTGATAATTTCCTCTTCCTCTATTTTTTAATTGGGGAAGAAGAGAATAAGCATCCACCCAAAAGTAAGATATATACATATATTTTGATGATGATGATGATGATGACGACCACAACTACTTCCAACATACACCCAGTCATGCTTGCTTTATAATATAAGCATCACTCTACCAAAATAGCGAAAATATTGACCCGCATAGATGGAAGTTTTATACAGATAGTGGAAAAAAACAAAAAAAAATGATATTTTTCAAAATATTATTATGATAATTTTTCAAAATGATAAAAATAAAAATATTGATTTCGTGCATTATTTGTTTTCATGAATTTTATATGCTAACAAAATTGTATCATCTTGCAGAATGGTGTTAGAGGGTTAATGCTCGATATGTATGACTTTCAGAATGATATTTGGTTATGTCACTCGTTCGGGGGCAACTGCTACAACTCTACATCTTTTGTAAGTATAGATGTGAAATAATGAGTTGTTGCCGATAATTTTTAATTAAAATGTCACTTAGCGTCCTAATATCTATAATTACTGGTTTAGATTATATTAAAGTAGAATGTCGTTTGTATAAAAAAAAATTACTGGTTTTCATTATGTCGATTAAGTGATGAACTAATGAAAATCTTAAGTTGATGAAGTTTAATTGAGTACCACATAAATGGGAAGCTTGGTTTCTGTGACAGTAACACGATAGGTGGTTATGACTCAAACCGTCATTAAATTTACTTTTAAAGATGATATTTTCTAAAATTAACTAAATTGAATCATTTCTGTTTATATTTAAATAGTAGTACTAATTAATCTACAATCTGATTTACTAGCAACCTGCCATCAATGTTCTCAAAGAAATTCAAGCATTTCTTCAAGCAAACCCATCAGAGATTGTGACCATCATCATTGAAGACTACGTTACATCACCAAAGGGCTTGACCAAGGTGTTTGATGCTGCTGGCTTGAGAAAGTTCTGGTTCCCAGTGTCAAGAATGCCCAAAAATGGCGGAAATTGGCCAACTGTTGCTGATATGATCCAGAAAAATCAGCGTCTGGTGGTTTTCACTTCGAAACGAGCAAAGGAGGCCAGTGAAGGGATTGCCTACGAGTGGAACTACGTGGTAGAAAACCAATGTGAGTCCTAATTTCGATTTTGAACATGCTATTTTTCACGGTGATATTGTGTTTATGTCCAAAACTACGTCGCTTAATTTGAAACTTGATTCAGATGGAAAAGGTGGCATGATTGCCGGGTCGTGTCCAAATCGCGCAGAATCATCTCCCATGAACACAACAACAAAATCATTAGTCCTAGTAAATTATTTTCGAGATGTTCCAGACTTAGTCGAAGCTTGTAAAGATAATTCAGACTCATTGCTTCGCATGGTCAATACATGTTCTGATGCCGCTGGTAAAAGATGGCCTAACTTCATTGCAGTTGATTTTTACAAGGTATATTAATATTATTTTCCACAATTAATTTAAAATACTGGCAAAACAAAATTAGATGGATGCTCAATTTAGTGTGTATAAATGTACTTCCAGAGAAGTGATGATGGGGGAGCTCCTAGAGCAACAGACGTGGCAAATGGTCATTTAGTTTGCGGGTGTGGAACCATCGCCAACTGCAAGGTGAGTAATATATATCCCGTGTATAAATCTCTGATATGTTATGTTATCAGATTATCAATCTGAACAAGACGTTCAAACAAATATTAACCTAATACGGTTGTTTAGGTACACGATACTTGTTAATGTATTCTTGTGTACACAGGCCAATATGAGTTTTGGAGTATGTTCAGAGCCTGAGGCTGATGTTATCCCTACAGCTGCACCAACAAACACCAACTTGGGTTATTCAAATTCAAATAGGGGGCCAGTTCAAATCCAGTGGTTGTTTGGGAGTCTTCTTGCGACCCTTCTCCTGTTGTTGTCTTCGTAGATTCTGCATTCTTTAACATAATAAAAACAAAAAGGAAATCTGATCTCTAACCAGCATGAAGTTGACTGTCAATTTGGAATTTGAATTAGTGTGTTGAATGGGGCTCATGTGATCATTAAAAAGAAATTGACAGACAGAAAACAGCATGCCTTCCAGCTTTTTGTAATTGTGGGAAACTTTTGGAAGCAATCTTTTGTCATTGTGCACATGGAGATGGAGGCATGATGGATTTTATATTTCTTTAAGATTTGCTGTGTATATCTTTTCAATTGATAACAGAATTGTCTGAGTTGGGAACATTTTTGTTGGTGAGCATGTGGTGTGTGTATATATATATATATTTGGTCTACTCTGGCTGCAGAGGTATACATGTCTACTTTGGCTGGGACTTGGAAGGCTTTTCATTTTGAAATATAATAGCTCCACTAGTTTAGACGTAGTAGAAATATTGATGTTACCAAACCCACTCACGTTTTTGTTAACATAAATTTTTTTATTTTTTTATTTTATATAATTACAAGAAGGTTTGATGTTTTTGTTAAATACTCAGCTCCTTTGTTTTTAAGGACTCAAATTGCTGCGGTCGATAGATTAGGAAACAAATAAATAAATCCAAATTTTAACATCAGCATCGAATTTGGAGTTGAGAAGCGAATACACTACCCGAATCTACTAACTAAACTCATATTTTTTACTTCAACTTCTTATTGAAAAGCTCAAGAATATGAGTCCGGGAAATTCAAGCTTTCAATTTTAGCAGAATTGTGGTTCCTTTTTGTTGAAACATGCTAGCTTTCAATTTTTTTTTTAAAGGTAGACTATTTTTCTCTCAACCTCTTCAAACATGACTCTTTTTTCAAAAAATAAAATAAAAACTTTAATTTGAGCTTGGGTTTTAGTTGTACCGCAAGGAATGGGCCATTTCATTGAGAGCTGAGTATGCCTCAACGGTGGAAGGTGGGCTTGGGGCTTCATTGATGGGCTCCAAAAAAAAAACTATGAGCGATGGGCTACAAACAAAAATTAATTTTTGAACGAGTAGATGAAATTTTTTTCTCCTAAGTGTTCTAATAATAAACTCTTTACTTTTCTTCCAATTATCCATCTGTCTCTTCCATGCAACCTATGAATTCCCTTTTACATAATGAATTTTGATCTATATACTAAGAGGCCAAAGGGTGAGAGGAAAACGTTACCAGATACTTCCTCCTTTTATAAGCATTTCAAAGGTCATTTAAGGACATGGATGCATACACTATTTTATCAAGTAAAAGACATTTTATAAATCACAACCATTAAATTATGTAAAACCAATCTGTCTCTTTCTGTTTTAGCATTTGGGTAAATTTTGTTTGCCCTATAAAACAGCTCCTTATGTGTTCTGAATCCATATGTATATATGCAGCTAATCAAAGACAACGCATATACGAAAACATATTCAAATTTATCATGAAGGCAAGTAATTCTTCATCTTCCTCTTCTTGATACACTCTCTATGATCTCACAATTAATTAATGTTGTCTTGCAGAAACTCATCGTTATTGCCATTTTGTTCGGCTCAACCCCTTTTTTTAGGTTCTAGTGGTTAGGGGGTCACGGTACATTTTTCCTATCATACATTGAGTCTATGAATTTACAAATCGTGTATTTAGGTGCATTTCATTTAATCTAAACTACTACAACAATCTAATGGCTAGATTTGTTGCCACATAAGCTAGCGTAATTCAGTAAAAATGTAACTATAAATTAGGTTAGCTGATGTAGGAATAAGTCTAACCATTTGTAAATACAAAGACTCAAATTTTATTTATTTATTTTCGATGTATTATTTTTCAAGCAACACCAAAGTGTGCCCGGATCCAGACTTCCAATCCCATTGATCAGGTTCGTATATACTTAGCCTTCGGATGAATTGTTTTTTCCTTTTAAGTAAGAGTTCAGTTTATTTTTCATTAATTTTTTCTGTTAAATTCTCTTTCTGTAGGTTAAAACGCTACCGTTTAATCGGTACTCATGGCTGACTACGCACAATTCCTTTGCAATGCTTGGGACAAAGTCACTGATGATAACCGGCTCTAATATTATCTTCGGGACAAACCAGATGGATGGCATTACAGCACAGCTTAATGTATGCATTGCTCTCTCCCCTCTTCACTTGCTACCAAAGTCATAATGCTATAGAGAGTTATTTTATTTGTTAGGTGTGAACTTTTTTGTCTCGTAATAATATATATAAGTTACAAGTACTGTCTAGTTAAAACATAACATGTGTTACAATAAAATTTGTCATAAATAAAAACTTAAAACATCATTTTAATTAGACTCATTGGTTGTGCCAGGTGGCATGAAAGTCCAAACACCCCAAGTTTTTCTTGAGTGAGAAACAAGGTTATAGAATGAAGGGGATACTAATTCTCAAAATCTTGTTAGCATGGGCAAATAACTAATTCACCATACCATACCGGAATTCTGGTTTCCAGTAACTCAGATGCCAAAAAATGGTGGAGATTGGCCAATACTTCAAGACATGGCCGATTGGCCAATACTTCCAAGACATGGCCAAGGCAAATCAACGTTTAGTGGTTTTCACTTCAAGAGCAGAAAAGGAGGCATCTGAAGGAATTGCCTACCAGTGGAACTACATGGTAGAAAATTGATGGATCGTATGTACCTAGAGTCATCAAAATTTGTTCTAAATTGTAGTCATCAAGTATGTGAGATGACAATATCTTATTTGTTAATCATAAATGCGTCCTGACATGAAGTCATGAATATGAATAGTGTGTTCATCAGCCGTTGATGCATTTTAAGACTCACTTACATTAACAGTCGAGAGTGTGTGCGTAGACAATTATCCATTAGTCCGATTTAGTAATTGAAGTATGGGTTAGCTATATGGGCTTGGCTGCAGATTTCAATACCTGTAAACTAGCCCATGATCATTCCGAACCCACTCAACCACCCATAGACAAAGAAAATGCAAGTCCTATATAAGTTGTGGAGAGAAAATGTGATCATGTTACCTAAAACATGTAGTTTATTTGCTTATAATTTGAACCCCAGTGCATGAAATTTAATGGAGATTGGAATTTGCAGATGGGGATAATGGGATGAAAGCTGGGTCTTGCTCAAACCGTGTTGAATCATTGGACGTGCAGAACACAACCAAGTCATTAGTGTTCATGAACTTCTTTTCAAGCAATCCAAACCTTCTTAATGCCTGCAAAGATAACTCAGCTCCCTTGCTTGACATGCTCAAAACCTGCCATGTAGCTGCTGGCAATCGATGGCCTAATTTCATTGATGTTGATTTTAACCCGGTAATTACTTACCACCACATCCACTTCAAATAAATAATTGCATCATGTAATTATTTACTAAAATATAATTGGCTATGCATTTTGCAGACAAGTGAGGGTGGTGGCGCCCCAGAAGCTGTGGAGTTTGCTAACGGTCAATCGGTTTGTGGGTGTAATGATATCACCCTTTGCAAGGTCGGTATTGACTACTTTAATTTTAACCTAAGCTTCCTGTTTCTTTTACTTCTTCTGCATTTACGAGCAATCCCACTCCTCAAACACTTTACATACATACATATACATACTTATTCTAAAAATTAGATTGTTATCTTTCAATAAGATTATTTTTTTATTTAAACCCTAAATGTTATACTAGCTTTTAGTTTTGACCTAGGAACTTTGTTAAAAGAAATATAATTCTTTTCAAATTATATTAGCTTTTATCGTGTGGATGTCATGTATTTTCTACTGTCATTCCCTTATTTCCTCTCTATTTACAATGGTGTTCGCACAATGATAACGTGCATATATATATAAATCTAAACTTCTACCGGTGAGTCGTCCAGTTGAGAAATATTATATGAGCAAAGCAGTCAGCTCCTAGCGCCTTTGGCATCTTTGGTTAGGGGCCAAGAAATAAAAGTATATGGTGGTAACTGCAGCTAATTAGTCTCTGGTCGGGACTAAATTAATATGCATGAATCAAGGACACTTTGCATGCGTCTAAATAATTTAACATATGAATCCCTTCCGTGCAGGGCTCAAGAAACCTTAATTCCTTTATTTTAGGGGGGGATTTAAGGTTGATTATACATTAACAATTTAATCAAGCTTGGCTCAATGTCCTTCTGATCAAGCAATCTGATCGAAAACAAAAATGTTGGCTTAGTTCAGTTAATCAAGCACTAAGAAATACATGGAATATATATGATTTGTAGGTCGGTGTGGGGGAATTCTGTTTTCGAAATGTGTCATCATATGAATTGTCATAAAAAAGCAACAATTTTTTTTTCTTCATATTCTATAGCATTGAGCTCAATTGCCTGCAAATCAATGAACAAATTACGAAATATTCTCGAGCGATTAGATGCAAAGGGTATACATGCTGTCTTGATTAATTTGCTTAATATACGCCTATTGCAATTCTATTGGGCAAATCAATAAAATTTGTGGAATATTAGGCATACACACTGTTGGCCAACTGACTTAACCCACGTTTGTCTGCATAACTAATACACCTATTGCAATCATGTTGGGCGAATCAGTAAAATGATCATACACCTATTTATCTTTGTGGACTTTTTGCAAGGTAAAAGATCCTTTTTTTCTTGCACAAAGAAAAATGATTCTCATCTACTCAATGAAATCCAACACCTATGACAACAATGGGCTATCCACTATCCAATTAGAGACAAGTTCCCAACTATCAATCATGCACAAAGAAAAAATAAAAAATAAAAAGCCTTCTAGAAATGCCACATAATAAAGTCATGTCCAATTAACCCAAGTTTTAAATTAATTGTGAGGGATTAACATCTGAGTGTTGATGGAGCATAGATTTTCCACCCAACCTAATTATATGCGCAGCAACATTTATTTTATAATATAAGATACGAAAATTGGATTGGTAACAGTTGCCAAGTTTGAAAGCACACAATTATAATATTTATACACGCTTAAATCTACTCAGTTTGACTGCTTGCATCATAATCCACATGATCAAAACATTATCCATATTCTAGCCTTCATAAATCTACTCATTTGGTCCGCGCGTGCATGCCAGGAAGAGCTTAATTAAATTTATTTTTTTTAAAACACAGATAGAGAGAGAGATAAACATTGTTTGACTATTTGAAACTAAAATAAAACATTACGTTTATAGAATTATCAGCTAATGTGGTCATTATTCAATGAAATGACATATCCTCTCCTTTCAACCACTTGACCATGTTATAGATAGTTAAGTATAGACTAGTAACATATTCTTGTCATTTTAATCACGTATCATAATTAGTCTATGCTAAGAGTAACATATTCAATTACGTATCACAGTTTGAAATTACTAGTCTGCAAGTAAATATCATTTTCTACTCGACTAAATCCCCGACGCATCCTCGTGAAAACTCCTAATTACTGTACAAATTAGGGGAAAAGAGTGATGGGTTTGGGGTATTGGTTCTTAAAAGTAGTGTGGAAGGAAAAATAGTTGTGTTTGCCAATAATAAAAAAGGATATAACTTTTTTTTTCTTTTCACTTTTTGAACAAAACAAAAGAAAATAAACCTCTCTCGTGGCATCCAATCACCCATTTCTCAATGAGTTGAAATTTGAATGTTCACACTTAGGTGTCTTGTGGCTTTGGGCGAAAACAAAGGACCACGAATTGAGAACCCTATGCACACATACAAAAATGTTGTCGAAAATAGACGTTACATATATGGACCACATCAGCATCACAATCAAAGTTGACACGTGGTGCAACAATGGACCACCCACGTGGAAAGTGGATTGAATTATTTGATTGATAGGAGTATAGGACCACAAAGCTGAAAAAAAACCCTAGGTCTAATCACAGACCCAACTAAGCTTACACTAAAAATTTAGAATCGAATCATTTTTAGGGGTTGAAAACAAGCTGCTTAATCTATAATTAATGTATGGATTATGAACAACTCATCCACTATCGAGACATGTAGGCCTCTCGGACGCATCCCCTTAGAAATTAGTAAACTAATCTCACTAAAAGTTGGCTTTCGAACACTTTAATGAATTTTTTAAATATTTAATTATTGTAAAGAAAGATTTGATTAGTTGGTTCCCTACTTTAATTATTGGATTAAATTAGTTGGGGGAATGGTTGCTCCCATAACATAAACAAGATCTGTTGAGCATTAGGATAATAGAGAATCAAAAACCAAAGCAATTGCATGAAAGCAATATGCTGGAATCCTTTTTTATGCTAATGGAAAAGGTTGATTCGATTCACACATAGTTATGGGGGAGAATGGACCATCACGGAAAAAGCTTGGCTCGTTAAAATTGAGGAGGCTTCTTTTCAATGCAACTAAAATTTTGATACTTGTCAATTTTATTAAACTCTTTTTTTATCTGAATTTCTTTTTACTTTCTTTGATTTGGAATTTGACAAGTGTTAAAAATCTCATTTGCTTTAAGGAAGAGCTCTTCCTTAGTTTTTAGAATTTGACTAAATTTCAAATATAAAATATAAAATTAATAAATTGACAATTAACAGAACATATATATTTAATTAATTAACAAAATGATGCTTATGCATTGTATAAATAATATAGCTTTTAGGTTCCTGTTCCTGTTTGCGGTTGAGTAGGTAAGGCTACTCAGTTACATCGACGATGGAGCTCGTATGAATAGAGAAACTCGCCTAATCTCCGACGACATTGCCCGATTTTTTGTACTAGTTACGTTTCCTATCAATAAAATCTTACCGTTATTCTCTCAAAAGAAATAATATATAGAGAAAAAAACATTAATCAGTTAGTGAGTTAATACATTGTTAACCACATAAATTGAGTAAGTGTTTCATCGTCAACTTTGCTTTATGACGATTGAAGATATATGTTGTCTAACAGTCTATGTCATTAGGAGAGCTTTATGGTAGGATTTTTTACTTTCTAGGATATAAAATTGGGATAATAGAAATATTGCACCTAAAAGATGAATATCTTTGGTTCTGATGTGACAATGAAGTCAAATTAGTATAAGCTTAGTAATCTAACAATAATAATATGCTTCTTTACGTGATCCTTCACTTAAACAGAACAATGATATATAGGAACAAGGGTGGTTAGTGGGTTAAATCTCTTTTTAATAAAGAAAACAAACAAAATAAAGTATGATTCCTGGCTCTTCTTTTTTCAGATTTTTTACTAAATAAAGTTAGAATTTAGAACATAGGTTGACGAATTATACGCATTCATTCACAATAACAAAGAATAAAAGCAAGCACTATCTTTTGTTTTCCACTTTATATTTTGACAATAAGGAAATTTTAAGATCTGGTTTATTGAAGGACCTACAGTAATGTAATGGATTGGTCACCCGCATTATCTCCCAAATGCAATAATTAGGTGCTCTTAAGCATAGTTTAGTGATAACCTAACCTACTTAGAGCTAACTTGAAAGTCAAGGTGCTATGTGGGTTTAAACATGTGATCGATAGTCTGCATGTTAAGACTCTTTTTCACTAGCCTAGATATCGTTTTAGCTTTTTGGCTGTCTCATATCACTGAAAAGTTTTGTCCATGTCTGATGTACTGTTATTAGGATGACTCCCTTTATATATATTTTTTCCTTTGTACTCTCCGTTTGATCTAATAAACTTCTATCGATTTTTATCCAAAATAAAATCGTCTCTATAGATCAACCCTACAAGAAATTCTTCTAAACGACACCTCTCAAAATTATTAAAAAGATGATCAATTGTGTAAAATGTTGAGAATCTCTATTTTGTCAAATTTTATGCCATTGTTTGCCCCTTTCTCTTTCATGTTAGAACTTGCTTCCAAACTCCTCAATTGATATAAATATAATATATATATATATTTCTTTCAGGCTGGCCTAATCCTCTTGATTATTGATCATGTAACTTGTTTATCGTTTGCAATAATATAATACCATATTTTTTTGTTCTAAAAATAAAATAAAATATCAAATGTATCCACATACCGACATGCTTATAAAATAATTTCGAATATATATCCAAAATGTGAATTAAATTACAAGGAATGTTAATCTCACGTTTTCACACCTACACGTGTGAAGGCGGAAGCCATGGGACAAAGTTATTACAGGGTGGGGCTCGCAAAACCGTACATGGACCCTGGTGTCAAAGCATGCGGTCAAAAGAATAAAAGAGCCTCTCATCTCATCTTAGCTGGCAGCACGTGCCAGCGAGGTAAAAGTGCACGTGCACAGACACAGATAGAGAGAGAGAGAGAGAAAAAATAAAAATAAAAATTTAATAAATTGAGGCACCGAAAATAGCAAAAATATCGGTAGACCGGCAAGCGGGGTGTGCCGGGTTGACCAGGGACAAGAGGGTCACACCAACTCCCCGATGTGGGCTCATATGGCTCGTGGGGCGCACTGTAGAAACCACCCGTGTGTGTTTGGCGCGGCCACCGCTAAATGACACCGTTTGGTGTTCGTCTCTGACTCAAACTTGGTCAGTGCTGCTGAATCTTTATCTCAGTTTTATCAGACAAGTAAAAGGTTCACACTGAACTGAACTTTTTACTTTTTTTTTTTTTTTTTTTTTTTTTTTTTTTTTTTTTGGGTTTGTCACGCACGAGTTTGCCAAACATGTTTTATTTGAATTTTTGATGCTGTTGCAGTATCCCAAGAAAAGGAAGACCTCTTTTGAAACTACAAAAGAAGGTAAAAATTGGAATACTGCAGAGTAAGGATGTTGGGTGAGTATTATCCATATGTCGGCTTCTTTTTAAATTTATAATAATTAGATAGGAATTAATTTGACTTAGTAAGTTTTTGGCCGAATCATTACTGATATGGTTAGTTTAGTTAAGCTCTAAACTAAACCAAGTCAAATTGTGTTGACACGTTAAACTCTTAACTAATATGGTTAGTTAACCTAAATCATAAACCTAGAAAACCGACTCAAGAAATCCAATGAACATTGAAGAAACCCTAGATGCCTTTTGTCTCTCCTTGAGTTAAAACGAGAGAGCGACTCTCGATTTATATGACTTACTCCAAAGGATGTCAAGAAAAAAATAGAGAAAATCAAAGACCAATCGTATAAAATCCCCTACAAATTCAATAATTGATTATCTTAAGTTGACTCGCAAATTCCAAATTTTTCTAGAATCATTATTACGTGTGGAAGCCAAAATTCAAGATATGAACTTTGTAGACCGTGACAGATTTGGGATTTGATAAATTTTTTTCCAGCCATTCACCTTTGAGTATAAAAAATGAGATTCTTTTTAAAATTTATTTTTCACATTGGGTGGCAAATGAATAGCGTGCAGCAGTAGTAGATCCAAATTCCAGCACTGTGAGGAGGAATTATAGCCAATTATGTTAAGGTAGAGGTGGGGCCCAGTTAATCAACATCGTTTCTCTTATGGAAACCCACCAGTCCAGCAACCCACCCTGTTGATGTTATCCACACGACGAAATTTTTGTGGAGAGTGAGAGACACCCTGGACCCGCAAATTCCTCTTCCTTTCTCTCTCATCTCTCTAATCTGTTCATCTTTGACCTTTGACTGCCCCCACTGCCACACTATTCAAACCTAATTATAGTTTGATCCACCACCTATTTTCTGCTTCTGCCCTTTTATTTTGCCTTATCTCTATTCTTCACCATGAAAATCCATATATTTTGTTTCTTGCAAAACTATGTAAGTTTCACTTCACTTGTGCCCTTCTTTTTGTTGCAATGTGAGCTTCACCACTCTTTTTCTGGGTAATAAATAAGGAAAGTTCATATCACCTACTCTTTCATAAGGTAGGTAAAACTATGTAAGTTTCACTTCAATTATACCTAAAGTGGCTTGTATTTAAGAGCCTATAAATGAGTTGTTTCACTTCTTTAGAATTAATTTTATATTCAAAAACTTTTAACATGCCACTCAATTCATTATTAAATCGGCTTTTATTATGTTGAATTTTTCCAACAAAGTCTTTCAATTTTATGGTTGACACAAGTATTCAATGATGAAACTATATTCACATTATTTATCTTCAATTTCTTGGACAATTTTGAGGTAATTTGAACACCTTTAAAAAAGTTTTAAAAGTTAGTTAGGAGTTGAACAAAAGCTTACAAAGAACATAGAAAACAAAAAAAGGAAATAACAACTTATAAAAGTGGCTCAATAATAAATGGTAAATATTGTACAAGCAAAAAGTCTTATTATAATTTGGTGATTCATGATACAATCAAAAACTAGCAGATTTTGGTTCGATTCAACAATTCTTATTAGAAAATGTAAATATAGTCAAATCTATGAACATGAAGGTCTTGCTGTGGAAACATGTTAGGCGTAAAATTAGTATTAAATTACTTGACACATGAAAAATCAACTTCAATTACTTGATATACATGCAATGCAACCCTAAACTTTATATAATCTAATATTTATATTGGATAGGATGGATGGTGAAGTTTTGTGTAAGAAGAAGGGCATGAATGCAAAGACCACTACCCACCCATAATGAGTGAATGATGCGCATTACCCAATCAATCTCCTAAAACAATGACAGCCGCACGTTAAACAAATCCATGATGTAAACAGGAGTAAGATTTTAGATTGGGGATGGAGGGCTGGCTAATAAGAGAAAGAGGAATGGGTCCCACCCCAGTCCAGTCTAGTCCAATCGCACCATCTCAATTTTGACCCAACCTTAACCTAACCAGGGTCACGCTGGGTGGGTCAGCTTTCCCCAATACACCACACGTGTGGCCAATCTGGAGTCAGATGTAGGCACAGAGAGAGAAAGAAAGAGAGAGAGAGCCCCTTCTAGCCCTGCTGGGTACGTTTCTCTGTTCCACTTGGTCCAATATAAAAGCCCCTAGTAAGCAAAGCGTAACTAAGCCAAACCCAAAAATCAGAATTTGCAGAGCCCTCAGATTTAGTAACACACACACACAGAGAAAGAGAGAGAGAGAGAGAGACAAATATAGAGATAGAGAGAGAGAGAGGAACAAATGCCTGGGAGTTTAGAGCCATTGGATTTGGGGGTGCAGATACCATATCACTTCAGGTGCCCCATATCGCTAGAGCTCATGCGCGACCCCGTTACGGTCAGCACTGGGCAGACCTACGACCGCCCCAGCATCGAGTCGTGGGTCGCCACGGGCAACACCACCTGCCCCGTCACGCGGGCCCCGCTCTCCGACTTCACTCTCATCCCCAACCACACTCTACGCCGCCTTATCCAGGATTGGTGCGTCGCCAACCGCTCTTTCGGCGTCGAGCGCATTCCCACTCCCAAACAGCCCGCTGACCCGACCCACATCCGCCACCTCCTCACCCAATCGGCGTCTAATTCCAACACGTACCCGACCAGGCTCTCCGCCCTTCGCCGCCTACGTGGCCTCGCCCGCGACCTCGACAAGAACCGCTCCACCATCTCCTCCCAGAACTCCCGCGAAATCCTCGTTCAGCTCGTGTTCGCCGATACCGGCTCAGAATCTTCCGAGTTGACTCACGAGGCGCTCGCGCTTCTCGTTCTGTTCCCGCTCCCAGAGTCCGACTGCGCAGCGGTGGCGTCGGACCCGGACCGGGTCACGTACCTGGCCAGGCTTGTTCAGCACTCGTCGATGGAGGTCCGAGTCAACTCGGCCGCGTTGATCGAGAACGTCCTGGCCGGGTCGCGGACGGCGGAGCTACGAGCTGAGATTAGCAATGTCGACGAAATCCACCAAGGCGTCGTTTCTATTCTCCGCAACCCAATCGCGTATCCCCGCGCGCTCAAAATCGGAATCAAGGCGCTCTTCGCCTTGTGCCTGGTGAAGCAGACCCGAAACAAGGCCGTATCGGCCGGCGCGCCTGAAACGCTCATCAACGCCTTGGCCGACTTTGAGAAATGCGACTCGGAGCGAGCGCTGGCAACGATCGAGCTGCTCTGCAGAGTCCCCGACGGTTGCACGGCGTTTGCTGCGCACGCGCTGACGGTGCCGCTGCTGGTGAAGACGATACTGAAGATCTCGGACCGAGCGACGGAGTACGCCGCCGGAGCTCTGCTGTCGCTGTGCTCGGCGTCGGAGAAGAGCCAAAACGACGCCGTGGCGGCGGGCGTGTTGACGCAACTGTTGCTGCTGGTGCAGAGTGATTGTACGGACCGGGCCAAGCGGAAGGCCCAGCTACTGCTGAAGCTTCTTCGGGATTCGTGGCCCGAGGATTCAGTTGGGAATTCTGATGATTTTGTTTGCAGCGAGCTCGTAGTACCATTTTGAATTTCCACTTTTTTGTTTTCTTCTTCATTAATTTTCTTAATCTCAATTTTTCAGATTGTCATTAGAGAAAAAAAAAGGGAATTGAAAAAAGAGAGATGAAAATTGGGATTGTAGATTATTGGTATATAAAGAAATTGTAATTTTTGTGTATTTTTGTATGTAAGGATTTTTGCTTAGATGATTAAACGAAGTTGCAAAAGCATAGAAAAAAGTTTAGATATGTTCTTGTATGTGAATCTTTTAATTAATTACATTTTTCATCAGAAAAGAAAAACAAATGTACTATTATACGGAAAGGGAGATCGAATTCGAAAACAAAAGATACAAGGGATTGGGTGACTGAGACGGTTGTGAATGGCATGTCAAGACTCCAACGGGACTGCGTGACGGAGACTCTTAATATAATATAAGAATTGAATTTGTAAACAAATGTTGGGATTAAAAATCAAATAAGAACAAGAGAGGCAGAGAATCCTTGTATGAATAATATGAATTTGGTGACCGCCATTCGTCACCCTATTTCTCAATTGACTGATTTGAATAATTTGGTGACACATCTAATCATGCATAAAGGTTGTTCGTTTTGACAAGCTTTGACTGGGCTTCTTTGTTTGTGGAATTTTAATTGGTTAAGCTTACCCTTTGGGGTTTCAAATTGTTGGAAATCAATAACACATGCGTTTAAGCCCATAAAAGCCCAATTAACAAATCAAATAGATGTTAGGTTTCTGTTTGGTTTGACTCTAGATTTCAAAAGATGGCGCTAGTAGTGCCCCACGCATGCATGCTAAAGGTGTACATCAAAATTTTGGCAAAAGTCAGACTGTCTGACAACATAAGAAATTTGTTCTTGATAGACTGTGAAAGTCGATTATAGACGTGTAATTTAAATTAACAATCTAACCAGTGATATAAGTATTTATCTAATAAGATAAGTCTGGTAGGAGAACATTCTTGATTTATCATATATGTGGCTTAAAAGTAGAGAAGATGATGTTCACATGTTTGTGGGAATAAAAGCATGGAATCACATGGCTTGGTTCTTATTCTTTGTGCTTGTGATGGCTACTAGTGCTCACATGCCAACCCAACTTTGTTTGCTACTCTTTTAGTCGCAACAACAGATGGGAATTCAATTTGTCCACCCAACACTATGATACTACAGCATTTGGGTCCCAAACTATAATGTATCTCTCTTCTAACTTTGTCAATATATAGGGGCATTCTTACCCCATTGTTTTATTCTCTCTCTCTCTCTCTCTCCTTTGTTTTGTGTTTTTTTTTCAGAGGGTAAATTTAGTTTGGAGTTGTTGAGGAATATTGATCCACGATATCTTGGGTGGTGGCCAGTGAGGACATAATAAGATGAATATGATTTGAAGGTATACTCGACTCAAAGAGATAATGACATGCTTAGTCAAACGGTATTATTTTTACAAATCATTTCTTACTTCCTTTCTTGATCTTGCTCGATGTGGGATTTGGACTACACTGCTTAAAGCAAACATGCATGGAATTCAACAACTCTTCCTTTTCACGCGTGAGGGAGAACAAAACTTACAATAAGTTTATGATTCATTGGTCTGCAGCCTTTTCTTTAATCAGGTAGAGAAACTTGCGTAGAACAATCATCGTTGTTGGAAAGATTCGACCAATAAAATATGGAGGGGAAAGTAAGCAAGAAATAGCTAGGTTTCATTCCAACTTCTACCTACTTGTACAAAAATGAAACTCATTTGGTTTCACTCTAACAGGTACATTTCTTCTCATGGTTAGGTCTTAGTTGCATGAACTTAAGTTTACTCCAATTCTATCGGGATCCATCAAGCCGAGTATGTTCTCTACACTAATGTAGAGAGTGTAAAGAGCATGCTCCCCTAGTTAGCAAGTTGATGGGTCTCGATATGGTTTAATGTCTCACGCTTTTAAGTTCTCAGGATCCGAATCAAATTGATAAAATTGAAAGCATACAGTGACGAAATGTGGTTTCGGGTGAAACACACAATGACCAAAAATGTGTTCTATATTCTACGAAGAACAAATTTTTGAGCCGACTCTTAATTTCACTCAACTGGTTCAAATACTAGGCCCAAAAGAACTGGTCCAAGGCAATTTCAGTCAGCTAGTAGAGATTTTGGTCCATGATCTTTAACTCCTGCCCATTCACTAATTGGGCTTAGTGGCAATCTGGATCTAGTAACTTTTGCTTGCATATTTTAGTCTACTTTCTCCCTTGAAATGAACAAATAACAACTCTGTAGTTATTTATTTTCTCTTCTTACTTGATTCACCCTCTAACCCAATTCTCTGTTGGCTTCTATAGTAGGCTAAGTGTTTTGTATAAATCTCTTCACCTAATAATTTTAGGATTGTTGTATAAGTTTGAAGGTGGAGTCCACAACTTTGGTATCACATGCATGGAGGAAGTTTCCTTGCATCTTCCGGGAACTTTCCCTTCCTTGTATTTGCCAAAACCTTAGCCTATAAATAGGCATATCACTTGCAATGGGAAGATACACCAACGGAGAAAAGAAGAAAAGAAGCCGAGAGAGAGAGAGAGAGAGAGAGAGAGAGAAATAGTGAGCCATAAGTTTCTTGACTATAAGATCAAAGGGAAGTTGAAGTTTCTTGGTTACTCATGTTCATTCAAAATATGAACTAGAAGTTCATATCATTTTAAGAGTTTTAAGTAAAGCCCTTGAAAAGCTGAACTTTTAGAAAGTGGGAGGAAATGAAGTTGAATCATAGTTACTTCAATCAGACCTTACAAAGGCAATATATGAAGTTGAAATGAGAGTTTGTTGTCTGTTACCTCACCAATTTCCTTTCCTGATGCTTACCTACATTGTGATCAAAATTAGGATTTTTTTGTATATTTCTTCCTTTTTATAACTCTATGTTCCCAAAGGATTTTGTGTCTTTAGAACCTTCATATGAAGAACAAATCCCTGTTTGAACCTAACACTTAGGAATTTTATTTTATTTTGACATAGGAAATTGAATTATGGTTTTTACTGTTGCAAGATATAATTAGATCATCAAGCGTTCTATTATATTTGTTGAGCAAACCTGATTTTGAAGAATCTTTGAGTAAAGTTTTTCATACTGAAGGATGTAAGAAATACTTGTGTTATTTCATACTTGTACTCCTTTTAGTATTTTGGTATTTTGCTTCTAATAGGTAGAAGGTTATGTACGTCATCTTCAGTGGTGACCAAATGAATAGATAAGACTGTTTCAGAAGAATGGCTTGCGTTATGTACAAAAGACTGTTTCAGAAGAACGGCTTGTATTATGTACAAAAGACCGTTTCAGAAGAATGACTTGAATAATCCTGATATGTATTCATTCTGTATCATTTAAATGAATTATTAAATACAATGCAAATCTTGAAGATTGCAAGTTGAATACATTGATAATACACTACATAGATTAAAATCCTAGAAGAGTGACTCAAGGGTATGATAGTGTTAATGTAATGTGCCTAATGCATAAGAAATTGTATGAATTAAGGTTCCTGAAGGACAAAACTTATGACACTGTGTCAATGGAAATTATTCAAATGTCCAACTAAAATTTCTTTTGTTGGCAATTACATATGATATTTTTAATAATTTATTCAAAGATCATATTTCTTTGGAAAACTATATGCGAGGAGATTTTTTATGAGGCTATTTTCAAGTCGTTAGGAGGAGAATTGGTTGTTCTTGAAAGAACAAAGAATGACGTGAATAATTATGGAATATATTCACACAATGTACTATTTTTCCTTCATCTAGGTTTTTATCTCACTAACAACACTCATATTGTCCCAAACTTAACCATCTACAAAGCCAGTAGGTATGGAGTTTTATCACAAAAGGCCCCAATGCTATTAGGAGTAGAACCACTTATTATAAATTGTGATTTATTTAGTAAAGTTTCCGATGTGGTACTTATATTCTTCAACATGCCTACTCACATGGGACCACCACATAATGGGCCACATGTGGAGCCAAGTCCACATCCGAGTCAATCATTTAAACCCAACACGTGAACAGCACATATTGGGTAAGGAGTAGGTGTAAACATTCAAGCCCAACATGTGAACACCACATATTGGGTAAGGGTAAAAGCTTAATTCAGGGTTAGTCAATCAACCTGCTTTAATATCATGTTAATTTCAAAGAAATAGGCAATTAGCTCATTACTAGTAACACCAATATTGTCTCCAATTTAACCACCTACAAATCCTAGTAGGTGTGAGATTTTATCAGAAAATGCCTCGATGATATTAGTAGTAGAACCATTCATTATATCTTGTATTTTATTTAGTCAAATTTCTAATGCGGAACTTATATTAACACCCACAACTTTGGTATCACATGCATGGAAGCTTGCATCTTCCAGGAACTTTCCCTTCCTTGTATTTGCTAAAACCTTGGGCATATCACTTGCAATGGGAAGATACACCAACGGGGAGAGAGAGAGAGAGAGAGAGAGAGAGAGGAGAGAGAGAGAGAGAGAGAGAGAGAGCACCAATATGATATCACTGCTGCTTATTTGCAAGTTAACAGTCCCCTATTATTTTAGGTTTATTTACAACAAGAATGAATATTCAATATGGTATCAAAGCTACTAAATGCAAGTCACCTTAATAGAGACGCATAAAAATTCTTGAGTAGTCAAAGAAGAGACCATTTGTTCATGTGTATAACCACCAAAAAATAGCGATCTCGATCTGAGTAGGGATGCTAAGTTGCCCCTTACACCTAAATCCCGCGGTAAGTGCCTCACAAATGGAAAAAATATAGAGATAAAAAATCAAGTACAAAGACGGAGATGAAGATTGCTTTGTTCTCCGAACCAGGTTGGGAATAAGGGTGGGGGTTGAGGTACTCGTCCCATTCCCCATCTTCTCGTTTCTCACATGTAAGGGTGGGGGGTTTCATAATATATCATACGTTTCCAAAATATTATTTTTGAGTGATTTTGTCTTACTTTTACTTTGAAATATAATTTATGCAATACATTTATACAGTATATTCAATATGGTGTTACATGAATTATTGAATGAAGCATCTACACTAGTGGAACTCGATTCCCAATGGGTAAACCAATAGAAAAATCTCCAACTAATAATAACTTGCTCAATATTCACTACTCATACATTCCAAATTTGTTAAAAAGATCCTCACCATGCATATTCATACAAGGAGAAAAGGGCAAATGCAAATACTACTGACATGTATACATACATTGCTATCAAGATCCGAACAGTTGTATTATACGATCTGAGAAAACTTAAAGCATCCGACGAATCTGAGAGAAGCTTTCTTGATGGTCTCTTAAGAGAGCATCAATATTATCTCTGCTGCAGCTTGCTTGAATATTTCATCTGCAGGAAATGTCTCCAGAAACTGATCGGGAGCTCCTCTTGCCTGCTAAAATAACACTACTGTTAGGTATAACTGAAAACATATATATAACTTTGCAATGAAACTTAGTATACTAAGCATTACAAATCGACTTGCTAGAAAATATATTTTCTAAACAAACTCAACAGTTCAAATATATTGAATAAAATTCCATGGACAAAAACTGCTTTTCACCAGAATGCTTAAAACCTAGGAGGAGGGTAAAAGTTGAACTCTAGCTTTGAGTGTGTAGGTAAATGCTCTATCAACAGACCTATGAAACCCTCATAGTGCAATTATGGTTTCATTATGTTTTCGAAGTGTATAGTTAGCAAGAGCAACTTATTGGTTCCAACCCTAATTTAGGAGCAATTCTTCGGTGTGATAGTCGTACCATATCTATCTATATTTAATACTATACCTAGGTCCATGACATATATATCAACTATGTTGTCTATCCATATTGTAGCCATGAATTGGCAATGTAGAGGTGCGATGAGCACACCGTTGTGTTTCTCCTAATTTATAAGTGAACTTGCATATCCTAGTGGTATATACACTTACTAAATCTATCTCATGACTTGTCACGTGATGAGAGAGTCATGTGAGGAGAGAGGCATAGTCTGCCATATGTATATATATGAGGGCTACAGGAAACACCATGGGATATTATGTAGTCATCAGTCACTAAAAGCACTTAGCTGGAACAAAGTCATGCAACATTTTCCAGCTAGTGCTTTAATTAAATTTCTAAAAAAATGTAGGTTCTGCATATTGACTCTAGAGTTGCACAAAAGCTGCATCATAATGAGATAGAATTGAACAAAAACTTAAACTTACATGTGCTTGAATCATGTACATGCTGCGATTGCAGTCCGAGGAAACATGAGCCGACATCACACCAAGTTTATACTTCTCCAAGACGAAGCATATGGCGGAAAGGAGGCCAGCCTTCTTTGGACAGCACACACTAATTTGCGCTTCATCGCCGCAGATGTTCAAAACGACATTGGGTGTAGTCCATGTTTGAAAGTTCACAGGACCACAATGCGAGGTTAAGAGTGAATTCGAAGGGTTGATAGCTGCAGAGCCATGATTAGCTAAGAATTCCTCTCTCGAGCCAAAGGCAACATTTTGCGGGGTGAGTATTGATGGATCAAAATTGATGGTTGTGGCACCTTGGAGCCTCTCTAGCTTTTGTTTTTGTAGCTTCTGGAGAGTCTGCTGTAGGGTTTTGATGTAGTTCACTGCCTCATCTACGATTGTGGATTTGTCAGCCTATAAGAACATTATAAATAATTAGAGATCTATGGTTGTTCAAATCATATGAAATTAGAGAATTGATGCATCTATAGTATTCACATTGTTGCACTTCAAATCATACATGTCCAAACATTTAATTAATTAATTAGAATTGCATATTTAAGAACCTTCCTTTCTTTTGTCATTTGGTTACATCTCGGCATCTAAAGTTTTGAGCCATTGCTGAGAAACCCTTTCTGGAGAAAACCATTTTCTTTTTTTGAAAGTTATTTCAAACGGATGGTTGAAAGAATTAATTTTTTCTTTCAGACCCATAAAACCAGTAATTAAAACATGTATAATTCTCCTCAAAAGCTATGAGATAAAGGAGAGAAAGGGAGAATAAAAGAATGAGAAAAGAAATTCGACCAAACAAAAAAGAATGAGAAAAGAAAGGAAGCTTTTCTCATTAACTGCCCATTATATGCAAAAAGGCTACCCATAGCTTTGATAGGGAAACGCAAATAGAAAGGCTCTCTTTTTCATAAAGACCAAAAGTTTCACTGCTTGTTTTCCTTTCTAAACACTTAAGAGAGAGAGAGAGAGAGAGAGAGAGAGAGAGAGAGACGTGCAAAATGAAATTAGACTCATTAATTACCTTTCAACTGTAAATGGTTATGGTTATTACCTTAGGAGGAAGCTGAGGAAGCAAAGCATGAAGATTAGCAAACATGTTCCTCATCTTCTTCCTCCTTTCTCTCTCTGTCCAAATATGCATCTCATGGTCATCTGACTCACCACCACCACCACCATCACCTGCACCAGTTGAACCTTTTCCTTTGTCAGCAGGACTAGTACTTCCTTTGATTATCCCATTCTTCCCCACACCTCCTCCTCCCCTCCGCTTCTTACCGGGTGCAGGCGGTACCTGATTATGACCTTCTGTACTAATTCCCATCACAGCTGTCTCCTCCTTATTCCCCAAATTTTATCTTCATCACCAGCACCAACTGAGTTGTCAGAATTAATTGACAAATTAGCCCATGACTGGTTTTCCCACAAAAAACCTTCTGAGAATCCTCCTGTTTCCCCTCCAGACATATCTTCACACACAGAGATATAGAGAGATAGAGAGAGATAGAGAGAGATAGAGGTATGAGAAACTATGGAAGAGGGAGAGGGGGTGAGGAAGCGTTTAAAAAGGTGGCAAAGGAATGGGGGGGGTGTGTGTGTGTAAGAAAGAAAGCTGTTTTGGCTGGTAAGGAAGAGCCCAAAATACAATCATAAGGCCATGCCGTTACTATGCTTCAAAATAAAAAACGGATAGCTTTAGCTATGTGTTTTCAAGGGACCCACAAGGGTACTTGCCAGACCCCACCTGCCCCAAAACCACCGATACACAAAACCAAATTACCCTTCACTCTCAAATTTCTACAATTCCATTTCCTGGTTTGGAAAAGATACGTTCATCTCCCATCAAAACCTTTTCATATTAATGTTCTTTTAGAGTTCTTCAACAATACTGAGTTGGTATATTGATATGGGTCTCTGAAACCACTTACCATTTTGCTTACATGCATACAGTTATGAATGCGCCGTTACAATTCTGCACTAGATATGGAGAATTAAGATGTGAATTTCTTACACCTAATTACCTTAAAAGAAAATCATAAAAATAACGGTTTTACTACGTCACCAATGTGGTTTATGTAGGAACCATTAACGGTAACTACGTGTCGTTTTGACGCAATATAAGCCAATGTATCTGACATTGTTTCATACTCTTAACTACGTATCGTTTCATTCCCAACAACACTACTAGTGACCCCCTTGTACATACTGCTTGGCCTAGCAAATGACCTCAACTGGTGATTAAGTTCAAGATTGTAATATGCCCAAACAATTTTCTGAAGCCAAGTTTAAGGAACTCAATCACCTTACAAATTACATCAAATTTTCTGTTTTCCTTTGTCAGAAAGCGTGTACTTGCCCTACCTAAATTTATTTGGTCAGTTCTTGAGGCAAAAAGCACACATAATGTAATTTGTTTAAGGAGTCTTGATGTTGCTCAAAAGAGTATACTTCCATAATTAATTGGAAAATATGCAAGCGTTACAGATGAATGTAATGATTGACTGCCAGATACCCCTTTTATTACCATTAAATCAGTCAATAACATTGAAAGTGGTAAGAGTTTAATTAAATTTCCACGAGAAATATATGCAGTTTCTGTTAATAATGAACAAGGGGTCAATTGAAGCAACTTCATCAGGTCAATTGAGGCAACTTCATCATGTATGCATATCTAACCAAATAATGTAAACCAATCTAGGCTGATTCAAAACAATCCAATCGAAGATGTGTTTTTGGACTTTAGAAAGATACAAGGTAAGAAGCCCTAGACCCTAATGTGATATACAAGTTATAAGAAACCTAATTCACAAGAACCCAAGGAGCCAGAAGTATGAGCTATTCTCAGATCTCAAGGTGTGTAGAGCTTTGATTTCAGTGACAATGACCAACAAAGAAAAAAACCTGTTTTTTTCTAAAAAGAAAAAAGAAAAAGAAAAAGAAAAAAGAAATAGTGCTCAGTTGCTTAGGAAAACACGCAGAGAATGTCGTTTAGTGGCTTTTGGAATTTATAGGGCTCTAAAAACTCTAAAACTGAAAGACAATTGTGTTACTCACGCAACACGTAAACAACTAGAGTTGCATGCAGGCAACAGCCAGTGCATATGGTAGCTTCTTGATAATGATGATGCAGCGATGCTGATAAAGTTAAAGGAAAAAAGTTGGACCCGTATTCATATTCATATTAACCAGTAGAAAGAAGGTTACTGACTCAATGGCCTAGCTGGCTGGCTGATACATGGCCGTTATTCAGAAATTTAAACAGTATTTAAAATTTATCCCTCTTCACTCTTCACAAACAAGCATAAGAGCAGCAAAGAATCCACTAGTGCTCTTCTTAGTAAAGGTTTTGGATTCAAGTCCTAATATTTGTATAGTGTGTGTGAGTATATAGTATCGCTCTTCTCAATAGAAAAAAGTCCTAAAAAAACAAGCATAAGAGCAAAGAAGCAGAACTCATAAAAATGTATAATATTAAGCTTAAGTTTTTGTTTTCTTTGTTCATTCCCATTTGTAACATTCATATATATATATATATATTATATTCCATATTTATACGATCAGATAAGCTTTGCAGAGTTTATATTATTTTCGTGTTTGATCATCTTGCATGGTTTGTAATTTTGTTACCTGCAAAGCTTCAGTGTAATTATGAAGTTTAGCAATATTTAAAGTATAGAGACATGGATATTGTTGTGCTAAAGGACAAGTAATTTGATGCTTTCTGTGTATTTGTAATAACTTGGTGCAGAATGCAGATGGAAGTATTGAATGAAGAGATAAGTAAGGTTAAGGAGGGAGAGAGAATTATTAGACTTCTTTAATATATTAAGGGTGTTTTGATTTTTTGTCCTATAGAAATGAGAGCTGAGGCCCTGAATATGACGATAACAAATGAAATCATAAAGACTATGGATTGATATATAGTGCTTGTATGCCACCAGAACAAGGTGCTTGTAACTTTAGTGATTAAGAGCAATGTTTTACTCATACACCCGAGGTCTTAGATTCAATTCCCCTCCTCTTGTATTTTAAAAAAAGACAGACAAACAAACATTATAGTGATGGTTGCTGCTGAATGGTAAATTGACCGCAAAGCAATAAAGCCGCTAAACATCAGGTGTTTTTAGCCTGCAAACCTCCTCATACTGAAGGGATAAAGTTGACTGTTTGATTGTCTCTCAGCTAACTTGGCGCAGGCCCCGGTGATTGAGGGTAAAGTGGGGCTTGTACTTGTGTGAATCTAATGCAAATGAAAAGGGAGTTGGTTTCGATTCTTTAGCTATTCATATCATTGGAGCCATATGCTCTTTCTAGGATCCTTAATAAACAATTTACACTAAAAAATTCAAATCCAAATCCCTCATTTTGTATAACCCATGTAGGTTATTATCTCCACGTTCAAGAAAGAGTCATTTAGATGGGATTTAGAACCTAAAAAGTTTCTTAAACCTCTGTTTTTTGTTTTGTTTTGTTTTTTTAATACAAGAGAAGGAAGATTTGAACACAGGACTTCAAGTGCAAGGGTAATTGCTCTTACTAGCCCCGAGGCATAAGAAACCTGCACTGTCATCACAGAAACTGTCCTCTGTGACTGTCATCACAGAAACGCTCTCTCTTTCTTCCATTCTGAATTAATCCAAATCTCGCTGCAAAACCCAGCTGCATTCTCTTACCAGACAGCACAACTTCCTCTGTTGTTTTTGTTCTTATCCTGAATCGATCCAATTATCAATGCAAACAAGGCCTCCACCTTCGAAAAAAGTCCATAATTTTTTAATGTAAATGTTTCCTTCTACACAGATGACTTTTAAATCACCAAAGCAACATCATAGTTCCGATCCGACAAGTATTGTGGGCAACAAAAGTGTGCTAATGGCAAACACTGTAAGCATATGCTCAACACCCATGGGACTAAAATGACAAGATATTAAATATCCGTTTAATCTAAGACTCAATGAAAAATGATAAAACCCATCTCTGAAACTTAAGTTCCACAAATGAGATCGGGACAACAATTTGATTAAACAAAACAAGAACAAAACTATAATGAAATCTCTGCATATGACAAGTAATAATGAAACAGTCCGATCTCCCAAACTCATAGCAAAGGCTTCTTAATGTCAGAAGTATTATTCCAATATATTCATTATTGTCATGGTGATTAAAACAAATAAATAAAAGGGATCCTTCAGTAGCCAATAAACAAATCCTTTTAGGACCGGTGCAGCAAAGTTTCTTTTTATTTTCTTTTTCAGTCACGGCTGCTCTTTCCTCTTTTTATGAAACCATGCAGTCCATGCACAAATAAAACCAGTTTCAGTCGAGAAGGGAGGACTAGATTCTCCACCCAACTTTTGGGTTTAATGATACAGCAGCATGAAAATCAAATTTCAGGCTTGGACATCGATGGTTTTCCCTTCAAGTAAGCAACGCTGTCGTTTTACAAATCGGGCACAGATTCTTCTGCATTAGCCACTGCTTGATGCATTTGGTGTGGAAGTCATGCCCACAATCTAGTGTGCCAATATCATCCTCATCATTATATTCCTCCTGCCACGATAAGGGTTCAAACAAGGTAACAAGAATAAGTAAATCAGCAGCACGAAGTACTTGAAAGCAACTAGCTGTGTTCTTGTGGGGATAGACATAGCCACATAGCTCATACCTGACAGACACAGCACGGTTCCATATCTGCTGAGGATTCTGCTGTTACCGAGAGAAATTTTCGCTGTTTCATTAACTTCACAATGGTCTCCTCACTCAGTCCAGTGCTAACGTCTCCTATACGTTCCTCCAGTGCCAACAGTTCCTATTGTCCAACAGTATAGTTATGGGAACAATTTTGAAGCAAAAACCTATGAGAAAATACTTGCCCTCACTTGCCCCCATTTTACCTCGTAAGACATGTTATCAACATCAAGGCGCATGTCTCTGTGCCTGTCGTGCATCTCAGCCATGCCATGATATATGAATGGGTCAAAGAGCATATAATCCTGACATCACATACAAAGCTTGATTGTCAAACATATACAATCTGTTGTATATAGCAATAAGCTAGCGTTCTTCCCCTCGCTAAACATATACAATCATGGACAAAACCATTTGCTTGCAGCTTAATTATGCTACCCCCCTAATAATTGTTAGTTTCACAAACTATTTTTCCACAACCGTATAATTTCTTCACACATGCCATTTTCTCCCACACCATCAAATTATAATCTATATCATGGAGATTAAAGATAATTGATTATACAAATATTTTATGCACTTATTCAAAAGAAAATCCTATATAATGCCCATGCACAAAGAACAATGTCCAATGCCGCACAAAAAATGGTGGAATAACCATCCTTCTGCTACTTTTTTTTTCATAGGACATAGTTCTCCATTGGTTAGCATGTTCACCTGGTAAAGCATGCAGATCTATTGCCAGAGGCCAAAAGAAAATAAACTAAACAGCTTCACATAGCATTAGAAAGTTGTTAGCTATATATAGTTGTACTAAAATCATTTTGGCGGGTTTTCTCCATGTCACAGCCAGTACACCATTATTTAAGCTGGTATATGCACCGTAGCAGTTAAAAACAGATTCCTAAACCTGTTCATAGATATGGTCTCATTATACAGAAATAGCTATGGCAAATTAAGCTGGAAGATATTACCACAGCTTTTTTTCTACAAGAAGACAGAATCAGATGTAATGCAATATACCTAAAAAATTTGACGGCCTAGGAGCCGCTAATTATTGCAATTGCAAATAACTAAATTCCAATAGCACAAACAAAGCTCACTGTTTAGTGCTATGGCACTTCAATGTACACATGGATAAAAAATCTAAAGTTAAATTAATCAAAGCATAGGCAGCACAAAAAACCTGAATCTAAGACATCTAACCTTCTACCTCCATATTTTTGAACTTCTCAAAAGACAATGACTATCGGCCTAAGCCAGCTACCAAAACTACCTTAGCAGTTGCAATAGAACATATAGAATTCCTAGTAAATCAAACAGAAATTGATGTAGAGGTCAATAGCAAACCTCGGCTCGTAAGTTCTCACCCCTGCGCATAGCATTCAGAACTTGACGAATCTGGTACACACAGTAAATTATAATTGTTAGTTCCAGAGGGAATGGTTCTTGCAAAAATTAGTGGATATACAAGAACAGAAGTTGAAAGCATTAATGCCATCATCTCTCTAATCAGAGGCAAGAATTTTAACCCTGTATCCAACCATAAAACTGATCCTTAACAAACAAAATGTCTTAAATATGAATATAACAAATATCAAAATGGTAAAGAACAGCTTAATTTTGCTAGTCAGAGGTCAAAGATAAATACAATCTACGGTAAGGCAGTATTACAATGCAGAATTAGCTCCCTAAGAACATACAAAATAATTTTAACCTCTAATTTAAACAACTCAACCACCCACCCTTTTTGAACACCTTCCCACCCCTTTTTTTTTTTTTTTTTTTTTTTTTATAGCAGATTATGACGCTGGCCTCTTCTCCTAATGCTGCCCTTTAAAGTAATTTTGTGCAAGGGTAAATTTGTAATAAAAATTTATTTAAAATGGGGTGGGTAATGGGAGGTGGAAATAGCACAACTCAAAAGAAAAAGGAATGCAAACTCAATTCTGAAAATGGCATAGCCTTGTTATACAGACTATAAAGAATATATGAGTAAACTCGAAAAACAGGACAAAGAAATATAGAGCACAAACCTCAGATATGAGTCGGCGCCTCCCTTCAATGTCAGCTGCTAATGCCCGCAGTGAATGGGGCATATTAAGAACATCATCACCCTGCCGGTCCACCGAGAACGCTGACCTAGGATATGGTAGATGACGACCCTGGTTATTAGATCCAGAAGAACTTCCTGAATCCTGAGAGGAAGCAGAAGGTCTTGGAGGTACTGGGTTATAATGACTATGACCTCCAGGTTGAGAATCAGAAGATGGAAACAAAGACCAAGGAGAAAATTCTGTCACTCTTTGATGATTTTCGGTTGGAGGGTTGTTGAGAGGGATCCATGCAGGATTAGGCAAAGTACGAAAGCCAGAACTAGAGCCAATTCTTGAAGAGGAAGGCGCACCTACAGAAGTGCTTGTGTCTCCAGGTGCCAAACTCCAACCTGTTGGATCCTGTGCTGAATTTCTCATATCAGTGGCAGTTGCAAATGTGGAATGCTCCACATTGTTTCTGGGAATGCTTCTTAAGTTTGCTTCTTCTCTTAGCTCAGAACCCCTATATCCAGACATAAGAGAACTTGATAAGCTGCCCACTCTTGAACTGGAAGCACCATTCCAAGGTAAAGGAAGCAGGTTTCCAGACGAACCGCTCATATGCATAGCAGGAAACTGGCTTTGGGGACCACCCGAATTTGTTGCAGCTACAGTTGTTGATCTCCCTTGTGACGATAAATTAGACGGTGCAGATTCTTGCTGAGGCCCAGTACAAACCCCCCTAGCAAAAAATTGTCTCAGTGGGCTTTCTGCATTGCCCGTAATACCTAATGAAGGAAAGGTATCAGATGCTCCAAGTCTCAAACCAACCCTTGATCTTGAGTTCTGCTGTTCTGAAGGACTACCGCTAGGGGAATTACGCAAGGGTGTAGATAAACTTAAATTACTAGAAGGATTATAACGAGCAGGACCAGTATTCCAAGCACCATTTTCAGCTTGTGGAAAGGAGCTAGAACTCCCACCAGGATAAGCCTGGCCAGAAGTACCCTCAAGGGCCTTTCGCTTGCAGGATGAACCCCAATTTCCGAAAGAAGAGCCTGGATTACCATCACTTTCCCCAACCACATAATCAGAGCTTCCTGATGAAGTCCCAACAATATCAGGTGAACCACTTCCAGAAGATGTCTGTTCTGTTTCTAATCCACTTGACTTGTAGAGATTAGGTTCTGCATTAGCTTCCATACCATGCTCACAATTACCGCTACTTCCCACATATCCAGCATTTAGATCTGCATTCTGAGGGATATAATTAGAGCTAGAACCCTGAGAAAAAGAAGGCCCACCTTGAATCTGATTGCCACTGATAGCTCGCCCAGGGAAAAGGATATTATTTTGTTCAACTCGTCTTTCTTCTGAATTTTGACCAATCACAGGACAAGCACTACATGAAGATGACCAACCTTGTTCCATTTTCATCCCATCATCATCAACTGGGTTTTCCAGATTCAATCTAGAGCTAGGTCCACCTGAACCAGTCAAGGTCTGGGAGTCATGACTAGTGGCATTTAAACATGTCATCTCACCAGACGTCACCATAAAACTTGACAACCGGGTTTCTACAGGATTTAGCATATTATTCAGAGAAGTCTGCTGACTCATACCAGTGCTGTTGGAAATGGATCCCAGCCCAACTTCTGTTATTTCTGGGAAAGTATCAATACTACTCCCTTGACCTTGCATTAGGCTCACCAAATAAACCTTGTAAAGTGCAGATGACACTATATTTACAGGTGGTTTGGATTAAACACTTCTTCAGAAGATCTGGAATATGTGCACAGCAGTATAAAGGATAAATCTCAACTCAATACTGGAACCTTGAAAGTAACAGGTACACAATTGCAAAAAAAAATTCCAAATTCAAATACAAATAATAAAGTGACAAAACAGGATTTAGAAGAGAGGGGGGGAGGGGGCAGTGAGAGAGAGAGAGAGAGAGAGAGAGAGAGAAGATAAAATCTGAACGTGAATTCTTGCAACATTGGATATCTACTTACTAACGGAGATTGGATGATATAGAATAAATTTCTTGCATTATGTACATGTCTTCAACTGAAAACCCTGACCCTGAAAATTGATTCAAAGAAAAAACATATGAAGGCAAAAATTAGAAAGTGCATGAAACATTAATACTAAAATAAGTGACAGGCACATTTGACAGGCTGACAACTAGCAGATCAGTTACAGCTGAATTGGCCTCAAATAAACTAACAAAAGGTAAAACTACATAATTAAACAGTCAAGAGGAGTTTAACAAAGGAGAGGAAGAAAAAAAAAGTGATGTAGGACAAATTGAGAATAGATAGAACTAAGAGAACAAAGAACTGATTCTCAATCAATAAATCTGAATCAATTTCAATTATATGACAGAGTTAGATCACCCTCTTACAAAATAGCCTCTTTACATAGGCAACCCCATAAGAACAAATGCCTAAACTATCCTAATATAACTAGGCCCTAAATAATTATAAGTAAAACCAATTAACCTGTACATTCTCTCCTTGTTAGAGAGAAGTTGGACTCAAACTTATTCAGACAGATTGAGTTAGTGGAAAGAACCGATCAAGATAGGTCAGAACCTGGCTGAACTCAAGAAAACTAAGTCACACTCAAATTTAACTTGGTCATACTCTGGTGAAGCTGGTCACTCAATTACAATTTGGGGGGGAATCCCGCCAGATGAATTAACCCCTTAAATGCAATAAACAAAAACTAAATAAAATGAACTTAATTTCTAAACACTACTGCTTATACCTAAAGAAAACACAAATTTACTTCCATTATCATTAAAGTCACTCAGACCATTTTGATCTAAGATTACCAGGAGAGTTTCACAACACTGAGCACCCCTTTCACACTCTCAATTTCGTTCCTACATTCAAATTCCATCTCAATTCAACTCTTCTGAGCAATTTCTACTGTGGACATATATGTCAAATTATGTAATGACAGTTATTAACTTCTGTCTTGGCTATGTTGCAGTGAAAACTTTCTGTAGAAGTTACTTACTGGAAACAGTGCAGCCTATGAATCTAAGTGGTGCACACAACCTAAAGAACAATGGTCACTGCTACAAACGGCCATTGATTTGTCAGTGATTCTAGGGGGATTGCAAATACCCAACAGAATGTTGTAACAACAACTTTAGAAAAAAAAACAAAAAAAACAAAATGAGAGGCAATTTGCTAGCCCAAATGAGATGCAGAATTATAAAGCTAATATTATAAAGGGCTAAGCTTTAGCAACAAAAGATGTACCGAGGAAAATCACCACAGGAACAAGAATGCAACATCAAGTGCTATTATAGCCCTCAATCAAATGTCCATAGTCTAACCTTTTCAAAAGATAAAAGAACAGAGAAAAACTACAAAATAATAAATCGAGCAACAATGCAAGCAGGACTAAACATCTGCAATAGTAATGCTTCCCATGCACAACCTACAACCCATGATATGGGTAGGAGAGTAAATGATAAGCTCATAAAACGCAACAAAAGAAAAATGAAAATGCGAAACTTGGGAAAAATCACCCAAGCCAATTCCTTGAACTGGGCTTAATTCTGAAAATACCCAACTGAGGATCTTTGCAATGTTTGCCAAAAACCAACCAAATTCATTTCTTTTTAAATGATTCGATAGCAAAATGACCCAACCCAGGAAAAGAAACTAAAAAGAAACCAAACCCAGAAAGAACAACCGCCTAGGGAGAAAAAAACATATAGTATCAAAGAAAAGAAAGCAGGGTCCTTTGGGTCGGCTCCGATCGCTCTAATTCTTATCATATTGGCATGAAATGAAAACCACAAAAAAGAGGGAATAAAACTGAAAATGGAAGATGACAATACAAGAAATGATAGTCAAAACCCAGAAAGAAGTACCAGAGAAGACATTGAGAAGGAGGATGAGATCACAGATGAAACGGCAGGGATCAAATGGTGAGAAAACGCTTCCCACTCTGTCTCTCTCTTTCCGTCTCCGAGTCTGATTTTTCTCCTTCCTTCAGTTACTACTTCTCATCTTTATGTATAATATAATAATAATTTACTGCTGCGAAAGAGATAACCCGCAATACGACAAAGCCCAACTGAGCAATGGATGAGAGAGAGAAATTAGAGAGAGAGAGAGAGAGAGAGAGAGAGAAGCTGATGAGAACATAAACACGAGAGAGAGAGAGAGAGAGAGAGAGAGAGAGAGTAATGTTAATGTAAATGTAAATGTTGAATGTTGATGATGGTTTGAGATTTTTGCTGAGGTGGGTGGGTCATCGGTGGGGCTGGGTTTGGGTCCGAGTACTCACAGCCAATTCGATGTCCACATAGCTTGCATGCACTCGTTGTGGGTCCTACATCAGCTAATAATATTATTAATATATAATTATAAATTGTTTAATTTAATATTGTAATTTTTTGTGTGCACTGCAGGACGTGGCGTGCTCCTTTGTGGCAAGGGTGTGGTGAGCTGAGCTCCCCCCTCGTTATACGGTCAGTCGTCTCCACCTCCTGTCACACTTTAATTTAGAGTGACAGTGCCTGCAAGATTTGTTCCCTTTTCTGCTTCTTTCGGATTTTTTTTTCCTTGTTTGCTTGCAATGCTATTGGGTTGTATTGGGCTTATTAAAGAGCTGGTGACCTAGGATTTCCGGTGGGCTTCAACCTCACCCAAACTTGTTAGCAGGCCCATTTTATCTAAACTTTTTTATTTTTTATTTTTTATGAGATAGGGGGGACAAACCCCAAAAAGAACCAACAACTAACTAGTACAGACCAGGCGAGGCCTAGCAACTCCTAAAAAATCATCCTCTATAAAGGAGCTAACCCAAGACAGGGCCTCATCCAAATAGCTCACCCCCAAATCCAAGTTAAAGCTCCAGTTAGCCATACGATCAGCTACAACATTCATTTCTCTGTAAACATGAGCAAGGTGACATTTTACCTAAACTTTCAATTGTTTCCAATGTCAAAAATCGGGTATAGCCGCACGGCTAGACTATTTTTATAATAAAATACCCCAGTATCGCCGCATGGCTATACTATTTTTAAATAATAAAAAATAGCACCACCCTAGCTATTAGGTGCGTACTGTCAAAATCATTAAAAAAAGAAAAAGAAAAAACCCAGTATAGCCAAGCGGCTATACTATATATTTAAAAAAAAACCACCTAGTGATTAGGTGATCACGTGTCAAAATAAGTATAGCCTTCTGGCTATACTATTTATAAAAAATAGTAAAAAAGGACCCTCCTAATTGCATTAGTTTATACTTTATACATATTAATTTGCTAGTTTCAACATATCCAAAGCAGATATTGAAGAGAGAAAGAGATTTCACAGTAAATCAATATGAGTTCAATTTTTTTTTATAATAAATCAATAGTAAAAAAGGACCCTCCTAGTGTGAAAATTTTACAATAAATCAACAGGGACTCGGTAATAGCCTAATAATAATGAATAATGTTCTAAACCACTCTTATTGATAAACGAAAATCGAGAAACAAAATTTAAATAAAAAAAATCGCAGTATACTATTTTGTATTTCTTCTCTCACGTGCCCCAAAAGAAGCTTCCAAGAGGCCAGGTGGTGTGGCTTTTGTATTTCGTCTCCCAGAGATTCAATCCCACGATTCCCAAGAACATCAAAATCAAAAGCCCATGAGCAAATGGAATCGTCCACACTTCTAGCTTTACTCTCCTCCATCTCCCAACTCATCCTCCTCCTCCTCCTTTCTCCCAATTCCACCAATTCCTCCAGTTCCTGCGCAAATGTTTTCCCAATCGCCCACAGCTTCCTCTCTTCCCACGAAATGGCCGCCACCCTTTCCCTCCTCACCCTTTCCAGGAAACGAAAGCGAACCCATTTCTCAGAACGAGATTCTGAGCCCACTGACCATGACAAGGACCAAGAACTCGGTGGCGGCGACTCGGTCCAACTGGGTTTGACTCGGAGTCCCGACTCGTTCAGAAACTGCTTCAGAATGACCTACTCTACCTTCGAATGGCTCTGTGGTTTACTCGAGCCGCTGCTCGAGTGTCGTGACCCAGTTGGGTTGCCGCTCAATCTCTCTGCCGAGCTTCGTCTCGGTATCGGCCTGTTTCGGCTGTCCACCGGTTCCAGCTACCCCGAAATCTCGAAGCAATTCGGGGTTTCGGAGCCCGTGGCAAGGTTCTGTGCCAAGCAATTGTGCCGAGTTCTTTGCACCAATTACCGTTTCTGGATTGAATTTCCCAACCCAAATGAGCTTGCCTCTGTATCGGCGGCTTTCGGAAGCCAAACTGGGTTGCCTAATTGCTGTGGTGTGATTGATTGTACAAGGTTTAAGACTGTTATAAATGGCGGCTTTCACGAGGAGAGCATTGCTGCCCAAATCATGGTCGATTCTTCGTCGCGAATTCTCAGCATTGTTGCCGGGTTTCGTGGCAACAAGGGTGATTCAAGAGTATTAAAGTCGTCAACTTTGTATAAGGATATTGAAGCAGGGAGGTTATTGAATTCTCCTCCAGTTAATGTAGATGGGGTGGCTGTACATCAGTACTTAATTGGAGATGAAGGGTACCCTTTGCTTCCTTGGCTTATGGTCCCTTTTGTTGATGCTGCGAAGGGCTCAAGTGAAGAGCATTTCAATGCAGCACACAATCTGATGCGCCTTTCGGCGCTTAGGACCATTGTTAGTTTGAAGAGTTGGGGTATTTTGAGCCGGCCAATACAAGAGGAGTTCAAGATGGCAGTTGCTTATATTGGTGCTTGTTCTATACTGCATAATGGTTTGCTAAGGAGGGAGGACTTTTCTGCTATGTGTGATGTGGATGATTACTCTTTGTATGATCAGAGCTCTCAGTATTATAGGGATACTAGTTTGGAGGAGAATTCAATTGAGAGGAGGGCTTCTGTAATACGAACTGCATTGGCTGCAAAAGCAAAAGAGTTTCAAAACACACAAGTTTGAAACAATATTAGTTCTTTGGTCCAATTGCAATCCACCTAGGAGATTGGTTCAGTAGAGGGAGCAACCTAGAACAATTTTGTTTTAACAGGTAATCTCAGATTCTTTCTTGTTCAGGATAAATACTGTTGATGCAATTTACTCTGGTGTTTCTTTTCTATTCTTTATTTATTTTGGAGTAGAAATTGCTTTTGCAATAATTTTTTGCCAATTTATTTTTGAAGATGTACTCATGTTCAGCATCTTCTACAATAATCAAAGTGCAAAGATTTCCTGTTGTGAATGTGGAAACTATTAATTGCGCATTGTTATCCATTTCTTGATAAAGGCTTAATCTTTCTGTTATTAAAAATTAAAATAGTTTCTCTGTGATCTATTAGAATCCCATCACAGGAAGCCTTAAGTTCAAGAAAAATTCCTCAATCTTTATTGAAAGCAATAACAAGAATCAGAAAGGGTTTGAATACAAGCTTGTTAGCACAAAAACTAATCAAGTAACAATCTGACTTCCCTTAACTAATCCCACCTACACCGAAAACACAATATCTGAAACTACACATTATAGCATCTGACAGTAAGCCAATGTAGTTTGACTATTCTGCATTATAATTGACCATTCATTTAAGAAATTTAGTTGGCTCCTCATAAAATTAGTCAACTGTTCTTCAGTTTGATCTTCAACATCCTTCTCACCTATTCCTTATATAGCTTAGCATTTGCACAACAAACCAGCCACAACTGTTGCACAGCTCAGTATCAATAGAAGCAGCAGCTTCATCTTGCTAAATCTTCAGGATAGCTATTTTCTTCAGCTAATTGATAGCTGGGGTATGGCAAGTTACCTGCCGTTCCACACAATCCCTGTCCTCTAGGTGGTAATCAAAAACCAACCTTCCTAAGTTGCATTTTTTGGAATTAATTCAGACCACTGAAGTAGTAGTGCTTGGGTTACTGCTTAACTAGTATGCAAGCTAGTGCAGCTACTGCCTCAACAAAAATCTGACCTTTCGTAGTTTAGGTAATGGTTTACATATCTCCCAATATGCTTCTTAAGCTGGGATTCATGGACCACAGAATGAATTTTTGAATCATGATGTAAAATTTATAACCTTGGCTTCCACTGGAAAGGGCCCAAAATACTTAGCAGCTAACTTCAATTTTTTTCTAATGTTAATAAAAGTCTGTCGATATGGTTGGATTGATAGATAGACTAGATCTCCCACTTCAGATGATCTTACACTTTGAGTTTTGTCTGCAAATTGTCTCATTATGTTCTCGGCTTGAGCAAATTCTTGCTGCAGCAACTTGTGCTTGTCTTTCTAGTTTCTATAGGGTGGTGACATGAGGACAATATCAATATCTTTTTACTCACTTTGAGATCTTTCTCTGTCATGCGTCTTAGATATGTTTCAAAACAGCTTGTAACTCTTTTAGTATGTCGATCAGTTTGTGGATGATAGGCAGTGCTCATATGCAGGCTCAGTTCCGAATAATAGATAGTGATAAGTTATTAAATCTTCCCATTTGTTTGATAGCTTTAGAAGACTTTGTCAAGTCACAAATAGATGGTCTTCCATGCTCAATATTATGAGCTAGAAATAGATGCGTCAAATATTGTAGAAGGATGACCTAGAGCCAAAAAGTGGCTATATTTAGTAAACCTGTCTGTTACCACCAAGTTAAATCCTTTCCTTCTGACTTGAGCAATCCTTTCATTAAAATCCATGGACATGTAACTTCAAGCTTAATTGTGAAAATATTGAAGTTGTACTGCAGGTAATGAACTATCTAGACCATCCTTGTGGCTTGTAATTACTCTTTTAAGCCAGTTTGGAACCCCTTCTCTCTACTCCCTTCTTATGTTATGTTTCGTAATGCATACCGAGAAGCTTGGTTAACCATTTCTGCTGCAACAAGGTAAACCCTTTGCTCGGAAAAAGTATTTAAGGCTTCGATGATCAGTTAAGTTGTAATGACGTATTGGCTTCGATAATGGCCAAGAGTTAATTTTCGTAAGTAGACAGCCCCGTATTCCTAGGCCGTAGTGGTTTGCTAACAAAGGAATTGGCCTTGCCTCCTTACATAACTGCTCCAAGACCTTGGTTGCACAGAATCATGGCCTTTTTCAATAGTTGAAAGGCAAGGCTGTAGAATTCAGAACTGACAGCACATTTAGATTACAACCTCATGCTAGAAAGAAAAACAAACGGTTATTATGTACTGCATAGACTATATAATTATGCAAAAAGAGAGATGTCCTGAAATTTTAACGAAAAGCCAGCCAACGGGGTTGGCGAACCATAGACTAGTCTCATTATGGGGACCAAGCTTCATAAGATAAGAGAGCAAAATGGCGTTCTCTGTCCTCCAAGTGTCTGATAAGCAAAGGAACACCCTACCTCACCTACCAACTGAACTTTTCATTATATTTACATAATAAAAGTATTAACAGCACTAAGGAAAGATGAGGATTATTAAAGTAATTTATAGGATAAATGCTAAGAACAGTCGTTTATGAGAAAAAAAAATACAAAAAAATTCTAAAGGCCATCGTTTAATAGGAGAAATGCTAAGGGCATGCATCTACGAGGAGAAATACACGCATGGGTGGGCGACTAATCCAAACACAGCTACCTCGTAATAGTAGATTTTGTTGTTAAAAGAAAGGAAAAAAAGAAGAGGATTTTAATAATAAGATCCAGACAACAACTCATTTTAGCAAAATGGAGGCTTAACTTAAGAGAGAGAGAGAGAGAGAGAGAGAGAGAGAGAGAGAGAGAGGAGGTGGTCTACCTACCGTAACGCCTAAAATGCCAAGTTCATCGCACTCTTACCAACTTATTTTCCACTAGAAAAGAGGAAGTGGATCCCACCTAGCCATGTGATTACATTAACTTTAATGAAATTAGCATTATCAAATTAATTAGCTAGCAAAGCTAAGTATAATTATAACCCACACTATAAGTTAGAGCATCCACAATGATGCTCTCTATTTCTTAGCTAAAATTTGGCTAAGAATATAAGAAAGCTATTTTAGGAGCTCTCTAAAAAATTTCAACTTCAACCATACTTCATAATTTGGAGAGTCATAAATGCTATAACTCTTTTTTGATTGGTCCATCTCTATTAAAAATAAAAAATAAAAAATAGTTAGCATTAAATAAAGGTTTGAAATACTCATTAAATAAAGCACAATTAAATTATAGGGAATCACTAGAAGTCCTTTCTCTCTCCTCAGATTTAGGAGCTCCTAGAGGACTCCCTATTTTAAGAGGTGGATAGGGAGCGTGGTTTGAGTTGCATTTTTACGATTTTTTCCTAAAATTTGTCTAAGGAGGTGATTTATGGAGCCCATTGTGGATGCTCTTACAGCAGTGTCAACCCAGCAAAAATAATACAAACTAGTGTCATCACACAGGGAACAACACTCTATGCAAATTGAATGTATTTACTATAAAAATCAAAACAAATTTCATATTTATTTCATATATGCACTTATTTCGAATATAATTTCTTCTTAATAATATATGACCGTGATAATAAAATTTCTTTCGTAATTAAAATTTGGGAGAAATCTATCCTCAAATAATAAGTTTAGGTTTAATGTTGAAAAATATTGTAACTTGGAATTCCCGCTTTTCTTATTATTTCCATAAATTAGAAAGTTTTAGCTGAAATTCCATCAACATCTAAGTAAACTCCCTTGAAGGAAAGAGAATGATGACGTGATAAATACACAAAATGGTGTCACCAAGAAACCAACCACAACTTTGACCCACAAAAAATTAAGAGCCAACCAGAACGCCACAAGTCTACAACCAATCATACCATTACCACATGAGGAGATATTATAGAATGGTATCGTAATCACCACGTCAGCTGGTGATACTCCTACTTAAATTTTTCCATGTAAAAAAAATAAAAAAATAAACTATTTATCCAACTGGATTTAAAAGTTTATCTTTATATTTTCAATTTTAAAAAAAAAGCAGCCCCAACCCTTCCTTGCCTACAAGTTCCCCCACCCCCCCGAGAAATTATAGGATGGTACTGTATTACTATGTCATCCGGCAATACACCCCTATTCAAATTTTGCCATGAGTGGGTCACACCTCCAAAGTACGAGTCTGATTCGTTTGAAGTCACAGAACCCTCTCACGACAGTTTCACCAACCCCGGACCGGATTTGGTGGTCGGTTCAACCAACCATCCGGTTCGAACCGGATACTTCATTCCATATATACCTTGTTCTTTCCTCTTTCTAAATTCAGGTTCATCTGCCTGTATATCCATTTAATCATTTTAAGCCAAGAAAACTGCAGAAATCCAAAGCCAGCAGAGCAACAGAAAATCAAAGCTAGCAATGGCAACCAATGGAGAAAACCAGCAAAACCAGGCAGGGAGGCACCAAGAGGTTGGCCACAAGAGCCTCCTTCAAAGTGATGCACTTTACCAGGTAACCAAACACATACATACAATCAAAGTCGTGAATTTTCAAAATCTCCAATAACAAAAAAGGAATTTTAGAAAGTTGGATGGTGATTAAGCTTAAAGCTCATGTTTTTCTTTTTGGGTTTTCGATTTTATTTTGTGTAGTATATATTGGAGACAAGTGTGTACCCAAGAGAGCCTGAATCCATGAAGGAGCTCAGAGAAGTGACTGCAAAGCACCCATGGTTTGTTCTGATTTCATCACCCAGATTAAAATTCATCAATTTTGGAAATAACCCTTTTGTTAATTTCTTATTTGAGATTGGTTGGTTGGCTGATGTTGGATTTGAAATTTTGGAAAATAAATATAGGAACATCATGACCACATCAGCTGATGAAGGCCAGTTCTTGAACATGCTTCTCAAGCTCATCAATGCCAAGAACACCATGGAGATTGGGGTCTTCACTGGCTACTCCCTCCTTGCCACAGCCCTTGCCATTCCTGATGATGGAAAGGTCGACTATCAATCCCTCAACTTCAATCAAAAACACCTCCCAAAAAAAAAGAAAATTTTAAATTATTGTTTTGTATATTAATTTGGGAACTTTGTCACAGATCTTGGCCATGGACATAAATAGGGAAAACTACGACTTGGGTCGTCCAATTATCGAAAAAGCCGGCGTTGCCCACAAGATTGACTTCAGAGAAGGCCCTGCACTCCCAGTTCTCGACCAACTGATCGAAGATGTAAGTTTATGTGCAGTCTTTCATGTTATGTTATGTTATGTTCGGAGTCTAACATGTAACATTTCGGTTGATTCATGGCACAGTACATAATACTAAAAAACTGTTGATGTTCTGTGCAGGAGAAGAATCATGGGTCGTATGATTTCATCTTCGTGGACGCAGACAAGGACAACTACATCAACTACCACAAGAGGCTAATTGATCTGGTGAAGGTTGGGGGTTTGATCGGCTACGACAACACCCTATGGAATGGCTCCGTGGTCGCGCCCCCTGATGCCCCGCTCCGCAAGTACGTTAGGTACTACAGGGACTTCGTGCTGGAGCTCAACAAGGCTCTCGCTGCTGACCCCAGAATTGAGATCTGTATGCTTCCAGTTGGCGATGGCATCACTCTCTGCCGTCGGATCAAATGAGCAACCCAATTGACCTTATCACATTTCCTTGATGAAGCAAAGCAAATGGGTGTTTCTTTTCTTTTTCTTTATTCTCTGTGTATTTGTATTTGGATGGGTCGTGAATGTTGAATGTGAAGGATTAAAAGGCTAATCCCATATTAAAATGTGCCGATTAAATTTGATGCCATAATTATAATAAACCAAAAAAAATGATTTCGTTTTTTTTCTTAAACTCGTTATTTGTTTTTGCGTAATTTCTTGGTGAAATTGTCTTTTGATGTATCACCAACTCTTTGTTCGTTTTCTGCATCAAGAGTTGAACTTAGAACCTACCTTTGAACTTACCTCTTACCAACTGAAATCAAATGAAAATCCCAACTCATGCAAGAGTTATTTCTACGTTATTTCAATCAAAATAAATAAATAGATAAGAACATAGATGGTTATGAGTGCAACACCCTAGTTTAGTATTGGTAAGAAAATGACGTTTTTGTTATTCATTTTTGTGTATACTTTGTCAATTGACGTTGAATGCGGTGAAGATTCGTTCATCACAATAAATTGAACAAGAAATGTGCACGCTGCCGGTCTTAGCAAGTCCAACCTAAAAATTAATACATTTAGTATAAACCCAAAGTATAGTGGTGATCATGATAATGATTTTGATGTTAACAAGTGGTCATGGTGGCCATCGACCGTCCCAACAAGCAACAACCCATTTGTTGCGCCTCTTTCTTTGGCGTCATAAATTTTATTTTTTATTCTGAATAAATAAAAATAATATACTTAAGTGTGTTTACTAATTAGAAATTGGAATTCTCATCAGCAATTGAATTCCATCTATGAAGGATTCCTGCATTTACTTCATATTAGGGGGGTGTATCCAATTCAAATTTTTAATGACTTTTATAGAGTTTAAAAGTCTGGAGGTATTCAATTTAGACTTTTAAAGAGTATATAAAAGTCTAGTGGTATTCAATTGTGACTTTTAAAAAATATTTAAAAGTTTGGTGATATTCAGTTATGACTTTTAAAAAGTATTTAAAAGTTTGGTGGTATCCAAAAAGTTAATGACTTTTAAAAAGCTTATTGAATGAATGACTTTTCCATACTGTTAAGGCTAATTGTTAAGAGCAAAAGTCTTGCCAATTTACTAGTGACTTTTATCAATTCTATGAGAGTATTTAAGAATTTGTCATCTCTATGAAAGTCACTCACTTAAAAAAAAGTCTTTATAAGTATGAATTGGATACACCTCCCTAAGGAATTAAAAGGTAAGTAGGACCCACATAAAATTAGGAATTGAATCCCTGATTTTAGAGGAATTCAATTCTTGAATGAGATGCGGTATTCTAATTCTTAGAGAACTAACCTATTAGAAATTCATATTTTTTTACCCATTATATCCTCACACAATTTTTAAATTTTTAAATTTTCCAATTACTTTAACCCAACAACGAGGACATTTCAGTAATTAACACCACTCCTACCCCAATTACATATGATTTAGTAAACAACTTAAACAGGAATCCGGAATCTAACTCCCCTCAATTCATATGGTTTAGTAAATCATTTTAATAAGAATTCGGAATCTAATTCTCCTCAATTCAATTCCTTCTAATCCAATTACGAATTAGTAAACATGTCATTAGTGTGATACAATTTTTCATGGAAGCAGCCACAAAATTAAGGCCAAGCCTCCTCATGACAATTCTAAATATGTGGAAATTTGCATACTAAATACGTATACTTTTGATTTTATATTGATTTTATTTTCAACAATTATATATAGCTGAATTTGATATAGTGAGCCTCTATATTTAGCATCAGTGCATTTATACGCATTTAAGAGAATATTAACCACTTGTACCCCCAAACAAAAAAAAAAGAGATTTTAGACAAAACCCAATTTATAACCACTTAATAAAAATAAAAATAAGAGTTTTAGGGCAAAACCCAAATTATTTTTTTTCATTGCGGATTAGAATAGTTGAATTGGGTTGTGTAGAATATAGGTTTGAGCGTGGTTTTTAGCCATTTGAATCAAAGCAATTAATTTGGCATTTTCCTCCTCGTCTCTCTTGTTGTATTTGCTCAATGCTTTGGTAAAATCTCACTCCCTCTACCTTTTGTCTGTTGTTTTTTGTTGTTGTTTTTATACAAATAATATTAAGAGATGGTTAAGTTGAATACAATATCTCAATTGCAGGGGTGAATGGTCTTAGCTTTTGAAACCACAAGCCCTTTGGAAATCTCTTTCCCTTGTATGATATTACTTATTTATTAAAGAAGAGACTGCATATGAGTGTTGTTATAATGCTCGATAACATGTTAATAATAAAACGAATCGACATATTATCGATGCATTTTCAATACTTAGTGATACAAAATCCGTCTTTTAACAGAGAACATACATCTTGAGCAATTTTTATTTTTATTTTTTGAAATGTATATATCATATTAACAATGTTCCTTTTTTTTTTCTTCTAACTTTTTACTGTCGGTGGTGGAATCAAAGATCCGTCTAGTGATTGTGTATGGCCCCCTGTGTCATCATGCAAGATCAAAACAAACTCTGCTGGCCTCTGTACCCAACTGGGCCTTTGTATCCCTTGGTGGAGGACCAACTTTAACTTCTTTTTGTCTTGATCCAGAATGAATGAGATAAAAACTTGAAGGAACTAATCATTCCTTCATTCCTAAATAAATGCGATCATTTACTTATATTTTCTGTCATTATTTGAGTTTATTTATGCATAAAAAAAAAGTCTTTTATTTATGCATTTCGTAGACCCTCTGTTACAACTCAAAAGTGAAAAAGACTGATTATTTTTTTCCTTTTTCTAGGGTCTTTAAGAAACAAAGTCCATGCAACATGCAACCGCCTAAAAAGGGGTTTTGATAGGTCCTTGCTGGGTAGCCTGGGTGTACTTTATGAGGATTGCTCGGGGGTTTTGTTGCATTTCCAGAGTTTAGGACTTGCAATGAAGTTTTGTATGCCTATGACTTGGTACTTCGACCATAGTTTCTTCGATCTTGCTCGTCTATTTGACTTGTAGTTGGGGTTAGATAACTTCAAAATGTATCTAATTCGCATGAGTTTGGTATAATTCAATTTCTATATGGATTGTATTAACGTAAGGAGATGACCATGTGGTGATAAATAAAAAAAGTTGTTCTTCCATCGCATGAGAGTTTCTGCTTCTGTTCTTGGTGATGAGGTGATCTTCCATGGAAGAATGTGAACAAGGAAATATAAAAGAGAAGAAGAAAATAAGACTTCTGAACTCCTTTCATTTCATTGCATTGAGACTTGTGACAAAAATTTGGGAATTGTCACAACGGCAACTTGCATATTTTGACCAACATGAGACATTACACTCCTCTTGTCGTAGACATTGAAGAGTTGAATAGTAAAGGCGGAGGCTCTCTAGGAAGACACGCTGCTTTCTTCACGTTTGCAGGGCCGTTCCTGAGATCTTTATATATCCCCAAAACGATATTGCTGCTGGTTAGTTAGAGTTTTGATATTTCCCTTTTTTATGGCTTCAATGAGACTCGAGCTAAAAAGCCAACTCCGCTACAAACACTTGTCTGTCAAGATGTGACACGCTAAAGTATATATACGATCGATATAATATTAATATTATATAATACAAAGAAAACAAAAATCGGGGGTCATGTGCGGTGACGCCACTTGCACCACCCCAGGCCGTCCCTAAGTCTTTGTTTAATGAAAGTCGGAAGTTGACCAAAAAAAAACATGTCATTGTTATTAAAAAACCAAAAATATTTAATGGCTTCTAAATCCTTTTCCTTTCTTCTGAAAACTACTGTGGAACCAACCAATTCTGATATATTGTGTACTATTTTGTATAAGATGTCATTGAATTGTAAAAAATCAAATAAATAATTAATATATTGGCTAATACATATTTTTTTTTTTTTTTTTTTTTTTTTTTTTTTTTTTTTTGAAAACGATTCATTTAAAAATAGGCTTCTAAATCCTCTATTGACATAATCTCTGTGCAATTACAAGTTTTTTTAAAAGTAATCGGCTCATCATCATACCAATAACAACTTCCAAGCTTAACCAATACAAAGCATCAATTCATAACAAGCATGAGCATCGTACAATTTCCGTGGTCAAGTGACTAATAAAAATACCATTTCAAATCTCCCAAACCAACCACAACATAGTAATTAAACAACACATGTCTTGTTTAATTAAAATATTGTAACATTTAAACTCCAACATACTTAAACAACTACAGAGTTTCCATGATCAAAATTCTGAGAAATTATGAAATACCTATTAAATATGATTTGTTTAAGAAATAATTTTTAAACGATGATTTAGAAAATAAACAGTTCCGATTATGACATATGTGGTGAAGAGTCGTTAATCACAGCAAGATGAACAATAAATGCGCACCAGACCAGTCGGTCTTAGTAAGCCTTCTAAATTAAGATCAAAACCTATAAATTTTTAAATTTAACATAAACTCAAAGTTTAGTGTTTATCATGATAATGATTTATAATCAATTGATGGTCATCAGTATTGGTGTGTTCGGGGGGAGGGGGGACCTCCATCGACGACCCAACAACCCATTTGTTGCGACTCTTTCTTTGTTGGCCATATTTATTTGATTTTCTTAATTCTCCATTTATTTTCAAGGTTGAGAACTGGTGAACTACTTATATCATGTACTTAGGGTTTAATGTGATTCAATTTTACATGGAAGCAGCCACAAAATTAAGTCCAAACTCAAGACAATTCTGAATATATGGAAATTTGCCGATTAAATATGTTTAATTCTCGTTTTCTTTTAAGCAATTATACCAAATTTGAATCTCAAATGATGTGACCGTCCTATATTTAATTAATTTAATTTTAGAAGAGAATTAAAAAACTAAAATGAAAACTTAATTAATCAAAAGCTTGCATCTAACCCTGAACTATCAAAGCAAATTTAATTTTGGTCAAAATGTTTAGTGACTACATTTAAGCAATTAAAGCAAATATTCGGCTCTTCAACCAATCAATCAATCACTACATAAGCACACAGAACTTGGTTTCTATCATTCACAAAACAATGGCATCGCCCAAGTTTCAATTTGGCATTTTCCTCCTCTTCTCTCTTGTTGTATTTGCTCAATGCTTTGGTAAAATCTCACTCCCTCTCCCTTTTGTGTGTTGTTTTGTTGTTGTTTTTATACAAATAATATTAAGAGATGATCAAGTTGCATACAATATCTCAATTGTAGGGGTGAATGGTCTTAGCTTTTGAAACTACAAGCCCTTTGGAAATCTCTTTCCCTTGTATGATATTACTTCTTTATTAAAGAAGAGACTCTATATGAGTGCTGCTATCATTGTTGGTAACATGTCAATAATAAAACGGATCGACATGTTATCGATACATTTTCAACACTTGATAGAAAATCCGTCTTTAGCAGAGAACATACATCTTGAGCAATTTTTTTTTATTTTATAAAAATGTATATATCATAACAATGTTCCTTTTTTTTCTTCTAACTTTTTTTGGTCGGTGTTGGAATCAAAGATCCGTCTAGTGATTGCGTATGGCCTCCTGCATCATCATGCAAGACCAAAACAGACTGTGCTGGCCCCTGTACCCAACTGGGCCTCGCTTCCTCTGCCGCTCTTTGTATCCCTTATGGTGGAACTTTAACCTGTTGTTGTCTTGATCCAGAATGAATGAGATATACACTTGAAGGAACTAATCATCCTTCATTCCTAAATAAATGCGATCATTTACGCATATTTCCTGTCATTATTTGAGTTTATTTATGCATCAAAAAGTCTCTTTTATTTATGCATTTCGTAGACCCTCTGTTACAACTTAAAAGTGAAAAAGACTTCTTAATTTTTTTCCTTTTTCTAGGGTCATTAATAAATTTTTTCCTTCTTAAGTCCATGCAATCGAAATATTGCCTAAAATTTGAGATTCCAAGACATTGTTCATGTATTATGATTTATTTACAAATCCCTCAATTTTAGATTTCATTAATTTGGATTTTTGCAGGATTTCAAGATCCTTAACATTTTTTCTGTTTGAAATATACAAATTTCCTTTAGCAGTCACACCTCAGCCTTTTTAAACTTGCATTCAACCCAGGCAAAATAAAAACGGGTAGAACGAAAACATGTCGTCACCGACAAGTTGAACAAAGCCTTGCATACAACAAGGGATTTAGATAAAAAAGATTTCGCATTCATATATATAATATGAATGTATGGTTCTTTGGATCTAAATCAAAGCAATTCATTAAAACTTCTACTGCAGTGACCAACACCATTCCCAACTCAATCATATTTAGAACAAGAATCAGCACAGTATTACTTGTAATTGAAACACTTTCTTTCTGCATCTACGTAGCAAAGAGAACAGAACCATCCCATTAAGATTGGAACCACTGACCTCTAAAACCCAAACAAGGTAGACTAATCCCTACCTACAAGATTAAAGAGGACCGATGAAAAAATGATTTTACAAAAAAATCAATGACTGCATAGATTTCTGTAAAAAAGCATCGAATGCTATGGTTTTAAGCTTGTCATTGTTAGAAGGAGAAAACAAACAAACAAAAAATTTTAGGGCTTCAAACTGCTTTCCTTTCTTACGAAAAACTACTGTGGAACCAACCCATTCTAATATATTGGTTACTATTTTGTAAAAGACAGTCATTGAGTTGTAAAAGTAAGTCATTATAAATTCTGCCTATAGGATTCCAAGCCTGACGCACTGGATTAAAGATTAAATAAGAACACACATCACTTCATTAATCATAACAAAATCCATGGTCAAATTAGTGGAGGGAAACAATTTATGTACCAAACATTTTGTTCGATGATATTAAGGTTCAACAAATAGAGAGCAGAAAAGGTAACTCCAGAATAGACACAAGATGATAAACACGAATTGCGGGGTCTAAACATATCTCCATGACAATACAAGATGCTTCCACACCTACCAATCATCCAGTCTCAAACAAGAACCATGCGGATATAATTGCAGCTCTCGACCTAATCAACTTACCGTGACAAATTAACTCGAAAACAGGGAACAACATAGCCTAGAACGAAGACGCTATATACATGATAAAGCATCATGAGATATACCAATAAAAAAAACAGTAAAGATTAAGCTTTTAAACCAAACTAAATTTCGCTCAATATAAGCACAATTGAAACCCATATATTCCAGAGCTTTAGCATCAATCATACGAACGTAGAACACAATAGCATACCCAAAGCTAACATTTCAAATCTCCCACATCAACCACAGCATAGTAATTAACCGAAACATGTCGTAATTAATAAAAATATGAGAACATTTCAAACTCCAACATACTTTAACAACTACAGAGTTTCCATGATCAAAATTCTGAGAAATTATAAAATACCAATTAACATCCAACTCCTTAAAACAAAAGCCATAACCTTGAAACCGTAAACAAAAGCCGAAATGACGAAGCAAAACCTGTCCAGCTTTCGCTTTTCCCAAATCAACGGTAAGACTTCTGGAACCTAGCACGAGCACCACGACCACCGAACTTCTTGGGCTCGCAGCGCCTTGGGTCAGCAACAAGGAGGGTCCTATCGTACCTGACGAGGATGTCCTTGATCTCCTTCTTGCTCTGCTCATCGACAAATTTTTGGTAAAAAGCGACCAGAGCTTTGGCTATGCTCTGGCGAATGGCGTAGATCTGAGAGGTGTGACCACCACCCTTGACGCGAATGCGCATGTCGACTCCAGCGAAACGGTGTCGTCCCCAGGAGGAGAATAGGCTCGTAGGCCTTGAAGCGGAGGATCTCCGGCTCGACGAGCTCGATTGGGCAGCCATTGATCTTGATCAGGCCTCGCCCGCGCTTGCAGTAGGTCACGGCCACCGCGGTTTTCTTGCGGCCAAAGCACTGCACTGACTCTATTGCAGGAGCCGCCATTGCTAGGGTTTGGATTGTGCTATCTGAATTGCGAAATGAAAAACCCTAGCCCTAGTAGAAGTGGTGTAAGTGCGCGTAAGTGAGGGTATTTATATGATGGTCTCGGGGGTTTTTTCGTGGGCCCTTTTCCGATAGGCAAAATGTTGTGCTGAATGAAGCGGGCCTGATGGGCTTGTTCGAGCTCAAATGTTAACGGGGACCTATTCACACACCCACAAATTTAATCTCAACACACAGCAAAAAAGTTAATGAGTTTATTACAAATTTGCACCCTACTTTTTGAGTTTAGTCCCAAGTTGATACCTAAACAATTGCAAGTGTCCTTATTGAGGACAAATGGTGACTTCCCTTAATATAACTAACAAAAAGTGGTTGCATGTGTAAGGTGCTTATAGCTCAAGTCGTTAAGAGTATTTATCTATGCACTCGAGGTCCTATATTCAAATTCCCCAACCCCAACATTATCACTATAATATAAAGAGAAAGTTAATCAAATTGTAATATATTCTATTTTGCTAGTGTTTTTTTTTTTTTTTTTTTTTTTTTTTTTTTTTTTTTTTGTTTAAAACACATGAATTACAACAGTAGCATGTTTAAGTCCCATCCTACCCAAAAACTTAATTTCATAAAAATTGAAAACAAAAAGGATGCATTTGATTTTAAAAAAAAGTAAGAATGTGAAACAAAAGTAACATTCACACAATATTAGCATATAGGTTAAATGAGGTTAATGTCAACAATGGGTCTGAATTGGGTCTATACACATAAATGAGACACAATTGCAAGAAATGAGAGCAAGGAGCTCTTGATGAAACTAGGGGGTTGAGTTTGAGTGATTTGGTTTAAATGTAAGTCACAATTTATGTTACATACCTACCTCTTTCTTAACCAAAATTACTATTTGTCCTTATTAAATAAATACCTACATCTTCCTTATTAAATAAATGTATTTATGTAAAGGACCCACTAGTGTAGTGATTCAAGTCCTAACATCCGTGTTGTGTGTGTAAGTTTAGTATACTATCGGCTCTCTTAATAAAAAAAGGTCCTCAAATAAATAAATAAATGCACTTTCAAAAAGTTTAAGAAGCTTGGACAAAATTAAAAATAATTTAGGGACCAAAGTGGGCAAGCCCCAATGTGCCATAAAACTTAGGTGTGGAGAATAATTATCAAAATGTGAATAGAAGTGTCAATCTTTGGTTTCTTCTTGAGAGTGATAGCCATACTTTCCCTGAGTCGTTCTATGGTGAGGATGTCATATATGGATTATAGATGTGAACTTTCATATTAGCCACGTGATTCATCTAAATAGTAACTTCACTTAAGTTTAATGAAATGATCATGTGGCTAATGGGAGGAAGCCACTGTTCTTCCTCCCCTCTCCGCTATTCTCTTCCTCCATTCTCCTCTTCCTCATTTTCAGAGACAAAAAGGTTTTCCCTATTTGTCTTTGTTTTGTTATGATTTTCCTCCAACCATCACATGCGATTGCATCTCGGTGTCAGATCTCCACCTACATTTTGCCGTTGGATCTCCACCAACATCATTTTTGCAGTTTCTTTATTTTTGGAATAAGTCGCAAAGACTCTTTTGGCTCTCTGTGTAGTTTTCACCTCTCCTTTTGTGAGAGTTTTTCATCTCTCCTTTATGAGAGTTTTTCACCTCTCATTTGTTTGAGCTTTTCATCTTTCTTTTGTGAGAGTTTTATTTGTATTGTTATGACTCGGTTTTCTTAACAAAAAAAAATGTAAAGGTCCACATAAGTGGTCTAGTTTTTAATTAGTTTAATTAAATTTAATTATTTAAGTTTGTTTTTCTTTTTTTTTTTTTTTTTTTTTTTTTTTTTTTAGTTTTTTTTTTTTAAAAAATATTTGCTAAATGGCACCCATGCTTACCCGTATCTGGGAATGTAATGTAGGGACATCTTTCTGATCAGATTGCCCTTTTTGCCCTTGGTCGGCAATGTAAGAAATATGGTTATCTAAGAGAACCTTTTCGGTATTACCAGTTTTTTGCCGTGTCGGCTTTGACGACTATGTGTATATATCAAGCGACTATCAGTCTCTCTAGCATGCAAATAAGCCATTAGTTGAGAACTTAGGTTATGGAGCGTTGTGAGAAAAGTTAATAGCCTCTGATGTCAAGCGACTATCAGTGACTAAGAAGATGCTGGCATTCATGCTCCCTATGGATCCAGATCATGATATCCCAATAAGGCCCCGTTTGGTTCATGGAAAAAGAGGCTTGGGAATGAGAATTAAATTGATTTCCCATGTTTGGTAAGTCCAAACATGGGAAATGGTTGCCTGACACATGGGAAAGTAGGGGGAAAGTGAAACCCTCCTCTCAACTTGGGTTTTGTTTTCCCTCCTCATGGGAAAGTTTGGGAAAATGAGTCAACATTCAATGCACAATTTTCATGACTATTTTGTCCCCATGAACAATTTAAAATTACAATGTATCATTAAATACATTCTTTTTTTATTTAATTTAAGAAGATCTTTGAATGAATATTTTGTTAAACAAACTAATGCTTCACTTGAAAATTTAGATGAAGATTTACCAAATGAATATGAACAACCAATAGCCGAAAATGAGAATGATGTGAATGAAGAAGTTTGTGATCTGGATGAAAATGAAAATATTGATGAACTTTTCATGATGAAAATGAAAATATTGATGAACTTTATCATGAAAATGAATGTTCCATAACAAGATTTGATTTGAATATTTATGATCCATGAGTTTGGGATAGTCTCGATCCATTGTGGATGATGAAAAGAAGATTGATCAAATCAAGAAATGCTTACAGAGATTGGGGAGGAAGCATGTAGACTCAAATATGTGGTTTTTGTTTTTGAATGCAATGTTTACAATGCGGGGTACTCTTTTTCTTTCGTTTGGAGTTTTGTCCCATTGGGTTTTCCCCAAACAAGGTTTTAACGAGGCCCCAAAGTGTTATTCCTTGTCTTTTGTAAATTCTTATAATTTTAATAAAGGCACGCTTGAAATTTTTTTCCCTGAGCCTTGGAAAACCCAGGACCAGCTTCTAGTTGTTTTGTTTTCCCAAACGATCTTTAGCTAGAGCATCAAAAATCCAATCGGGGCCATCAATGAGCACCCCATGCTCGAGAAACACAGTCAGCAACCAAATGGGCAACGTGCCACGTCATAACAACCTAATATTATTAATTAACCCTTCTAAGGTCATATCAATAATGTAGACAATGAACCCTGCAGCCAAAAGTACCGCCCTTTGTCTTGAAGCATTGTGATGGATGCGGGGACGGATCCAGAAATCTTCTCTCCGGGGGTCAACATATATAAACTCACAATTTTTTACATATAGAAGACCCGTAGAAATGAATGAAAATGCAATAAAAGTACATACATGTAGTTTTAGTGTGTGTATATGCATGTTTATTAGATTTTTTTTAGAGAACATGTTAATTTATTAGAATTGTTTTTATGAGCAACATGTTTATTAGATTGTTATATGCATATTTCGGAAATTAGAAAACTTAAAAAGAAAATTATTTTTATTTGTGTGCAGTTAAATACTACTCTAGTTTGGTTTCAATGATAGGGAGATATACTCGAACATTAAAAAAAAGACAGGAAGATAAACTCCAACCAAAAAATAATACGGAGATATACTCCAAATAAGCAAAATTAAGAAGTTAATGTGATTACTGAAAATTTAGATGCTATTTAAATTAAGTAAAGAAAAGTTTAATTAGGTGGGGTTGTTATTATCGGGCTGGGGAAGAGCTCTGTTTTGGGTTTTTGTTTTCTCAAACTTGTCCAAAAGGCCATGATAATAAAATAAAACAAAATAAAGTTAAGTGACCTGGTCCTAGACGGTGTCGTTTAGGCCAGGTCAAAAAACAAAAACAAATAAGATGACGCAAGGCAGGTGCTGCCATGCCTTCTTCATTTAGACATTTCATCGAGCAGTTGTTGGGCACTCTTGCCCAGCCATCAAACACGACCAGGGGTCAATCCTTTGGATTTTCATGGCGTTTTTTGAGTTTAGGGATCAATTCACCGCCTTTGCTTCAACGTGGGTCCCTGAATGGATTTACTTTCAGCTTTCATTTACAGGTCATTGTCTCCTATTTACTTTTGGCGACACAAATCAATTAGCGATGACCTGGTCATTAGACGATGATGGGTACCCCACCTCAGAATTACAATCACGTGACTCCAAGACTTTTGTTTTTTTTTTGGTCAGGGCACGTGACTCCAAGACTAAACAAGCGGGAAAGTAAAAATAAAGAGAAGAAAGACATAACCCCAAAGGTTTATATTATATTTACCTTTTGACATAAATTGTTAAAAATTTATCCATTTTTTTTCTCTTTTCTTGGCGCAGATATGGGTCAAAGTTTTTTTTTAACTGCTTGTAAGTTTTTCTCTCAAACTCCATATTACATGATCGAGTTTTAATTAGTTTAATTCATTTCATTAAAGTTTGTTAATCTTTCTCTTGTTTTCTTATTGTTTTCTCTCTAGCTATGTTTTTTTTAAGTTCGTAAAATTTTGATTTTATTGAACTTTTAAAAATATTTCGCTATCTCCTTTTGGTTTTATAGTTCGTAAAATATAGAGTCAACCCACTATTACTTTTAGTGGGCTATGCACATCTTATCAGAGAGACTGTTTAAATGATATGACGTGCATAAAAACTCTCTTTATAAAAACTCCCTTAGTCTTTCTCTCTAGCATATCATTTAAACAGCCATTAGATGAAAACATAGTTATGGAGCGTTGTGAGAAAGAGTTAACAGCCTCTGATGTCAAGCGACTATCAGTGACTAAGAAGATGCTGGCATTCATGCCCCCTATGGATCCAGATCATGATATCCCAATAAGAGTCTTAGATGATTGGGGTACGTCTTATGTTTTCTATTTATCTTGCAGGCAAGACTACAAAAATCCAGTTTTCCAGTCAAGACATTGGAGTGCCTTTCTCAAGGAGAGGGGTGCTAAAGCTGGGGATTTCATCTATTTCTGGCCTCAGGAAAATGCATTTTATCAAACACAATACAGGATTAAGCTGCTCAGAAGTTTTCTTTCCCCAAAACCCAGCTCTCAAGTTGTGCAGGAAGAAGAAGAATAATCTTTAATGGTTATAACTTATATATATATGGTTCTTCTTGCAATACAATTTGCTGTTTAATAAAAGGTGGGTACCTCTCTCTATATATGTATTGGTTTTGTTGTTTGTATGGTATTGTATCGTATCATATCGTATCGTTCTTGTTATGTATATCATATGCTTTGTACCCTGATAGGGATTTCTTTTCTATACATGTATGTGATGAATAAAATTGATGTTGTATTATATATACTTTTACTTTATTTCATTATAAGACAATATCATCATTAATTTAGTTGTTTTATAAATTTCAATTTCATGGTACGTACGTAGCTGGGCATATCATTCTGATATCCCTAATCCAATTTAATTATAATTCCATTACAATGACTTAAACACACTACACTATATATGGCATCCACTTATCGAGTACACAAATTGACTTATTTGGAAATGGCTATGTTGTGTAAAGTGATGATAGTAAGAAAGCTTAAAGGGCGCAATTCGGGCCTAAGTTCGGGCCTAATTCCAACGCTCTAATGAATTGTCTTTCTTCATGAAATTTAGTAGCTGCTAATCAAGTTTCACTTCACCAATGGAGGGACTTGCATAAAATAAGATATTCAGAAGGAAATGGCAGATCAATGAGGTCCGACAGTTCCGACCAGTCGATTGTGTTCACACCTAGCTATTAGTATGGCAAAATTTAACATGGGATTTTCATATGCCAAGGATGCTAGGTAGGTGAGAACCACATAACAAGATGCGGTTCTATTTTGTTTCTTTTTCTTTTTCTTTGCTTTTTTTGGTGAAACAAGGGGGAGTAGATCCCAAAAGAAGACAAAAAACAAATAAGCAAAAAAGGACCCGCAAAAACAACTAAGCAGCAGTAATCATGCGGGTCTTAGTAACCCCTATTGAGTCATCCATCAGCAGAGGCCCAAGCCAAATCGGAATTTCCTCAAGAACCCAGCCAGTCCGTCAGCTACAGAGTTCTTCTCTCTGTAAATGTGGTGGAGTTTACTTCTTGGAAACTGGCTCAGAAGTCTCTTGCAGCTGCTAACCACACCAGCCATAGGGTGATAAAGGTTTAGCTCATTACTCAGAATAAGATTTACAGCATTGACAGAATCCATTTCAGCAATAATATCCAAAACTCTTCTTTGAATAGCTAAATTTAGGCCAAAAAATAAACCCCACCGCTGAGCTTCAAGAATTTGTTCTTTCCCAGGTTCTCTTACAAGGATTCCAGCAATAATTTCAATAGCCCGTAATTTACGCTAATCAACATGTGCAAGTTACTTTTGCAAATGCAACATGATCTTGCCAAGCTTACGTCAGATTTTCATGGGTTTCAAAATATCTTACCAAAATTAACAAATTATAAAGACAAATCTTTCATGGGAGAAAGCTTTAAAAGTTAATGCCATTGATTAAATGAGGATTACATGATGGTCTAATAATACTTCATTTCATATTAAAAAAAAGTATACAGTACGTTTTCTATTTCTTAACTTTAGGCAACGAAAAAAGCTAATAAATTAAAGTTTAACGACATTAAACTTCATATTAAAGCTTCATATTAAAAAGATTATAAATTAAAGCTTTAATGTCGTTAAACTGAAATGAAAAAGACTGAAAACCCAATTTGGGGACTGAATTTGTGTTTCTTTCTAAGTTCATTTGAGAAACCTAGACTTGCTGGATTGATTCGAATTGATTTCTGAGGGCAATTAGAGAAGCGAAAAAATATTGAAATTTGAATAGGTCACTGTCTAAAGTGATGATCTTTGATCAACCAAAGAGTAGTAAACTAGAAAACGACTACTTTTACTTCATTACATGGAAGAAGGCCTTAACAATTAATACGGCAACAGAGCCCCCAAGTTCATATTTTTATTCTCTGTCGAGAGCCATAATATGTTTTTTTTGTCTTCAACAGCTACCTAACAACCCAGTCCGTGCCCCCAGCGAATAAGGGAGTTTTGGGATGGTCCTCACTCCTCAGTGACGTGACATATTATGTTCTTGGCGAGGGAGCTACATGATGGTCGTGTTGGCATGTTCTTGTACTCTCCAACAGTCACTTAATGGCCGAGATTCGAAGTGGATTTTGGGTTATCACTACATGAAGCTAATGGCTAAAGTGATAAAGGGGATAGAGATTAAACAAATGGGCATTCAAACCGACAATTCTCAATGATGCAACAAAGAGTTTGATCCCAGGGCCTCCAATACCACAAAATTTACATCACAAAATTCACATAGCCAACCATGAAGTCTGGCTGTTGTTTAATGCAGGTTTGTAAACAAAAAAACCTATATGGTTTACCATAAACTACATCACATTAGGAAAATATTGTTCTATGATTATATACTGAAAAAGAAGTTGTTGACAATATCGATTTAAATACGATAACAAAAGATTTTAATTATCTCAAGGATCGCATGACATAACTTGAATATGTATACTTTCAATTATGTTGTTTTTTAGGAGCTTTTAATTATGTTTCATTTTGATAATATGTATTTTGTTGTTGCATTTAATATGTATTTGTTTTATGTTAAATGTTTTTATTTTTGTTGGTTTGTATGATTTAATGTATACTTTTACTTATAGAAAAACTATAGAAATTGTAAGTTTTTGTAAGTGAAATTTAAAAGGTAAAAGAAAAAATATATTTTAAAGTAAATTTTTCTCAACCCTTGGATTAAATCTAAGGGTGGGTGACCATAAGTCTCTTGGACCCCTGGGGTCCAAGAGAACGGGATTGCTAACAATAATACTATTACTCTCCCTTACAATAACTTACTCCAATTATTACTTCAAATTTTCCAAAGTCAAAATTTTATTTTCATATATCATAATTGAAGATAATGTCACAAGGAGTTTTTAGAAATTTTTTGTGCATTCTTCTAAATTTTTTTATTCATTTTTTGTGAATTGTTTAATTTTAAGATGTAAAAATGAACCACTGATGACACGTGATGCTATACGATACTGATACCTATTAGACACTCTGATGATGCACCAATCTGGTGCTGCCATGTGTCATTCTATTCCATTTATTAGTATTTTCCAATGCTTGAAGTTCCAAAAATCATAATAAATTCATACAAAAGCTGAAAATTTCACAAAAAAATCCCACAAACTCCTTATCGCATTTCCTTCATCTTTTAAGCTTTACAAATATTATTTTGACATATACAAAATTCAAATAATTTCTCAAAGTCAAGTTTGTTTCTATACTAACAATAGTAATAATTACTCTCCCTACAATAACTCTTCCTCCCATTATTACTTCAAATTTTCCAAAGTCAAAATTTTATTTTCATGCATCATAATCGAAGAAAATGTCACAAGGAGTTTTGAGAAATTTTTGGTACATTTTTTGGATTTTGTTTTCATTTTTTGTGAATTTTTAAAGGTAAAGACACAAGAATGAAGCTACGATAACACGTGGCGTTATGTGATATTGACACCTGTCGAAGACTCTGATGACACACCTGTGAAACGCTGCCACGTGTCATTATATTTCATTGTTACTGTTTTACAATTCTTTAATTTCCAAAAATTATAATAAATCACAAAAATTCACAAAAAAAAATCATACGAACTCATTGTGACATTTATTTCATATTTTAAGCTTTAAATCAATTTTGATGTCAAAACAAATAAATAATTGAATACATCCATGGTGGTGGTACGATGGTCAGGTGCAAGGTTTTTAGCTTGCCTTTTGGTTTGGCAAAGATGACAACGTTGAATGATTATATTACATCATCTGTTTCAATCTTCACAACTCTTTCAGCATATTTCCTTGCCTTCAAAGTTGGAAGTTTTTCCATTTCAATGCAATTTCCTTCCCTTTTATAGAATCTAAAGTTATGATAATATTTTGGTTCTGCACTGGACTTTTGCATAGCCTGCATTCTTTTGTACAAATTTTCTTATTCAATTTCTCAAATTTGAATAAGTATTGAAGCCCTAATGAAATGTTTGTGATGCTTTTATGAAACATATTTTGACAAAAGTGAAAAGGACGTGTTTGGAGCTTTACAAACTATGCAATGTGCTAATATTTTCTTCTATTACCCAAAATAATGCACCAATTGAATGATGCTCTAGTGAATTCGTTCAGACACTTTTATAAAACTTGTTTTGATATCGTGATACTCGTAGAATGGATATAAATGATTCACTTCCTCCAATTATTACTTCAAATTTCCATAAATAGTAATTAAGACTTCTTAGTAAAAATAAAATAAAATTTAGGAAGCTTTAGTAAAGTGATGTTGAAGCTGTAGTGAATCCTTTTGAAGCGTTTACGAAACATATTTTTGTGGCAAACAAGTGATGTTGCAACATTTGTGGCAAACAAGCGATGTTTACGAAACATATGCACAGAATGCGACATAATGAATATATCAATAACCCCTCAATAATTTATCAATAACCAGTGAATAATTTATCAATAGTCCACCAATATTGTTTTGTATCAGTCACCCGTCAATAGTTTATCAACAACCGTCACTGCTGTCAATAGTTTATCACTGTCAAAGAAAGGTTGAAACAAAAACACAAAAACACCCAGATTAATGTGTCAGTAAATCAAACCATATATACGTCACCATAAGGTACATTTTTTTCGTAAAATCGTTTTCGTAGATGATATGTTGGCCATATGAGAAACAGCGTTTCTGCAGTACTTTTTTGGGGCTAATAGAGTGGACTATAACTGGGGAGGTCTGATCTGGTGGTACTAGTACGATCCAATAATATTTAAAAGCATGCCCTCTAGTCTGTCTGGCATGCAAATAAGCCTGTATAACTCGCATAAAATGTGTATATATATATCCCCTCCAGTCTCTCTAGCATGCATGCAAATAAGCCATTAGATGAAACTTGGGTTTGGAGGTTTGTAAAAGAAAGAGAGAGAGAGAGAGAGAGATATATATATATATATATATATATGGTTATGGGGCGTTGTGAGAAAGAGTTAACAGCCTCTGATGTCAAGCAAAAACTATCAGTGACTACGAAGATGCTGGCATTCATGCCCCCTGTAGATCCAGATCATGATATCCCAATAAGAGTCTTAGATGATTGGGATAAGTCTTATGTTTTCTATTTATCTTGCAGGCAAGGCAAGTACAAAAAGCCAGTTTTCCAGTCAAAACATTGGAGAGCCTTTGTCAAGGAGAGTGGTGCTAAAGCTGGGGATGTCATCTATTTCTTGCCTCAGAAAAATACATTTTATCAAGCACAATACAGGATTAAGCTGCTCAAAAATTTTCTTTCCCCCAAACCCAGCTCTCAAGTTGTGCAGGAAGAAGAAAAATAACCTTTAATGGTGGGTGCCTTTCTATATATGTATTGGTTTTGTTGTTTGTATTGTGTTGTATCGTATCATATCCTTCAACTCTTTATTAAAATTCAGAAGGAATATGTATAAAATAAGATATTCAGAAGGAAATGGCAGATCAATGAGGTCCGACAGTTCCGACCAGTCGATTCGGTTAACAGAACCGTGCTCACTCCTAATAGTATGGCAAAATTTAACGTGGGATTTTCATATGCCAAGGATGCTGGCTACTTGAGAACCACATAACAAGATGAGGTTCTATTTTGTTTCATTTTCTCTTACAAGGATTCCAGCAATAATTTCAATAGCCCGTAATTTACGCTAATCAACAACATGTGCAAGTTACTTTTGCAACGCAACATCTTGCCAAGCTTACGTCAGATTCTCATGAGTTTCAAAATATCTTACCAAAATAAACAAATTATAAAGACAAATCAAGGGAGAAAGCTTTAAAAAAAGTATGCACGTTTTCTTCTATTTCTTAACTTAAGGCAAATATAAATACTACTTAAGATTGTATAAATTAAAGCTTTAATGTCGTTAAACTGAAATGAAAAGACTGAAAACCCAAATTGGGGACTGAATTTGTGTTTCTTTCTATGAGACATGGAGAACATAATTGCGTCTTTGTTCCAAAGAAAAAAAAATGGCTGCGACAATGTAGACCCTCCTGGTATCCACTCTCACTCACTCTCTCATCTCTCTATCACTATCTTCTCTAATTCTCTCACACTCATTTCTCTCTCTCATTCTCACTCACTCTCAATCTTGCCAAATGGTATATTCTCTCCAAATTTTAATTTTTTTTCATTAATATGTGCTTTTGGAGTTAGTTTTGAGTTTGTGTGGGGAGGGATTGGAGTTTGGGTTGGATTTGTGGTATAACATTTTAGGGGAGATTTTCCCCTTTTTTTTTTGTTGTTGTTTTTTTTTTTTTGTAGGGAATCATCAAGACTTTGATGGCTAAAGTTGAGGATTAGGAAGCTATCAAAACATATCCTCCGCCACTACTACCACAGTACGCTTGTATTAGGATTTTATTATTGTACTTTGTTAATTTATGTGTACATTTTGAATATTATATATATATTTATTGGATAATTTGATCACTATTTTTCATATGTAATTTTATTTTTCATATGTCAATTTAAATTAAAGTAATTAAAAAATATCATACAATTAAATTAAATTTAAAAAGTAAAAAATTTGAAAAAATTAATATAATTAAATTAATATCAATTTAAATTAAAGTAATGAAAAAAATCATACAATTAAATTAAATTTAAAAAGTAAAAATTTGAAATAATTAATATAATTAAATTAATATTAAAGAAATAATAAAGCAAAAAGTCAAAAACCAAAATATTTCGTCGCGCAAAACTCTAAAAATTTGGGTGGGTACAAAAAATGGGACGCGGGAATTTTTTTTAAAATTTTTTCGTCGCGCAAAGTCAGTTTGCGCAACCATTATGTTTTTGTCTTCTAGATGAAGGAACACATACTCAAACTTCTTCACAGAGGAAGAACACTCGTGGCCGAACTATGGGGGTTGGCACTTGTGATGTTGTGAAAAAGAGGAAGAGTTTGATTCCAATACGGATGGATCCATCCCAGAAATTGGTGGCGACTATTAAGGCTCAGAAACTGTTCGTCTCTGAGATTGGGTTAATCACTCGCAATAAAGCTCCATTGAATGTTTTAGGGATGAAAAAAGTGAGCTTGGAGATGAAGAAAGATATGGCATTGGGTTTGCAGGTAATCTTATCTAATTCTTCATTGATTATAATTTAATTTTGTTCATCTAGCTCTCTTTTTATTTCAATTCTTCATTGTATTCTAGTGGGAACTGAAAAATTTGTTCTTCATGTTTCTATTTGCATTGAAAATTATAATTAACACTTGTTTTGTTTATGGTTAATTGATATTAGTTCATGTTTGACCATATGCACTCAACTTATAAAGAATGGAAAGCAAAGCTCCACAGACACTATAAGCAATATGCTTCTAACCCTGATCTTGCACGAGAAACACCTTCCCCTGAAAATATATTTGGTACCCGAAGGACTCTAGAAGAGTGGCATTATTTGGTTGATACGTTGTACACAAATGAGCAATATCAGGTATCTAATGTAACATCTGCAGTTTTCATTTTTTGATTGGGAACTTATTCTAAGTATCAAATAGAAAAAAAGAAATAACAATTCATGTATTTAATCAAAACAGAAACGCTGTGAGACCAATGCTGTGAGAACAGAAAAAAGAAAGAGTTTGATCATACAGGCGGGTCACGTCCTTTCCTAAAACATATGGAAGCTGCTAGAGAGGTTTACAATTTTTGGTCACTTTAAATGTTTATTTATTTATTATATTGTAATACTTTCAAGTATTTCTCATTTTCTTTTTGTTGGGAAAATGTAGAAGGGTGAAAATCCTACATCATTAGCAATTGGAACAACATGCATATTCTTAAGAGTAAGAGCATGTGGATCAATGAGGCTGCTGAAATTAAAGGGGTAAGGAATACATAAACTTGCTGACAATTTACTATTGACTTGCATAATCTGCAATCCAAAAAATCAGCTGATTGGTCATGCAAGTTTTTGACAACCCATTATTTTAGATGCTAATTGTGTACTTTGGTTTTGGCATCATATAAAGGCTTTATCCATTGCAAATAGAACTAATTAATTAGAAACACAATGAAGATGTGTCTGAGTTTTCTAAATTTTCCATTATCTTATATATTGACGACCAAAAAAAGTGCATGCTAAGATTGTTTTGAAACAGAGCTGCTGCAGTTGTACTTCTCTTCCTCTTTGGAGGCCCAATTCCAAACACCTATTAAACAAATTCAGTTCTAATAACCCGTTGTGCTCTTAGAAGTTAAAATTTAGGCCCAATTATAAGGGGGCCATGTTGTTGGGCAAATATTTATAATCCCTGTTTTTGGAAGTTTCTTGTTTGTATTGTTGCTGCTTTCAGGCGATGCAGAAAAAGATCTTATAAGATCTGTGAGTATTTTCAAACTTTCTGCAATCTGCATATCCAAAGAGATCTATTCCATTTTTTATGTGCCTTTTCCTTTTATTATTTGCTTCAAGTTGAAAACGAAATTTTTGTTTGTGACTGTTTGATTAGGATAATTGGCATTGCTGGTTTATGAATACAATTGGTCGTACTGGCATCCCATTTACCTCATCCTTTTTATGCACTTATATATATATTGATATATCTTTATTTTGCTTCTTTTTGTAGAAGAAGATGAATGAAGAGTATGAGAAGGCCAAGCAACAAGTGGCAGAAAGTTCAGGAACTCCACTATATCAAGTCACACTCCCTATCCCACAACAGTTAGAGATCATGACTGTAGAACTTGGGGTTGCAAAGGGCAAGAGGATTCGAGGCTTGGGTTCTAGTCTTCGAGTCGAGAGTTCGCATAGTGGTGGAGTTGCCTCTTCTTTTGCTACAGAGCAAAAGGTTGAGGAACTTCAAGGCACAGTTGGTGAGTTGAAAGGCACAGTAAGTGAGCTTCAGGGCACAGTGGGTAAACTTTTGGATGTCATTGAGTGGATGTGAACCCATGATGGTCCTCCACCCTCATGTTTAGGTGTTCCGTCCCAGCATGTTGGTGATTCTCCTTGTGATGATGATCAAGGTAATAGTGGTGGTTCATGTAATGTTTGTGCGGATCTTGATGATGTTGGAAATAGTCACTAGGTTGTGTGTACATCTACATACATGATGGTTTTTGTATTTAGCCTACCTTGGGGGTTCTAGGGGCTTTTGTATCTAGCTACTTGATGGTTTTTGATCTAGCATATCTTGGGGGTTTTTGTATCTAGCATACATTGATGTGTGCTTAAACAGCTAGTATCTTTTGAATAGTAATTATGCTATTTCTATTCATTTCATCTATTTACTGTTTTTCAAAAACTTTATGGACTAAATAATATTCTGTTACAAAGCTTGAAATATAAATAATTATTTTATTTATTAAAAAAAAAATTCAATACACTTTTTGGCGACGAATTAGTTTTCGTCGCTCAACTGACAATACCAAGATCTACAGATTTGGCGACCAATCTGTTTCGTCACTCATTCTGAAAATAACCAAACCAACTAACATATGACACAAATAAAATACATCTTTCGCGACCAAAACATTCGTCGCTGAAATGTTCAGGCGACCAAACATTTATTTCGTCGCCAAATAATTCCATGTTCGCGGGAATTTTTGGTATTTTGGCGGCAACTCACTCTTGATAGGTGACCAACTTAGAGATATTTAGCGACGAAATTTTGTTTCGTCGCATGGTATCTTTAGCCACGAGCTTTCAAGACGACCTTGGCGACAAAAATATTCGTCGCTATTTATATTTGGCGACGAACTTTGCTGTTATTGCGACCATCTTGTTTCGTCGCTAAAAGGGATTTTCCTTGTAGTGTGATTTTAAGAAATCCATGATGCATGAGTTTTATATGTCTGATCTTGGATTGATGCACTATTTTCTTGGTATAGAAGTAGTACAATCTAGTGCCGGAATATTTATTTCACAGAAGAAATATGTTCAAGAGATCTTAGACAGGTTTGAGATGAAGGATTGCAATTCAGTTTGTACGCCAACTGAAATTGGTTTGAAACTAGTGAAGAATTCTGGGGAGAAGAAGGTTGATCAAACTCTCTTCAAACATATTGTAGGAAGTCTGATGTATCTGACAGCAACTTGGCCAGACATACAACATGCAGTGAGTCTCATTGGCAGATATATGGAGTGTCCAGAAGTGCCTCATTTGGCGGTAGCAAAAAGAATTTTTCGTTACCTAAAGGGCACAAACAATTTTGGAATATTATACAAGAAAGGAGCTAAATTAGGTTTGTTTGGCTTCACTGATAGTGACTATGCAGGAGACCCAGATGATAGGAGAAGCACCTCGGGTTATGCATTTATAATGGGAGCAGGAGCTGTTTTATGGTCATCCAAAAAACAACAGATTGTCACTCTGTCAACCACCGAAGCTGAATTTATTGCAGCAGCAGCAGCCTGCGGCTGTCAAGCTATTTGGTTAAGGAGGATACTTGAAGAATTACGTGGTTTGCAAGAAGGTCCAACCCCTGTCTATTGTGATAACAATTCAGCAATCAAGTTGTCCAAGAATCCACTTTTACATGGCATAAGCAAACACATTGATGTTCGCTACCATTTCCTGCGCGACCTCACAAAGGATGAAACAATTGATTTAATCTACTGCATAAGTGAAGATCAGGTGGCTGATATTCTAACCAAGCCTCTCAAATTACCGGCGTTCTCGAAGCTAAGGAAATTGTTAGGAGTTTGCTATGTGGAGGACATTGCTTGAAGATAGAAGCTATAGTGCACGTTGAAGGTTTCTCTCTAAACTGATTGTTCAAGGAACATTTAGTTGAAGGGAGGGTGTTAAGATTTTAACTAGTTACAACATTTGTTTTTTAATTAAATAAACTGATTATCCTATTATGTAGGAAGTCATGTTGCACGTTGTTATGTTTACCAAGTCTTTAGGAGTTTCTCAAGTAGTGGAGCAGTTTGTTAGTGGTGTCAGTAATGGATTAAGTTAGTAGGAGTCATGTCCTTGAATTTAGCATAGCCTGGTGATGTAATGTTCTATTTAAGTTCAGCTTTGTCAATATACAAATTACGCTTTCCAGCACCTCTTCTCACCAATGTTTGGATTTTTAGTTTAACTCTACACAGACATGCAAAATTTGGCGGCCAAAGATATCATCCCATATTCTCGCAAAGTGCTTTGAAGATGCCTTACTTGATATGATATGAAGGAAGTAGCTGCAGCTACAAGTAATTAATGAAACAACCAAGCATCATATATAAGTAATTAATAATGAGCAATATGCCACTAGTTCTTATTAATAAGAAGTAATTCATACTGTCATATGAATAATTAATAATAACACACTCACGTTTTATTAGAGAGATTATATACAATTTCGTACATAAATAATGTGGTCCCTCTAATAAGGTAAGGACTCTGTCAATTTTTTTAACTAAATCCAAGAAAATTACCCAGATTTCATCCCAATCTTCTTTCGTACTTCTCTGATTGCCATAAATGAGACAATGATCAATATGGGTAGGCATATCCAAAATAGTTCCCTTTTCACACAATCATTTTGCTTTCTATACGACATGTTCTTTTTTTTGGTCTAATTATATACGACATGTTCAATTCAAACTTTTTGCTAAACAGACCCGACACACGAAAACTATTCTATAATTTTTCTCTATTTTGGTAGGACGATCAATAGTATGGGAAATTATTCTCAATTTAGAAGTCATCTCATTTGGCTTCCTACGTCTCTAATTACAATGAGTGAGATAATTGAGATGGGCATTGTCTAAGCTTGACTTTGTGTAATATGCGATGAGCAACTCCATTACATCAACAGCAAGAAAATTTATCACGTGGTGTATAAAATTCAATACTCCAAAACCTTCCCTTTCTTAAAAAAAAAAACCAACGAGGCAATCACAACTTGGACCAACACAAACAACTCTCTCTGTCTCTGTCTCTGTCTCTGTCTCTGTCTCTCATGGAACTTAGGCTGTCTTAGAGTCAGCCCATTTTTCTTCCCTACTCCTCTAATTGCAATGGATGAGATAGTTGAGATGGGCATAAGCTTGACTTTGTGTAAGGTGAAGGGTGTAAAGTTGTCCAAAGTAATCCCCTTTTTTTGGGGGTACTCTATTACCTTTTTTTGAAGAAACAATAATTCATCACAACTTGCACCAACACAAACAACTCTTCCATCATCCTAATTTAGAGTCAGCTCATTTTTCTTCCTACTTGAGATAGGCATAGCCGCATAGTCAAAGCTTCACTTTGTGTAGTTGTGCCAAAAGTTATTCCCTTTTTTGGTACAATATTGCATTGCTTAGAAGAAACCATAATTGATTGCCCTTAAGAAAGAGTATATTCATATGCCCATGCCAAAACTAAACTATTACGAATCTAAAGAAAATTATATCACAATGTCACGTAATGTTACTTTAAAATTGAATACTCCAAGAAGGCAAGGACAACTTGAACCAACACAGACAACTCTTCCACCATATCCCTCTCTCTGTCTCTCATGGGTTCCTCAGATGATGACTGTGCAGAGCAGCCCTTGTCTCCACCAGGCCGTCTCTTCCTCCATCCCCGATGGAACCTAACAATCCACTGCGCCATCGGCTTCAAGAACCCTATAGATATAGACGCCATCAAGTCCCGCCTCAAAAACTCCCTCCTTCTCTCCCACCCCAGATTCTCAAGCCTCGTGGTCCGGGACTCCCGCGGCGTCGAGCACTGGCAAAAAGCAACCCACATTGAGCTCGACCGCCACATCATCATCCTCCACAACCCCGTCTCTACCGCATCACAGCCTGTTGACCATGATACTGCCGTCAACGACTACTTGGCTGACCTCTCCATCAGCTCTGGGCTAAGCACTGACAAACCCTTGTGGGAATTGCACCTTCTCATGGCTCACAACTGCTGCGTGTTTCGACTCCACCATGCTTTGGGAGACGGGGTTTCGCTCATGTCTCTGTTCTTGGCCGATTGTAGGAGAGCCGACGATCAAGAAAAGTTCCCAACTTTGGCTTATGGGAAGAAGAGGGACAAGAAAAGAGTGAATAGTAGTAGTGGAAAGGGTTGGTGGGTTTTGTTGATAGGGTTTTTGACTATGGTGTGTTCCAACTTGGTGTTTGTGGTGCAGCTTGTGATGAGGAGCTTGTGGGTTTGTGACAGCAAAACAGAGATCAGTGGTGGCGATGGGGTTGAGCTGTGGCCTAGGAAGTTGGCCACTGCTCGGTTTAGGCTTCAGGACATGAAGCTCGTCAAGAAAGCTGTTCCGAATGCGGTAATTTGATTAATATATATATATATATATATATATGACTTTGCATGGGAAATCTTTTTATTTTTTAGGGCTTCTCCAATATAGATCCCTACATTTTCTATTTCCTAGACATATACCAATCACTCTATAAATCTATGTGTAAAACCCAATTTCAAATTTAAATGACCAGTAGGATATAAGAGGTCGTAGTATTTATATGTTTTTACATCGTTGCCACTAAACTTCATATTTTATTTATAATTTATTTCAAGCATTTCATTAATTGCCATAATTGTAATTAATATACTCCCTATTAATAGCATATCAATCACCCCATTTCTTTTAGTTGTCATTCCCTCTCACATCTCGTCCCTTAAAATTGCAAACAAAAAAAAACAAAAATGTAAATTACATATCCAATAATGTACCTATGAAAAATATAATATATACATATACATATAAAATATAGGTTTATTACCCTTAAAAAAAAAAAAAAAAAAAAAAAAAAGTCAGTACTTTGTAATTGCGTATATTTTTCATAATTAAAAATAGGTACACAATAATTTATATAAAATATAGGTACATTATTTGGAGAGGAAAGATAGGTACATTATTAGAGGAAAAAAAGTGGTAAGTTATTTGGAGAGAGAAAATAGGTTCATTTAAAAAAAATTACGTTTAATAAAACAAATAATAGGTACTTTATTCAGAGAAAAAAGGCTATATTATTTATAGAAAACAATAGGTACATTATTTAGATAAATAATAGGTACTTTATTCGTAGTAGGTATATTATTCAAATGGTAGGTACATTGGATGACATATAATACCTAAATCCTAATTGTAAGTACATTAAAATTAATGTAGGTATATTGGAATAGATAATTATGTGCACTTTTCATACTAGGTAAATTATATTTTTCATAAAAGAAATAGGTACATTATTTTTTCAACATAATTAGTATGTACAGTTTTATTCATAAACAATTATAAAGTGGATTATTAGTCATGTATAATTCATAAAAAGAAAATAACATAATTTTTTTTTAAACAAACCGATTACCCAAATTTGAATTTATTGTTAAATTTTTTAAAAAATGTTCCAAAATTAATTCCTACATCCATTACAACCATTTGGAGATCTTTCCAAATTCAACATATGTCATTATATACAATCCAATTAAAAACTGTTTCCATATTGATTCCTACATTAATATACAAAATGCAATAATGGCTTAGTTGAGGGTATTTTTGGAATCTGAAAAGTACAATAAATAAGATTTTATGCTTAATTAGGTAACTTGCTGAGTTGGATCATAGTCATGGGTTTTTACTTATACAAATTGGGTATTATTTATAGGAACAAAAAGTGAAGGATTTTAGGTATGGCAAATTGAATTTGAAGGGTGTAAGCCAAATTTACTATATTTTTTATTTTTCAAAAAGGAGGTTTTAATTATAACTTTTCTCCCACCATGCAGACAATCAACGATGTTCTTTTTGGTGTGCTTTCATCAGGACTTTCAAGATACCTCGAACACCGAACACCAAATGGTAATTAAAAGAGCTTTTGATATTTCCCGTGCAAATCAAATATTAGGGTGGTACGAAATTCAATTCAATTTGTCCAAATCGATTAATTTAATCCAATCCAATTCAATTTTAATTCGTTTTGAAGATTTTGAGAATTGGATTGGATCCGTAATTTTCAAAACCGTCATGATTATCAGAATCCAATCAAATCCAATCCGATCCAATCTAGTTAGTTTTAGATTTATTTTGCTATTGTAGGTATTTGTCGTTGAAAAGATTATGAATATTTTAAGTCATTTAATGGAGTTATGTTTAATATATTATATAATCAAAATAATTTTCTTTAATATTTCATTTATATTTTACATTTATGTCTATAATATCTTTGATTATATTAAACATAACGATAAATATTAAATATGTATCATTATTGTCTTTTTCTATTATCAAAACCGATTATCCAATTCAATCCAATCCAATATCAATTGGATCGGATCGGATTGGATTTAAACATCTAATATGATTGGATCAGATTGAAAAAATCACAATCCAATTTATATTGGATCATATGCGGATTAACTAAATTGTATTGATTTTGGACCGACGTACACCCCTATCAAATATAAGTCACAATTATGAAGGGGTAGCAATTCAATACTAATTAGTCACAGACATATATGCATAAATACTTTCTGATTTTGTGTAAGTTAATTACTGTAGCATGTCATATTCGTTTTTTTTGTGAGGTAACTAAATTTGTAACGGGTTGGAGTAGTGAAAAAATGATCACTCCTAAGATGAGATAGCTAAATTAACTAAACCCAATTATTTTTGTCATCATTCAGCTTTGCCTGAGGGGCTTCAAATTACAGGGCTAGCAATGGTAAATCTAAGAGAGCAACTTGGATTGCAGGTTTGTTGTAACTTGCAACCCTATGACTTGTTAATTAATTCTCTCTTTATTTTTCTCATGAAATGATTGAAATTAATTTCAACTCCTGGTGGTTGGATGGAAATGAAACGAAACTGATCAGGAACTATCCGATATGATGAAAAGCAATTCACCAAGACTAAGTTGGGGTAACAAGTTCGGCATGATTCTCCTACCTATTTATTATCATAAAAGCAACGGCCCTGATGATGATCCTCTGGTGTATCTGAAGAGAGCTAAGGTGATGATTGATAGGAGGAAACAATCTCTACAGGCTCATTTCTCATACAAAAGTATACTTTCTACAATGCCCTACTTGGGAGCAAAGGTGATCAAATTCAGGATTAAAAAAAAATGCATGCAGGGTTAAGTTCACCTTCCAATTTGAATATTGAAATTTTTTACTTTTTTACTGCATGCAGGTTACTGCCTGGCTTAATTACAAGATCCTTTGCAATACAAGCTTCTCTATCTCAAATATCATTGGCCCAGAAGAGGAAATTACAGCCGCAGGCAACACAGTAACTTATCTGAGAGTGAATTCAACTGCCCTTCCACATGTAGTGCCCTCAAAACAAGATCATAAATGTATGTTTTTCTATAGTTTATAATTTATGGTCTGAATGTTTTTGCTGATTGGTAAATGCAGGCGCTCACAATGCACATGGTGAGCTATGCTGGAAGAGTAGACATGCAAATTTCGGTGGCCAAAGATATCATCCCTGACCCGGCATTTCTCGCAAACTGCTTTGAGGAGGCCTTGCTTGATATGAAGGAAGCCGCCAGCTGCATTGCAAGTTGCAACCATGAGTAATTAAACAAGAACCACGAGTAATGGATAATGAGTCACATCATGTGATATTACATTTTTTATTTTAAAACCTTCACGCTATTTTTACTTCTTAATTAACACTCAAATGAACAACTAATAAATCACACGTCCACTTTATTAGGAGGGTGATACACAATTTGACACATAAATGTGGTCTTCCTACCATCAATTTGCTAACTTTATCCAGATTATCATCCAAATCTTCTTACTTCTCTTATTGCCATTAATGAGACAATGATCAAGATAGGCATGCATATATAATCTATATAGACTGTAAGGAAAGGGGTGGTGATAATCTAAATATTAATTTCCTTTTGATACAATAATTTTGCTTTCTATAACGAAAGCAAAAACAACCCGATAACTCCACCCTGTATCAAAACCACAAGGCCAGCAAAGACCACCGAAACATGGAGAGACACATAGGAGAGAGAAAGGAAACCAGAGCCAACGACCCTTCTTCTTCTTCTTTATCTCTCTGTATGGGTTCGTCGGCAGCTGACAAGTTCTCCGACGAGCCCATAACCCCAATTGGTGGGTTCTTCCTCCAACCCCAAATGGACCAAATAATCCACTGCACCATGGGCTTCAAAAACCCCATTGACATCGCCGCCATTAAATCCCACCTCAAAACCTCCCTCCTTCTCTCCCACCCCAGATTCTCCAGCCTCATGGTCCGCGGCCCCCGAGGCCTCAAGAAATGGCACAGGACCTCCCATGTCGACGTCGACCACCACGTCATCGTCGTCCACAACCCCGTCACCGCGTCATCAAACTTTGACCACGAGACCGCGGTCAATGCCTACTTGGCCGACCTCTCCACCAGCTCTGGCCTCAGCGCCGACAAACCCCTGTGGGAATTCCACCTCCTCATGGCCCACAACTGCGGCGTCTTCCGCATCCACCACGCTCTGGGAGATGGGGCTTCGCTCATGTCTCTGTTCTCGGAGAGTTTCAGGGGAGCTGAAGAGGAAGAAAAGCTTCCGGCTTTGGGCTCTGTCGGGAAGAAGAAAAACAGAGTGAATGGTGAAAAAGGCTGGTGGGTTTTGTTGATTGGGTTTGTGGGTATGGTTTGGTTCAGCTTGATTTTTGTGGTGGAGTTTGCGTTGAGAAGCTTGTGGGTTTGTGACATAAAAACAGAGATAAGTGGTGGCGATGGAGTTGAGCTCTGGCCTAGGAAGCTGGCCACTGCTCGGTTTAAGCTTCAGGACATGAAGCTCGTCAAGAAAGCTGTTCCAAATGCGGTAGTTGATTTGCTAATTCTTCTGTTTTTCTTGTATAATGGGTTTGGTTGGTTCCCTTTCAAATTATTTTTCTTTAGAAAAAAGAAAAGGGTTTTGACTGAAAATTCTATGCCACAATGCTGCAGACCATCAATGATGTTCTTGTGGGGGTGGTTTCAGCAGGGCTATCAAGATACCTAGATCACCGAACACCAAATGGTAATTAGAAATTGCTGATGTGCACTTTTACTTCCCATTTGAAACAGATATCAATGGCATTCAATCACCATAACCAAAAGTTAGCTAAACCCAGTTGTTCTTCTCACCAGGTTTGCCCGAGGGGCTTCGAATTACAGGGGTGGTTTTGGTAAATTTAAGAGAGCAACATAGATTGCAGGTCTGCTCTAAATTCTAAACTTGCATAGTTTTGTTTGTGCTATGTATTTCAACTGGTTGTTTTTGTTTTCCTTATGAAATGAACAATCTGATCAGGAACAATCAGATTTGATGAAAAGCAACTCTGGATCGAGTTGGGGTAACAAATTCAGCACGTTTCTCCTACCTATTTATTATAAAAAAAGTTCTGAAACTGAACCTCTGGAGTATTTGAGGAGAGCTAAGGTGATTATGGACCGCAAGAAACAGTCTCTGGAGGCTCTTTTCTCATACAAAATTGGGTGTATTTTAATGACCTATTTGGGAGCAGAGGTGAGGATCATCAAAATGCAGTTTTCAAACAAGAAAAGAATACATTTACAACTTTTTTTTCCATTGAACTGCAGATTGCTACATGGCTTCTTTACAGGATTGTCTGCAACACTAGCTTTGCTATCTCAAATATACTTGGCCCACAAGAGGAAATTGCAGTTGGAGGAAACCCTGTAACTTACCTCAGAGTGAATACATCTAGCCTGCCCCATGTATACCCCAAAAATTCACTTTAAAGTTTCTAAATTGTCAATTTAGGGTATGAAGGTTTTTGCTGATTCATACATGCAGGCACTTACAATGCATATGGTGAGCTATGTGGAAAGAGCAGACATGCAAATTTCGGTTGCCAAAGATATAATTCCTGACCCGGAATTTCTTGCAAAGTGTTTTGAGGAGGCCTTGCTTGATATGAAGGAAGCAGCCCATTGTGAAACAAATGATTGATTTGTTAGAAAATTATAATATTTAGGTGTTAGACAACAACTAAGCTTAACCTGTTAGGAATTGAGTCAATAATGTAGATCAAGTTAACTTTCTTCCTACGTGCAACATGTATTCTGTACATGGAGAGACATACATAATGCGTCATGAATGTATATGAAGTTAACAAAACTGAAATTAAAACGTAGAGATATGCATGGTTCGGTTCGACCCACCTCCACCCCTCAATTGTTGACTGAACCATCACCATTGTGCCAAACCAATCTTATCGGTGTCGGTTTGGTGCCTTCAGTCTTAAGGAAATTAATTGGGCGACTAAAGGATAAGGAACAAGAGCACTAGCCATCTTTTTTATACAGAGTAGACTAGTACTGTAGTACGGTTGCCTTGATGTCAAAAGTGAACTTATGTCGACATGTCAATGTTTGGCGAGGTGTCAGAAAACTATTAGTTTGTAGTACCACGTCATCTGTACTATGGAACTACTGTATAATTTCTCCTGAGGTATATGTGTTGCGTTTACCCAAGTATAAGTTGTTATACGTAGTAATAATCTTGGAAGTTCAAGTATCGTATCCTTAAGGAGCAAGTTAGCAAATGTCTGCACACAGAGAAATAATTAAATGTACCAAAATAAAAATAACATGCAAAATGGAAAAGTAAATTTAATTTGATTGTTGTAGAGATTGAGTTTAAAAATGAAATATCAATAATGGAAATGCTAAAGCATCAATGTTGAATTCTTTAAGCAAAATATGTTTCATGCTCTTTAGTGCCCATTTCACATTACTTATTTGGGGTGATAAGTGATTTTTTAAAAAAAAATTGGGAAGCCCAGCCCATTTGGTAAACTATTATAAAATTATTTATTGTTAAAAATTGCTGTGAGAGAAAGGTATAATGGAAATCAACTAATGAGGTACTTTCATTTTCTGATTATGTAGAAATTAGTTTCGAAGAGGCGCTAGGTTTAATGATTATGCGGGAATCAGTACTAACAACACTTTTAATAAAAATTTACCAAACGCCAAACTGCTTTCTCTCACAACAAATCTGATAATGATTATTTTCACAGCATAGTAATGCCAAACTGGCCAATCCAAATTATAAATCGATTAAAATTATCATTGAGAAACTTTAACCGGAAGATAAAGAAATTTAAATCAATTTAAATTTTCAATGTTATATTTTATTAACGATTGTTTAGAAAATGGAATTGCTTAATATCTAATCTTTTAATTTAAAAGCATGCTAAGTCAGTTCTTAATAATGAGAAAAATATAATTGAACTCATGAAAAGATAGTATCACTTAACATCAATCAAAATAAAAGAATATGAAAATATTGAACAATCAAAAATAAAAGAATTTAGCAATTCATAACGTATATTGGATTAAAGAACAATTCACAAACTTACTCAAAGGGAGATTCCCTTTAGCCTTAGCTAGATTTCTAGCAACTCATTATAAAAGAAAACATAACTATATTTTGAATGAAATGGATAAAGAAAGTTAATACATTCATGGTGGGTAATGAAGGGTTTAAGTGAAGGATTAATTGGATTAAACATGTGTTGATGGTGGAGAGTTGATGGAAAGAAATAACGGTGAGGTAGTGGGCGTTAAATGGCTATGAATGACATGAAATAGGCTCTTTATGTCTATTAATATGTTTGATTATAGTAAACATAAGGATAAATATTTAATATGTATCATTATTGTATTTTTCTATTATCAAAACTGATTATCCAATTCAGTCCAATCCAATATCAATTGGATAGGATTGGATTGGATTTAAACATCTAATATGGTTGGATCAGATTGAAAAAATCACAATCCAATTTACATTGGATCATATGCGGATTAACTAAATTGTATTGATTAAAAACCGAAGTGCACCCTTTTCAAATATAAGTCACAATTATGAAGGGGTAGCAATTCAATACTAATTAGTCATAATGTGACATATATGCATAAGACAAAAAGTTACCTTTGGTCCCTATGGTTTATCACTTTTACCACTAAGGTCCCTGTGGTTTCAATTTAAACATTTTCGTACCTATGGTTTCAATTTAAACATTTTCGTACCTATGGTTTCAAAATTTTAAGCAATTCAAGGACAAATATCAATTTTTGTCAATTTTTTCTAACTTCCGTTACTTGTGAAGGGGCAATTCGGTCAAATTATTAAAAAAAATCATTCCTTTTTAAAATAACAAATACAAAATGAAAATAATAATAATAAATAACAAAAATTCATTCCTTTTTAACTCTCGTGCCCTCCCCCTCCCACCATAACCACCATCTAACAAGACACTGCCCAAAATCACACACCCAGCAACCAACCCTTATCACCCTCCCACCACAAAACTTCTCAAGACACCCCACCTATCTCTTTGTCTCTCTGTCTCTCTGTCTCAAGTCCAACCCAAAAAATTCAGTGCAAGCAAAATACCACTTTTCATATAATTTATTACAATATGGCCAATAGATCTGCAAAAAAGAAAAAAAATCGCTCCAACCCAGCGCACCCACCAAGAACTACCCTTATTTGAATTTTATTTTCACTTATTATGGCTTATTTGATGGTGTTTTTGAGAAACAGAACTTGAAGTTAGGAAGGTTAAAATCTATAGCTATCTCCAAGTTATTAAAATTCGATTGATGAACAAAGCTGTATATTGGAGAATATCTAGTTTTAGGTTATGGTGGTGGTGGAGGGATGATTAGCGGGTTGTGGTGGGGTGAGGTGGAGGCCAAATCGGAGAGAGAGAGAGAGAGAGAGAGAGAGAGAGAGAGAGAAGGTCGGTGCGCTGGTGTTGGGGATAGAGTGCTATCAGGTGGTGGAGAAATGAAGAGAGAGAGAAACAACAAAAAGTGACGAAGGCTTCTAGGGAGGGGAGAAGAAGATATATTTTTTATTTAATAATTTTTCCATTTTGTATTGTTTATGTTTAAAAGAATTAATTTTTTAATAATTTGTTAACTAAATTACCCCTCCACAAGTAATAGAAGTTAAAAGAATTTGACAGAAATTGAGGATTGTCCTTAAATTGCTTCAAATTGAAACCATATGGACGAAAATGTTCAAATTGAAACCACAGGAACCTTAGTGGTAAAAGTGATAAATTATAGGGACCAAAAGTTACCTTTTGTCTATGCATAAATACTTTCTCATTTCATGTAAATTAATTACCGTAGCATGTCATATTGGAGTAATGAAAAAATGATCACTCCTAAGATGAGACAGCTAAATTAACTAAATCCAATTGTTTTTGTCATCATTCAGCTTTGCCTGAGGGGCTTCAAATTACAGGGCTAGCAATGGTAAATCTAAGAGAGCAACTTGGATTGCAGGTTTGTTGTAACTTGCAACCCTATGACTTGTTAATTAATTCTCTCTTTATTTTTCTCATGAAATGATCCAAATTAATTTCAACTCGTGGTGGTTCGATGGAACTGAAACGAAACTGATCAGGAACTATCCGATATGATGAAAAGCAATATTCACCAGGACTAAGTTGGGGTAACAAGTTCGGCTACCTATTTATTCCCATAAAAGCAACGGCACTGATCCTCTGGTGCATCTGAAGAGGCTCATTTCTCATGCAAAGCTATACTTCCGACAATGCCCTACTTGGAAGTTGGGAGCAAAGGTGATTCAGGATAATAAAAAAATTGAATATTGAAATTTTTTAACTTTTTTACTGCATGCAGGTTACTGCCTGGCTTAATTACAAGATCCTTTGCAATATGAGCCTTTCTATCTCAAATATCATTGGCCCAGAAGAGGAAATTACAGCCGTAGGCAACACAGTAACTTATCTGCGAATGAATTCAACTACCCTTCCACATGTACTGCCCTCAAAACAAGACAATTTTTTTTAGGCATGATCATAAATGTATGTTTTTCTGTAGTTTATAATTTATGGTCTGAATGTTTTAGCTGATTGGAAAATGCAGGCGCTCACAATGCATTTCTCGCGGGCAACACAGTAATTATATGAAGAATCAATAAACTCTAAGCCAGCAAAGACCACAGAAACATGGAGAGCCACATGGGAGAGAGCAAGGAAACCAGAGCCAACGACCCTTCTTTTTCTTCTTTATCTCTCTGCATGGGTTCGTCGGCAGCTGACAAGTTCTCCGACGAGCCTATAACCCCAATTGGTGGGTTCTTCCTCCAACCCCAAATGGAACAAATAATCCACTGCACCATGGGCTTCAAAAACCCCATTGACATCGCCGCCATTAAATCCCACCTCAAAACCTTCCTCCTTCTTTCCCACCCCAGATTCTCCAGCCTCATAGTCCGCGGCCCCCGAGGTCTCAAGCAATGGCACAGGACCTCCCACGTCGACCTCGACCGCCACATTATCGTCGTCCCCAACACCATCACAACCGCATCAAACTTTGACCACGAGGCCGCAGTCAACGCCTACTTGGCCGACTTCTACACCAGCTCTGGCCTCAGCGCCGACAAACCTCTGTGGGAATTTCATCTCCTCATGGCCCACAACTGCGGCGTCTTCCGCATCCACCACGCTCTGGGAGATGGGGCTTCGCTCATGTCTCTGCTCTCGGCGAGTTTCAGGGGAGCTGAAGAGGAAGAAAAGCTTCCGGATTTGGGCTCTGCCGGGAAGAAGAGAAACAGAGTGAATGGTGAAAAGGGCTGGTGGGTTTTGTTGATTGGGTTTGTGGGTATGGTTTGGTTCACCTTGATTTTCACGGTGGAGTTTGTGTTGAGGTTGTTGTGGGATTGTGACAGAAAAACAGAGATAAGTGGCGGCGATGGAGTTGAGCTCTGGCCTAGGAAGCTGGCCACCGCTAGGTTTAAGCTTCAGGACATGAAGCTCGTCAAGAAAGCTGTTCCAAATGCGGTAGTTGATTTGCTAATTCTTCTGTTTTTCTTGTATATTGGGTTTGGTTGGTTCCTTTTCTGGAGTTGTTCAGATAAAAAAGATCCCTGTTTTTTTTTCCTTCAAATTATTTTTCTTTAGAAAAAAGAAAAGTGTTTTGACTGAAAATTCTATGCCACAATGCTGCAGACCATCAATGATGTCCTTGTGGGGGTTGTTTCAGCAGGGCTATCAAGATACCTAGATCAACGAACACCAAATGGTAATTAGAAATTGCTGATGTGCACTTTTACTTCCCATTTGAAACAGATATCAATGGCATTCAATGATTCAATCACCATAACCAAAAGTTAGCTAAACCCAGTTGTTCTTCTCTCCAGGTTTGCCCGAGGGGCTTCGAATTACAGGGATGGCTATGGTAAATTTAAGAGAGCAACATAGATTGTAGGTCTGCTCTAAATTCTAAACTTGCATAATTTTGTTTGTGCTATGTATTTCAATGGGTTGTTTTTGTTTTCCTTATGAAATGAACAATCTGATCAGGAACAATCAGATTTGATGAAAAGCAACTCTGGATTGAGTTGGCGTAACAAATTCGGCACGGTTCTCCTACCTATTTATTATCAAAAAAGCTCAGGAACTGATCCTCTGGGGTATTTGAAGAGAGCGAAGGTGACTATGGACCGCAAGAAACAGTCTCTGGAGGCTTTTTTATCATACAAAATTGGGTGTATTTTAATGACCTATTTGGGAGCAGAGGTGAGGATCGTCAAAATGCAGTTTTCAAAAGAAAAGCATACATTTACAACTTTTTTTTCCATTGAACTGCAGATTGCTACATGGCTTCTTTACAGGGCTGTCAGCAACACTAACTTCGTTATCTCAAATATGCTTGGCCCACAAGAAGAAATTGCAGTTGGAGGAAACCCTGTAACTTACCTCAGAGTGAATACATCTAGCGTGCCCCAGGTATACCTCAAATATTCACTTTAAAGTTTCTAAATTGTCAATTTAGGGTATGAAGGTTTTTGCTGATTTGTACTTGCAGGCACTTACAATGCATATGGTGAGCTGTGCGGAAAGAGCAGACATGCAAATTTCGGTTGCCAAAGATATAATTCCTGACCCGGAATTTCTTGCAAAGTGCTTTGAGGAGGCCTTGGTTGATATGAAGGAAGCAGCCCATTGAGAATCAAATGATTGATCCGTTAGAAAATTATAATATTTATATTTTGTTTTTTAATAATTGAATGGAAATTAAATTGTGGAATCTGTGACTTTTATGAATTGGTATGTATCAATTGGGAATAGTCATGATCTTAACAAAAGAAAAATAAAATATTATTTAAAATAATAATACTTTATGTGAAAAGTTACATTGTTTCATAGTAATTGAACCATTGCACTTCTTGGTTTATGGTTGTAATAGGAAAAGACATATTTGTTGATATTTTTCAGTCACATCTTTTCTGAATAGAGGCATTGTTGTCTATAAATAGAGAATGTGCTACAACATTTCATTTCATTCAATTATCATCCGACAATAGTAGTTTTTAAAGCATTCATAGCATTGTATTTTCAGAAATGTAGTGAGTTAGTAAGAGAGAGTTCATACACAAGTTTGAGTTCGCTTTTCTTGGGGATTGTAGTGTTACTTCAACAAGAACTCGATCATTGTATCCTAGAAGACGTTTGCCAAGCAAATCCTAAAAGCACATGTGAGGAGGCAATTTCGTCTTAAGGAGATAGAACCAAGTTTTAGACTCGATCATCTGTAAAGTATTCTTAAAATTTTCCTTGTCGTTATTTTCTTGTATTTATTTCGAATTTATAATGAAGTTCTATTTTCGAAATTATTGTAAATATATCACTTATCATATTTTACCAACAATGATTTTTTTTTGGGGGGGGAATAAACAAGTAGGAAGAAAAAAAAACCAAGCACTCTTTTATTTTATTTATTTTGTTTGAGAAAAAAAAACCAAGCACTCGTTTTTCATAAGTAAAGTCACGATTGATTTCTTTATTTATTCAATATTCATGCAATAATCTAGTTTATTCAAATCTAAACTAAGGGGAGAGGGATTCGACTTGGGTGCATAGTGTGGAGCACATTTGCTATAGCTAATTTGGCTAAGCCCATATCTGCACCAAAATAAGATGTTAGACAATCATTACACCCCACAATGCTCAGCGTAAAAAACTCTAAATTTCTGAGAATAGGTGTTAGACAACAACTAAGCTTAAGCTATTAGAAAATGAGTCAATAATGTATATCAAGTTAATACTATTCCTACGTGCAACATGTATTATGTACGTGGAGAGACATACGTAATGCGTCATGCGTCATGCGTCATGCGTCATGAATGTATATGAAGCTAACAAAACTAAAATTAAAACCTAGAGATGTATATGGTTAAATGGTTTGGTTCGATCCACCTCCACCTCTCAATTGTTGACTGAACCAGCACCATGTGCCAAACCAAGCTTATCGGTGTCGGTTTGGTGCCTTCATCTTAAGGAAATAAATTGGGCGACTAAATACGGTCACAGGTCTTGTCACTGGCAACTGACAGATTAGGGAGAAGAAGGTAAGTGAGGAGGTAGGGGAAGGCCGACCAGTTCATTAGGTTTTCTACAAATGTGGTCCACGTAGATGGTCCCCGTACGCCCTATTGTCTGTAAATTATGGCTCAGGGCCCATTTTGGGCTGCCTCCTTTTGTTTGTAATGCTGCAGGAAAGCCAGGTGGCTTGCAATTTTGTTAGCTGTTTTAGTTGGAGAGAAGACCAGCAAATGAGAGGCCCGTGAAGGTTACAAAATCTTTTGGCCCGTGAAGAACAAATCAAGACGGTATAACTCATTCGATAACAAAATCAAAATGAGATTTACCAATACCAGACGACCACTTCGCCAGTATAATGGTACAACAACGGCATTGCTGTGACGGTGGAGAAGCGTATGGTATGATGACGGTATTAGTGTGACGGTGGATGAGACAATGTTATGAAGAAGGAGTTGCTATGTTCGGTGGAGAAGACGACGAGGGTATTTAACAATTCAATATATCATTCGTTGTCATGGGTAAATTAATAATTCAATAAATATTTGGTAGTAGGATGTACTCAGTTCATTTTAGGATTCGTTTAGCAACACTCTAATTATATTCATAAATTATACACAAAGATCATCAATCACAAAGGGCATATACCCATAAAGAGGTAATACAAATATGGAAGCATAGTAACCACAAAAAATTAATCCAGATATATGCCACAAAAGGCCAGAGAAATTTCGACATAAAAGTCACATGCCTTGATTCTCTTTCTTTTATGTTTGCATGTTAATTTATTTCGTATAATAGTTTTTCAACAGCTAGCAATGGGCTCTAGCCCAAATTGCCTTTTAAAAAAAAATAGAATTTACTATATGTATTTTAATATGATTCACTTCATAAAGGCTTAGTAGTCCACCCAAATGTAGCCTAGTAACCCATTATTTATTCAACTTTTTAGGCCTATAATCATCTTATATTTAATTTGTTTGCTTAGTTAAGAAATACAATTCCTTATTAAATACTCATGACTTTAAACGTCTGCCTTTTACAATTTTCTCCCAATATTTCACTAACTTGCCGTCAATATTCATGTTAACATCCATCATCTGTTTGGTGGAATGATTATACGTACAATCACATTTGATGGAATGACTGTGAAACAACCAAGCATCCATGACATGCTATTATGTTTTAATTTCCTCAATTTAGCATGCGTTTTTTTCTTTTTAGTACAAACGATTGGGAGATGGTGATTTACACAAATATTCATTGAGTGTCTAGGAGGTTTCGAACCTATGTCCACATTGGTGGAGGAGTTCAACCAATTGCAAGCGTCTTAGGCCCAGTTTGGGATTGCTGTCACTTTTAAAAAAAGTTGCTTCTGCTGTGCTTTGAAAATAATTAGCTGTAAAGTAAAGCAGCTCCGTGTTTGGTAAACAATTTTTTTAAAGTGCTGTTAATACAAAAAGCTGTGTCAAAACCGTTTGGTAAGTTTTAATATAAAATTGTTGTAACTGTGAATAATGATTAAAATAGACATGATGTTAAAAGTGTTATGTAGTAATCATGTGGTATTAGTGGTAGTGATGGAGTGGAGGTGGTGGTGGTAGGGATGGCGCTTGTGGAGGTGGTGGTGGTGACAGCATGGTGGTGGAGGTGGCAGCATGGTGGTGGTGGTGGTGGTGGTTGTGGAGGTTTTGAAGGAGGTGGTGGTGGTGGTGGTGGAGGTGAAGGTGGAGTTGGTGGTGGTGGTTGTGGTGGAGGTGGAAGTGAAGGTGGAGTTGGAGTTGGTGGTGGTGGTGGTGGTGGAGTTGGTGGTGGTGGAAGAGGTGGTGGTGGTGGTGGTGGTGGCGGCGATGGCGGTGGTTGTGGAAGTAGTGAATGTGGTGGTGTAAGTGGTGGAGTTGGATGTGGAAGTGGAGGTGGTGTTATTTTTTAAAATAAATTATGGTATTTTGAGAATTAAAAAAATTCATTAAGGGTTCATCTTTGCTTCTTTTGAAAGCAGCTTTGAAAAGCAACCCATAGCCTGCTTTTAAAAGCTGCTGTCAAAAGGCCACTGCTTTTAAAATAATCGAGATATTTTATTTTTACCAAACACCTAAAACTGCTTAACTTTAAAGTGAAGCAGGTTTTTGGCGAAAAAAAGCAATCCCAAACGGGGCCTTATTATTTCAATTTTGTACCAATTTCAAGAAACCAATTTTACTTACCACTCTTTACGTTTATTATATTGAGGCCCGAACTAGTCTAAATTTTTTTAAACTTGAATGATTAAGAAACTTGAAGGATTAATGTGGACCATTTATAGGAGATTGATGTCTAAAATTTATACAAGATTAGACTAGACTAATCTAGAATTAGACTAGATTAGACTAATCCAGAATGGGCATTTAGACTCGTTACCAAGCGAAAAAAATAATTTACAAAACGAACGCTCGAGGGCTCTTTTATTGGGTAAATTACATATCAAATGGAGTAATTACCTTGTAAATGATAAAGGGCTCGTTCGTTGGGTAAATAATTGTGACACCCGACCCAATTTTAATCATTCAATCATTTTATTCAATTTGATTCAATTTATTCAAATTGTGAAATTACAATTTTACCCTTGCGGTAAGGTCATATTAGTCAATTTTCGAACCGTAAGGATTTTTGGCACTTGAGTGATATCGTTGCATAGAACTCGTCGATATGAGTTCGTAGATACGTAGTGGGCCCAAATCGGAAGTTTTAACGAAGAAGTTAGCCTCAATGAAAGTGCAGTAGCAACAATTTTTTTAATTTTTTTCAAAGTTAAAATTATTAAAAAAAAAAAAAAAAAAAAAAAAAAAAAAAAAACCATCCTATACGCATCTCGACATCGTCATTTTTCGACGTTGATTCCAAAGCCGTCCGGCCACCAAATCCAAAGCCACAACTTGCAAAATCTTTGTCTCTTCCTCCTCTACACGTCCATACCCATTTCCACCTTTGAAACTCCAAGATTGGTCACGATTTTCAACTGAAACTGAGCTGAAAACCCGCGTTCGTCGCCTGAACAGTTCATGCTATTTCCGGCGATTCTGATGTCCAAAATTGACGAACTATGTATGAAACTTCATCTAGTCTTTGTGCTCTACCTATTTATGTGTTTGGTTTTGGTAAATTTTGAGGTTTTACATATAGATTCTTAAACCCATTTTTGGCCGACGATTTCAGCTTTGATTCGGCTAGTTCCAGTTAGTTTTTAGCCTTGGTCGAAGAACAAAAGTTGATCCCCAAGTTAGTCTGAATGCATTGGTATAAGTATTGTAAGGTGTTTTGAGAATTTTCCAATCACCCGAATTTACTCAAGCCACCCACGAGATGCTGGCAAGTGTGGCGGCATGTGGGCCACTCTGTGGTGGGCCGTTGTGTCCTAAAATGTTCCCCATGTCGTTCTGAGCACAACAATATGCTCGGATTTGAATTTGGTTATTGATTGACAGTCGAACAGATTTACGCATATTAGGCGATATCCGGGTTCGATATGTTCAGACCATTGGATCGGCCCCATTTCCAAGTATGTTGTTCTTTGTACCTCTAGGATCATGTAAGAACTCACATATCAAGAATCAGAGTCTCAGATACTCTGAATCAATGATTCCAAAGTTACGTAAACGATGACAGTCTGATCGTGCTATCGAGAGCGATCCAACTGCTCGATCGAGATCAAAATTGCAGGACGTGTTAAATAGACCTTGTCAAACCCGTGGGAACTTTCGGAATGTAAATCAGAAGTCGTGGGCCCGATTGACCATCGATTGATCAATATGACTAGTTTGACCGGACAGTTGACCAGGAGTTTTTTTTTAGACCGTCTCATCTCTTGTTAAGTGCTAAAATGGATGTAGGGATTTTCTTAAAGGACGTGCACCCATGTGAGTCCCGAGAGCTAGGGTTTTGATTTAAAGTTCAATGTTGGGTTTGATTATTTAGTTAATCTTGGTATTCTCTCAAATAGGTTCTTTAGCGCTATGAATCGCTCCGAACGAAACCACAGAGGGTTGAGTGTGCTTTGGACCGTGCGTGAGTGGACATTTGTTTTCTAAATAGTTTTATAAAACTCTTGGATTGTGATTATTATTTGTGTTGTTTTATGGAATTGATGATTTATGGTTACCAGTTTTCTAAATAGTATATTTTGCATATTCAAATTTGGTTTGAGAACAATTTTGAAGAATTATACATGGCTTGAGTTAAGTTAATAAATTGTTTATGGTATTTATTTTCTGAGCTTTCAGTTTTGGTTGAAAAAGTTCTATATATGGTTTAATTGTGGTTTAATGTTTCGGATTTAGTTGGAGAACAATTTGGAAAGAATTATAAATGGTTTGAATCAAGATAGTGAAATTTGGGATTTATTAACAGTTTAAAAAGGGGGTTTTGTTTATTTAATCAAACATGATTCATACTTGGGAATTAGTTTGGTTTTGAAAGATTGGGGTATTGTTTGAGAAAACTAAGAAATGATTTGGAAAAGAGTTTTGGGAAAGGGATTTGTGAAAAAAGGAGTTTTTATGTTTAAGTGTCGAGAAGTGGATTTCAAACCTACCCTATGTACCCATCCCCAGTTGCCTTCAGTAAAGTCTGTGCACATGACTAGAATTGTCTGTACCTACATAGAGACTACTCTGTAGGTGTCCAGCCAGAGTATATCGTCTGTACCTGTGTTGACTACATAGGTGTCCAGCCAGTGGTTTGCCTGTACCTACTTGTGTAGGTGTCCAATTAGGATTTTCCCCTGCCACCCTGCCGATTTACTACACATGGTTGGCCAGTTTTCCCCTTAGGTATACTTGGGTGTATAGTTTTTGTATGAATTGGATTGAGACTGGAATTCGGATGAATTGTATTTTGAGCTTGATTTTTGTTGAATTATATTTTTGAATTACTCGATATTTTGGATTTAAATATTGTTTGAAATACCAGATTATACTAATTGAAACTTTACTTTCCAGTTATTTCCGAGATTGTTTTGTATGTTATGTATAATTACTTTCAAAAAAAACTTTCTTTTTGTCCACTCACGCTTTTACTGTTTTATGCCCCTAGGAAGTAGATAGCTTAGAATTCAAACGACCACGTAAGCTACTCTGGCTAAGGCTGGCAATGAGTCGTGTCGTGTCATGTTGGGTCAAGATTATATACATGTCAGGAATGCTCAACCCAAACCCGACCCGTTTATTAAACGTGCCATGCACGAGTTGACCCATTAAGTTTTCGTGCGGGTTTTAGATCGTGTCGGGTTGACCCGCTAAGTGGTAGCAGCTAAAAGACATTTAAAAAAAATTAAAAAATGAAGAATAAACAAATAAACGGTTAGTGGGTTGGCGGGTTACACAGGTATTTTAGCAGGTTGGCAGGTTACATAGGTATTTTAGCGGGTTAATAGGTATTTTGGCTGGTGGACCCACTATTACCCATTTTGTTAAACGGGTTGGCGGGTTGACCCGAAAATGACCTGAATTTTAATCGTGCGAGTTGAACTTGCTAAATTCTCGTGCGGGTTTCAAGTCGTGTAACGGGTCATGCCCGAAATTGCGACCCCTAACCCCGGCGTCGGTGAAGTCCTTATAGTTCTACCTAGTAGGAAACTTTATTTTCCGTTTTCATTGTTTATTTAGAAACTAAGTTTGTAAAATTAAACTCCAGTAGTTGCTCTGATATTTCCCACTTAGGACTGAATTTGAGGCTGGAGGCCATGTGAAATTTGTGTGTGCCTTATCTTTTGTGTGCTACCAATTAGAATTATTAGATTGTCGTTATTTGCAGGTGTTAATTTGAAAAAAGTCCATTTTACAGGGGAGAGTCTACCAAAATTTGGTAGAAGTATCGACCCATTTTTCTTAAAAAGTACGGCTGAGAGGTGTAAAGTTAGTTGTGGGTCCGGCATCGTTCGGGTGCCGGTTGGATAACAGGATTCGACATGAGTTCTGAGGGAGAATTTGGGTCGGGTCCTATCAGTAATGTCGTTCATTGAGTAATAATACACAGAACGAATGCTTAGGGGCTTGTTCATTGGGTAAATTATGTCATTTGTTGGGTAAATTACATACCAAATAGAATAATTTACCTTGTAAATGATAAATGGCTCGTTCGTTGGTTAAATAATGTCGTTCGTTGAGTAAATTACTCAACGAACACCATGATTTACTCAAGGAACGACTCCCTTAGAGTTCATAAGGTAAAAATTGATGTTCAGTGGGTAATGGACATTTAGACTCGTTACCCAGCGAACATAATAATTTACACAACGAACGCTAAGAGCTCGTTCATTGGGTAAATTATGTCGTTCGTTGGGTAAATCACATAACGAACGGAATAATTTACCTGGTAAACGATAAAGGGTTTGTTTGTTGGGTAAATAATTTTGTTTGTTCAGTAAATGCCATGATGTACTCAACAAATGGCTCCCTCAGCGTTTGTTGGGTAAAAAATGATGTTTGGTGGGTAATGGGCATTTCCATTTAGACTCGTTACCAAGCAAAACATAATAATTTACACAAGGGACACTAAAGGGGAGTTCATTGGGTAAATTATGTCGTTCGTTGGGTATATTATATAACGAACAAAGTAATTTACTTGGAAAATGATAAAGGGCTCATTCGTTGGGCAAATAATGTCGTTCGTTGGGTAAATTACATAACAAACATAATAATTTACCTAGTAAACGATAAAGGGTTCATTCGTTGGGTAAATTACTCAACGAACGACTCCCTCAGTGTTCGTTGGGTAAAAATTGACATTCCTTGGGTAATGGGCATTTAGAGTTGTTACCAAGCGAACATAATAAGTTACACAAGGAACACTAATGGGATCGTTCATTGGGTAAATTATGTCATTCGTTGAGTAAATTACATAATGAACGAATTAATTCAATGTGGTTCAAACATTTGAGCATTTTGTAATGTAGGTCTTCATTTAAGGTAATAGTATGTGTTTTCAATTAGTATTGAAATAAAAATAATAATATGATTGAAAGACAACATCAATGTTGTACTAGGGGTGTGACAATAGCCTTAGGAACAATATTCACATTATTTTTCGTACGTGAGGACATCCAAACTTAAAAGTTCCCGTTTATATGATAATGGGACAAGTAAGGATTTATAATATAAATAGTTTAATTATTATGTTCTTTGAGTTTCTATACATTATCATATAATATTTTAATGAGTATATAGTATAAGCATTCAATGTTAGTACATGTAAGAGTTAAAAGGGAGAACTTGAGGCCATAGGATCATTGGTTATACCATTAGATGGTATGTTGATCGGAGAACTTGAGGCCATAAAATTGTCTCTAGTTCATCACATTCTCAATTTTATGGCATAAGCAAATAAACAAAACTATGCATAATAGTTTGTAATCCTTAAATCCCCAGTTTGGCTATAGGAAGGCAGTGACGAATCAAACACTAAACATTTCAATTTCACCATAATGAAAATCAAACACTAAACTAAGATTAATTATTTTTTTTCCCAAATTTCTCATAAAGAACTCTCAATCAGAAAGAAACAATTACCTAAATAGTCAATTGGACGGTAGAACTACAAATACAATCTTCTCTTGGAATTGTAATGTTTCCAATTCCTCCTAATGTTTCAAATTTTAGGAAATGGATATGAAGCATGATTGGAGTTGTATTTTTCCAATTCCTCCTTAAAATTTGTCTAAGGATGTAATTTATGGAGTCCATAATGGATGCTCTTAATCGGTTAACCACAACATCAGGTTTCCCTTATTTTAAAAACAGGTCTATGACTGACTGTACGGGTGAAAAAAACCGAACCGAAAAAAAAACTTAGTTGACTAAAAAGTCAACAATTGATAAAAAAACTAAATCGGACTGATTCGGACCGGTTCCAGTTCCGATTCCATTCCTCTAAAAACCAAACAGGACCGAACCAGACTGGCTTTAATATAATTAATTTTTAATTTTTATATATACATTGGGCCTTATTTTACCTCAACCTTCCACTCTCAGCTTGAAGCCCAAAGAATTGGGCCTAAACATATCATCTATATCTCAAGCCCAACACATTATATTTTTAATTTTTTTAGTCGCCTACCCTTTTTAATTAATATTACCTGAGCCAAAAATATATATATTTTTTGTTTACAAGGCAAGCCGAAGCCAGAAAAGAAAAAAAGCTAACGAGGCACAGCCCTATTTTGGGTTCTCCCTAGTTCATCATCCAGCAACAAGCTTGAGAGGGAGATAGGAGCAGACTCGTAGTTATGAAGCCCCAAGGGTAACTCATGCCCCAAGTTAGCATGGTAATCAGCTGCTCTGTTTTGCTCCCTGTAGATATGAGGGATATTGCAGTCTTCAATCAGACAAAAGAGAGGATGTGAATGGTTACAAGCCTTTGCAATCAGAGAGGCAACAGACAAGGAATCACATTCAATATCAAGGACCTCAGCCAAAATTCAAACCCTAGCCACATGCCTATTTCCTCTCACTCTCACTCTCTCACTCTCTCACTCTCTCATTCTTCAAAATCCAAACCCCGAGCTGCATGCTCCCTTTTTTTCCTTCCATTTTCTCTCTCATTGCCTTTCCCTTTTTCTCTCTCTCTCTCTCTCTTTTTCTTTTTTCTTCTCTCTTTCTCTCCTGAAGAAAACCTAGCCTCAACTTCTTGTCCTCTTCCTCTCTGTCTGATTTCTCTTTTTGTTTCTTACTCTCCTTTGATGCATCGATTGGATCTGTTTTGCTGGGTAGTTTTTTTTTTTGTTGGTATCTTTTAAGGTTCAGATATGGTTTTTCTTGTACGGATTCGTCGATTCGCTCAGCAACGACAATGACGTTCCTCCTGCCAGATGCTTACTCAGGTCAGTGTCTCAGAGCATACCCATATCTAATCTTTGTATGATTTTTGTTTTTTTGTTTTTTTTTGTGGTTTGTGTTTTTTTTTTTTTTTTTTTTTTTTTTTTTTTTTTCAACCATGCGCCGACAAATGACTAAAGAGGTGGTCTTGTTGGAGACGAAGGTGATGACTTGCCCTTAAAACTCGTCACTCAAGGTGGTCTTGATGGAGAAGCACCCAATGGCCAACTCCTCCGCATTGCTGTCATCCATGGCCATGCCCCCTTTCTTTCCCCTCCAAATTGGAGTGTTCTGATTTGTGATACAAAGCCCTAGTTATTTTCGCTGCACCTGATGTGCTAGTGGGCTTTAGTTGGAATTGGCCCAATTCTTAATAATCCAAGCAAGCCTTTGCTTTTATTGTTTCTTTCAATCTTTTTAATCTGATGGAGAAGATTGAAAAATAAATTTAAAAATTAAAAAAAAACTAAGTTTGGATTGTTTGCTGGTCCAAATCGGAAAAAATCGGAATCGAATCGGATGAGTAGTTAATTTTTCATCAGAATCGAACTGAACCAAACTAGATAAACAATAGAGAGTTTCACTAAAACATCCAAAATGAGGACTGAAATTATAAAAAAAATTCAACACCCAAAACACTTTATAAACACACTCAAAATTCATCATTACACACTCAAAATTCATTTATAAACAGACCCAAAAAATATACAATTGTTGATTTTGAAATTAATTTTGAGTGTGTTTCTATGTTTAAATAGTATTTGAGTTTTTTTATAAATTTATGTCTAGAATTTGGTTTATTTATAAATTTATATAAACAATACAATTGAAATTTTAAATTTAACTAGGAATCGAGTCGAACCAGACCGTAGCCAGACCTACCACAGCAGGACTCCTTAAAATCAGAACCACAAAAAGAATCCTATAAATGTACCACAAGCAGAAAGAGGAGTATAAATCTAGTAAACATGGTTCGATACTCCCAAGGCATTCTCTGGCCACTAAATTCATTACGTGTTCTAATTTTTCAACAGTCAACCACGCTCCTCTTTGCCGACACGGACCAACCAGGCAGCCTCATCTCTCTCTGTCATGGCTTCAGCGGCGGCTGACTACTCCGACGAGCCCCTAACCCCAGCAGGCCGCCTCTTTGTTCAACCCCAAATGAACCAAATAATTCATTGCGCCGTCGGCTTCAAGAACCCAATAAACATAGACTCAATCAAGGCCCATCTCAAAAGTTCTCTCCTTCTCTCCCACCCCAGATTCTCAAGCCTCATGGTCCGCGACTCACAGGGCCTCCAGCACTGGCGCAAAATCCCCCACGTCGACCTCGACCTCGACCGCCATGTCATCGTCGTCCTCAACCCCATCACCACCGCATCCCATTTTGACCATGACACCGCGGTCAACGACTACTTGGCCGACCTCTCCACCAGCTCTGAGCTAAGCGCCGAGAAACCCATGTGGGAAGTTCACCTTCTAATGGCTCACAACTGCGCCATCTTCCGAATCCACCACGCTTTGGGAGATGGTGTTTCGCTCATGTCTCTGTTCTTGGCGAGTTGCAGGGAGCTGAAGATGAGGAAAAGATGCCAACTTTGGCTTCTGGGAAGAGAAACAGAGTGAATGGTGAAAAGGGTTGGTGGGCTTTGTTGATTGCGTTTGTGGGTACGTTGTGGTTTAGCTTTATTTTTGTGGTGGAGTTTATGTTGAGATGCTTGTGGGTTCGTGACAGAAAAACAGAGATCAGTGGTGGTGATGGGGTTGAGCTCTGGCCTAGAAAGTTGGCCACTGCTCGGTTTAGGCTTCAGGACATGAAGCTCGTCAAAAAGGCTGTTCCAAACGCTGTAAGTGATTTATGAGAATGTTGGCCACTGCTTGGGAAAAAGTATTTCTATATTGGGTATTTGGGTTGGGTCCCTTTCTGAGAGTTTTTTAAAGATTCTTTTTTGGTAAAAAAAAATAATTTTTTTTTGAAAGGTTTTGACTATAATATCATGCCACTCTGCAGACCATCAATGATGTTCTTTTTGGGGTGATTTCATCAGGGCTATCAAGATACCTAGATCACAGAACGACAAATGGTAAATAAATGACAACTGCGGTTGTTTACTTGTACTTCCCATTTGAATCAGATGACTGATGCATTCAAGGACAATAACCCAATTGTGTATGTCATCAGCTTTGCCCGAGGGACTTCAAATTACAGGGATAGCCATGGTGAATTTAAGAGAGCAACCTGGTTTGCAGGTTTGTTTGCTGAAACTTGTAACCTTATATTTTATTTGTGCTTACCATTTATTTCAATGGTGTTGTCTTTGTTTTCTTATGAAATTATTGAAGTTTCAACTTCTGGTGGTTACTTGAATCAATCTGATGATAACGGAACAGGAACTATCCGATTTGATGAAAAGCAGTTCAGGGTCAAGTTGGGGTAACAAATTCGGCATGCTTCTCCTACCTATATATTATCATAAAAGCAGTGGAACTGATCCTCTAGTGTATCTGAAGATAGCTAAAGTGATGATTGACCGGAAGAAACGATCTCTGGAGGCTCATTTCTCGTACAAAATTGGGTATTTTGTAATGACCTACTTGGGAGCAAAGGTGAGCACAGATGCAGTTTTGAAACCAAAACAATAAATAAAGAATGCAAAGTTCACTTTCCAATTTGGATATTAAAACCCGCTTCTTTCTGTTGTACTGCAGCTTGCTGCCTGGCTGAATTACAGGATTGTTTGCAATACTAGCTTTACCATCTCTAACATACTTGGCCCGCAAGAAGAAATCGTACTTGGAGGCAACCCTATAACTTACCTAAGAGTGAATTCATCCAGCCTGCCCCATGTACAGCCCACAGAATCACTTAAAATTTGTCTAGACGTACTGAATTGTCAACTAGAGCAAATCAGAAATATATATGTATAACATGAATGATTTTGCTGGTTGGTAATGCAGGCACTTACAATGCACATGATAAGCTATGCTGAAAGAGCAGACATGCAAATTTTGGTGGCCAAAGATATCATCCCTGACCCGGCATTTCTTGCAAAGTGCTTTGAGGAGGCCTTGCTTGATATGAAGGAAGCAGCTGCAGCTATCAATCGAACCTAGGAGGACCACTATACATTTTAATGGAATATCAGAAAATTGTACGAGGTTGAATGTGAAAGGAAGATTAGTGATACATTTCATTGACACGCAGAAAGGGCAAATATCTGAAAAGGCTAATATGTAGATGGTCTGCGCATTTGCCATCATCATCATCGTTGTAGGCTTTCAAACTCTTTCAAACAAAGACATAATATACATCAGCCATACTTACGATGTCACTCTCTCTCTCTCTAACACTAAACACTATATAAGAAAAGAACCAAACTCTCAGGATCTAATGATCAATGTCAAGCGACTAAACCCCGTAAGTAACCAATAATAAGTCGCAAGCTGCTAGTTCTTATTCCCCCAGTAGGCATGCGGCTTGTTGCGGCTTTTGACAATCATGCCTTGGCCAAGGATTGGGGTTTCTTGCTGCTTCCTTTCTTTCTTCGCAGCAGTAGCCTCCTTAGCAAACCAAAACCTCCTTGTTTCTTACTTGGCACAATAGCCAGACTCCCAACTGCACTATTACCAGCTTTATGCCTTGAACCGAGATGCCCTTCCCACATCAGAGCAGTAGGTGTGGACAAGGCATTATGACTATCTGAGTGAAGACGGGATGGTTTTTCTGCATCTGCATCTCTTGGTGTTTCTTTCTCCTTCGGAGACTTGACATCCCCGACTCTGGGGTTATCCTCAGCAAGCATTTTATCACGAAGCGAAGAGCGCCTGTTCAAGTTATTGTCACTGGCATTGGCTGCAGTGCTGGTGGTTGTTGAGAACACCTTGTCAAAAAGCTCTGCTTCCCTTGGCGTAGCCAGTGCCTTCAGCTGTTTTCCTAGGTTTAGGATGGTTTCTTGGCACTCTGCCAACTTCACCGAAGCTGTTGTGATTTCCCATCCCTGAAAGTTTGAAGAACAGTCACACCGCAGTGCCTAATTAAAATATTGTTTACAACTGCAGTTGATTTTTTAAATCTATTTTCTTAGGAAGTTTGAACTCCTTTTTAAACACAACCATCATGTAATGAGAAGATCAATGCAGTTCCACAATATATGTTTGGATGTGATCGTATTCTTATGCTATCACTTCTTTCAATTTTGTCAAGCCTAGTTGAGTTGCCTTCACTAAATTATAGATTTCATGTAATTGAACTCTATATAACAAAAAAAAAAAAAAAAAAACTGTAACTTACAGATTGGGACTGCTTTTCCTCTTGGTTTATGCCAAACTCTGGAATTTCCTTCTTTTCAGCACTGTGAATTAAAAAAATCAGAATTTTCTCATCAATCAACATAAGCTTTATATAGTTTCCACAGCAGAAAAAGGCAGGAGACTGGTGATTACCTTTGCAACTGGAGTTGGAGCTCAAGACATGTTGCTTCTAAATCTTCACAACAGTTATGTTTATGCTCCAATTCAGCTTCTAATGACGAGAACTTCTGGAAGACTTCATTCAACTTTGCTTTGGTAACATTTAGCTGGGTATCAAGATCTTCATTAACCGACTTCTGATTTTCGATCTGGTCTTCCATAATCCCTTCCGATTGTTTCAGACTCTCCAGTTCTGTTTGCAAGCTTTCAATTATTTGCTGTGATTCCTTTAGTTGAGCTTCCATGCTCTTTAGTTCATCCTTTAATCTACCGTTTTCTTCTTGCAGTTTATCCTGAACCTTATTCAACTGAAACGAAACATCTTGGTCATTTGAAGAAGCAACTAAAGGCAAACACAATGACTGCTGTTCAGATGTATGTCCAATAATTGATTCCCCAATTGCACCCTCAACAGCAATATCTCCTTGCTCTTCTTGCCAACCAAAATGCTTCTTAATTTTATTCCCCAAGCTTGAAGCATCTTTAGGTGTCCTATAGTCGTTCAAAAGCCAGTCCAAAGTAGAAGTCAGTTCCTCAACAAAATTTTCAAAATTAGCCTTTCCACCCAACAGATTGTGACAAGTAAGGACAAACTTTTCCACAACAGCATTTAGTTCCGAACGTTTCCATTGGAAAATGCGGATTAAGTAGTCTGTTGATGCTGCTGAGTTAAATATCTGGGAACTCTGGTCCCTATATGACAAAACATCTGTAGTACAATCATATACCAAAGATGTTTGGTTGATTCCTTGAAACAGCTTAATGAGTTTAGAGATTGATTTACTCAGACTGGATTGACTGCATTGGCTGCCATTATCTTCCACTGAGGTGTCAATACTCAGAGCTCCACTAAATGAATCTATAGGATCACATTCTGCACGATGCCCTGAGACAGCAGTTCTATGAGCTTCATGGTTAGTTGGTTGATTTATGTAACCCAAGGCAATTTTGATGTCCTCAAATAGCTCATCTAGTCTTCGGTTCGAAACATTCTTTTGCTCCAACATTGCTTTTAAAACAACCTGAAGCCAGTCAAAAGAATTCTCTGGCCTTGCATCTTTTGACTGGCTGTACTTTCTTCTGTCGCTGAAGCTGGAATCAACTTCAACCGGCACTAGTTCCCTACCAGTAAAGCAATGATGATGTCCCTTGTTAGGAGGTGTACCTGCAGAAACTATTGCCATTTTCTCCATCTCAACAAAATCGTCCATTAAGCTAATGTCTGAAACCTCAACTTCTCTGCATTCCTTTGGACTTTTAAGTCTCTCATTTTTAAAATGTTCTAACTCTGAAATTAGAGCACTAGCCCATGATTCAGAGGAACTAATCCCATCATCACTGCCAATGTCAAACCTTGAAGACCGAGAAATGTCATTTGGAATCGGGCTGCATGCAACTAGCTCCATAGATTTCTGGCCTTTGGAAAGCTGTCCAAGCTGAGTACCACCCTCTGACAATCTGGAAGCTGTTTGAGAATGAGTGGTCCTCGAAGAAAGGAGTTCAGAGTTTTTCCTGATTAAAATTTCTTTAAGGGTTTTGTTTTCCTCTTCCAGATCATGTAATTGCTCAATCATGAGACGCATCTTCTTATTTGGAATTTCAGGAGAATTTCCTTTGTTAGCATCTCTTACAATCATATCTCTGGTAGGATTCAACTTTCTTCTTCTCATCTCGGTCTGATCCCTTCCAAGCATTTGGACCTCACTCTTCATATTCAGCAAAGCAGTAGGACCTGGCAGCCTTTTTCGCATAAGGAGATGAAGTCTTTGACATTCTTGTTCTAACTTTGTGATTTTCCTCACACTCTCCAAAAGTTGTTTGTGTGATTCTTCAGCAGACCGGCGGTTGTATTCCATCTCCTCACTCCGAATCTCAAGTTCCTTCTCAAGCATGTGAAATTCATATCTTAGAAAAGCATTTTCTTTTTCTGTGGAATCCAGTCTGGCCATTAGTGCACTGAACTCTGCATCTGCTCGAGACTTGTGTCTATTCAAATCTTCAATGAGTTTCTCTTTTGCTCGAAGGGCTTTGTTCAGATTAGTATTTTCCACAGCCAAGTTTGTAAGCTGTTGACTTGTCTCTCTCAGCTTCTCTTCTAATTTCTTCTGTGCCTTCTCATACTCTCTTGCTGTCATCATAACAGCATCGTTTATTCTTTGCTCCTGTTCTTCTCGAACGAAATTTAATTGCTGCTTGCACTCTGCCAATGCATCATCTGAATGAGTTAATCTCTCATTTGCAGATATTCCCTGCCTCAAAGCTTGATCTAGTTCTTGCTTTAGTACCGGCTCTCCTGCCTTCTTGCCACCTGAAACAAAAATTATATATTCGATCAGCCAAAAGCCAAAATGTGAGCATCCAATAGGAACAGATTGCCTAATACTAATCTACAGGACAACTAAGCTTGTAAAGGAACATTATGGAAGCTCTGAGAAAAGAAGGATAATTGAGAACTACCTGCTATAGCTTCTTCTGCTGTTTTTGCATGTTCTGTAACAAGATCTTCTTTAACATGACAGTCTAGGAGGACTGAAGCTAGCTTCTCATTTAGATTTTCCCTGATCTCTCTGTTTCATTTCCATTTTCAGTTGGATATGTTTGTATCTAACATGATGAAACATTGGTAAACACAATATTCAGATTCGACATCTCTGCTTAAAAAACTAAAACTATACTAAGCTTCTCAGTTACCTCTTCTTCAATTCTTCCGAGAGGAACGGCGTTTGTTGCAAGAATTGTCTTCTCTGAAGATCTTTTCCTCCAAAGCCAAGCCTTCTGGTCCATGATTTCGGTTCTAATTCAAGAACAGAAAAGGAGAAATTAGCATGTAAAAATAATAAAAATAAATTCATAAAAACCCTGTAAAGGCAAGTCATTACAGTAACAATCCCAATAAATTGAAGTGGACTAAAGTGATTGCTTATAGCTAAGACACTCTGGTGAATAAAAATTTGATAAATAAAGAGTAAAGGATATTTACAGTTACACCAATTGTCACTGGATTATGTCATACTGTAAGTTTAGATTCTTCTATGATGAAATCCAGAACACATCCAAGTTCATACTTGGAAAATGATCAGAACCATAAACAGAAAGCATTGGACAAAGATCTAAGTATCTTTGCATGCAGATAACATACAGAAGCTGGAGCATGTTGAAGCAGAGTGATTGTTTCAAAAAACAAAAACAGATCAAAAAAGTCACTAAATTAGGAAAAAAAAAAGAATTTCAAGCAATCTAAAATTTTCTGTTCCAGTCAGGCCTCATCAGTTGCAAAGCATGCAGTTCTGAAGAAGTAAAAAGTAAAATGGAGGCTGTAAAAATTCTCAGAAGGAAGAAGGGTGGTGGTGGTGATCATCAAGAAAATTTATGTCTTGATGTTATAACAGTTAACAACAAGAAAATCTAAGTCTTGTTTAAGATAATAACCAAGAGATAGATCATGCATGAGGAAATTCAAGCCACATTTTTATCCAAACCTGGGTCATTAAGTGAAAGACCAAAATGCTAAACAGTAATCTCATCCACCACCATTGCTGTGAAGCAAGACAGAGGAAGCATAGAAAGCTTATGCTATTTTTAACGTTTGGGAAATGAAAGTCAAAGACAATCAAACATCTTGTAAAATCTCATAAAGGAAGAGAACCTAGAATCATAGGATGCTCGTACCCCCACCGACAGTTACCTGTGTGTGTAATAATTCAAGAGAGAGAGAGAGAGAGTAAAGGGGAAAAAGAAGAAAAGGGAAAAGGGGAAAACCAAAGACAAAAGGAGTCAAAGAACAAATGGCCCGAGTTAGAAGAGAGAGAGAGAGAGAGAGAGAGAGTTGCTTTGAATATGTGTTATGTGGGTTTAGTTTTAGTTTTAGTTGCAGAAGAAGGTGTTAGAGCAAGTGTGACGCATGGTTAAGGATGGTAGAAGACAAAGCTGCATCAGACAGACGTGAACATATTACCAAGTTTTGGTGGATCCAAGTGTTTCTCTTTGAGTTGAGAATGGAGTTGGTGGGTGCTCTCTAAGAACTTAGTGGGATACATTATTATGCACGTATACGAGACAAGAAAAGTTGGTACAAACATCTCAAAATTTATGATGTCTCTTTTTTTAGGCTTCTTGTTTAGGCCCCACTAAGTTGATAAGCTATACCTATACTTCTTGTTTGGTCTATAATAAACTATGCTATGTATGAGCTTGTTTTACATTGCCACTGAGATTTTCCTACTCATACATTTATAGTGAGGACGATATTCTAAACTATTCTAATGCATGGAAGAGAATTCGAATTTAGTGTGATGAAGAAAGCATACTACCTTAATCAACTGGCTTAATCCACATATACAATCAACTAATTTAATTGGATTGAAATGCAAAATCTGTAGACCAATAAACATTGGACATAATTAGCTACTGCTACAGTAAATAATTGAACACTTTGTCTAACAGATGCTAAAGTGTTCATGACTTTTAACACTTGCTTTTGATCATTAAAGACCTTAGACAATTATGCTCTATTAACGGTAACTTACCTACCATTAAGCTGTTGTCAAGGAATTTACCATTTAATTACACATTCCTTTTCTTTTTTTCTATTTTTTTTGTCAAAGTTAGAAAGGAGATGAGAATTTTCTCACACACAATGCCAAGATACGTAAAAATTAAGATATTTTTCACTGAGCTATCTAGACCCCATTCACCATTTAATTGCACATTCGGTTCTTCACAGTTTTTCCAGAAGAAAAAACTGTTGTTATAAATAAAGTAAAAACCATGAAGATTGAAAAAAGAAAAAAAAATGTATAAATTATCCACGAAGAATAAAATCTTTCCTTTTTGTTTTCTTGGTGGGAAGTGGTTCCCATGGAGCACTAGCGAGGTTTGTCTATGCTCAGTGCAAAGCCTACTTTAGTCCGTCAAAATGCTCATAAATTATTTTGTAAATGAAAAAATATATTTTAAAAAACAATTTGTTGGGGTGAGAGAGGCTCGAACTCTCGACCTCAGGATAACTCAGAAGCTATGAGACCTACGCGCTAGCCAACTGCGCCACCACCCCTTGATGTTAATGTCCTCAGAATAAGTTTATTTAACTTATTATTTTATCAAAAAGTAATTTTGTTGGAATAATAAATTAATCTTAAAGTTATTAGCGTGTCCTAGATTTAAAATGTGATGTGATAGGTAGATTTGGGACCGTCGAAACTTCCCAGCAAACGACCTCTCTTTCCCCGCGTCCACGTCACCACCCATTGGACCATCGAAATCACCGACATACCCCCCACAACGATAAAAGCACCGCAGAGTCCCGTAAGCACACGGAGAAGGGGCAAAATCGGAACATCAAATTAAACCCCCAAAAAAATCAACGCATCCCCATCTTTCCCACCACGACCCGAACCCCCACCCATCTTCGTCATCCCCACTTCGAAACGCCCACCGAGGACGGATCCATACCCAAACGCGGACTCCGACGCACCCCCCCTGACTCGATCCATGGAGATCGCCCCGGCCCCGCCACCGCCCGCAGACCGGGACGTCCCAGACGATGCCGCGTCGGCAGACGCCGTCAAGACGTCGTCGTCGTCTAAGGAGAACGAAGCGAACGCGGCGGCGACGACGTCGTCTTCGTCGGTGGCGGTGAAATACGACGACGAGGAAGAGGAGGAGGACGTGTGCCGGATCTGTAGGAACCCGGGCGACGCCGATAACCCGCTCCGGTACCCGTGCGCTTGTAGCGGGAGCATCAAGTTTGTGCACCAGGATTGCCTCCTTCAGTGGCTCAATCACAGCAATGCTCGCCAATGCGAGGTTCAACTCTTTCTCTCTCTATCTCTCTCTGTGATCGGATTTTGTGGAATTTTTTGTGTTTCGGTTTTGATTGGTGATGGATTGGTGTTTGCAATCCCTCAATTTCTTAGAGTTTGGAATTGATTAGGTTAGGGTTCTAGGGTTTATTTGTGTACTCGTAGTTTATGTTATTGGCAAGGGAGGCCAGCGATGTCGTGTTGAGAAATGGGAAGCGTTGAAGAACGGTGGCAATTTCAAATTTTTTATTTTTGTTTTTGTTCTCTCATGACTATATTGGGTAATCAAACAAGATTTGAGTTTCTTTATACTTGCTTTGTGCTGAAGAGTGGGATAAAGTTTATTTAGCTATGAAATATTTCCCTGTTAGTTCATAATTGTCTTATGGAGATCTTAACTCTACTGTAAGAGATGAGAGCCGCAAAATTATTATATGTTAGTGTACTTGGGATTGCTCTTTTGGGTTCTTTGAATGAAATGTGCTTCTGTTTACAAAAACAAAAGAGCAAAGATATATTCGAAAGTTTTCTTGCGTTTTCACGGTCATCTTGGTGGGAGGCAATGGTTTGGAAACCTATCACTTTTAAATAAGGCAAAATAAGGTTTTCTAAAATAATAAATAAATATATCATTATGTTAGTAGCTAAACCCCAGTGTCTGGCCTATGTTCTAAAGCCAAAGGTTGCTAAATGTTGACATCCTAGCATAGGAATGTGAATTTCATTTAGTTCATTTATCAGCTTTGCTTGAGCTAGCAGATTCTCATTTGAGACCTTTTATCTTGGACCTTAATTTCTTTTTTATGCACTCTATCATTTTATGTATATGTTTGGTTGGATTTCATTGAGAACTCCAATATTGTTGGTTTTTTGAATTCCCATGCAATTTGTGTTTTAACTTTAATGTTGTTATTTATACTCTTTGGGCACTCATGATTTACTTGACATGCATTGCAGGTTTGCAAGCATGCATTTTCCTTCTCTCCTGTTTATGCCGAGAATGCCCCTGCAAGGCTGCCTTTTCAAGAGTTTGTAGTTGGGATGGCAATGAAAACATGCCATGTTCTGCAATTTTTTCTGCGCCTTAGCTTTGTGCTTTCTGTTTGGCTCCTCATTATACCTTTTATTACATTTTGGATATGGCGGCTGGCTTTTGTGAGGAGTTTTGGTGAAGCTCAGAGACTATTCCTAAGTCATTTATCCACTACAGTCATCCTCACTGATTGTCTGCATGGGTTCCTACTTTCTGCTAGCATCGTGTTTATTTTTCTCGGAGCCACTTCTCTGAGAGATTATTTCAGGCATTTACGTGAGCTTGGAGGACAGGATGCTGACAGAGAAGATGAAGGGGAAAGAAATGGTGCTCGTGCTGCAAGAAGAGCTCCTGGACAAGCTAACAGGAATTTTGTTGGTGATGCAAATGGGGAAGATGCTGCTGGGGCACAAGGGATTGCTGGAGCAGGTCTAATGATTAGAAGGAATGCAGAAAACGTTGCTGCTCGATGGGAGATGCAGGCAGCTCGTCTTGAAGCTCATGTTGAACAGATGTTTGATGGTTTGGATGATGCTGATGGGGCAGAGGATGTACCGTTTGATGAGCTCGTTGGCATGCAGGGACCTGTATTTCACTTAGTTGAAAATGCGTTCACTGTAAGTTTTGTTTTGTTTTTGTCTTTTGTTGGTGCTTCCTCCACCCTTTTTGAATTACGCTAGCTCGTAATTAAATACTGTTTCTCCAGTTTTACAGTGTTGTCTTAGTTGCTCTCCTTGTACTCTTAATCTTTTGATATATTTTTATGTTTGCGTCATTTTTCTCTTCTTCTTTTTTTTCCAGGTTTTTGTCATTGTTTCTGATTCTTTTGACCACTATGGTTGAACTAATTCTCATCTTATTACGTTTCTGTATGCATGTGTGCTATTTAGTTGAGGTTGACTCTCAGTGGTAGTTTTTGATTTAAGAGTCTATGTTGTATTACCAGTTAAAGGATTTGTTTGTATTCAATTTGTATTAATATGTTGAATGGCTCCATTTCTCTCCGCAGGTTCTGGCCAGCAATATGATATTCCTTGGTGTAGTAATCTTTGTGCCTTTCTCATTAGGTCGGATTATACTCTATCATTTATCCTGGCTTTTCTCCACTGCTAGTGGTCCAGTTTTGTCAACAGTCATGCCACTCACAGAATCAGCCCTTTCCTTGGCAAATGTGACATTGAAGAATGCAGTAACAGCTGTAACGAATGCATCATCTGAAAGCCAACAAAGTGGTATGGTTGACCAGGTTGCAGAGATCTTGAAAGTGAACATGAGTGGACTAAATGAGGTTTCAAACAATGTAAGTTCACCACTTTCAGCAGACTTCTTGAAAGGGGCAACACTTGGAACTTCAAGGCTCTCTGATGTTACAACTCTTGCTATTGGATACATGTTTATATTCTCCCTAGTTTTCTTCTACCTTGGCATTGTTGCTTTGATTCGGTACACTAAGGGTGAGCCATTGACTATGGGAAGGTTTTATGGTATTGCTTCAATGGCAGAGACAATTCCATCTCTCTTCAGGCAGCTTTTGGCAGCAATGAAGCATTTGATGACAATGATTAAGGTTGCTTTCCTTCTAGTTATTGAACTGGGGGTGTTTCCATTGATGTGTGGATGGTGGCTAGATGTATGTACTATAAGGATGTTTGGGAAGTCGATGTCGCACAGGGTTCAATTTTTCTCAGCATCTCCTTTAGCCAGCTCACTGGTCCATTGGGTTGTAGGAATTGTATACATGCTACAAATAAGTATATTCGTCAGTCTTCTTCGAGGGGTATTGTTCTTTGCCATCTTATCATATTGGTCAATATGCTTTTCCAAACACTAGTTTTACATGTATTTGTTTTTCCTATGCTTCTGTCTGCAGGTTCTGCGTAATGGAGTTCTTTATTTCCTTAGAGATCCCGCTGATCCAAACTACAATCCCTTCCGTGATCTTATTGATGATCCTGTGCACAAACACGCTCGCAGGGTCCTGTTATCTGTTGCGGTTTATGGGAGTTTAATTGTGATGCTGGTGTTTTTACCAGTTAAATTAGCTATGCGGATGGCACCCTCCATTTTTCCTCTTGACATCTCGTAAGATGACCCTCAATGTTTCAGTGGCACTTATTGTTCCACAACTGCAGTTTTATTGTTGATATTTTATATTGTTCGCTAATGTGCACCTTATTTTTCCCCTTTGGCAGGGTATCTGATCCATTTACTGAAATTCCTGCAGACATGCTTCTTTTTCAAATATGCATTCCATTTGCCATTGAGCATTTTAAATTACGGACAACGATTAAATCCCTCCTCCGTTATTGGTTTACGGCAGTTGGCTGGGCACTTGGTTTAACTGATTTCTTGCTGCCCAGACCTGAGGACAATGCAACTCAGGAAAATGGAAATGCAGAGCCAGGAAGACAGGATAGACTACAGGTTCAACTGGGGGTACAGGACCAGGCTTTGGAGGCACTTCCAGGTGGTGGTGATCCAAATGGAAGCATTCTTGCATCAGGGGACTCAAATGTCGCGGAAGAGTATGACACAGATGAACAATCTGATTCTGAGTAAGTTGAGAGAATCCTTACAAATTGAAAGATGAGAGTAGATCTGATTATCGCAGGATTTATTTCAAAAATTGTCCTTATTGTGCTATCTGGTCTTAATTTTCCTGGTTTGCATTTCCACCTTGATATTGAAAATTCATAAATGCAGCTCTTGTTAGTTCACAATTTTAAGTCATGCCATCATTTGTCCTTTTTCTATTGCATCTGAAATGTGTGTTGTTTTATTTGATTATCTTAACTGGTTTTACCTCTTTTTCCCTCTGTTTTTCAGACGATACAGCTTTGTGCTTCGCATTGTACTCTTGTTGGTGGTGGCTTGGATGACTTTACTTGTATTCAACTCTGCCTTGATAGTTGTACCAACCTCACTGGGAAGGGCGATTTTCAATGTCATTCCTTTTCTCCCTATAACTCATGGCATCAAGTGCAATGGTAAATTCTTTTCTGATTGTTATTCTTCATATTTCTGAGATCAGTTGAATGTTTAACTTTTTTTTTTTTTTTTTTTTTTTTTTTTTTTTTTATTAGATAGATTGTACGCTTTCATCATTGGAAGCTACATAATCTGGACTGCTGTAGCTGGAGTTAGATACTCCATCGAGCATATTAGAACAAAAAGGGTTGCAGTTCTGTTGGGGCAGATTTGGAAGTGGTGTGCCATTGTTATCAAGAGTTCTGTGCTTTTGTCAATATGGGTAAGAATCATATGGTTTTTTATTCCTAGGAATCAGTGTTCTATATCAGGTTTGTATATAAACTACTGACATATTGTTATTGTTCCAGATTTTTATCATTCCTGTATTGATTGGGCTGCTCTTTGAGCTTTTGGTGATCGTGCCGATGCGCGTGCCTGTTGATGAAAGCCCAGTATTCCTGCTTTATCAGGACTGGGCATTAGGACTTATTTTTCTCAAGATATGGACTAGACTGGTGAGCGGTGCTATAAAATAATGAGTTGCATATTTTGTTGGACTCTTTATGTTGAGGATTTTCTATCCACGGGGGAGTTAGGTCTTTATGGTTGTACTCGTTATGCACTTATGCAGGTTATGTTGGATCACATGATGCCACTGGTAGATGAAAGCTGGCGACTAAAGTTTGAAAGAGTGAGGGATGATGGTTTCTCTAGGCTGCAAGGTCTATGGGTGCTTCGCGAGATTGTATTTCCAATCATAATGAAGTTGTTGACTGCCCTGTGTGTGCCTTATGTACTTGCCAGAGGGTTATTTCCTGTTCTCGGCTACCCATTAGTAGTCAACTCAGCAGTTTATCGGTTTGCTTGGCTGGGGTGCCTTTGCTTTAGCCTGCTGTGCTTTTGTGCCAAGAGATTCCATGTCTGGTTCACCAACCTTCACAACTCTATACGGGATGACCGGTATCTAATTGGTCGTAGGCTTCATAACTTTGGAGAAGCCATCGTGGAGAAGCAAAATGAATCTGGGACATCGTGTGAAATGCAGGACTCTAATTTTGAGGCCAGTGGTTTAATTCGACACGATCGAGAAGCTGATGTAGGACTCCGACTAAGGCGTGCAAACCGACTTGAAGCTTAATGTATGACACAAATCTAGAGAAGGTTTTCGTCTTATCCAAGGCTAATATGAAGCTTTAGATACTTACATCCCTTTATAGGACTGGTTTTGTACGTCATCTCCATGGATGTAAGAAAGGGTATTCAAAATATCCCTCGTATTAGAGTTGTCTTTCAGTTTGTGCATATAATGCTTGTGAAATTAGTAATTAGAATTTACATGAATGCAAAATTGTCTATACATTCACATTTTTGCCTCTGCTTTAGTCATCCTTGGTCCTTTTGTTCTTTTCTTGTTTGCATTAATAAACATCGCTGCTTGTTTCATGATTGGATTTCCAAGTGCTGGATGATTTTTTCGCTTACCGTAAACCACTCATGACGATTTGGGGGATCAGCAATGTATAAACTCATTGGATGCATTTTGATAGCAGGAACATGAATTTGTATAATCCGATTTCCAAGTGGGCCGTATTAATATAAGGAAACAGTACTTGGAGTTAAACGACGCAACTAATGTTGAAAACTCAAATCCGAGTCCCTTGTCTGATGCCAAATTTCTAGTTTTCTACTGCTTTCTTAGATGCGTTCTGCTCGTGGAAACATTTTTCAGACAAGTTTTTTGGATGGTTAGGCATAAGGGAAGACTGGCTATCGATGTACAAACAGGCTCTGAGAGAGAGAGGGAGAGAGAGAGAGAGAGTCTGATGCGAAAGTTCTTGCTGCTGTTTTGCTTATACATTTCTCAATAGCTCATGTAAAAGTGATGGCTTATGAATCTATGAATCAAACCATGTCCTTGGTATTTTTTCTAGCATTTCATTTGCTCATGTCAACAATTTTGCCCTGGAAATGACATTGCTAATAACCATCCTCATCCGACCAAAAAAAAATCACCACCTTTGGCACAGAAAAAATAAGGAAAGCAACAGATGTGCATAGAAATATTTATGCATAAACGTCACAATCTCAACATAAACTCCAAAAGCTCATGGAACAGACAAAAACCAGTTTCTAGTACCTACGCAAGAAACTCTTCTCAAACACTATCAAAACCACACACCTACTTTAGTCTCAATCCATCATGCGAAAGAAAAAACTCTCAAGACACCAGGTTTTCATTGAGTGACAATGAGGCAAGTTGATCAGCTGCATTGCCAGCTTGCTGCTGCTGAGCAACATTCCTTAGAACTTCCATAGCCTCAGCTACCTTTGCTTTCAGAGCTTCAGGTGACTCCAGCAAATGCAGAACCTCAGTCTGATCCATCTCCAGAAGCATGCCTGTAACCTTGGCTGCATTCTCAGGTTCCAGCTGTTCCACGAGTGGGTAAAGATTCTCACCCAGCATCTACAAATTTCCACCAAACGGACAACTCATTAATAGCATAATAACCGGGACAAAATTACTTGCCCAAAAAAAATCTAATAACCATATTTATTTTGTATCGTAATCAAAACAATGAACACAATCTGGTAAGCACTACAAAGTCCAAAATGTCTAGCATAGACTAATAAATGGACAAAGAAACACAAAAGCATACCGTTCTTTGCTGCTCCGGTGTAGCATTTGCAAGAGCAGTAGCCAAAGCCCCTATTGGAATTGGTTGAGACAGTGCTGCATCACGCATTGGCATGCCACCCATGTCATATGGAACAGAAAACATGCCTCCAGCAACACCAGGCATGGGAACATCAGGTAAACCGCGACCAGATGGGTAACGGTAGACACGCCCCCTTGGAAGCATCTGTCATTAAAAATCCATCAGAAATTATGTCAATAAACCAAAATACTAAAGACTACGTTAGAGACAACATGCATCTAACCTGCTGTTGCATTATCGGAACTGGTTGCTGGTTTTGCTGAACAGAGCCTCCACGTCTGCCACCAGGGCGCTGCCCTTGCTGCCCCTGCTGAACCATTGGCACAAAGAAATTTGGCATGGGAGCCCCACCAGGCCTCATACCAGGAACAAGCTGCTGCTGATACCCAAATCCAGGCTACAAAGGAAACAAAATAATATCATTAAAAAAATTCAAAGGTAACGAGGCAACATTACTGAATTCTTAATCTGCAACCAAATCATGCAAGTACATAATCCAAACTAATCTACAGCTGAAAACAGCAAAATGTACGAAATACCCAAAAATGTTAATAGTTTAACTAAGACTGTTGAATGTCTTCCCCATAAATAAAAATGACCGTTAAATGGGAAAAATATGAAATTTCTGGTCACCTGGGAAGGAATGATAGCAGGTGGACCTTGACCATAGAATATTTGTTGTCCAAGACCTGGACCACCAGGAGGGTACATTGGCATACGAGGAGCAACTGAAGGTGCCATTGCAACTGGTCGCATTTGAGAAAACTGGGCCTGTGCAAGCAGTAAACGCAATAACACATGACAATACTAACGTGTCAATATCGAAACAAAAGAGAACGTGACCAGAGTACGGATAAGTATCGCTTAGATGCTTTTTGTCTACAACCCACATTGACGATCTTGTAGGAAAGTAACTCATTGCATAAAGAGGAGCTATATATTAATTGATGTTGGGCCAAACTTAGAGTTTGTTTTGTTCAAGGATCAGCAGAAGACATACCTGCAACCTTGCTCTTCTATCTTCTTTTCGTTGTGCAAGTGCAACATAGAGAGGTTTGCTTACAATCATTTTGCCATTCATTTCCAAGAGCTATCAAACAGGAAAAAAAAACATATATCTTTACTTCTTTAACAATAAAGAAATTTGTCTGACCCAAAAACAAAAACAATAAAAGAAATTTATTAAGAGTGTTTCTATCCTCATCCCACACATTACTCATAACACCCGCAATTCTAAAAATATCCATAACTCCTAACCCCAACTTTCTTTTTCTGGGCATAGACGAGGGCGGCCATGAATGTCACTTCCACAGTTGGTCATGGCAGCAAAAAACAACAAAATTGTTTTACTAAATATTTTCCCTTTTCTGAATAGGACAAGCACTCCATTAATCCATATAAAAAATAAACTTACAGCTCTATTTGCCTCTTCAGGAGTTGAGAATGCAACAAAACCTGATCCCCTACTTATTCCACTAGGGTCTCGCATGACCTGCACACATGTGAATAAAAAAGAGTTTTGTTAGGCCATACCAATGCAAAATGAATGATCATTATGACACAGGTGCTTTGCAATCTAAAACAAGGACTACACACCTTGCATGAGGTAATAGTCCCAAATGGAGTGAACAGTTCCTTAAGTTTCTCATCACCTATGGTATCATCTAAATTTTTAACATACAAGTTTGCCCCTTGATACTTGTCTGCTGCCTCTTTCATGCTCTGTTCAAATCGTTGTTTCAATTCATTTTCCCTTTCAGATTTCTTCTGGGCCTTCCCAACATACCACTCCTTGTCATCAAATTTCTTTCCATTTAGATCCTCAACAGCTCTAGCAGCATCATCAGTGTTTTCAAAATTGACAAACCCAAAGCACTTTGATTTTCCATCTGCATCCCGCATCACCACTACGCTAGTGATTTTTCCAAATTTAGCAAAAATTTTGTCCAAGTCTTCCTCAGTAGTTGATTCTGATAGATTCTTTACAAAAACATTGTTGAATCTTGACTTGTCAGAAACACCGTCCCTTTCCTGCTTACGGAGGAAAGGCCCTACATAAACTTGCTTATCATTTATAAGCATACCATTTAACTTCTCTATAGCTTTTTGGGCAGCTTCATCATTGTCGAATTGTACAAAGCCATAGCCTTTTGACTGGCCAGAGGGGTCTGTAGCCACCTTGCAAGAAAGGATGTTTCCAAATGCAGAAAAGGTATCATGCAAGGCTTTGTGATCAATAGCTTTGTCCAAATTCTGACAAAAGTAATACAAGTGAAAGTGTCAGCAAGGAGATAACTGTGACATATAAACATATAATGGTGCTTCCTAAAACATTAAAAACATGAATACCTTAATAAATATATTTCCAGCCCCGCTTTTGCGGATACTAGGATCACGATGAGAGTACATAATCCTAATGGGCCTTCCATTCACGGGACTGAAGTTCAACATATCCAATGCCCTAGCAGCTGCCACCAATTCCAACTAAAAATGTAAGTAAAAATCAAAAGGAAAAGGAGCATTGACAAATCTCACACGATGCAAAAGAAACGAAGGGAAAGAATATTAGACATCTCTAATCTCTGTTTCAATAACAAAACACAATATTCAACTTAATTGTTTCTCTGCATGACACTGTTGTGTTATCCTCCTCTTTGGTTACTAACAGGTGCAGTCACGACAGCCTCTGGGCTCTAGGTGACTAAAAATTTCAATTTAAGATTTTAAGAGAGGCCTTGAAAAGTCCTAAACTGATCATTGTAGGGAACAAGACTATAAACTGTGAAACCAAAAATATTGCAAGTTTAATATCTCAGAAAGGATGGGTAAAGGATTAAATGGGTTTCTAACCCAAGGTCACAATGTTTCTTCCAAATATGTTTCCACATAACACCTATCAAATTAGTGCATTGAGTAGTAAGAAAATGAAAACATGTATACACTCTTAAAATTATAAACCTAAGCAACCTTATTCCTGGTTAATTGTGAGCTTGGTTGGTGAAGGAAAGGTCCTTTGCTGGAAGGAACCATAATATGACAGTAGCCAAATTCAATTTCAGGGCATATTATGCTCTTTCTTGTATTAGCCAAAATGGGAGCCTTTACTGAACACCCCAACAGAAGGCCTAAGGCGTGACAAGAAGACAAGAAAAATCGTACAAGAGTTCCAACATAATAGCCAGAATCTCAGCATTACAAACCCCACCAACAGGCACAGACTCATTATTGTTAAAATGCATCACCAGGAAGGAAAACTTGAATGAGAAAATTGAGCACATACAAAGTAAAGCACCAGGTTTCATATCTGAGGAAAATATATCTTGTAATTACAAAACAATGAATGCTAAATCCAAATGCACCTATAATTTTTAGCCTAACCCCTTAATTTACTCGTATAGTAATTCTACTCAATGCCTGCACCCCATAATATATTGACAACCACAAATTTCCTATTATTCTCCTAAGAGTCATCATTTTGACGAAATTTGAAGCATATGCTTGCAGGAAGTCACAACTACATCAATAACTACATCTTATACAATCAACACTACCACGTACCTATCACTTAATTTCCTTTTCTTTCTACAATAAATTGCACAAACACTGTTAAATACAAATGGATCCAGTCACCACACCTAAAAGATGTAACTTGCACACAAAAATTAAAACATTGGGCTAAGTTTACTTAGCCTCCTTAACCACCTATATGGCATGCACAACCATCTTATTCAGCTTACAATAGAAAGAACATCCATGATCTAAATCATATATAAGGAACCCCCAAAAAAAAAAAAAAAAAAAAAAAAAAAAAAAAAAAAAAAAAGCAGCAGCATACAAAAAAAACAAATGAGGTCGAAACCATCCCTAATAAAGTGAATCAAAACCACTTACCATCTTGTGGGTTGCTATAATTGACATAGCCATAGCCAAGCGACCTCCTGGTGGACAAGTCCCTGCAAACCCTAACCGAAACCACCTGACCCAGCTGGTTAAACAGGTCGTAGAGCTGCGAATCCGTAACGTTCTGGTCAAGATCCCCAACATAAAGCGACGTCGTCACGAACTGGTTGGCCGCACCACCATTCGCCGCAGCCGCAGCCGCCGCTGCTGCGTTCGCATTCTGAGCCTGGACCTGAACTTGCGCCATCTTCAACAGAAAAGCCTAAATTTTTTTTTCTTTTCAAAATTTTTGAATTTTTTCTTTCGTTTTCCGATAATCTTCCCTCTCCTCTTTGTTATTTCAGCACCAGAAAATCCGAGGAAGATAAAATAAGCCAACAAAGACACTAACTACTAAACGCTCTCCAACTGCTCGATAAAAAACCGCTGAGGAAAAGGAAAACTCACTCTTTTTTTTTTTTTTTTTTTTTTTTTTTTTTTTTTTTTTTTTGGTAGGGAGGAGAGGGAAGGGAGTGGAGGGATAAATAGTCGGAGATCCGACGAGGGTGGCAGAGGCCGCCGGTGGGTGGCGGCGCGTGAGATAAGTCTGTGGGCGATGAGAGAGAAATGTAGAGAGAGAAAGGGAAGGAAAGAAAATAGGGAAGATGGTTTTTTAACTGCTGCGCGCAGCTGGAAGAACTGCACTAAAAGGGTGGGACTTGCAGCTGTGGGTGTTGATATAGTTGGTGGGCTTGGGTGAGCCCTAGGATGATCTGAAGGAGGCGATCTGGACCGTTGATTTGGATGTAGTGGGCCCATGATGACGAGGTCGTATGTGTAAGATTAACGGCTGAGATGTGTCGAATGTGAGTTGTGAGGTACAACTACTGGTAACGTTAGATTTTCTAGATAAGTCATGCTAAGGTAGGTCTTGTCTTGTAGGGTTTGGTGTGGGGGCCGTCGGGCTCTTGGGCAGCTGCCACGGGTCATGTAAGCGCGTGATATGCTGATTTACTGGTGAGTCCACACACAACACATCGGTAAAAACTGAAAATTTTTACTTTGCATTGGTGGCTTACAAAATTATTCTTTATGACTGTTACATATTTAGTCCATGTGTGGTGACTAACTATAATTGGATTAGATTATGATGTACGATTCAATTAGGAGGCATTATTGGATTGACTGAATTACATTGAATTGAAAATGATAAGTATTTTTCATTAGCACTAGAGTCCTGATTCTGTGTCCCGTTTGGTTTATAAGAAATGAGACTTGGGAATGAGAAACCAATTGTTTTTCCATATTTGGTAAGTCTAGGTATGAGAAATCGTTACCTAGCTCATGGAAAGTAAGGGGGAAAGTGAAGCCATCCTTCCAACTTGGGTTTTGTTTTCCCTCATCATGGGAAAGTTTGGGAAAATGAGTTAACATTAAATACATATTTTTTATGACTATTTTATCCCCATTAACAATTTAGAATTACAATATATCATTAAATGCATTCCTTTTTTATTTGATTTAATATGGGTATAATTGAAAATTTATACAAACTTTGTTTTCCATTCCTACTCAAAACAAACGTGGGAAATGAAATAAAGTGATATTTTCTGGTTACTTTCTCAGCATTACCAAACGTGTGAAATGAATCTTCCATTCTCATTCTTTGGGGAATGACATGGGAAATGATTTCCCCTCAAATTCATTCTATGAACCAAATGGGTCAAAGACTAAGAAATTGGAATGGTAGGATTATGTATCTCACTTTTTTAAGGATAAATTATTCTATAAAATGTACATAATTCAATTACGGTGAGATTATTTTTTATCTCATTCACATTCATTTTTGAACACCAAACATGACATTAGATTAAGTTAATCAAATCTTACTACATATTCTACCCACCAAACGAGTTAATGTACATGCAGTGGCGGTCCTACAACAAGGGCAAGGTAGGCAGCTGTCTACCCCAAAAAATTTCACCAAAAAAAAAACCCTATATGTAAGCAAACTATTTATACCCAACCCATGTAATGGTGTGAACCCATGCCTACCCAAACTTAAAAGCAACCCACATGTGTTATATGGCCTAGTCAAACTTCAATAGTAGACAGTCCCAAATCATTATCCTTTGCAGCTTCTTCTTAAGTCGGGACATTCTCTCTTGGTAACATCTTCTCATATATAAGGCCAACAAATATTCTTTTATTAGCTTTTTCCTAAAATAAATGTATGCATCTTAAGTTTTTAATAGTTTAATTTAGTTTTAGATTTAAATAGTTTAGTTTTGTGTTGCATTGCATTAATTTGGTTTTTAGCTTTTTTTTGTTGTTAAGTTTTTATATGTATAGATATGCATTTCTGAGGGTAAATCTCATTACGTTCTTCCCAACTAGGTGTATCTTTTTATTTTTATGAATAAAATTTACTTGTACCGTCGAGTTTTTAAGATAAGTTTCGCCTACCTGACTTTTGAATTTTGGATCCGCCACTATGTACATGTACACGTATACTTAACATATATATGCAAAAATATTTTATGAATGAGAAAACCCGGAATGTTCCGTGAGAGAAGGAGAAGATCCAAGAATGTTTCCTGGAAAATACCGACAGATTGTCCAAAAGCATAAAATATATATATATATATATTCAATTTTCTTCAATTTATTTAAGGAGTAGGGACTTTTCTTGTTCTCACAATAACTGGAAGAATGAATTTATTTATTTATATAATTTTTTATAAGGAATGATTACATATTCTATTTCTATGTATCTGGTCAAAGAGTGACCAATAATGGAATTGATTATTTTGGCTAATTGTGTGAAGCATCATGACTTCACTTCAACCTTAAACTAACTCAACTCAAACTTAATTGGTAAGAACCTATGATGAGCTAGAGGCAGCAAGTTGAGTCCACCAGTTCAAACGGAATTAACTTCCATATGATATAATTACGATCCATGACGTAAACTCGGTGTATGGAAGTTTGTCTCCATACACAAGTGGTGGGGCAGAAGAGACTGAACCATACATAAAATGGGCAAGAAAAAAGAGCTTTTGCACATGCAAATTCTAGCTTTTTAGGTATCCCACAAGAATTGTATCAAATTCATGCATTGAGCATTAGGAGGTTATAAATTGAGACTAAGTTGGTTAGTTTAGTCAATGACGGAATTATATCAATTTCTTAAGAAGTGGGGTATAGTTTTCTTTTTCTGTTTATAATGTGTGGATAGTTGACTGACTTTGTATAAGGAGTTGTAGTGATGGAATGGACCAATTTTCGCTAAGATGAGATGAGATAATTTTCACCAATAGAAGTGAATTTCCTAAAGATTAATGCCAAATTTCTATGTTTGTAAACATTTACATTGAACGAGAGTCCGCCCTAATTTAAGCGTTGTTTCACCCTTAATTTGCGCATGGCACTGTTTTTAGCATAGGGAAGAAGGGTTAGAAGTTTTTAAGTAGTGCTGGCCGAAGAAATTTCAACATAAGAGGGAAATTAAAACAAGATTGGATGAGAAAGTAGAGATGTGGAAAAGTGGAATGTGGATTGTCAAGAGGTTTGAACATGGAGAGTGACACATGGATTGAAATGCGAAATGTATGCAGACATTTTCAATGGTGTGTATGTGGAAGTGACACAACCATCTTGCTTGTGAAACATATAAAAAATGTGTTTATTTGCGAAATCTAAGCTATACCCATCAGTTGACAACATATGGATTGTTGCATGTACCGTATTGGCAGGAAAAATCAACATCATCTAACATTGCATGTCCACGGTTCTAATATTATTATGATATTTGGAAAGAAATAAGAAGGGTCAAGAACAACCGAACTGTATTTTGATTTAATTATCATGTAATTTCTCTCATTCCAGTACCACAGTATAATTACAATGTGGGAAATATCAATCCATAATTTAGTAGCAGAATTAGGACTTTTGATTGGGGGGCTAAAATTAAAATTTAATTGTAAACGACTTTATCATCCTAAATAAAGAGGGTTAATATTAGCGTAATTATGATTTTCTTGTATATGATATCATTCTTTTTGAAGTGTTAAAAAGAGTTGTAAAAGGGCGGATGGATTAAGGTTACTTCTAACTCTGTTTTGACTCCGACCATCCTATTTTTCATTTACATTATAACACATCAACTGATATACCACGTAATTATATTTCAGTATGAATATTAAGTTATCGTATCCTAGTATCACACTCTAATTAGGACGGATTGAGTTTGGATTTACCTTGCAACATGCCAACTTGTCCAACAGTCTAACACTCCGAGCCGCAACTCTAGAGAAGGAAGGAAGCAATAGTTTGAAAACGGCGCGGCGCGTGATAAGTGGAGAGCAGTCATAAGCGACCAAACGGGCGTGGTCCTACTCTCTCTCCATTTCTCCAACATTTCCTCTTGACACGGAAACCCAAAAAGCACAAAAAGAAAAAGAAATATAATAAACAACTACATGCTCTCTCTCTCTCTCTCTCTCTCTCTCTCAATAAGAAATCTGAAAATCCTACCACCAGCAGCAGCAGAACCTCCTCTCTCTCTCTCCAGAATTAAAAATACAACAAAATCATAATTATTTATTTAAAAAAAGTAAAAAAATTCTAAAAAATTAGTTCTTTGCTTTGGTGTCTGCTTAGGTGAGCTGAGCTCCATCAAATCAAAAGCTGCGCTGCTCTGCTATGATGGGCTCAATCTCAATCCCTATCCCCATAACTTCCCCCAATTACTCTCCTCTTTCTTCTTCCGCAACTCCCAGCTCTTCCCTTCTTCCTCTTCGTCGATTCCCTCTCCTCGCTCTCTCCAAACGACGCCGTAGCCTCCAGTTCCGGCCTCTGGTTCTCGCCTCCTCAGCCCCCGGCGTCGCCGCCAATTCCCTCCCCAGAAATGGGACCTTCACCGTCGGCGATTTCATGACCACCAAGGAGTATTTGCACGTCGTCAAGCCCACCACGACCGTCGACCAAGGTATAGTATGCCACAAGCTCAAACCTTCGAGCTCAAGCTCGAGTCTTTGCTTTCTGATTGATGATTGCTCTTTTTTCTCTGTTTACAGCATTGGATGCTCTTGTGGAGAAGAGAATTACCGGCTTTCCTGTGATTGATGATGACTGGAAACTCGTAAGTAAATCTTATCTTTCTTTCTTTTTTCTTTCCTTTTTTGTGTTTTCATATATAAATCGTGTAATTGAAGTCTCTATCTATACGTATAAATGATATTAACGTAGAGGTTTATAAGGAAAGATTAAGAGTTTTTGCTGCAAATCGCTATCTCCTTCTGTTAACAAGGCTTATCTTGTGTCTTGATGCTTGACTGTGTTGGTATTTTATTTTAATTGCTTTAGCTTTTTGTGTTTACGGGTTTGTGTTGCTCCACCTTGATTTGAGGGATTGTTTACTACTGCTGCAGGTTGGTGTTGTTTCAGATTATGACTTGTTAGCGTTAGACTCCATATCTGGAAACATAAAAGGTATGTTGTGTTTCATGATCCGAAGATTTAAACTTTAAAAATATATATATATATATATATATATATATTTGTTCTTGCTTCCTGGTTTTGGGCTTCTTTTTACGGCAAGAAATTCTGGTTTGTCATATCATAATAGACAATCTTAACAGGTTAATGTATCTATTGAGTTTGGTCTGCTGTTAGGAAGAATCTTAAAGTTTGTTATTGAATTCTAAGGAAATGTTCAAGAATTTATATCGAAAACACTAGGTTGATGCATATAGTGAAAAATGAACAGAGTGATCAAGTAATCAGCTTATCATCTGTATTACTTGAATCTTTGGTTAAAACATTAGGTTCTTGCTTCAAAGCTATAATACCGTAAAGCAATGAACCATTTGCAGCAAAGTATCACTTAAAACATTGAATTCCGCACATTTTCAGCTGCAAAAAATTAATGCAAGTTCTTGGGCCTAAGGTCAACATAGGGGTTGGACTTGGGTTGAGCGCCTTTTTGTAAGCTAAAAGATTGGGACCTGAGGCGAATGCCTCACCAGGCTGTCCTCAAGGCCTGCCTTAGGCGGTGCTTTGCTGTCTGTAATTTTGTTCTCACTGTTTGTTTTTCTGTTTTTTAGGGTGAAATGAATGGAAACTTATTTGAATTTTTTATGCTACCAGGTGGTCAAAGTGACACAAACTTGTTTCCAGATGTTGATAGTTCTTGGAAAGTATGTAAAGTTTTCTTTGCCACACATTTTTTTCATTTGTATTTACAAGTAATCTCTATTGCAATGCCTGTTTTGTTATTACACTATGATGGATTTATCTTTTTCGTTTACGTTGGATCATAAGATTGATTTGTTAATCCTTATAATTTTCATATAAATATTATCACATGCCAATTGTGCATATGTACACACCACATGTGGATCGTGTAGCCAGACTAGGCACATTTACTGGCTGTCTTTGCAAGACAGTTGGAGTTGGGAATTCTTCGGAGATATGGCTGCTATAGTTAAAAAAGGGCTACTCTGTGGAACAGTGCTGTGGTGGCCTCTTTGTGGGTGGTATGGTGGGAAAGAAATAGAAGAATTTTGATGATTGAGAAGAAGAGGTGTCTTCATTGGGGGAGGGAATTAGATATCTTAGTACTATTTGGATAGAGCTCTAGAATTTATGTGATGTTCTTGTTAATTCTTTTTCACTTGTACTATCCTCTTGTGGGACCAAGTGAGTAGTGTAAGTCTATATATCAGCAAGAATGTCCACTAAAACTAAAGTGGGAGACATGTTGTCGCCTAGAATTGAAGCTGTCCTGTTACAAATTATTTAAAATAATGCTTAGATCAGATGTGCGGTTAGTTGCTTCATTGATTTGCTTTCTAAATCTTGATGAGTATGGCAGACATTCAACGAGATACAGAAACTGCTTAGCAAGACCAACGGCAAAGTTGTTGGTGACGTGATGACACCTGCTCCGCTTGTTGTTCGTGAAACCACCAACCTAGAAGATGCTGCTAGGTAATGGATTGAACTAGTTTCCCTAATATCTGTTTTGTTGCTCAGGGAAAATTTCTTGTAGTATAAATGTTTCATTTGTGTTACATTGTTTTATTTGAGAATGAAAGTATGGGTGGCAGGCTGTTATGATTTTTCTTATGACTATTGTGGAGCTTTAGTTGGAATGGAACTTAAATTTCTCATAGAATTTCTCTGACTTGTGGAAGTGATGATTGTGTCTTTTCATGCTAAAATGTGGTAGCGAGTTAGCTATGCACAGTAAGACAAGAATGATCTGAAATGTACAGTTCGATGCAGTTCAAAGTACAGTCAGCTAAAACCATAATTTGTATTTTGTTAGGTTGTTGCTTGCAACAAAATATCGCCGACTGCCAGTTGTAGATAGTGAGGGGAAGCTGGTAATGATTCTTTTCTTTTCCTTTTTTCTTCTTAGAAAAGAAGGTTTCTTATTTGTTGGATGCTATATTGTTGCAAGTTTTTTTCTGATGGTTTCTTCTTCCATTGCAAAAGGTTGGGATCATTACGAGGGGAAACGTTGTTAAAGCTGCCCTACAGATAAAACGTGCTGGTGAAAAATGAGTTTAGTTCAGGGGAGCTCATAGGCATGCATAATGAGCTAAGTCTCATTGATATCATAATTATTTCTGCAAGGCATAGGCTACACAGCTTGTCATTGTCATTGCAGGTATTAAGAGGCCACTTAAACTTCATCATTGCTGTCCTTAATAGTATAGATTGCCTTATAATATGATTGCACTTGTATTTAGGCTTGTAAAATTATCAACATTTTCTAGGGTCAGATCTGTGACTTGCAGTTGTCCTATGGCAAATTTTTGTATTATAAAGACCATTATAACCTCAAAACCAATGATTATTTCGTTTATAGTTTATGAGGAGCTTTGCCCCATATGTCTCCATGGTTCCACCAACCAGCCATATAAATGGGTGGTTGAAACGAAATTGAATAATTTCTTTTTTTGGGTGGGGGGGGGGGGGAGGGAGGGTGGTGTGTGGTGGGGCAGTCCCACATTTGGTAACGCTGGGAAAGTAACTGGGAAATATCACTTTATTTCATTTCCCATGTTTGTTTTAAGTAGGAATGGAAAACAAAATTTGTATAAATTTTCAATTATACCCATATTAAATCAAATAAAAAGAGAATGCATTTAATGATATATTGTAATTCTAAATTATTAATGGTGACGAAATAGTCATGAAAAATGTTGACTTAATATTGGTTTATTTTCCCAAACTTTTCCATGAGGAGGGAAAACAAAACCTATGTTGGGAGGATGACTTCGGGCTCGTTTGAGAGTGCTTCTCTAGGAAGCACTTCTACTTATAAGCGCTTTTATTATAAAGATGTTGAAATTTTCATAAGAAACATAAGTGCTTTTTGGAAAAGCACTTGGGCGTGCTTCCTGAAGAAGCACATGACAAGTGCTTATATGGCTTAAAAGCGCTTCTAAACATTTCTGTCAAACGCTATCAGAAGCGCCTTTGGTTGTCAGAAAGTGCTTTTAACTATTCTAGAAGCACTCCTAAACGGGCATGCCCCTCCTACTTTTCCATGGGCCAGGTAACGATTTCCCATATATGGACTTACCAAACATGAGAAAGCAATTGATTTCCTATCCCCAAATCTCCTTTCCCATAAACCAAACGAGGCATGTGGGGATTGCTTATAAGAATGATTTACATACTAGGATTTTGTTTTGGCATCACCAAATTCTAGTTGTGAAGAGTGATTTTCAAAGCCTAGCTTGGTCCAATATAGTTCTTAAAGTTCGAGGAAAATTATGGATAGATTGTTTGGACAAACCTCAAAATTTCTAAAATGGCGTGTACTAATTTATAAAATAACGGGATTTATAAATTATATGAACACTAACATATGGATTGTGGGAGGAACAAATCACAAGTTTAAGTTCCACCTGGATGACCCAAAATTTTTTCAGCGGAAGTGCAATTTTGCCAAGGATTTATAAAATTAAAGAAAAAAAAATTATTGCGTTGGCAACACAGCATAGCACACAGCAGACTAACTTCGTTTAGGCTTTTTGTCGAACTATAGAGTGCACCTCTCAGGCTGAGCAAAGCTGAAATATGCAGCACTTATAATGATTTTTCCAACAAATGGAGGTGCACTTGAGCCTAAATAGGTCCGACACGGGCACCAACCCCGCCGTTGCCAAAACAACTAGCTACCAACCTCAGTCTTTCGTCTTTAAAGCTAATTGTTTGAACTTTTTAGCTTTTCCAGTGTGTTTTAGCTTGACCAACCTTTCAAACCGGAAAAAAAAAGCCTTTCGGGTCCATCTGAAGTTTATTGGCATTGAGTGGAGTCTCATCACCCGTGCCGTGGCCCCTTTTATTATGAAGTGGAATATGCACTTTGAGAATAAACAATTTCTACATTTGAAAATAAGATAATTGCGCTTCTTGTTTTGGTAAAGAAGTGGAATTTGCACCTGAGAATTAACAATTTGACTCAACACTCGCATTTCTTCACTAGTTGATTATATTATATGCAACCACACTGGTTTTGGACATTTGATAAATATTTGAATTTGTGCATGCACCTCTTAATAATGTAATGATTGGAATTAAAAGGATTAAAAAAAAGTATTGGATTCAGTTGACATCAATATTTTCAAGGCAATTTTAGAGTAATAATAATTATCTGTTTATATTGTTGGAAGCACTTTTACTAGGAGCATGTTGAAGTTTTTATCAAAATTCAAGTGCTTCATGTAAAAAGTATCGAAAAGTGTTTATATAATCTAGAAACACTTTCTTATTTTTGTAAAATGCTATAAAAATGCTTTTGGTTCTTTGAAAGTGTTATTATTTTATTTAAATATAAGCGATAGTTTAAATTACGAGAGAAATTGGGGTTTCTCTCTCTCACACACACACTATTAAAGTGTCGAACTTGATATTGTTAGTCTGGAAATCAATGTTATTTTCCACTATACTAGATTCCGTCGGTAAATTTTTTTGGCATACAAATCCAGTTTAAGGCCATAACTGTTGGATTGAATCACCGGCCATTCATCACTTCTCAAATAACTTAATTTCAACCAAAAGAACCTCATTTTCATGGTTGAATTAAGTATCACCAATTCATACATTTTTTTTTGGGTCTGAAAATACTTCAATAAAAGGCGCGAAGACCGCCAGCAAAAGTAACAAGACAGAGAAACAAACAAGATGCAAGCAAACTAGGATAAAAAAGAGAGCCTAGAATAAAGCCCACACCCAAAGCAACCTAATCAAATTACTGAGCAGAGACCTCCACAGGAGGACAGACAGGGAAGGCCGTCGGAAACCAAAACACCCACAAGAGACGGTGGTGGCCTTACAGCCCAATTCATGCAATGAATTTATGAAAGTGATGATACAATGAATAAATTCATTGGTGAAAGTAACGAGTTGGTGATACAATGAATTATGCATCACCGAATTATAAGATCCAATTATTTTATTTTATTTTGTTTGAATTTATGAAAGTGGTGAAAATAACGAGTTGGTGATACAATGAATTATGACTCACCGACATATGAGATCCATTATATTATTTTGTTTTGTTTTGTTTACAGGAGTGACACTTATAATTCATTAATTCCGGCTCTATGCTTGACATCATGTCTTTAAAACAGACATGACGTCGTACACAGAAGTTATGCTTACAATTAAGAATTAACCAAGCAGATAAAAACTAACGTAGGTTAATTAGGACTCAAAACCAGCCAATGAACAAACAGACCCGAGAAAACCTTCTGCCTAAATACAAAGAAAGATATCATTTATTAAAAACATTTCTGTTTTGCGGATGCATCTATACTTCTACTTAAGGAAGCAACTCCCAGACATAAAAAATCAGCAGATCTTTTGTGTATCTTGAACGTATCAGCCCTCCCTAAGATAGATTTTCTCTCCATATCATCATATCTTACCAGATGAGCTTGACCACAGAAATCAGACTGACAGACTGTAAAGCTTTTTCCCTGGTAGAGAGCGAAGCCACCTTTTTAAAAAAAAATTCCAAGCAGCTCTTCGAAACCATGGCCTCCAGAACTCTTGAACATGGCTTTTATTATCACAGAAAATACTGTCAAATTATTTGACATGATCCCTCCAGATTCAGCATATTTTTTGACAAGACACAGGCCTCCATAAACCATAGCCTTTACAGCTGGTAAAGCTTTTAAAGGAGCGTTTTAGAATATCCCATGTTTAAGGCACCTCATAAATAAGCTTCCATCAACATGGGATTTTCAGCGCAAAGAGTACCTCTCATTCTTCCACATGTATCTGCACTGCACCAAGAACGTATAGCTCTCACTTTTTTTCCAAGGGATCCAAATGATTGAAATCTTTATGATCAAGATCGAACCCTTTAAGCATCTTCCTGTTTTGAGCCTCTTCTAGTTGCCTTGATATAGCTGGCAGCCAATACCATTTCCAACCTCTATAAATTAATATGATTTGACATCTCACGTAATCAATTGGTCGCCCGTTGATTAAGTGAATAATTTATATCTTATGCATAATTATTTGTTAGTATAAAATGTGATCTAACTTGCAGTCCATTGGTTCATGGATGGAACCAAAACCCTAAATCCACGACTTCTATATATTTTCTGTGCGGACTCTTGTAGTTGACTCATCTATTTTGATGGCCTAAATTCAGAGGCTTACAAATTGTGATATTCATTAGTTTGTCCAGTTAAAACACTAATTAGTAAGTTTTTGAGCAATATAATTATATAATGGTGTCGAATTCACAAATATCAAGACAATCATGACGATATTTCTCTTTTCAATATTGGAATAGGTTGAAATTTGATTCACCTCTTCTTTATCTATATAAGAGCAGCTCCAACGCTGCTATCAAACTAGGCAAAAGGCCCCCCTAGCAAGCCCAATGCGGCTCCAGCACAGCACCTGCAGCCCGAGCAAGCCTTGGGTCCCACCAACTCGGGCAAGCTCAAGGGCATATCTTGATTGGGTTGTTACCCTCGGGCTGCTAACGTCAGTAGCTGATTTTCATTTTTTGTTGTTGGACCCACCAGCCCACATTGCCCAATGGTTACGAGCCATGTGGCTTCTCTTGGAGCCTCTGATAAAAAAATCTTGCACAATCCAACGGTTGTCCAATTTTTTGGCTAAAAAAAATTGAAAAAAATATCAAATTTTTGTAAAAAAATTATCAAATATTATTCACTTTTCACACCAATTTAATTTCAAAATTTTATTCGAAAATGTTATCTTGATTTTTAGGTGAGGACTTTATGATAAATATTAACACTTGGGAATTGAAAATCTTATCTGAAAAGCTTATCAAAATCAATGGTTTAAGTGTAAAAAATAAAAAATAAATTTAAGTAAATAGTAATTGCCTTAGACTTAGCCCTCATGGGTGAAACCATAAATGACAAGACTGACACTATTCACATGAATAGTTGCAGCCCGTACTTACCCTTACCCTTGCCCTAGACGTAGCCCTATGAGTGGAAATGGTCTAAAAGAAAAGGACTCAGACAAGGACCCCCATCCAATAACATCCCACACAT